TTGCTGATACAAATTGCCAGTTATTTTGGGGCTGGCGACACATGTTGTCGGTAGATTTTGGGCTGCCGACACATGTTGTCAGTAGATTTTGGGCTGCTGACACATGTTGACGGTAGATTTTGGGCTGCCGACACATGTTGTCAGTAGATTTTGGGCTGCCGACACATGTTGTCAGTAGATTTTGGGCTGCCGACACATGTTGTCAGTAGATTTTGGGCTGCCGACACATGTTGGCAGTACCTTATAATTTGCCGCCGCATGTTGTCAGTAGATTTTGGGCTGCTGACACATGTTGTCGGTAGATTTTGGGCTGCCGACACATATTGACGGTAGATTTCGGGCTGCCGACACATGTTGTCAGTAGATTTTGGGCTGCTGACACATGTTGTCGGTAGATTTCGGGTTGCTGACACATGTTGGCAGTACCTTATAATTTGCCGCCGCATGTTGTCAGTAGATTTTGGGCTGCTGACACATGTTGTTAGTAGATTTTGGGCTGCCGACACATGTTGGCAGTACCTTATAATTTGCCGCCGCATGTTGTCAGTAGATTTTGGGCTGCCGACACATGTTGGCAGTACCTTATAATTTGCCGCCGCATGTTGTCAGTAGATTTTGGGCTGCCGACACATGTTGTCAGTAGATTTTGGGCTGCCGACACATGTTGTCGGTAGATTTCGGGCTGCCGACACATGTTGGCAGTACCTTATAATTTGCCGCCGCATGTTGTCAGTAGATTTTGGGCTGCCGACACATGTTGTCGGTAGATTTTGGGCTGCCGACACATATTGACGGTAGATTTCGGGCTGCCGACACATGTTGTCAGTAGATTTTTGGGCTGCTGACACATGTTGTCGGTAGATTTCGGGTTGCTGACACATGTTGGCAGTACCTTATGATTTTCCGACACATGTCAGTAGATTTTGGGTTGCTGACACGTGTTGTCGGTAGATTTCGGGTTGCTGACATGTGTTGTCGGTAGATTTTGGGCTGTCGGCACATGTAATGTACACAAATTATGTAATGGAATCATTCAGATTCTCGAATGCATTTTTGAATGCATCTCCTTAATCGTTTTTCTCCGCAATACAAAGCTAAAAAAACGACCCATGTGACCTCGTTGTATGGAAACATTCGGACGCAGTCTTTCTCTGGCGACCCAAGTGTTTTAATGCCAAAGTTTCCATTTTTCTCGACCTTCAGTAAGTTTGACAAAGCCGTTTCTTTAGGAAGGTACAAAAGACAAACGAGTGAATAGCACCCTTTAAGTACAAATTCAGAATCGAATATTTCAGCTGGTTTTGGACCCAGCAGAAGTGCAATTTCTGTCTCTAACACATTTCAGATGTCCTCGATTCACGCTAGTTTCTTCATAATTGATAGACTTTCGACATGTTTGAAAGAAACACCGGATACTGACCAATACTGCTGGATGCTAGAATTTTTAGACCAGAAATACTCACTTTTATGTTCAGTTAATGGACAAAAGATCTGTTCTCTCTGGTGATTGGGGAAGCACGAATGTTAGTCTGCAAAACATTTCACACGACTTTAACAAGATAAATGCTAATAAGGCAAATCTGCTATCTCAATACGTGCCAAAGCCACAACACTGGTCTTTTGATTACCAGAGGCGTAATGAAAGCGACTGGTGCATACAGCATTTCCTTTTATTTTTTATAAATATTATGTCAGGCAACATGCGCGATACAAGAGGTTGACAAGTTCACTTTCGGTTAAAACCCAACACGTGTGTGTTATAATTATAGATAACAATGTAGTTATAAACACCTTTACCATGTCGTTGCCATGGTTACCATTCGGTTGGTCTCCTTTAGGCTAGAATGCAGTACCGTTTGAAAATGGACTCGCCACCATTCCGGCAACCAATACGGAAACCATAAAGATAATTCTCGAGCTTCTTGAGAGCATCAATACCTGAGGCGTGACATCATTCCATATATGGTCAGGTGAAATAACTGATATTTGGAGGAACTCCTTTTGGTATCTGACGTAATGCCTACACTATTGGTTTGAAAGCATTAATTCTAAATAACTAGCTTTCTGTGTTGTGTGCTTTAAAGGCAAAAAAATCATCTTGAGTTCATCAGGGTCATGGACATGATTAAAAGAATAACTTTTTACATACGACACCAAACTGATAGCCAAGTACACGAGAAGTCTATGAGCCTTAATTGTCATATCCGAGTTCAAGACCTTGGTATTATCTTGTTTATTTCTAGAACTTGAATAGCAAACTGTAGTCAGTATGTTTTAGTTCTTACACCTCCAGAATTACCGAAGATAACAATATAGAACGTGAACCTTCTAACTTTCTGTAGACATTACCCTTTCCATCCATTCTACGCGATACCGAGAGCATCGCAATTAAATTAAAGAGCATGACCTGTACACATGCTGATCATTAAAAGAGAGATTAAAAACCAGTACTGATGCTTGAATTAAACAACATTGAACACCATGAAAAAAGCAGGTGCCATCGGTAGGTTACCGTTATGCGACCTCATAATCTGTTTGATGTAAATCAAAGGATCAAACTAGTCTTTGTAACCCCAAGAGTATCGAGGATGACCATAAAAGATATGCTTGTAGAACAAATAGGGGATATACTGATATAGCAAATAAGTGATATACTGATATAGCAAATAAGTGATATACTGATATAGCAAATAAGTGATATACTGATATAGCAAATAAGTGATATACTGATATAGCAAATAAGTGATATACTGATATAGCAAATAAGTGATATACTGATATAGCAAATAGGGGATATACTGATATAGCAAATAGGGGATATACTGATATAGCAAATAGGGGATATACTGATATAGCAAATAGGGGATATACTGATATAGCAAATAGGGGATATACTGATATAGCAAATAGGGGATATACTGATATAGCAAATAGGGGATATACCGATATAGCAAATAAGTGATATACTGATATAGCAAATAAGTGATATACTGATATAGCAAATAGGGGATATACTGATATAGCAAATAAGGGATATACTGATATAGCAAATAGGGGATATACCGATATAGCAAATAAGGGATATACTGATATACTGATATAGCAAATAGGGGATATACTGATATAGCTAGTGATATACTGATATAGCTAATACGTGATATACCGATATAGCAAATAAGGGATATACTGATATAGCAAATTGGGGATATACCGATATAGCTAATACGTGATATACTGATATAGCAAATAAGGGATATACTGATATAGCAAATTGGGGATATACTGATATAGCAAATAGGGGATATACTGATATAGCAAATAGGGGATATACCGATATAGCTAATACGTGATATACTGATATAGCAAATAAGGGATATACTGATATAGCAAATTGGGGATATACCGATATAGCAAATTGGGGATATACTGATATAGCAAATAGGGGATATACCGATATAGCAAATAGGGGATATACCGATATAGCAAATAGGGGATATACCGATATAGCAAATAGGGGATATACCGATATAGCAAATAGGGGATATACCGATATAGCAAATAGGGGATATACTGATATAGCAAATAGGGGATATACTGATATAGCAAATAGGGGATATACTGATATAGCAAATAGGGGATATACCGATATAGCTAATACGTGATATACTGATATAGCAAATAGGGGATATACTGATATAGCTAATACGTGATATACTGATATAGCAAATAGGGGATATACCGTGATATAGCAAATAGGGGATATACCGATATAGCAAATAAGGGATATACTGATATAGCAAATAGGGGATATACCGATATAGCAAATAGGGGATATACTGATATAGCAAATAGGGGATATACCGATATAGCAAATAGGGGATATACTGATATAGCAAATAGGGGATATACCGATATAGCAAATAGGGGATATACTGATATAGCAAATAGGGGATATACCGATATAGCTAATACGTGATATACTGATATAGCAAATAGGGGATATACTGATATAGCTAATACGTGATATACTGATATAGCAAATAGGGGATATACCGATATAGCAAATAGGGGATATACCGATATAGCTAATACGTGATATACTGATATAGCAAATAGGGGATATACTGATATAGCAAATAGGGGATATACCGACATAGCTAATACGTGATAGAATGATATAGCAAATAGGGGATATACTGATATAGCAAATAGGGGATATACCGACATAGCTAATACGTGATATACTGATATAGCAAACAGGGGATTTACTGATATAGCAAATTCTTTAGTATATTTCTCCAATAGGAATAACGGGATGAAGTCTGGTCGGAAGCAGTAAAGTCAGTCTAACAGAAATGATGGGTATGACCTCCTTCTGTTCAGATAGAGAGATTTTCACTAAATCTAGTCAAAACTTACCGTTGAGAATGGGGAACCAATTTCGTATAAATGGTGAATTTGACAACCTTAACCCGGACCTGTTGTGTAGGACTCTGTATGAGGAATCTTAACAGCCCTACAGCGCTGAGGGAGTCCAGAGTTTTTTATCAACATATTTCAAATTCGGTCTCCTGTTGCAATGAAGCGAATTTGACTAAATTTGGTTACGAATACCCTTGGTTGAAATAATTCAGTTTCACATGTACTGGCCACCTTGGGGACGACGAGAGGAACCCAAATGAGAAGTAAATGTTTGTGAAGGAACTTTGATCGATTTTGGTTTGAAGCTTTCACTTTCTTCTTTTGATAAATACTTGGCGATATAATTTCGATGTGAATGCCGAATATCCAGGTCTCTTGAAACCAAAAACAAAAAATTAACTGTTTCCAACCGGTTAAATTGAGTGTATATATGAATGATTTGGATGGGAATGCGTTTTCTGTGTTAGGGAGACCTTTAAGCCTGGTATCAATTGTACCTATTTATAGCTTTATAAATGTATTCAACATTTACCAAGAATTTTTTTCCTTGATAACACTATATAAACATAACACATATGTAGGATCTTACATAAGCTTTAATTCATACAAGTTTTATGTAACAAGTTTTAGGAAAGTTTTCTTTCGCAGGCATAAATTATAACAATTGTAAATTTGTTTATAGCTAAGATCGGCCAGTGTTATCGGCCTGGATTGAAGTTATTGAGGGCTCTCCCTGAGTATCTCCAGAGAAAACCCATGTGACTGGACAAGTGACCCCAAACCTGTTCATGTCCGATCTAGGAATTGAACCCTAATCACCATGGTGACACAGTGTTGCTGCCACTCCATGCTGTTACATAGAGTGTATGATCCTTCATTATCCATTCTGAAATCAGATTTGATGTAATTGCATGTCCTTGGTTCCGTCCACAGTGTATAATATTTCTATATCAGTACTGATTTGTTTTAACACTTCAAGTGATAGAATCCATAAACAACAAAAATCTTATCAACAACACAGCTTTTAAGAAACATCAGCTGTGACAGGGATCTGTAATAATGACTAGAAAATTAAGCTGTTTAGTCACCATCACCAATGATTGGGTCATTGATCATAACTTTCTTAATGTTTACAGTGGAGGACACACACACACCCACTTACCCACACTCCATCCAACACACACACCCAAACACATCCATGCTCCACCCAACACACACACCCTCACACATCACACCCACACATCACACACACACTATTGACTTAATTATGGCACAAACTCACAGATATCAAAACATTTACTGTTTATAGATATAAAAAAATAAGTCTAAAACAACCAACAGAAATAGAATATATAGATGTCCAGCTGCTGGTATCAAAACAGACGTCATTGTTTCAATCATCTTTCTATAATGGCAATTCAACAAATGTTTTTAACGAATATATATAAAAATATTTCCCTGTTCCAGTAACAAATAGTGTGCTTTGTCTCCACACATATCAGATTTAGCATCTGAGACCATGACACTTTCAGTTTTTCAAAACATGAATTCATGTAAAATATTTTTTGTCAGCGAAACAAATAAAAGTATAACAATGGAATCTATTCTGTTTAGTGTTATTTAGCTTTACAATGTATGTATACCCAGACATAAACTTTGTCAGACAAAAATCATCTTAGTTTTCTTCTAAGGTACCAAGCACCACCAATAAAAACCAAAAGTCCAATCATCCATCTGAATGCCTTATTAGGTTGCCTACTGTTTGGATCTGGAAGGGATTTTGCGTCTGGGCCATATACTGTGTCAAGGAGTTCTGAGGGCGACACTAACTGAGGGCGTAGATGGTATAGGACTTCATTAGCAGCTCGAAGTCCTGCCTGTACGGCCCCATTCATAAATCCACACCACACTGTGGCCGATTCTGTGCCAGCAAAGTGAATCCTACAAGAATAAGCAGTACACTGTAACACTGTCTCACACCTATATTACAATGACAATCCAGTGTTGTTAGTATTGTCATTTATTGTCATACAACTTCAAGAACTTGCTACTTGTTTAATTTTTAAGCCAAGAGAAAAAGCCATTTAAGATAACATTAACCTGGGGATAACAGTCAGCACAGCTTTAAATGTAATACTACAAAGCTGCAGTTCTATATTCAGACCTGCTGACTGGAATATGAAGTAAAACTCTTCTGATATTTTCTCTGTAATTCAAAAATAATTTCAGCCTCAAAAAAATCTTACCAGTGTAACAATAGTTCTCTCAGGAACATTTCATTACCATCAATGATATCTTGGGTTTATGTTGGTTTATTCATCAACATTTTTATGAAAGTTATAATTTCTTGTCACTAACATATGCTGGTAATGCCTGAGATGATATCCTTTCACCTTGACATGCACCACTGTATTACTATTGTAGTAAATATGTTCATAATTCTTTTTTCAATCACTAGTGTATAAGAAGATATGATTCGCTGATTTTTCTCAGTAGCCAAAAACTGATCCTGTAACTGGTCCTGTTGGACTGCCACATACATATATTTACAGAATTGATCTGATCAAGTTTAACAATTTTTTTATTTTTTATTTTTTTCATTTTTTTTGCAACAGAACGAAAGTAAAAAGTGGACTAAACATTAATGCTACTGTAAGATATGTTTTATTGATTTCAATGCAAAACTAACACTGGAGTAAGGTGTATATGAGAGTGTAGAAAAAATCATCAATCAAAAATGAGTTAATACTTCTAGGTAATATTATAAATTCAACTTGTGAAAGGTATGTCCAATTAGGTATGTTTTTTTGTGCTTACTTTAGAAAGGGATGTCGAAGCCCCTTGACAAGATATTCCATGGATCCTGGAGCCACAGAGCTGGTGGGTGCCCCCTCAATGTAGGGTTCCAGTCCCCAGTCCTTCTCTATATAGTCTACATATGACCAAACTTTGGGGCCAAAAAACTCTGATAGTGACTTCAGCACAGCAGACTTTCTGTCCAGAGCCTACAAAATAAATAAATCACAGGATGGAGCACATCAACAGTGAGATGTGATATGTTTCAGTGAAAGGCTTGTGTTAATCAATTGTAAAACTAAACAGGCTGATATTTTTCTCTAAGCATATAAGGACATTTTAGTGTGCCAACAAACAGATATCTTAACTTAATTAATGACATTTTAAATCTTTAACACTGAGTTTTGAACTAATTAACTGAAAGATTTGAATTCATTGATGGAGTGATCTGAACAGATCAATACAGTGACTTTTTTGTACCATTTTAAAAGCACTTGCTAATAAATTCATTCCATTTTGTTTAGTGATAAGCTACTTATTTTAACTAGGTCAACAATCTTGAAAAATTTTCATGAAGAATATTTGGAATGATAAGATAGTCCAAACAGAACAGTGATGTGGAGTTTACAGGATAATTCCTACTAGATAGTGTATTATTTGTATAATTGTCCTCATTTACTTAATACATGCAGAAACACTAATGTAAAGGAAAATAGACAAGATGTTGATTTTGATACTGAATATTTTACATGGATTTCAAATTCAAATGATAATACTTTAGAAAGTTGCTCCTAACAGGATATTAACTCTAAGAGAATTACCTTAATATTCCAATCCAGATCCCACACACATCTTAACTGTCATTAATATCCTTCAATACAACCTCTGGTAAGCTACCAATTCCACAGACTAAACTTTAGCAGACGAGGGGGCATAACTCGTACTTACATTAACCTGATAAATAACTTGTCCCTACTTACCTCCTGGCATCGCCACTGAACAGCTGCTTTTCCACCTATAAAGGCGAGAAGTGCTGGAGTTCCATTGTAGGATGTGTTATCATACACGATACAAAGAGGGCCTCGATCACATCCTGGCATACGTGTCGGACCACCATCGGTCACTACCTCTCCAGACTGACCAGCTGACCGCCAGAACACCTGTCACATATACTTAATCTTTCTATCTTTTCAAACATTTTAGCAGTTTCCTGCAGCATTTTCTTTTTACTTTTGCAAAATCAGACATACTAAAACTGAGATACAATACAGAGTAGAAAGTATGTTTCAATGGTAAATAGAAATTTATTTAGTGAACAAAAACATGTGTCTCCCCATATTAGCAAATATCTATATTTACTGCCTACAAGGCACGCTGGGGATTGCAAAATAAAACCTTAAGATATTTTATCATTCTTATTTACTTACTGGAAAAAAAATCATATTTTTTGGCATTTTACCTAGAAGTCATGGTGACAGTGACCTAACGACAGAGAACCGCGCTTCAGCTTAAGGTGATGCAAGCTTACTGCATTTTTTTAAGGTATAATCGATAGTTATAAGTCAGAGTTTGAACAAAGAATTATTAGAAGAACCAACAGAACCCTGCTACTAATATAATATGTCTCCCTTCAGTTGAAATAGAGACATAACAACAAAACATCCAGGCAACCTGAAGCTACATACACTGTAAATAACTGTTTGATGGTGTCAGCACAAAGATACTCAATATACCTCACCAGAAACATACAAGTCACTAGCGATAATCCCACCAAACAAATCTCTCTGTAAGCTAGGATTATAACTCTTAAACCTTTCTTTATCTCCAGAAATCACCTTACCTCTTTAAAAGTGATGATAACTTTAATTATGTCACCCATCACCATCCTCTTCATTATCTGCTGTTTTTCAGGCGGTAATGGAGGGGAGAATGTTATTTTCCCTAAATAAAAATGATCATAATAAACAATACACTGCCAATCCGATATGCTGCCCCTTTTTCTTGAGAGGACATGTTGTTTGTTGATACTAGTACAACATAAATATGTTCTTGTTGAAGAAGTTGAGGAAACAGTCTCTTTACTGACAAATGATATACATTAAAGACCAACCTTATCAATGTTGGATACAATAGCCATTTGTTTCTATATCTACAGTAAATCAATGTATATATCTCCATCACTTATATCAGCACATGTACAAACAACAAACACAGACCCAAACAACAAACACATGTACAAACTCATGTACAAACAGCAAGCACGTGTACAAACAACAAACACATGTACAAACAACAAACATTGACTCAAACAACAAACACATGAACAAACAACAAACACATGTACAAACAACAAACACATGTACAAATAACAAACACATGTACAAACAGCAAACACGTGTACAAACAACAAACACATGTACAAACAACAAACACTGACTCAAACAACAAACACATGTAAAAACAACAAACACATGTACAAATAACAAACACAGACTCAAACAAACACATGTACAAACAACAAACACATGTACAAACAACAAACACATATACAAACAACAAACACTGACTCAAACAAACAAACACATGTACAAACAACAAACACATGTACAAACAAACAAACACATGTACAAACAACAAACACTGACTCAAACAAACACATGTACAAACAACAAACACCGACTCAAACAAACACATGTACAAACAACAAACACAGACTCAAACAAAAAACAAGCACATGTACAAACAAACACTGACTCAAACAAACACATGTACAAACAAAAAACACCGACTCAAACAAACACATGTACAAACAACAAACACAGACTCAAACAAACAACAAACACATGTACAAACAACAAACACAGACTCAAACAAACAAACAAACACATATACAAACAACAAACACATGTACAAACAACAAACACTGACTCAAACAAACAAAAACATGTACAAACTACAAACACAAACTCAACAGTAAAAATACAGTCTTTCCTTGTCTTTTTTATTGCTTATTTTGACCAAAAATGGATATCACCCCAATGTTTTTCCCCACCAATTCTTATTTATTTCCTTATCCTAATTTAGTCAGAATATAAGCAAAATTTCATGTAAAGATGTTCATTTAAAAGGAGAAATTTAAGTAGAACAATTTCCAACATTTACTTCACAGTTCAAGACAACCATAACAGTCATGGTGAACTAAATTGTTTTTGTTAGTCTAAATAATTTCCCAATATTTTCTCATCTTTGTTGTAATTAGGTTTATTTGACATGTGCTGATCTGAACCGGTACAATCATTGATTGTCAAGCTTACAAGTAGAATACCAATGCAAAATACTTCTTTTATTTTCAGAAGTTACATCACCAAAGTATTGTACAGTAGGTCACTGGTTGGTCATTCACATTCTGTAACTTCATGATCACTCTTACAACTTTAATGATGGTGAGGTTTACATTGTGTAGCCAGGAAGATTACCTGTTAATTGTAGCGGTGTTGCTATGACAACAATGTGTTGGCATGAAGTTAACCTATTTACTATGTTGGTGTTGCTATGACAACAATGTTTTGGCATAAAGTTAACCTATGAACAGTGGCAATGTTGCTATCAAAACATTGTGGACCTTGAAGTTTACCAGTTTACTGTGTTAGTGTTGCTATTACAACACTGTGTAGTCATGAAGTTTACCTTTTTTGTGGTGGTGTTGCTATGACAACAATGTGTAGCCATGAAGTTTACCTGTTAACTGTGGAGGTGTCGCTATGACAACACGTTTTGCAGTCACACATGTTCCATTTTTACATGATATGTGTACACCATTGTCGTCCTGAAATAAACAATATTTTCATAACTGATTTATTATCAAGTCAACATAGGAAATAAAGAGTATGGAAGGGTGACACCTTGATATGTAAACAGGCCACAAAATAGTTCAAGTCACACACACACTGTTCATCGAATAACTGTATGAAAAATCCCAAACTCACACAGGTCTCTTTATAGCAATAGGAAGGACACAACCTGACACAGGTGACCAAATCACTATAGGAAGGACACAACCTTACACAGGTTACCAAATCAATATAGGAAGGACACAACCTTACACAGGTGACCAAATCACTATAGGAAGGACACAACCTTACACAGGTGACTAAATCACTATAGGAAGGACACAACCTTACACAGGTGACCAAATTACTATAGGAAGGACACAACCTTACAGAGGTTACCAAATCAATATAGGAAGGACACAACCTTACACAGGTGACCAAATCACTATAGGAAGGACACAACCTTACACAGGTGACCAAATCACTATAGGAAGGACACAACCTTACACAGGTGACCAAATCACTATAGGAAGGACACAACCTTACACAGGTTACCAAATCACTATAGGAAGGACATAACCTAACACAGGTGACCAAATCACTATAGGAAGGACACAACCTTACAGAGGTTACCAAATCAATATAGGAAGGACACAACCTTACACAGGTGACCAAATCACTATAGGAAGGACACAACCTTACACAGGTTACCAAATTACTATAGGAAGGACACAACCTTAGCCAGGTGACCAAATCACTATAGGAAGGACACAACCTTACACAGGTGACTAAATCACTATAGGAAGGACACAACCTTACACAGGTGACCAAATTACTATAGGAAGGACACAACCTTACAGAGGTTACCAAATCAATATAGGAAGGACACAACCTTACACAGGTGACCAAATCACTATAGGAAGGACACAACCTTACACAGGTGACCAAATCACTATAGGAAGGACACAACCTTACACAGGTGACCAAATCACTATAGGAAGGACACAACCTTACACAGGTTACCAAATCACTATAGGAAGGACATAACCTAACACAGGTGACCAAATCACTATAGAAAGGACACAACCTTACAGAGGTTACCAAATCAATATAGGAAGGACACAACCTTACACAGGTGACCAAATCACTATAGGAAGGACGACACAACCTTACACAGGTGACCAAATCACTATAGGAAGGACACAACCTTACACAGGTTACCAAATCACTATAGGAAGGACACAACCTTACACAGGTGACCAAGTCACTATAGGAAGGACACAACCTTACACAGGTGACCAAATCACTATAGGAAGGACACAACCTTACACAGGTGATCAAATTACTATAAGAGGGTCACAACCTTACCCAGGTTACCAAATCACTATAGGAAGGACACAACCTTACACAGGTGACCAAATCACTATAGGAAGGACACAACCTTACACAGGTGACCAAATCACTATAGGAAGGACACAACCTTACACAGGTGATCAAATTACTATAAGAGGGTCACAACCTTACCCAGGTTACCAAATCACTATAGGAAGGACACAGCCTTACACAGGTGATCAAATTACTATAAGAGGGTCACAACCTTACACAGGTTACCAAATCACTATAGGAAGGACACAACCTTACACAGGTGACCAAATCACTATAGAAAGGACACAACCTTACAGAGGTTACCAAATCAATATAGGAAGGACACAACCTTACACAGGTGACCAAATCACTATAGGAAGGACACAACCTTACACAGGTTACCAAATCACTATAGGAAGGACACAACCTGACACAGGTGACCAAATCACTATAGAAAGGACACAACCTTACAGAGGTTACCAAATCACTATAGGAAGGACACAACCTTACACAGGTGACCAAATCACTATAGGAAGGACACAACCTTATACAGGTGACCAAATTACTATAGGAAGGACACAACCTTACAGAGGTTACCATATCACTATAGGAAGGACACAACCTTACAGAGGTTACCATATCACTATAGGAAGGACACAACCTTACACAGGTGACCAAATCACTATAGGAAGGACACAACCTTATACAGGTGACCAAATCACTATAGGAAGGTCACAACCTTACACAGGTGACTTAATTACTATAGGAAGGACACAACCTTACACAGGTGAACAATTCACTATAGGAAGGACAAAACCTTACACAGGTGACCAAATCACTATAGGAAGGTCACAACATTACACAGGTGACCAAATTACTATAAGAGGTTCACAACCTTACACAGGTGAATAAATAACTAAATGTTCACAGATAACAGATCAGAAAATGCTAAACCTGTAATTTGGGTATGGAGGTCAGTAACATGGTTTACTACTTTGTGGTGAGATAAATACCTGTTTGATAGCATCAACAGGATGCTCTAGGAGTACGTTATCTTTTCCAACCTCGTCCACTAACAAATTGGATATCTGCTGTGAACCACCCTGAAAAGAAATAAAATATCGCATATACCTGAATTACACTGTTATGATATACAATATCATATATATACATAAATAATTTTAAACAATTTGTTCAATTTCTTCTATTAGGCCCTGCTCTTCCCCGCCTGGGGGCCAAGACCCATTGTGTACACAAAATTGATTTCCTATCAACCAACAATTCTCAGACCAAACAGGGACAAATTCCTGTCATTCATTCAGAAGAAAGAGGATTTTAAAGAATTTCCCTTACTAGGACCTGCCCCTCCTGCCTTTAGGGGCTGAGACCCACCATTTATACCTAATTGATTCCCGTTCACACAAGGTTGCTCCAAACCAATTTTGGACTAATCCTACCATTCCCACTATGGAAGAAAATTCTGAACAACTTTCCCACATTGGACAGCTTCCTTCTTGTTCCAGTGGAATCAGAGAGCCATTTATCCAAAACTGATACCCCTTCACTCAAATATGCTTTCGACCAAATTGGACAGAGTCCAGGAGACCATACAGAAGAAGGATTTTAAGGAGTTTGCCCTATTTTCCCCTATTGGGCCCTTCCCTTCATGTCCAAGAGGGCTAAGACTCAACGTTTATAAAAAGGCAATTCCTTGTACACTAGGATGCTTCGTACCTAATAAGGACAAAATCCACACTTTCCTACAGAAGAAGGATTTTAAGAATTTGTTTTGTTACCTGAATTGGACCCCTTCCCTATGGCAGAGACCAATCGCTTATACAAATTGATTCCTCTTCATACAACAATGCTTTGGACAAATTGGGATAGACTCCACGCATTCTTACAAAGAAGTAAGATTTCGAAGAATATGCTCTAATTCCCCCATCAGAACCATGCCCCTTTGCCATTTTGTATGCAAATTCACCAAAGAATGTTTCTGACCAAATTGGAACAGAATCCTGACATTCCTACAGATGAATTTTTTCTAAAGATTTTGGTCCATTTTCCCTGATAGGCAGCCAAGACCTATTGTTTATAACAAATGGAGTCCCCTATATCCATGTATGCCACATATTGAATTGGGGCAGAATCTATATCCACTATTGGGGCCTGCCTCTCTTGCTAATGGGGGCTGAGACTCACCATTCATAACATTTATAAAACAACTGATTCTCTTACACACTGTTTTATACCTAATAAGGACAAAATCCACACCATCCACACAAGGGGAGGGAAAGGGGGTGGAAAGTAGCATGAGCCAGGAATTAGTGACCCCCTCATATATGTATAATTGAGTTACACAGCCAAAAACCAGCCTGATGAGGAAGACACATTAACACATATATAAACTTGCTCTATTCATATTAACATTGGCAATAGGGCAACTATACAAAAAGAAAGGAAGGGGAAAAATTCCTTTCAGTACTTCTATATAACAAGTAAGAAATGATAACTGTCAAAATTCAAAATCGAAGATGGCCACTTACTGGCCATTACATTTCTGTGATCATTTCCAAATTTTACAACACTCAATTAAGAACAAAAGTGACCTAAAGATGAAATCTGAGAATGATCCCACCAGTAGTTCTGACCCCACCAGTAGTTCTCAAGAAATAGTAACAACAAGAAGGCTTTAAGGACAAACTATGGATAACAGACCACGGATGCTGGGCAGTTGGAATCTGAAGATCGTAGTCTAAAGATATGTCAGTACATGGTTTAAAATGATACTGAAAACTAATCACTGCCTTTATTACTGCCAGTTTCTATAACTGCTGGGTTTTACATTCTGTACATTAAAATGTCTAGTTTTAGAGGCTTTACTCCTGCTTAACTAAACACAGTGAAATTTTCATTATCACCACTCAGTGACCTTAAGATAACAGCTGACGAATTCACCTGTGTGTATGTAAGTCCTAAACAGGTACCTTATCATTAGTAATAACAACAGTGACACAATCCCGGTCTGGTGAGGTCTATATTGTATAAGTTCCCTTGACCAGGTTTATCTCCATATGCACATTTTATCTATATGTTAATGTGTTAATTTCAGATAACAAACAGATGACAGTGATGGTCAAGATCACACCTGTCCTAACTCAGACATGGTTAGGCTGAAGGCTTAGTCTGGACAGTGATCTCACACAGCATGTGAGCTCATTGTATACATGTTTTCTAATTCATCCTTATAAAGTATTTTTGAGTGCTTGGTAATATATAGACTCCTGTCTAGAGCTTCCTAATGACACCACTAAGAGTTTGATAACCTTAGAGGTAGAAACATTATATAGGTGACTCACAAAGATCACAAGACAGCTCTCTAATGACACCACTAAGAGCTTGATAACCTTAGAGGTAGAAACATTATATAGGTGACTTACAATGATCTTAAGACAGCTCTCTAATGACACTGCTAAGGGTTTGATGACATTAGAAGTAGAAACATTATATAGGTGACTTACAATGATCTTAAGACAGCTCTCTAATGACACTGCTAAGGGTTTGATGACATTAGAAGTAGAAACATTATATAGGTGACTTACAATGATCTTAAGACAGCTCTCTAATGACACTGCTAAGGGTTTGATGACATTAGAAGTAGAAACATTATATAGGTGACTTACAATGATCTTAAGACAGCTCTCTAATGACACTGCTAAGGGTTTGATGACCTTAGCTGTAGAAACATTATATAGGTGACTTACAATGATCTTAAGACAGCTCTCCAATGACACTGCTAAGGGTTTGATGACATTAGAAGTAGAAACATTATATAGGTGACTTACAATGATCTTAGACTCCTGTCCAGTGCCCTCTGATGACTCTATTAAGGGCTGAATGCCCCCAGCCGCAGACACATACATGACGTAGAAAAGTACAGAGACTTGAGACGCCTCCACTCCCAAAACTGTGCGGTTCGCAGCATCGATGCATTCCATCGCACCTGAAATATAAGGTTTTACTTTCCTGTTGACTACCACCTTCATGACATCATTTTCTATCACATTGAAAATCACCACATCCTTATCCAAAACAGCCTGAAGTTACACAGCATTTACAAAACTTTGAAGTTCCTTCATATAGCAAGACACAGCCTGAAGTTACACAGCATTTACAAAACTTTGAAGTTCCTTCATATAGCAAGACATAGCCTGAAATCGCCCAGCATTTACAAAACTTTAAAAGTTCCTTCATATAGCAAGACATAGCCTGAAATCGCCCAGCATTTACAGATTTTAAAAAGTCCCTTCATATAGCAAAACACAACCTGAAATCACCCAGCATTGAAATTTCAAGACTTAATAATGCACAGTTACACAGAAAAATCAACTTCAATGTTTCACACATTGCACAAAGGGCCATAATACTATTTCAAGGTTAGCCACACAATTTTTGTATGTGATGATCTGCTCTTCCCTAATATAGCAGTACACTTAGACAAGAGTTTCAATGAAACTGATGAATTCTCCCTGAAAACGACTGTACTGGACACAAAGTATTAACAAAGAACAATGATCTTTAATTAAGGGATTGCAAGCCCTGAACTTAGTATACTGCACATTCTCTTAGTATGACCAGTGTATATATAAAAAGTTTCATCATCCTAGTTTTTATGCAAGTAAATCTATGCTCATGCGAAAAATAATTAACAAAAGGGCAATAACTCTGTAAATGAGGGGTTGAAGACCCTGAACTTGGTACACAGCACATAGTATAGTCAGTGTATACACCAAGTTTCAGGATTCTGGTTTAAATGCAAATAATGTTATGCTCTGGACAAGATATTTTTAACAAAGGGCAATAACTCTGTACTTAAGAGGTTGCAGGCCCCGAATTTGATACACTGCACATCATCTTAGTGTGAACAATGTATAACCCAGGTTTCATGATCCTTATTTTACTGCTGGCAAAGTTATGCTTCGGACACAAAAGGACAGACAGATGGACGGATGAACTGACAAGGTGGTGACTATATGCCCCCCCAAAAAAATATCTACGAGTGTTATAATCTACCTTATTTGTCAACATCTGTAATGTTGCTCTGACCTGTACTACACGTTATTCCTAACAACCCTTCCTTTATTTGTGGGCACTGATTTTCTAAACCCAACATTCATTCTGAAACTTTTAAGTGCATTGACAAAGGTGCTTAAATAAGCAAAAATTGTTGTATGATTTATACAGTAACCTAGTGTCACTGATGGTGAGTATGACAGGAGTACTCACCCTTAGTCCACATGTACTTCCTCATAAAGCTGTCCAGTGACATACCATCAAGCTCCGCAGCCCATTTCTTATGTTGACAATTGTATGGATCTCTGGCATCCACCTTCTTCCTCAGTTTCTCTACCTTCAACACAGATCAACATTTAAAATAAACTTATGACATGCAACAAGGTCTGGATATTTTTACTGATCAATACAAAACATACTTCATTAACAAGTCCTCTATTTGATCGCAAATTACTCAGTAACTCAAATGTAAAGCACCTGGATTAATAAAATCTAATTTATTTATATCAGTCCACTGAGAGAAATTGATTTTAAACATATGCAGGTACTGTATTATTTTTTGTACATTATTGTGTCAAAATTGCATGAAATTTTCTTGAGTAGTTTATTTCTAATTTTAGATTACCTCCATTTTCTTTTATACACCAGAAAATTGCTTATGACTTCACTTAAATGTGATGTCACTTAGCACCAAAACTTCACGTAATTGTGATGTCACTTAGCACCAAAACTTCACGTAATTGTGATGTCACTTAGCGCCAAAACTTCACGTAATTGTGATGTCACTTAGCACAAACAAATCAGATGAAATAGAAAAATCTAGTACTGCATAGGGTATGCGATTTCCCTGTCTCGTGTACAAGAAAACAATTTCTAAGACATCTTTAAACAGACAATAAAAACCTGCTTCAGATAATAAGGTGGATAGAGCCTTTTGTATAGTTAATCCTTACACGGTTGATCATACGCTGTAGATCAATCAGAGCCAGTCCAGACAGCGATGGTATGTTGGAGGTGTAACTGGTCACAGCATCTCCTCCTAGCTGCATAAACTTCCTTCCCTGTATGTACTGAGGGTAGGTTTTCAGACCCAGCTCATTCAACAGTTTGGTTATGTGAGGTTGACACCTGTGTCAAAAGGAACATGAGTGGAGCACTACAATCCGTACAAAAATCCCTTGAAAAGTTTTGATATTGGTGTACAATGTGTTAAAAATAACGTAATGGATTTTATCTATTAAAGAAATTTAGCATTCTTCAAACAATCATTTAAAAATGACCCATCATATCTGACAGCACGCACATTTCCAAAGTCTATATCCATAGATTAATGAATTATATTTATGATTTGAATAAATATTTTACCAGCAGAACAAATACTGCTTTAACATTTGTGCATATAACAGTTACATGAATGGACTTAATATCTTTCATATGTTGAAGTATCTTCTACACCATGTACCTGTAATATTATCTTCTATACCATGTACCTGTACTATTATCACCCATTATCTTCTACACCATGTACCTGTACTATTATCACCCATTATCTTCTACACCATGTACCTGTACTATTATCACCCATTATCTTCTACACCATGTACCTGTACTATTATCACCCATTATCTTCTACACCATGTACCTGTACTATTATCACCCATTATCTTCTACACCATGTACCTGTACTATTATCTTCTACACCATGTACCTGTACTATTATCTTCTACACCATGTACCTGTACTATTATCTTCTACACCATGTACCTGTACTATTATCACCCATTATCTTCTACACCATGTACCTGTACTATTATCACCCATTATCTTCTACACCATGTACCTGTACTATTATCACCCATTATCTTCTACACCATGTACCTGTACTATTATCACCCATTATCTTCTACACCATGTTGTACTATTATCACCCATTATCTTTACACCATGTACCTGTACTATATACCATGTACCTGTACTATTATCACCCATTATTACCTGTACTATTATCACCCATTATCTTACCTGCCAACACCATGTACCTGTCCATTATCTTCTATGTATCACCCATTATCTTCTACACCATGTACCTGTACTATTATCACCCATTATCTTCTACACCATGTACCTGTACTATTATCTGTCCACCCATTGTTTCCTATGTTATATACATGTACTATTAACTTACCTGCCAACCCACTGTCCTCCTAGATCCCATGTTTCTTTACCAACTCCATTGTCAACTTCAACTGTGAAAGTCCTTCCTCCAACCCGATCTGTGCAAAGATAATCCACAGCATCATTGAACTTCCTTCATTAATTTTTGACAATATTTATGCATCCTGTAACTTTAACCATTTTGATACTGGGGTAGTAAATATTGTATTTCCAATAGCCACTCCAGTTTATTCTACAATAGTTCCACATGACCTGGCTTATGGGGTGGACTTATTACAGGACAATAAAATAGTATTAATTACACAGTGGTCGGATTGTTGCCTCAGTACTCTTTTTATTAGTTACCTTTGGCTTCCAAGACCAGAACTCTGAGGCCGGGATCTTTTCTATGTATGTGATAAGCTGCAGTCAGTCCAGAGAGGCCACCTCCTACCACCACAACGTCCACCTCTTGACCACTCAAATGCTGTGCCATATCAGGAAATCGGTTATCGTCACCTTGTCCAGCGCTAGCTGCAGTGACAACGATACAATTTTGCTATAAGTCTATCTTGTTGTCTCTTTAGACCCGGTATAAAGTCCACACCTAGCATTAATTTTGCACTAGTAGGCCTAGTTTCATATTGGGTATAACATCACAGTAACAATCGTTGCGGTGATCAGGACAATGGTTTGGCATTACGTGATAGGAATCGGTGCCATTATTTCTGCTTTGTGTCTCTGGTACTATGACTGGAAACAAAAATGTGAAAAAAGAAACGGTTTACAACAATTGACACTTTACGTCTATCCGAACTACAGATCTATGCGCTGCGTTTGGTTAGCTACAGGTAAGTTTCCGGTGATGGGCGAGAAATATATATACAATGTAAAGGTCCTACTGTGTTGAACATGCGATCATAAACCTAAAGTTGTAGGGTTTCAATACTTGTGCACTCAACTTCTACAGTATTGTACAGAACACACATACACATGAATAGCATCTTTTAATCATTTAGAGTTAGATACAGTAGAGCCAAACAATTAATTAAACTGCAGCTGTTTCGTAGGACAATCTGTAGCAGAGACATATATAACACATATATACGTCTCTGTCTGTAGTAAGTTCCATCAGCTTACTGATAGTAACCCACTTATACTTCATCGAATACTTAAAACACGGACATAGATATATCAAAGTCCGTGCTTTACGTGAAGTCGTTGACCGAGAATGAGGCCTGATAGAATGCTGAACGTAGAGGTTAACAAAACTAAATATCACAAAGAACTATTTTATACTTAAGTAATGCGTCGATAAGAAAAAGAACAAATGATGTGTATAAGTAGGTACATGGTCACACCGCAACATTTTAAATGTGGTCTTAAATATAACAACGTCTTCGGTAATTTTGTTTATGACGTCACTGCCATCTTCATGCAAGATCTTATGATAAGGTATACCAGCTGGTTATCAAATCGGTACGTGCTAGTTTAGATAATGTACGTTAAGGTGATAGAATTATAAGCGAGTTGGTTCTATTCCATGTTTTTAGTCTGGCGACCCTTTCGTCCCGATTGATAGCCCATCGCTTCGTCTGTCAACTGTTAGACTTTGCCATGTGAAAATTTTTTTGCTTCTTGGCTGTGAATGGACAACTTTCCCTTACACGGGATGACTATATGCTGTAATCCCCCTCCTTCCCCTGCCCCCCCCCACCCCCCCGCCTTATTTTCTTTTTTGTTCTCCTCTAGGTCTCTACCCTTTTGAGTATCCAATCAGGATATGTCTATTTGTTATCGTCTCACGCATAAACGTATATAGTGATACTTTATTTGTTCAAACTCTGTTCCTACCTGTGCCAAAGTGCCGAATTAAAAGCGGTAGCTATGTTACCTCACAAACCTTGAATCGTTATGCTTTCCTCGCGAGAGGTCACAGAAGGAAAATAAGACTTCATGTCAACTAACAGACCCTGTCAATGTGGATAATATAAATACAAAAATCAAATTGTCAAAAGTTTAGAGGTTAAATCTCATACACTGATATCACAGTCGGCGCATTTAGGTTTAATAATTGTTGATTGTGGTCGACTCGCGTGAGTTATTGCCCCTGTTTTTTCTTTTTCTTCTCTTCCCTTCTCCTTTCTCTTCCAACATCTTACATATTATATATCTATTGTTTTAGTAATTTCCATGTTTTTATATAGTGTATATAGATGCGTTCAATCAATATTTCAAAAATGAAACAAAATTGGTTTCAATTCAAATCTAAATTTGATGCAAATCTATGATCATACGGAGTTATTTTATCCAATGCCTGGCAAACGATTTTTCATGATTTTCTTATTCAAATTTTTTTTCTAAGCCAGTTAAACTTCGCTATCATATTTTGGCATTACCTTGGATCTCATAACTCGTAACTAATCACTTTTTGCCTAATTCAATTTTTGTAAGGTAGAGATTCTGTTATCTTTTAGAGCTCGGAATAAAGAGCGATATCAGAATTATACAAATGGACCCCAGTGACTCTGATAAAGGGAAATGCGAGTCATACAGAAGTACGGTGCACCCTCACTGTACTATTCCTGCCCTGGTGCTAGAGGACGAGAAGACCATTATTGAGTCCGGGGCTATTTGCCTGTATTTGGCGGATCTCCACAAACGTTTTAGCCCTGGGGCACAGTGGACGGCTGAATACTACAAGTATGTTTAGCTCCATTTTTTTTACTTTAAATTTTGTAACCGAGAGGTATTCCGGGCAATTTTACATGTATCTACATCTTTTAAGTCAAAGTTTAAACTTTTGACAATATCCTTTAAATATTAAGCAATATGAAGTTAAGAACTTGTAAGCAGAGCAAACCTTTTATAGATCGAATTAAGATTATTAAAGTTGACGTTAGGGCCTACAAATATACCCATAGGTATAAGTAAAGGATGTTTCCTCCTTGGCTTCAGCTTCTTTAGACAGGAACATCAGATAGACATATCGCCTAAAAACAACAGAACCTATATAACCGTGAAGTTAAACGTCATCAGAGCTTCACATCAACTTCAGATATCTCTAGCATTATTTATATTGTATCATCTGAAACCATTGTATAATTCCTACAGCTGGGTAGTGTACGCCTGCAGCACACTGGACGACATGATGGAACATATCTTCGTGCAGTGGTGTTTAACACATCCTGAAAATCAGGATGAAAACCTTGTGAAACGAATGGCATACAAATTCCGGGACTTTGCTAATTACTTCAACAAGTACATGGAAGGGAAATCCTACATTTGTGGAGACACGTAAGTATAGATCTGGAACAAGTCAGCAGAGATCCGGAACAAGTTAGTGTAGATCCGGCACAAGTTGGTTTATATCTGGAACATGTTAGTATAGATCCGGAACAAGTCAGTGCAGATCCGGTACAAGTTGGTATAGATCTGGAACAAGTCAGCAGAGATCCGGAACAAGTTAGTAGTGTAGATCCGGAACAAGTTGGTTTATATCTGGAACATGTTAGTATAGATCCGGAACAAGTCAGTGCAGATCCGGTACAAGTTGGTATAGATCTGGAACAAGTCAGCAGAGATCCGGAACAAGTTAGTGTAGATCCGGCACAAGTTGGTTTATATCTGGAACATGTTAGTATAGATCCGGAACAAGTCAGTGCAGATCCGGTACAAGTTGGTATAGATCTGGAACAAGTCAGCAGAGATCCGGAACAAGTTAGTAGTGTAGATCCGGAACAAGTTGGTTTATATCTGGAACATGTTAGTATAGATCCGGAACAAGTCAGTGCAGATCCGGTACAAGTTGGTATAGATCTGGAACAAGTCAGCAGAGATCCGGAACAAGTTAGTGTAGATCCGGAACAAGTTGGTATAGATCTGGAACAAGTCAGCAGAGATCCGGAACAAGTTGGTATATATCCGGAACAAGTTAGTGTAAATAAAAAACAAGTAAGTGTAGATCCGGGTCAAGTTAGTTAAGGTCCACAACAAGTTAGTAAAGGTCAAAACAAGTTATTTTAGACCGGAACAAGTAATTGTAGACGAGGACAAGTTAGTATAGATCAGGAACATGGTGCACACTCAAAACAAGTTAGTGTTAATCAAGAACAAGTTAGTGTAGATCCGGAACGAGTTAGTGTAGATCCGGAACGAGTAAGTGTAGATCCGGAACGAGTTAGTGTAGATCCGGAACGAGTTAGTGTAGATCCGGAACGAGTGAGTGTAGATCCGGAACAGATAATATGTTATGATATTATTTCTTTTATAAAAAAAAAACAAAACAAATCATCAGTAAGTAAACAGAAATCAATAAAAAATGAAGGAACCAAGAACATTTTACTGAACGATTGGAAATACCTCCAACTGACCAAAGAAAATAAGGGCTGTTATACATTACATATTTACCGTACTTAACCTACCTGACGTCACTAAGGACAGGTATACATTACATGTTTACTGTACTTCACATACCTGACGTCACTAAGGACAGGTATACATAACAGATTTACCATTCTTAACCTACCTGACATCACTAAGGACAGGTATACAATACAGATTTACCGTACTTTACCTACCTGACGTCATTGAGGACAGATATACATAACAGATTTACCATAATTTACCTACCTGACGTCACTAAGGACAGGTATACATAACAGATTTACCATAATTTACCTACCTGACGTCACTAAGGACAGGTATACATAACAGATTTACCATACTTCACTTACCTGACGTCACTAAGGACAGGTATACATAACAGATTTATCATAATTTACCTACCTGACGTCACTAATGACAGGTATACATAACAGATTTACCATACTTCACTTACCTGACGTCACTAAGGACAAGTATACATAACAGATTTACCGTACTTTACCTACCTGACATCATTGAGGACAGGTATACATAACAGATTTACCATAATTTACCTACCTGACGTCACTAAGGACAGGTATACATAACAAATGTACCATACTTCACTTACCTGACGTCACTAAGGACAGGTATACATAACAGATTTACCATACTTAACCTACCTGACATCACTAAGGACAGGTATACAATACAGATTTACCGTACTTTACCTACCTGACGTCATTGAGGACAGGTATACATAACAGATTTATCATAATTTACCTACCTGACGTCACTAAGGACAGGTATACATAACAGATTTACCATACTTCACTTACCTGACGTCACTAAGGACAGGTACACATTACAGATTTATCATAATTTACCTACCAGACGTCACTAAGGACAGGTATACACTTGACATCACAACAGATATTGTTAATATATGAACAATAATGACAGTAGATGATTGTCTGTTCTAGATTTACCGCTGCAGATTGTGTCATAGGGTACAACATTTGGTGGGCATCAACAATGAAAGAGGGCTGTCTTATTAACGACCACCCTGAAATCGTCCGCTACCTCGGCACGTTACAGCGCAGAGACGCCTTTCAACAGACATTTCTCTCATAAGGACAGTCATAGGATGTTCTAAAACTATGGGAGAGAGAGAGAGAGAGAGAGAGGATGGATTGGTTTAGGTAATAGTTACATGGTAAATTTAACATTCCTGGCGACGGCCTGTTAATCAGCATTGTTTAGACGAACTTGATTTTACTAAATACTTGACTTGAACCTGTAGCATATATTGTCATTTTATTTCACTGTTTTTTTTATAACATTGATAAAACAAGAAAGGTCAAGCAGTTATGTCATGTTCGTTTTTACTTGACACATACACAGAAATGTCATGTCCTTTTCTACTTTATAACCACTCAGTACTGACTTCTTTTTGTCATGCCCTTATTGTCTTAAAACCTGTCCATAAGGGTCATGTCCTGTCCTCTACTTGAAACCTATCCTGAATTTTCATGTGCTCTTTTGGTCATCTAACTCAAACAAAATTTCGTTTAAAACATCAACAGGGGTGGGCAATCATTTTTCTTCAGTTCAAAAAGCTGATTCAACTCCTGGGGAAATTTATGATATAAAGCTGAAATCTTGCTTAAAATTCTTCTCTTCCCTTCGTATGACAGATCACCTGAAGGAGGAGGAGACAATGATTTCTGAAATAAAGTATTTAGCCGACAGATGACCGTTAAGGCTCTTGGGCCTCTTATTGAGTTAAACACTTGCCAGAGTCTCGTGTCCTTTCTGACTTAAAACCTGCCCACCATTGCCATCCTCTCTTTGACTGGAAGACTATCTACGATTGTCATGTCCTTTTTGATTGGAAGCCTCTCCACGATTGCCAAGTCCTTTTCGACTGTAAGCCTCTCCACGATTGCCAAGTCCTTTTCGACTGTAAGCCTCTCCACGATTGCCAAGTCCTTTTTGACTGTAAGCCTCTCCACGATTGCCAAGTCCTTTTCGACTGTAAGCCTCTCCACGATTGCCAAGTCCTCTCCACGATTGCCAAGTCCTCTTTGACTGGAAGCCCATCTACGATTGCCATATCCTCTTTTACTGGAAACCTGTCCCCGATTGCCAAGTCCTCTTTGAATGGAACTATTCCCGATTGCAAAGTCCTCTTTGACTAGATCTATCCCCGATTGCCAAATCCTCTTTTACTGGAAGCCTAACTACGATTGCCATGTCCTTATTGACTGGAAGCATATCCAGATATCCCATGTCGTTTTAGACTGTGCCTGGTCTTTTTTTAGTCGGAGCCCTCCAGAAGCGTAATTAAATGTTCCCCATTTGTGTGTTAATTAGCTATTTTATATTGTGTGTGTTACATTTAAATATAATACGTGACGGAGTTTGGAAATGTTCCACTTTTGTTTGTCAATATTTAAGCTGTTCTGTATGATGAGTGTTACATCTGTCTTTAGTACACTCCTTAGTTGTAAAATGTTCAACTTTTATTTGTCAATACATGTATTTAAGGTTTTATTGTATGATGAGTGTTACATCTGTCTTTAGTACACGGCTAAGTTGTAAAATGATCCACTTTGTCAATATTTAAGCAATTCTGTATGGTGAGTTTTACATCTGTCTTTAGTACATGGCTAAGTTGTAAAATGATCCACTTTGTCAATATTTAAGCAATTCTGTATGGTGAGTTTTACATCTGTCTTTAGTACATGGCTAAGTTGTAAAATGATCCACTTTGTCAATATTTAAGCTATTCTGTATGGTGAGTTTTACATTTGGTTTTAGTACATGGCTAAGTTGTAAAATGACCTACTTTTGTGCGCTAATTAGCTGTTCTGTGTGATATTTTTGAAGCAACTCATTCTCCACTTCTGACATGTTGTTTCATATTCCTATAATGCACGGGATGTTTGTTGAACGTTCCCTATGGCCACGAGGCCTCGCGGTCAATCAAGAAATTAGAGATTATAATTGTATGCTTTTTGTGAAAATCTACTATATGCATACTTCCATTTTTGCATGTAAATATGGATTTGATTAAATCGTTCCACGTTTGTTACGTATCTGGTCGTTCTGTATTGTTTAGTTTAAACATATTTTATTGACAATGACATTGACAATAGGATTAGTCAGTAAGTTTTACCAACTTATGAATGACTTCTCCTACAACATACACATAAACATTTACATAAATATGATCACGTGGTGACATGAAACTATTATAATAGTCATTTTTATGTAAAATGTATAAGTGGACAAAAAATAAAGAAAGAGACAGAGAGATAAGAACAGGGTATGGCATAGGGAAAGAGAAATAGAAAGAGGGATGTAGAATGGGAGAGAGAGAAGGAGAAAAAAAAGGGGGGAGAGAGGAGAGAGAATTTAAGTGAATTTCCTGACCTTCCTAGGAATGTTTGGACCGATTTGGCCATTTTAAGGTTATCATCCACAGAGATATTAGAGTCACCATTGCAAAGAATATTTACATTAACAATACCGTCATACCATATTAATTCTTGGTATAGTGCTCTACGTTGATCAGCATATAAAGGACAATTAAAAAAAAGATGATAAGAATCTTCACACGGGTGCCCACATTGACACTCTGGTGAATTTACAAGATTAGCCCTAAAAAGATCATAATTGAGTGGACTTGCACGGTTTCGGAGACGACAATGGATGATATTTAATTTTCTGGAGCCATAACTAATAAATTGCTTGTGGAGAGTACTATTCACAGACATAGATTTTTTAAGATTTAGCTTGAAGGAATTTAAAGTGGGTGAATTTCTAATATCATTGTTCAGGTTGTTCCAAAGATTAGTTGCAGAAGGAAAAAAAGAATTATGAGATATTTGTAAACGGAATTGTTGATCTCTCATTAAATGGGCTCGTCTTAAATTATAGGGGACTAAGTTACCAACAATATCAGGTAATAAATCAATAAGGAAATCAGGTACCAAGTTGTTAACTCTCGAGTAAAAGAGGGAGAGCTTCCTGGCTTCTCTTCTTTTTGAAAGAGGTAACCATCCTGTTTCTCTATATAGAAAATCTATTTTTGTGTAAATAGGTAAACCTGTGACTATTCTGGCAGCTTCTAATTGGATTTTTTCTAATGACAGGGAATTTGTTTCACTACAGTTGCCCCATACCTCACATGCATATTCAAGAAGTGGTCGGATATAAGTTAAGAATAATTTCTCTAAATTATGTCTATTCAATATGAGTTTTAATTTACGTAGGGTTGCAATATATTTTGAGATTTTACTAACAATATAATCTACATGTAGGTTCCATTTACCGTCGTTAGAAATAATAACAACACCTAAGTGTTTATGCTGATTGGTGATTTTGATAGGTATGTTGTCGAAAATGAAAGAGGGGACAAAAGGAAGTTGAAGATTTGAAATGATAAGGGCTTCGGTTTTTATGGGATTGAAGGACATCAGCCAATCTTTAGACCAAGTTTCAAGTTTTCGGAGATCAGATCTTGCTGCGGATTCAATTTGATTTAAATTACTAGAGGAATAAGAGAGGGATGTATCATCAGCGAAAAGTCTAGACAGGGAGATAAGTTCGCAAGAAATATCATTTATGTACATTAAGAAGAAGAGTGGCCCAAGGACTGAACCTTGGGGTACACCGGCATTTATAGGTTTGTATGAAGAAAGTGCATCTTTTATAAAAACTGCCTGTTTTCTTTCATAGAGATAGTTACGTATCCAGAGAAGAAGTTTTCCACAAATGCCATATTTCTCTAGTTTGTGTAGAAGACCTTTATGCCACACTCGGTCAAAGGCCTTCGAGAAATCACAAAAAATCAAAACAGTATGCTCATATTTTTCCAAAGAAGTAATTATTGAGTGATATAATTCAATGAGTTGATGGGTTGTAGAATGGTTGGGTAAGAAACCTGATTGGTACTTATAGATAAGATCATTTTGTACTAAATGATTGTATATGTGTTTATAAACAACACGCTCAAATAGCTTACCCAAACAACTTAACAATGAAATAGGCCTATAGTTTGAAACAATACTTGGATCATTAGCTTTAAATACGGGCATAACATGGGCAATTTTCCAGCCATTTGGATATATACCAGATGATAAGGAATAATTGAAAATGATAGATAATGGTACAGAAATTTCAGTAGATAGTAACTTTAGCATTTTGTGACTAATACCGTCGGGTCCTGATGCTTTGTTTGTATCAAGTATATTGACGATGTCTTCAATTTCTTTAGGTAGTAATATTATTTCATTTAAGACTGAATCAGTTCGCCTCTCAAAAAAGGGTAAAGCTTTATCAAGGTCAGTTTCTAATAATGTACAAACAGAACTGAAATAATTATTCAATAATTCACATTTACTGTTGTTATCATATATAATTTCATTAGTATTATTGTCTAAAAGTGGGGATATGTCAGTATGTTTACTAACTTTTAAAATATTGCGAAGAAGTTTCCAATATGCCTTAGGGTTGTTTTTGCTATTATCAATAGTTGAATCTATATTTTCATAAAAAAATTCTTTAGCTCGTTTAACCATGTTGTTATAATTATATAGTTATAATTGTATGCTTTTTGTGAAAATCTACTATATGCATACTTCCATTTTTGCATGTAAATATGGATTTGATTAAATCGTTCCACGTTTGTTACGTATCTGGTCGTTCTGTATTGTTGTCTGTTAATGGATCCTGTATTACGTCATCGATTATCAGAAAACACCACACAAAACCATTATCTACATATTTCTCCTTATAAAGCTAGGTCATAGTCTCAAAATAAACACTACGGTACGTCAAAGTGCATTCCTCAAAATTTCTTCCGTGTAATAGTGATATTCGGATCAACCCCTGGAATGGATAACCTATTGTAATTTATGGTCCTTTACAGATGTTTGAAGTTTAAAGAAAATCCCTAAAGAAATGAGCCTTTGAATCGCTGACAATAATTTTCTAAAAATAGTAACACTGACCTTGACATAAGTTACTTCTTAACCTCAAACTTTGTCTAGATGTTATAGTCATTTAGATTTGTGAATTTTGGTGAAAATCCTTCGGGGGAATAAAGGTGCTGGAGTGCTGACAAGGACAAGTTAACACGACGCTACCAAAATTGGAACACATTTTGAAGAAATGTGTAAAAATATTCTATCGAATGGTTGAATCCTATATATTTTCTTGTTATTTCACATGAAGATTCCTTCAACTTTCATTTCATGCTTTAGTAACATGTCAGTAGTGCACGTGTCTATAAGATAGGACGCGGCAAGACATGCCAGGTTCACCAATGTATTTCAACAGGTATAGAGGTACCCCGAAGGGGACGTCACTTATATCCAGTATATTTATAAAAGTAACTGATATAATCTCAAGTACTTTTCTTCGTTTTATAAAAGTTCACTATGTTCTCAATAATCTCAGTCACTTATCTATCAAAAATATTAATTTCAGCGATACTTTTCAATGTTTGATATCATGACAGAATCGATGTCGCATTGCGACATTGCCCGGATTTTTTTGTTATAATTCCATTTTCAAATTTTGATTAGAGATGATTAACAACATAGAAGACATGGGTTGATAGAATTACCAGAATTACTACTTATGAATACTTTATATCTGATTAACAATTAATATTCACTTGTGTTACAAAATATGAATTATCGTCAAATCTTCGGGAAGTGTTCCACTTTGGGTAACGTCATGTACGTTATACGTACAATAACATCCCTTCCCTCCGACATTCATTACGAGGGAATAATTCATAATGTTATATCACATACACTGCTAATAAAAAAACACCGACTAAAAATGCTACGTATACATTAGTGAAGTTATGTGTAAATGTTCACCATCGTATTAGCAGATTTTTTTTAAGTATTTGAAAAAATGGTAATAATACAGTTTACTGTTTCATTCAACGTTGGAAATCTGGTGACTTCATTTTATCGAATTCGTAAACACCAAATTTCAGGGATTTTTTTTCTCAAAATGTCAGGAATATTATTTTGATCATCTACTAAGGGGAGACTACTCTGTGACGAATCCGCGCGTTTTAATTAGGGGAGAAAATAGTCGTTGCACCGGTTAGGAAGGTCATTGGTATCAAAATGGCTGCAATGTTGAAAAACGTGCGGCTTGCCGTCTCATTGAACCGACTTTGCTTCAGAAGTCAGATATGTAAACTAACGACCGCAGCATTTTCACACAAATGTCATCGAAGATTATCACCAAATTTCAATAACCAGACTATCTTGTCTAACAAGGTAAATTTCACGATCCATGTTATGAAAGTTATTCACTCTTCCAAATAATATTTTACGTTTTAGGCATATTTATTGTTCGTCCTCAAAAGAGAGATGTGCGATAGTAATAAGGCTATCGTAGTGCAGGCTTTAACATTCGTTTAATTTTGTCTTTCCTGACTTTTTATGGCTTGGTAAAATATTGAAGCGTAAAAATAAGTTATTGAAAAGGACGGTCATGTCGGCCTACCGGGGCACCGGCAAATCTGGCTATAGAGGCAGATTTACTTATTAACGTTAGTCAGTTTGTAGAAAATATGTATGTTTACGGGGCAAATGTAAACATACAGGTGAGGTTAGGTAACCTTTCTTCCGTGCAGACTGAAAAAAATGGATGACAAATCATGTAAGTGGAATGAATGTTTTGACGTATGTGCTCAATTTCTCACATTTTTTTTTTATTTCATCGTTACAATTTTTCAGTATTCATAATCCATGATCACTTGTTATTGCGTAGCAAATGCTAAATGAGTACCAACAGTATAGCGTCATTTACTTGTTGTGTTCTCTGTGTCTTCAGCATGTTTCCATGCAAAAGAAAAATAACCTGCAATGAATGTGACTTGTGTTGTGAAGCAAGTGAGATATAATGTTTATTGATAAGGAAATAAGGAGATTTCATGTCTCACCATTGGAACATGTGGAGAAAGGGTTGCAAGTACCAAAAAATGCAATGAAAAAATTCAATCTGCTCATCAGAAATTGTCTCCTATGACAAAAATCATTCATTCTAACAACCCACTGGTTTCATTGTCATTTTTTCATGTGCAAACCATCACCATGATTGTTACCAGGTATAACTTACACGATTTACTGTTCATGTTTTTGATATTCACCAAAGAAATGTGTCCAGACCTCACCAGAATGTTTACATACACCCTATATTCATGCAGTCAGATTTTAATAAATAGCCAAATCTTCCTATATGGCCAGATTTGTAGGTGCTTCAGTAGCTAACATTTGAATTTGAGATCATCATCTTGACCTGTCGACTAGATATTGTAGGTATGTTTCAACTAATTTCCAAGGAAACTAAGAATAATTCATTCAGATGGATAGAAACTATTTAAGAAACCCATGGAAGAGGTTTGAATTTAATAATCTGAACATTGCCAAAGACTAATGTGTCACTATTATGGCTGTGTGTGTAGGGGTTGCAATAATCACTCCATGTGGTCACCATTCACATGGAAGTTGAATGCTGTGGGTAGCTGGTTGTAAGTGACCAGCATAAGCAAATAATCAAATTATTTCTTTCACATCTTGCCATAACAATGTGCTTGCGTCAGCTGGTGCAACTCGAGGCCCCAACACTGTATTACAAGCTAAGTGATTGGTAAATAGATGTGGACCACTGAAGGGGTTGTTTTGTCAAATTATGTCGAATGTTCCAAACTCGGAATAAACTCCACAACATTTATGTGCAGTCAATATGACAAAAGCCAATTTGACATCTGGTACCCTCAAAAAACATTAAGATATATATCATTATGATTTTAAGTTATCTTGCAAGTAAGGATATTTGTTGGAACGAATAAAAAATATTCAGGATTTCACATTTTGCATTTAGCATTTGGTATACCGCAATTTGCATGAAGTATTTAACATAGATATCACTCTGTGTCTCCATAGCTGTATTTAATGTATCTTCCTTTCTCTCTGAGGCACATGCCTGTTGCTTTAGAAGTTTTACAGTTTGAGTCGGATAATTATGAAGCTGTACAAAAATGTATTGTACATGTAATTGCATAACAATCATCATTATATAATGCATCATCTTAGTCATATGTCAAATGATGTTATTGGCCTCTGTTTTCTGCTGTAACTGCAGCAATAAATAGTAATTATTGAAATATATTTCACAGATTGGAGCGACTACTCAGAGGTTTTGTACATCCAGGGTTACAATAACAATAGAAGAAATTCAAGAAAGAGTGCTGAATGTTATCAAGGCATATGATTCAATTAATGCAGAAAAGGTATATACTTTTGTTTCACACTTATGCATTACAGGTGAATAGTATCCCTTTGGTCAGGACATATGGCAAGGTTGGCCCTCCCCTTACATTGAACCTCATCGAGGAAAGAATATTACTCACTCTCAAGCTCTATGATAAAATTAATCCAGAAAAGGTAATAATCTATGGTTTCAAATCTGTTTAGATAAATGCCAGACTATTTCAGATTCCATCTTTGTGTTGTTAAGCAGTCGTAATACAAATTGTTGCAATGAAGTTGAATTAAGTTCTCAAACTTTTGTCTGCAGATTTTAAATTCTGAATTTTGCTGATGATAATGCTTCGGCATTTCTTTGATCAATTCAGTGATTATGTGTCGATTTCTGATGTACCATGACTCCTTTGTTATCTACGTGTAGATTGTATTTTTTATTTTTATTTTTGACTGAATATGAACATGATGACTGCTTGAGTTGATTTCTCTTTAAGATTTCTATAGACATGTTTTCTTCTGAAAGAATTGTAACAAGTACTTAAAGTATGGTTATTATCTGTTCTTGGGCAAGGTCGCTTTTATTGAAAACAACAAAAAATTAGAAAATTGTTTCAGATCACTAAAGAAGCCATATTTGTTCACTGCAGACACAAACACTTGTCTTGAGAAAACCTTTGTCATGCTAAGAATATCATTGTCATCAAGTCAAGGTCAATACTGCCAAATGCTGAGTGTTAAATCAGTATCATTCTATTGAGGGAAGTTGAAAAGTATTGTGAAAACTATCAGATTTGTTCAAAGGTCATAGCTAACATTTCTGAAAAATATTTTACCAAAACTTGTAATCATACTGTTGGCAGAGTGGTGGGTCAGAAGTATAGGAAGACTTATCAATTTCCTAGATCTTTGTAACGTAACAAATACTTTTTTCATTTGTAGCTTGAACTCAGTTCGCATTTTATGAATGATCTTGGACTTGACAGTTTGGACCACGTGGAGATCATTATGGCTATTGAAGATGAATTTGGTAAGTTTTCTTTAATGATGTACCTGATATTGTATATTAATGTATACCAGGTACACAAAAACCCCATGACATCAAACTCCTTTGGATATGCCAATAGTTTGAGGAATTCATGGTATTCAAGTAATTAGAATTTGGTCGTAAACCGTCAGGTTGTGAACATCCATGAACACCCAGTGCCTGTGAATGAAGTGTGGAAAATTTGTCATTTACAACACTGTTCATTTCAGCAATATGTAACATGCTGAAAGCTCATTGTTGAGAAAGACGGTCATATGATTAATACTTTTGCATGGTGTTATTTCAACAATTTAAAATGATAACAAGAAATTAATTCCATATTGTTATCATTATATTGTTAATCTATATGTATTTTTATATTGTTAACCTGAAGTACAGAAAAAATATAGGGGGAATCATTTTGCCTGTTTGCCGATATCCTCATGCTTGATACACAAAAAAATTTACATTTTACCAGTGGTTGATTTTGTCCTGGTTTCTGTATTTCAAGAATACAAATTTATAAGAAATGTCGTATAACTGATGGTAGTACAGGTATAAAATTGTGTTACCATCAATCCTGATATTACGTGGTGTTTGACACCTGTATAAATACACTGGAATGTTTGGAAGCATTACACTGAAGTTGCATGCAATCATATGCAACACAGTGTGGAAGTGTGACACCTGGTCAATGATATGCAAACAAATGGCTAAAGTTAGAGGAAGGCAGGAAGTTTGAGGATGTTAAGATACAGTGGGGACCATGCAATCAGTCCGATGAATAAGAGGTTTTAGAATAATTCTGGTTAAAGGAAGTGGCATTTCACTGTATGTTTATTAGCAAAATATCAATGTATAACTCAACCTCTAAAGATTTATTATGATTGGAGACCATGTTACCTTTACTGTAAATATATAGCTCTTAAAATACTAATTAAACAATATGCATGAAATATTCAAGTACTGAAGGATTTTGAAAATTGTAAATATTTTTGAAGGAATCACATCAATTTAATCTGATCCAGTCTTACATCTGTGTTCTTTCTGTTCCAGGTTTTGAAATTCCTGATGTTGACTCTGAAAGACTGCTTACTCCACAAGACCTTATTCGTTATGTAGCAGATAAGGAAGATGTTTATGATTGAATAATTTTTTTTCTAGGTAATTATCTCCCGACCTCCATTTTTCTAGTACCATTTAGAATTGATTGAATTTACTATTATCTGAAAGTAAAACTAAGGAATATCTACCCAACTCAGTGTTAGAAAAGAAAAGATTATCATCATAAATGACATGTCTTTAGCTGTATGAATTGTAATAAAGGTGGGTTTGATTTTTTCCATTACAGACACAGCAACTTATACAGCACAATAGTGTACCATGAGAACAATTAAGACAAGAGACTTATGCACTAGACTGATGATAACAGTTCTGTTTGCGATGGATTGGTGTGAATTTTATAAATCGCAGTAAAAAGACTCATAATTGATTTTGAAAGATGAATCTGCTTCTGAACTGGATGAATGACAGAATAAACGTGGGTCTAAGGAACTTTTCACTATTGTTTGTAATGAATGCGAAAGTGTAATTATGTATTAAATCTTTTAAGAGTAGGAATTATGTTTTTTTGTTAAATTTCTGTGTTTCACACAAGTTGACAAGACAAACAATGTGAAGGTAACTTTGCAAATAATTTCAAGGATCACGTATAAATAAAATCCAGGTCAAAATACAAATGATGTCAAGGTAGCATCACATTGATGTCATGGTAACATCAAACTGATGCCATGTCAACATATCAATGATGTCAAGGTAACATCACACTGATGTCATGTTAACATCACACTTATGTCACCTTAACATCACACTGATGCAATGTAAACTTCCATTGATGTCAAGGTAACATCACACTGATGTCATGTTAACATCAAATTGATGTCGCGTTAACATCACACTAATGTCACCTTAACATCACACTGATGCCATGCAAACATCTCAGTGATGTCAAGGTAACATCACACTGATGCCATGTAAACATCTGTGATGTCAAGGTAACACCACACTTATGTCATGTTAACATCATAATGATGTCAAGGTAACATCACACTGATGTCATGGTAACATCATAATGATGTCAAGGTAACATCACACTGATGCCATGTAAACATCTCAGTGATGTCAAGGTAACATCACACTGATGTCATGTAAACATCTCAGTGATGTCAAGGTAACATCACACTGATGTCATGAACCTCAAAAAAATATGGACATGTCAACTAAATCTCGATTCAGTGAAAAAAAACTCAAATTAGATGAAACTAGGGCAAAGTGTAAAAAGCAAAAACATTTCATAGAGATTCCTGAAAAGTACAAGGAGGATAAGACCAGGTGTTCTGGAATAGTAAGTGCCTTCTTCGTTGATGACACCCACCATGTAAATCTTTGTCATCCTGGTAAGTAATGTCACCTTCCCAAATAAGAACAATATATACAACAACATAAACTAATTAGTACCAAACACGTCCCACTTCACATAGCACTAGAAAATATTTCCCAATTAGGATAATAACTGTAAAACTTCCACATCATCTTCATCTGTCTGCATCTCTCAAAACCATATGTTGTCAGATTGTCTGTAAGTTGCTCACATCTTGCATCGGGGAACAAGCTCTTTTGAATACCAAAGCACAACAGGGATATTAAAAGTTAACATTACAAATGACGTGAAGTTAATATTACAAATGATGTCAACTTAACATTACAAATGATGTTGAGTTAATATTAAAAATGATGTCAAGTTAATATTAAAAATGATGTCAAGTTAATATTAAAATGATGTCAACTTAACATTACAAATGATGTCAAGTTAATATTATGAATGATGTCGAGTTAATATTACAAATGATGTCGAGTTATGTTACAGATAGTGAAACTGCTGATATTACAAAAGATCTTTGAAGTAGGAGAGGTTATTCATCAAATTAATACGCATGAAAGTTAATCTAATCATGCAGAAAATACTTTATAAAAACTGCATGGAAAAATGTTAAGGCTATCATATAAAAAATATGTTGTCTGAAAATATTTGTTACATTGAAAAATACCCTATTATAGTATACTACAGTTATCTCACACCAGACATTACACTTTGAAGTTGTTTACCACATTGCGTATATATATTTTTAGGTGCCACAATAATCTGTTCCTAGTATTAAGCTGTGTTACATTTTGAAACTAACCGAAGCTATGCTACAAGTTAGTACTGTTCTGACAGTTTTCACCAGTCTTGTTAATATGACTTGCCCCAGTCATAAAACATGCAATGCATTTCTGTATGGTATAAAGCAAGTAAAATTTCGTGTCTAAAATGAGGACGAGGAGTTGAAAAATATTGAATAGTTCTGAAACAAATTGAGATCAAGAAAGCTGAAAGATTTGCTCGTTGGTCATTTAGTTAAATCTACAAAGACTTCCAGAGTTATACTTGAGAGAAGTACCTAAGCATTCAGAAAATCTCAAATTGTTGACGCTGTAAACCAAATCACACTGTCAACTACACTGTCAAAAACGTAGTCCACAAGTGAAAACTTTTCAAAAGGTCATATCAAGAATTCCATGGAAGCAGATGTGTTGCCTGCCCAGCAAGGTGTTTGGTGATGAGTTTCATGGAACAATAGCCATAGATAATCAATGTATTTATTAGGTCATCTGACCCGAAGGGTCAAGGTGATCTGTAGTCATCATGCTTCATCCAGCACAGTGCCTCAAGGGTACACTTTTTCTTTAAAACCCTACTCCTCATTAATACCTGGACAGATTACGACCAAATTTTGGTCCGATACATCATCGGGTAAGGGTAATCAGTTCTTAAATTCAGAATTTAGATTCATAGGGGTTGAGGGACAGGGATCCCAAAGGGGGAGGTGCTGAGATGAGATTTAGAACCCTACACCTTTCTGCCAGGGTGGATTGCAAAAGCTTTTGTATGATTCATCACATAGGGTAGGCAATTATTTCTACAATTCAGAAATTTGATTTGACCCCAGAGGACTTGGAGGCGGGCCCAAAAAGGGCTATGCCTTTTTAATGCCTGAATGGATTTCAACCAAATTTGGTGTGAATCATCATTGAGAGTGGACAATCATTTCTTCAATTCATAAACTTGATTTCACCTCTAGGGACCTTCGGGTGGCGCAGCACCAAATGGGAAAATTAGTCAATATTTGCTTTAAAATGCTACTATTTCTTTAATGCTTGCATGGATTTCAACCTGATTTTGTTGGAAACATCATTGAGAATTGAGAATCACTTTTTAAATTCAGAAAGTTGATTCAACACTTAGGGACTTTGGAGCGTGGCCCCAAAACGAGAAGTGAGACGAGATTTTACTTCAAAATACTACTCTTTCTTAATGTTTGAATGGATTTCAACAAAATTTAGTCTAAAACATCATGGAGAGTGGGGAATCATTTCTTAAATTCAGAAAGTTGATTTGACCCCTAATAAATAGAAATGACCTTAATGCGCTTGTAAGGTCACAGGGATCAAATAAGTTAAAATCTTTTTAAAAATGACTTTTCGATAACTCAAAGGCCAAGGCTGCTGATGGTCACAGGGGTCAAATGTACTGAAATGCTTAGGCATTTCGGGTTTATTATGCTTTCTCAGAAACAAGAGGCTTAGCGGCCTTGATGGTTACCAGAGATAAACAACATTGAGTACAAATGTTAAAGGATAGTTTACAAGTGTCATGAATTAGAAATTGTGACACTGAATAAAGTTAGCCCGTGTCAATAAATGCATGCCATCAAAACTGTCATCTTATCCTGATAATTCTTAAGAAGTTATGCTCAAAAATGCAATTTTTTCTATGAAAATTACTGTAAAGTCTAAAAGAAATATTCCTCCCCAGGAGGAAATGAAAGACACATTTTGGTAATAAAAAAAATGTGCGACCCTGGGGCCATGAAATTCACAATTTTGGTAGAGCACCTAAAGATGCTTCAATTCATGAAGAGGATTTGATTCAATCATATCAGGGTCTTGAGAAGAAGATTTTTGAACCCTGAGGGGTAGGAACTGTATAATTCACAGTTCAGGTTCATCTTAGGTCACGGAGGGTTTCTGTTGCATTGAAATCGCATCAGGGTTTTTTGAGAATACGAAGAAAGTATTAAATTGTTTACTGGTGCATGACGCCAGATAAAGGTGATTAGGATAAGTCACCATGAGATTCAGGTGACCTAAAAAAATGATTTTTTGTGGATAAGTATTGCTCAATGATGTCTATTCATAAAAAACTTTGTGGACATATAAATTTTAGGAATATCCATAAAATCGATGAAAATAAATTCCCCATGAAAATGGATGGTTTTACAGTATGTAATCAATATCACAACAAAACCACAAAATTAGCAAGTATCATTTTATTAAATAAAGAGCTGAAGTTAATTGTATGTTACATGATATTATTTACCTATACAATCTCCCCAATGATTGTTTGAAAGCAACATGTCTGAAATTGTGCCAACTGAACACTGCATTCCAGTGGCTAAATCATATAAACCAACTGCCATGTCAATATGCCATGATTATTTTCAAGATTTTCTTTAAATGCCAGTCATCAAGACAGGCAACAACAACAAAAAAAGTAAATGATTAATTTTCTTAAAATATATCATTGATCTAAACTACAGTTAAAAATCATAATGGTATCTCTAGTCACAATAACACCATGGTGACAGTGGTATCACTAGTCACAATAACACCATGGTGACAGTGGTATCACTAGTCACAATAACACCATGGTGACAGTGGTACCACTAGTCACAATAACACCATGGTGACAGTGGTATCACTAGTCACAATAACACCATGGTGACAGTGGTACCACTAGTCACAATAACACCATGGTGACAGTGGTACCACTAGTCACAATAACACCACGGTGACAGTGGTATCACTAGTCACAATACCACCATGGTGACAGTGGTATCACTAGTCACAATAACACCATGGTGACAGTGGTACCACTAGTCACAATAACACCATGGTGACAGTGGTATCACTAGTCACAATACCATGGTGATAGTGGTATCACTAGTCACAATAACACCATGGTGACAGTGGTATCACTAGTCACAATAACACCATGGTGATAGTGGTATCACTAGTCACAATACCATGGTGATAGAGGTGACATACTGATGGCAGCAGTTATATGTTTGCCTCTAACAAAGACAAGCACCAATAAAATATACAGCTAAAATACACTGATCTTAACGTTGGGGGATTTTCTCAGATTTATCATTCCAGCAAACAAATCCTTTAAACAATACCAGATGCTTTACTAGATACAGAGTAATGATTAGAATTAGTTACACCTTGTCTGTATATCAGTACACATACCTTATTATATGAACAGCTTTATACTTATGACTGGGCCCCCCATCCCAATGTAATCCCTTCAAAAAAAAAAAAAACAAAAACAAAGGAAAAAAAAGGTAAACTCAGTTCCTCATACCAGCAACATAAGGCCACTTTCATATAAGCGGTTTGATCAGGAATCTGTAAGAAACAGAGATGTTTTGATCTGTTTTTGCTTTCTGATGAGTCTGATGGCCTACATTAATACCTGACAGTCTGTCACAATGAATGCCTGAAAGGTTACATTTAACATGTTGATGAACTGCTTTGTCCATGTGGATAAAAGCAACCTTACACTGATACCAAGTATATTTTAACACCTACTGCCTAAATATATTCTGGATATGGATAAAATGTATCACTATGCACCACCACAAGATCGGAACAGTGGAAAAAGATTATACCCAGAATTAAAGTTCTATAAAGAAAACTCATCTCCAGGATGAACGAGAAAACAATACATGGCTAACTTTTTTTTAAACATTATAAAGCTATACAGTAATATGATTACATATGGTACAAACTATACAAACATGACACCTGTAGTGTGATACAGTGTAAAAACCAAGCACTTCAATAATAAACAAAGGTTGAACAGTACACACGGAACAACGGGTCGTGTAAACAACAGCTCACTCATGGAAAACTCATTTCTCTCCATGGCATACAGAAAATTGATTTCACTGAATATTTTTCTGGAAACTCCTCACTGCCTGTAAACTATAAAATATTATTTATGCAGACAAAAATGAAAAGAACTGTATGCACAATTTTTCTTTTTTTCATAATTTCCAAAAGATTTCAAGTGGCCATGATGATGCAGGCTGCCCTTCTGGGTCGGTTTACAGAGCCTTCTATTGTTACCATCAAAGTTTGTAGCAGAAATTCAAAGGATAATTCCAAGATTTAAACAAAAATTTGTCAACATATAAACTAAATATATATTTTAAGAGAAACTTTCAATCTGTTTTCTTGATAAAGAAAATTAAATGAAATGAAAGAGAATAAAATGTGTTTAAACAAAATTTTTACCATGCCAAAAAAAAAAAAAAAAAAACAGTGGGACCGTTTAATGCAGCTTTTTCGACATCAAACATACAATGTGTTCGGTGATATTACTTTTTAGTGATCACATGATTTTGTTGACCTTTCATAGCTGGACAAGTAATTTGAAAATATAATCATTCTGACCACATTCATATATATGTATACTGTTCAATACTCATCTATAACATTTTCACCACATTTCAACATGCACAATGTAAATATAGTAGTACATGCCATGTACTTTGATAATCTAATAAAAGTTTATTCATATATATAATGTAAGAGATGCAAGAGATTTTATAGGACGAAAATTTTTAAAAAGTAAAATTTTATTTACAAAGTGAAACATAACAGTCTATCTATAGGTCTAAAACATCTGTTAGATGAATTAAATGGAATCAAAATAAGTATGAATATGTGGCGAAATCACTTAATTCACACGATTGTGTTTACAACATCAAAGCAAAAGTGTTGGATGTTAGGCAGGTCTTGGACATCGCTTCACACACTAACGAAATATGTACAGTAAGGGAGATAACCATGAAATCCTAAAGAGAATTATCTATCTATCGCCACAACGATAATGAAGCACAACAGAAGCTTTGTTTATAGGTAAGTACAAAAGTAATGCTACCCATTTAACCATGTACAAAAACAATGCCACAGTCAAAAATTATTTTATAAAAAGCAAGATTCCTGCTTCTAAAGCCAGGAATTGTTCTCCTCAATATTTTCTTTTTTCACTTTTGAATGATACCATGTAATTAAACAAGTTTACTAGTACAATCAATATACTTAATAGTCTCAATGTGTACCAATAAAATTGTCTGTGCTAAAATACAAAATATGAAGCTACCGTCCCAATTTTCAGATGTAGACATCAAAAGAACAACAACATATTTAGTACACTCTACATCTATGAAATAGCATGGAAGGAAATATTAACCAGCCAACCAGAAAGTATATACATACACTTTGGAATAAGCAGGACTCTCATTAAAAAGATAAAAATTTCAAAAGAATATCATGAGCAAATGTATTACCTAAACAAAAGTAGCAGCACACATATGAAAGCTGAGCTTACAGCCAGGACACAAGGACACTTTAACATTGTTTGCAGACCCACAACATGTACAACAGTAAACCGCTGGTATGTTTATCCTACAACAAGAGAGTGCTCCATTCACCATTAACATCCTACAAATCCTACCAAGGCAAGTTAACTTTCATTGCATACAATGCTGCATATAATATGTCTCATACTTGTGATTATATCTTTATAACTGATAAAGGATTTATACAGATTTTACCACATGGTGCAAATTTATTGATAATTTTCTAATTTTGCTCATCCATGTAACCAAAACATCTTTTGGCTTATTTATAATTGTATCTATTCAATAAGCACAGTATGAAACAATCAAGTTTCACTCTTGTCTTCCACTGATTTCAAGTCTTTCTTTTGATATCCCTCCCTTATAATTCTTTGAAATAAATGTTTATGTGATTAAAGGAGTATACATTTCTTTTTGTTTTTCGGCTTCGGTTTTGGACATAAGACCGCTCGGATTGCCTCATCAAATACTGTTTTGAGGCCTTTCTGGGTGAGAGCTGAGCATTCAAGGTACTTGACAGCACTGATCTCCTTGGCCATGGCCAAGCCCTGAGGGTAAGTAATTGGGGACAGCTTCTTCTCCTTCAGCTTTTCAATTGTCTCCTTATCTTCTCTCAAATCAAGCTTTGTTCCGACCAGGATGATAGGTGTGTTTGGACAGTGATGACTGACTTCAGGATACCACTAAAACATAGGACAGTCAAATCACTTATATGCAACAAAATTACACTATTAAAATTGAGCCATTCACCTCAACAGGTGCTAATTCTTTTCTTCAAGTGGATCAATAATTACAAATCAACATGATGAAATAAGACTTTCCAATACCAACGACACAAAGAGCTGGTATCACTCGCCAGTTCAGTAGCGAATGAGCAAAAACACTTCAGTGAACGAGTTTACTCATGCATCTTTACTAACTGCCTTTCATTTTCAGCCAGTTATCATGATCCTCTTGGTAATTCAGAAAATAAACTATTTAAAGTAAAAGACAGACAGATATAGTTGAAGGACTGACACTGTACCAAGTGAAAGCTCACTCACCCATCAGTAAGGTGAGCTGCCTGCACATAATAATCAATAATATTACCAGCATTTCTCTCCACTAATCAGACACCTTGTGCTTTTGTCTTCCCAACTGGTGATACACTTGTCATTATGTTATTCAATATAACAGTGTTTCTTATACCCAGTCATGATATTCAACTCTTGTTCACGGACATCATTGTAAGATTTTACTTACCTTTGCTCGGACATTTTCAAAACTTGCTGGACTTATAAGTGAGAAACAGATCAGGAACACATCCTACAATGAGTAAAGTGAAACATATTTAAATTTTAAGACAAAAATCACTGATTTAATTCATTTACCTTATCTTGATTTAAACCTTTAAACTTTAAAAAAAAAGTTATTCAATTACAACATGTAAAGAAATTGAAAATCAATTATTTCCAAGACTTACAAGTGTAAACTGACACAGAAAAATACAACCTATGTGTTATGAAATCAATGCATTTGCATCAAGTTTGTAGCAAATTTCAGTCTGAGGGTAGGACAATGGTGGATAATTGACAATTTGGAGTAGGACTAGAGTCAGAATAATACTGTGGTGATTTACAATCTGAGGGCAAGGCAATGCTCTGTGTACCATTTGTGGTGATTTACAATCTGAGGGCAAAGCAATGCTCTGTGTACCATTTGTGTTGATTTGTAATATAAGGTAGGACAATAGTTGGTATATCGCCTCTGGAAACTTACAACCTGAAGGCAGGACAATGGTTGGTGTACCTTTTTCGATGATATATAATCTGAGGACAAGACAATAGTCATTATACTACCATTTGTGGTGACTTACGGTCTGAGGTTAGGACAATGGTCAGTATATTGTGAGTGGTGACTTAGAGTCTGAGGGTAGGACAATGGTCAGTATATTGTGGGTGGGACAATGGTCAGTATATTGTGGGTGGTGACTTACAGTCTGAGGGTAGGACAATGGTCAGTATATTGTGGGTGGGACAATGGTCAGTATATTGTGGTTGGTGACTTAGTCTGAGGGTAGGACAATGGTCAGTATATTGTGGGTGGTGACTTACAGTCTGAGGGTAGGACAATGGTCAGTATATTGTGGATGGGACAATGTCAGTATATTGTGGGTGGTGAGTTACTGACTGAAGGTAGGACAATGGTCAGTATATTGTGGGAGGTGACTTACAGTCTGAGGGTGGACAATGGTCAGTATATTGTGGGTGGAGCATTCCAGTCTGAGGGTGGGACAATGGTCAATATATTGTGGGTGGTGACTTCCAGTCTGAGGGTAGAACAATGGTCAGTATATTGTTGGAGGTTACTTACAGTCTGAGAGTAGAACAATGGTCAGTATATTGGGGGTGGTGACTTACAGTCTGAGGGTAGGACAATGGTCAGTACATTGTGGGTGGTGACTTACAGTCTGAGGGCAGGACAATGATCAGTATATTGTGGGAGGTGACTTATAGTCTGAGGGCAGGACAATGGTCAGTATATTGTGGGAGGTGACTTACAGTCTGAGGGTAGGACAATGGTCAGTATATTGTGGGAGGTGACTTACAGTCTGAGGGTAAGACAATGGTCAGTATATTGTGGGAGGTGACTTACAGTCTGAGGGTAAGACAATGGTCAGTATATTGTGGGTGGGACAATGGTCAGTATATTGTGGGAGGTGACTTACAGTCTGAGGGTGGGACAATGGTCAGTATATTGTGGGAGGTGACTTACAGTCTGAGGGTAGGACAATGGTCAGTATATTGTGGGTGGTGACTTACAGTCTGAGAGTAGGACAATGGTCAGTATATTGTGGATGGTGACTTACAGTCTGAGGGTAGGACAATGGTCAGTATATTGTGGGAGGTGACTTACAGTGTGAGGGTAGGACAATGGTCAGTATATTGTGGGAGGTGACTTACAGTCTGAGGGTAGGACAATGGTCAGTATATTGGGGGTAGTGACTTACAGTCTGAGGGTAAGACAATGGTCAGTATATTGTGGGTGGTGACTTACAGTCTGAGGGTAGGACAATGGTCAGTATATTGGGGGTAGTGACTTACAGTCTGAGGGTAAGACAATGGTCAGTATATTGTGGGTGGTGACTTACAGTCTGAGGGTAAGACAATGGTCGTAGTCTGTCATAGTCTTCCTGTCCTGCTGTATCCCAGAGTCCTAAGTTGATTGGTTTCCCATCCACCATAACATTTGCAGAATAGTTGTCAAATCTACAAATTAAATGCAGCACAATTGTAATTTTCCATAAAACATAATTCAAGATCAAGAAATGGCAATTTTGTAACTTTCAATATTTCATGTGTGTCTTAATTAATACCTGTATGTGCCTTACCATATAAACCTTATAAATAAGGGACTTTGTGCTGAATCACTTTTTTCTCCAAACTGACGATTTGGAAATAAGTTTGTTAATAACCATCCTTAGTTTGCCAGAATTCTACATGAAATCTAAGCAAACCAAATGTTCTCTTGGTTATGATGTATATGGCATATCTATATATCATATAATGAGCACCAATCAGTCATACTACATAGACATTGAATTTCATTCAGAATATTTTTATATTTATTCACCCGGTAACAATTATTTCAGAAATAAATCATCAAGTACATATGACTCATAAATGTTTACAATGATTTTGATTCGTTCCATATCCATTTTTAACAACCTAAACAATTGTAGGGTATATGTATAAACAAATTGAACACAAATCTTACTGGTCCAAAGGCCTACATGGATATTATTCTGGTAAACTGCACGGTTGTGTAAGGCTGGCTTCAAATCCAATCTACCTTTAAAGCCATATTTCTCGGAGTATTTTCTAGGGTGTTTCTTGTAGAAAGTGAGGTAGCTGAACAGATGTGTATAATTGACAGACCATGTGCTGGCCTATCACTGATCAGTCCTGCTCTATAATACAGCTGTGTTTCAAGTAGCATTACAAGACTCAGCTGTTTCTATCCTACTCATTCCATCATTAACTTGATTGGAGGATTGTTTTCAGTAGAAACGATTATGAAATATGCACAGTTCAACTAAAAAGTGTGGATGAACTTCTTTTAAAAATTGTTTCCGTTAAAGATTAGAAATGAAAATGAACTTCTTCGAAAGAGATTCACTTTAGAATCCAAATCATCTGTAATAAATCCTGCTTAACTGATAATCTAGTGTAATACATATAAAACTATAATACAATCAAAGATACAATTTTAAAGAAAGAGTGAATGACAAATAACAAAGCTGGACTCTATACATTATTTTTTCATTCCTGATGTAAATGCCCTTGTAACCTAGACATAATTTCCCACACAAACTTGTGACATGCCAGTCAGTTGTAAGGACCAACAAAAGAATTAGAACAAGTTGCTTCAAAATAGTCAGTAATTTAGAATTAAGTCCAACTAATTACTGACTTGACCTCTGACCATGTTATGTGACCTTGAGGTTTATATGTGTGACCTCCTGCTGCCTAATTATAACACTGATATACCATGATGTATATATAGTTATATTTAGGGCTACAGTCTAGACAAGCATTGTTGTGATTTGACCTTTAGTTATGACCTTTAGGATATAGACCTGTCTGTGGTATATGTGATGTGTATTTTGTCAGACATGTAAAGTTATGTACAGACAAACATGGTATTGATCTTAAGGTATACATTTTGTCTTCCACCTAAAATACCTGTTATCTCTGTTCTTGCTTAATTGTTTTGTTTTATGGTTATGTAATCAATGCTAACTGTGAAACATGATTTAATTGTGAAACATGGTTTGACATTACTGAACATATTGTTGTATTGGAAGTTAAAAAGTAAAGGATTCTTGTGCAACATAATGATAGAAATCCATGACTACAGCAAACCTTGTAATAAGATCAAAGTAGTCAACTTCATTTTGTTTTTCCCATTTAATTATCCACCACATAGTAAACAGTAATGTGATATGTAATCTTCTTTTTTGTAATCTTTTTTATTGTAAACACATGCAGTGCTCTACAAAGAAATAATTGAGATTGTGTACCTGCCAAGTTTAGTAACAGGGAAGTTATCTTGATATGTACTTATTTTCTCATAATAGTGAAATTTTGGTTCCTTAACAACTTCAGTTTGGTCTAAAACTCAAAAAATTGTATGTAAGAATTAAACTCAATTGAACATAAATTTAATAGACTGCCTTTGAAAATAAATCACGACATCCTCCTAATATAACAAAAAAATTTACAGACACCAAAATAATGTAAACTGTTTTAAATTTATTACATTAAAAATCAATTAATTGTTTCACTGTATGAACAGGGGTAGATATAAGAAAATTACCATAGGTGGCCCTTCATTACAATAGATGGCCCCGGGCAGACGGGCTTGCGGTTATTTTGACCCCTGTATGAATTGTCAATCAAAATGACAACTTGATCAGAATCAGTAGAGGGTTTTTTTGGTACCACATAAAATACTGGTATAAATCGATAGTTTAATTTCATTGTCATGCTTGAAGTGACAACTGAACAGAGATTCTGAAATTACTGTAGTCATCTTATAGTTTTCACTCCATTGATAAATATAATTAATGTAAATGTAAAAGAAGTATTCATATATTAGTATATCTTCATTCAGGTAAACTACTTGATCTTCACCACCCCACCTGACTTAAAGTATCAGACATTCAATTTCATAACAATAACTTTGAAGGAGGGAGTTAAAAAGGGTTGTTATTTTATTACTAACTAGTATTCAATTATCAATTTTACCTGTGATCATTCAACAGAAAATGTCTTTTTCGTCTATTATTTCAGTAACATAAAGAATATCAATATATCAATGTGTATTAGTTAATGTAAAATGTAAATAGGTTTTATCTGCATTACGGGTGAATATGTATGTAAATATTGGACAACGCTGCAGAACTTCCTGAAGTAGGTATAGTAATGATACACAATTATCACTGAGTGTATGCCTCTCTATACAGAATCAAAAGGTCTGAGGTAGCTGAACATATGTTTAAGTTTATATTGAACCTTAACACTTGACAACACAAAGATAAACCATGGCATTCAGTTGACATGTGACATTTTCAAATTCAGAAGTTAAAATCATTTATGAAATAGATATGGTCCATTAATATCTAAGGGTCACTTTTAGACGATAAACTCATACTCTCAAGAGTCGACTGAATCTCAAGTAAAATGAAGGGTTGGTAATAGCAAAGTAGTCAGATAGATTGTATAATTAGCAGGGATACTCTGTCAGCTGTTGTCCCTCAATACAACAGTCAGAGGTCACTCCTACATTCATCTAGGATGTACGCCACAAACCGATAAAAACAGGAAGTGAAATTCAGGTCCATCTAAGATACTATATTATGTACATATATGTATGTTTCAAGATACACAATTATTTGCTGTATCATGTATATAAACTAATATAGCCACAAAAAATCTAAACTGTTTGTGTTCAAAGATGATCATTACCAAGCAATACTCACTTTTCACACATCAGTTTCAGCAACATGACATGAACATGGCACTGATGATGAATTAATATTTATTTGATTAATATATAAACTGATAAATAGGTGTGCTCACAAAGCATCACTATTCATAAACTAAAATGTAATCCATTCCTATGATATGATCAATTTTTTCCTTTTCTTTTTGTTAGAGTAAAAATACATTTGTGTACATTGTCATTAAATGTAAAATGTATTTTTTTCTTTTCTCTTCTTTGTTTTTACTCTTAATGATAAGAAATTTAAACAATAATCCTTAACAGAAATACAGAAATTAATCTTTAACTGCCAAATCAAAGATGGTCACCTGGAAGCCATTTTGTTTTTTCTGATCAGTCCCAAAATCAGATGTGCACAAATAGGGACAAAGGGGAATCTACACATGAAATTTAAGAAAGATCAATTCAATACTAGCAAAGAAATCAGGATAACAAACTTAATTAGGCAGAATTCAAGATGATCAAACTGTCTGCTATTTTGTTTTTCTGATCAGTCCTAAAATAAAACTGGCACAACTAGGGATCAAGGAGAAACTAAACATGAAATTTGAAAAAGATCTATGCAGGATATCAAGAAATAGCAATAGCCAATTTTCAAAAGTCAGCTAGGGACCTAAAGGAACCTATACATGAAATTTGAGAAAGATCTATAGAGTAGTTCTCAAGAAATAGTGAAACCAAACTTTCGAAGTCAATATCAAAGATGGGTGCTTGTGGGCCCTTTTTTTTGGTCAGTACAAAAATCAAACAGGCAAAACTTGGGGTCAAGGAAAGCATACACATAAAATTTGAGAACAATCTATGCTGTAGTTCTCAAGAAATAGTGATAACAAGTTTTCAAAGACAAAATCCCAGATGATCTGGCCCAAAACTAAATGAGCAAAACTAGGGACAATGGGGAACTTACATATGAAATTTGAGAGAGATCTGTCAAGTTCCCTCTAAGAAATAGCAATAACAACCTTTCAAAATTCAAAATGGCCACTTGTCAGCCATTTTGTTTTTCTGATCAGTCCCAAAATTAGATGAGCCAGAGCAATTAATGTTAAGTGTCTTCTTGCCCAAGGACACATCCATCTCAACACATACCAGTCTGTTTCCCAGCTTCCTGAGAAACATACAGCTTGGAACTTTACTTCAGGTTAAGCTGTAACCAAATGAATGGTAACAGTATGGTACAACATCCCCCCTAATGTGTAATTAACATGATTTTATGACAACAATGAAATACAGTATTTTATCACTAAATGGTAGCATTATTTTTTGTAAAATTAAAATATTACTGTATGTAGAATTTCTCAATGGTCCGTTTTATAAATCTTTATAAACTTTCTGTTGTTTTAAACATAATTTTAATTTCAAATCCTGCAACAAACAGGTCTATATTTTTGTGGAAAGATAAGTGCCTTGAATAAATATCTTTGGAGTCTGTTATTTTTGTCAACAAATTGTATCCTCCCATACAGGCCTCTTCAGAAAAGAGTGTCGACAATGACACACATCACTTCATTTTTATTATCAGCACAGTATCTGACCCACACAACACTTGTTCATTCCAACAAACACTTCAAGGATTTGTACATTATTCTAGGTACCACTTCCTTGTTATTTCAATTTATTTGTACTTTAAGATGCCAAATGGAAGCTTTCTTTTAGTTGTGTTATTTTCACGATGGAATTACAAAAATATCTCCATATTTATTACACACTTTTCTTTTTTGTGTACGGCTTCAAGACATCTACAGTGTACTGTCAGATACAGGTTGACTTTGCTTTAGAATTCAATCATAAGATACACTCTATTTAAATGGTTGAATTGGACCAAATGTCAACAATTTTACAATTACAGTAAATAAGACAAGTTTACTAAGTCATGATCAGTGATTCAGGAAATGTAGGTCATACGGAGTACAAGAGACCCACTTCTGACATATATTAATGATATATAGTCTTACTCATGTACTTTGTTATATACGTGAATGACGGTATTTTAAGTACAAGTATTACATTCTTATGTAAAGTAACATGTATCAGGCAAACTAAGCTATTAATGATAAAGCATGATACTTACACTGTGGGGATATACTCTCCTGGAAAGGCATTTGTCGTGTAACTGATCAGGAGACATGTTTTACCAACAGCTCTGAAAAATATCAATTTTCATTTGTGATACTAGGGTCGTTATTAGTGACTAAGGTGAAAAAATCTGACACCATAATGAAATCTTAATCATACCCAATACACAAAAGGAGGGCTAGTCATGGAACATATTCATTTTGTATTGAATACTAGCATTATTTTATGTAGAATACTATATGTTCGGACAAGTGTGATGTTTTAGTGCCTTATTCTTTGTCACTTCATCATATTAACACATCTGTCTTAGGGAATTGTCTCATCATATTCAATCCAATGTTTGCAGTCATGGCTAAAATACAACTGTCATCAAAACAGATATACCTCAATAGTCAAGACCAAGTTTATATTTGTAATTAACTAAAATTTTCACTAAATAAATAGAAATTTATAAAAGCTTTATAAATTTCTATTTATAAAAATTATGTTTTCTTCTTTAAAAACATAAAGCAAAGGTAGCATCCTTGATAAACCTTTCCATAAATTAAGAAAATTTAACATAAACTGCATATAATTTAATAGTAAAGAAACATGTTATATCAATTTGTATTAATCATTCTACTTGACCTATTTGGAAGGATGTGAGGAGTTGAATGTGGTGGCAAAGGTTTGGATCGTCTATCCGTGATTTTTCATTTTTAATGTGGATGATTACATCATCTATCCGTGATATTTTTAGTTAATGTGGTTAATTACATATCAACTGTGCCAAAGAGAAAAGACAATTATAGATAGATAGCTATAGTCTCCTTCAGTCTATATGGGGTCCCTGTAGTACCTTATGAAAACCTACACAGTGAATTAAGAGCACATATCCAATTGGGGAAGTACAGACTGGTCTCCTAGGTAAGATGTATTGTTCAGCTACTGCACCACTTAACGACATTTATAATAGTATTCTTACCATAAATTTCCATGTTCATCTAGTTCTTTGTGTACTAAACTTCAACCAACACAAACACCGAAAGCCCGTGTCAGGAATATTGTACTTAAATTGACAACATGTTGTTGGCTAATCAATATCAAATGATATTTTTAGGGAATATGTAACACTTTCAATTATGTGGTAAACAAAACAAAACAACATAATCAGTAGATAATTATATCATGACTGATAAAGGTTGGAAATTAAAACTCATCACACTTGTGTAAACAAAAAACATTTGTAATGAGTAATTGGTTTATGTGTCTGGGGAGGGCTTTTTGACTTAGTCATCTCAATGACCCCGTTATTTTCCTCCATTATAAACAGCTTATTTCCTTGATGTTGATGGTCCCTGTATTACTGTACCTCTGGTCACTGCTAAGACACAGACAAGATGTTCAGTGTCGTTAAACGCACCAGGAGTCACACACCAGTTACAGGAAGTGATTACTAAGAGTGACTATTGTCCATAAACTTGGCAAAGTTCACACTGGCACAAATTCCCACTAATTAGTCTCTAATAGGCATTATCCCACATAAAACCTCTAAACAATAATACTTACTCCGATAATTAATAAATGTTTTAACCTAATCGATGTAATTCGAAGTCATAGAAACTTAGTTATTTGGTCCAAAGCATTTTTGAGGCCAGTGCATTTTTTAGCTCATGACAGACGGAAGAGAAAAAGGAGAGTAACACGGTCTTCTACATCTAATTTTAAACTCACCCGTCTCCCACTACTACACATTTGATGGCCTGCATGTTCTGTTGAATACAATGGCTATTCGACGTCCAGTTCTGATGTCAAGTATCACGGCCTTATAATGGGCCGACCTCTCCCAGTTTAATACCTATGAAAATATGGCTGTCGCCTCTTATATAGGAACGATTAAACGTGAACTATTTATAGTATTTCCGGTTATGCACGATGTTAGCCGAATTATAATTTATGCACATAACGCCGGTGTGTATATCATTTTGGCGCTTTGCTTTTCATCACGTTTACGCAAACATTTTAAGGATCCATAGTGTTACTATTTAAAGACATTTAATCAAGTTATTTTTGGAATGTCTATTTTCTGTACACATTATATTAACTGGTGACAAGGAATTTTCGGTTATTGTTGTGCAAGCAACTTCAACTGCATGTATATCTAGGAAATACTGCGCATCATTTTTATTTTCTTCCTTCTTTTTTTTTAAATAGAAAATATTATATGCTATGCGTATCGTAACTTGTTTGAAATTGGGTTCTTCTTTTCCATGCACTCATTAAAAATATTATAGCCTTATCACGATGAAATATTTTTCTGCAGAACGTTGTATTAATTTTATATGAAAGGATATGTGCGATCCGGATAAGTAAGCTGAATACTTTTAACCTTTAGAAACGCCCTTTTTTCTGCTTTGATCTAAGCGGCCCTTTTCTTCCAAAATGTAAACATGGCAGCGGTCTGGCAACAAGCACTTGCTTTAGATGCAAAATACAACGCTTACAGGACTCCAAACAACCCACAGTTTAGTAAGAACACGCTAGCGTATAGTTAAATATAATAATGAATCTTAACCTTCTGTACCTCAGTAACGATTACTTGACTACCTGTAACTAGTCAACATCGAGGGGGAAAAGTTTCGACAAATTTTACTAGATTATTAGTGTATGTTTGGTGAAAATGAGCAACTGTTTTCAGAAAAAGTTCACAAGTTATGCCCAAAGTGGTTTTGAAATCAAAATTGTTATAACTATTGCTTTCTACTTAGGTAAACAGTGTGTAAGGTGTCCTTTAACAGGCAGGGCACATGTGTGGGTAATAGTCCTGCATTTGAGGGATAGTTACTGCTTTGAGTAATCAATTAGTTACTCAAATGCAAGATCATACGAAATAGAAACTATAAAGTCCTTTTGCATATATGCAACACAAACCTGACCCAGTAGTAAATCTGAAATGGTGTCTATATCCATAAGAAATATTCATTTAACTAACTTCGTGCTAAAATGATAATTTGTATCACCGACTTTACACTAAAATGTATAGTCATGAAGAGCATTCAGTAAAGTTGTCATTGGTGACCACGAATTTATCGATGTTTGATTTTTAGCCACAAAATTGATAAGCAATACAAATGATAAAGTTTGTGATTCTTACCAGAAGTAAGACAACTGAATCATTCAGTTTTTCTGTAGAAATCAATAATGTTACATTGGTTATTAGACCATGTCTAAAAGATGACATCCTTTGTTGTTGCAAATATTTAAAAGAACTTTGTGTTTTTATTACAAATATTACTGCATTTGGGTAACTAAATGATCACTTTAAATTTAGCAATCAAGAAGTCAAGTAGAAAGCCAAAGATTTATTGAACTTTCCTATATATCAAATAAGATCTATGACTTCTGTTTGACAACACATTCATCTGAAAATTTAGGTAAAAATTGTGGCAAGATGTTATGGTATTACATATCACTTTAAAACTTCCACTTACATTCACAAACATTGCTGTATATATTAAGTTAGTGCCCTTTTTGTGCCATTTGCTATTGAAAACATTTCATTGTTTACATTTTTTGTGTAACCATAGAAAAATAGCCAAAAACACAATATTAGTGTTTACTTTCATTTCCAGGCTACAACTTAAAAACCGTTCAATTCAATTCTACAAAACTTTCTGTATATTTTAAGTTTGTGCCCTAATTGTGCCTTTTGCTATTGACATCACTTTTATTTTTTTTTTAATTTTAAACTATCAAATGTTTCGATTTCTTGTGACTTTTTATATTACACCAGAGCTTATATAGTGTTGCATCAATTCGTTTGTGGACAATACCAGGCTCTATTCAAATATCAACAGTCATACACACAGGATCTACATCAAGATACTAGCTCTTGCTATAAGGTTGATATATAAGATATATATATATATATTATGTTGAATTTGAAGAGATGCAAGGAAAATTTATTGATAATTACTGAAAGAAGATGTTACATTTTGCACAAGCTCTTTCATTCTATCAGATCTTCAGGTGAAAGTAGAATTAGATCATTGAGAGTGATGTCACAATTTGTTATTCCAGTATATCTATCATATTTTGGTTTTACATCAACAGCTGGTTGTGGGGAATAATGCCACACTTTGCATCTTCTTGTTTTTACTGACAAGCACTATTTACATTAACTTGGTGATCTTCAGCAAGCTTGATCAGATAAAACAGTAAATACAAGAATTTATATTAGATGATATTGAGACCTGAAAAAAAAGAATGTGTATTTATTATGATTGCCAGTTTGCTTGTAAATCTAGACATTATAAATAACCTCTATAAATATTCCAACATTTGTTTAGTATAATACACTGTACTATTTAAATCACAGTCTGCAGGTGGAGTAAATAACATTCACTTGTTTTTTTTTCTTTAGGAACATTATACATCAGAAGAAGAAGCCAATTGCTTAGAGAGAATGCCAAATCAGGTGTAAGTAAAATCACTACATATATCATGTTTGTTATAAACCCTTTTGATGCAGTCTCAAAAATTACTTTACAACTCATAATTGATTATCACATGTTCTCATGTAGTGTCAATGATTATTTATTAACTGAAATGTTTGAGAAGGAGGAAAATCTCACCAGAAAGTTAAAAACAGGGATATGTAGAACACAGATATTTAGCAACTTTCAGAAATACTATTTAATGCAGTTTATGATTCAGTAAACCACTTTCCTGATTTATTGTAAATCTTCAAAACTCTTATTGTATTCAATCCTGAAGGAATGCATTAGAATCTCAGACAGCTTTTATTGAGAGAGTTTGCAGCTAATTTATGTATCACAAATCAATTTTGGCCATGGTCAATTGAATAAATCTCTCTAACAAGACATGTTTCTGAACAAGTAACTACAATACCTGGTCTTTCTTTAATTTTAGTACAATTCATCTTTGAAGATGATTGTAGATGATGTCGGCAACTCTCACCCATAATTCTTGTTTAAATCTGTTCCAATTTTTAATTGTGTTAGCAACGGGATCCAGCTGTTCGAAAGGAATACCTTCATCAACGGGCACAGTTACTGACATCCCGATACGGAAGTCCAGCTTTTTCTGACCAGGGGTATAATTTTTTTCTTTTCATTCTTAGTTTTCAACTTGGAACTAGGGGGGGGTGGGGGGGTATAGTTTTTGCATTGTATCCATCTGTCTATGCATCTGTCCTATTGTCCTTTCCATGTCTTGTCCCGACTTTCTCCTACACTACTTGTTACTGGAACCTCATACTTGGAGTATAGGTTCACCTTGGTGAGTCAGTTTGTGATGTTGTTTAGGACTCATACTTAGATATGAGTTGACCTTGATGAGATGGTGTGTCAGTGGGGAACTGATGGGATAAACTGGTGAGATGGTGTGTCACTGGGGGTATGAAGGTTGACATAGGTAAGATGGTGTGTCAGTGGGGAATTGATGGGATAACCTGGTGAGGTGGTGTGTCACTGGGGGTATGAAGGTTGACATAGGTGAGGTGGTGTGTCGCTGGGGGACTGAAGGTTGGCGTGGGTGAGGTGGTGTGTCGCTGGGGGACTGAAGGTTGACATGGGGTAGACTTTAGGTTCACCTTGGTGATGTGGTGTATTGGGGGGAATAACAGAGAGTGCTGACGTAAATCTTGTGAGAAGTACCAGGATGATAACAGATAATATTTTATTTATATTTTATAGATCAGTATTAATATTTGATATATGACAGGATAGCTGGGAATTTTTCAGGAAAGGATCTTAATTGCAAAGAGTCAGAAATGAATTCTATGAAAATGTTGCCTTATTATATGAAACAGATTAAATGCAGTAATTTTTCTTTGTGATATCTGTTTTACTGCAGTATTCCTAAAGATAACTGGAAAAAGTGTCTATTCTCATTGTTAACAAAATATGTTGTAAGTATGATATATATGACAGACAATGTTTGGTGTAATGATCGTATGATAATTTTGATATCCACGGCTTAATTTTCCTGTTTATTTTTCAGGAGTATCAGAAGTCGGTCCTTCAGTATAAGGAGTATAAGCAGAAACACTATGGAGGTATCCAATTACTTTTATACGATATTGTTGTGTCTAGTAGCTAAAGCATTGCTACTACAGAAATGATAATTAAAAACATATTGCTAAGATAAAAATAGAGATAACATGAGTCATAAAGGGTTACCTCTGCAATGCCCTACCCAAATAAAACATAGACCACTTAATGTGCTGAGATCAAGAACTGAGCAGACAATACTATACCTATATGACTTTGTATTAATATCTATGATTGCCTAACTGATCAAGCACGCCTTACACCAGCACAAAAGTATAGGAAAAGAAATCTTGTGAATTTGCATATTTTGACTCCTCAATTATTAGGATATTTCTTTTAAACATTTTATTAATGTTGGCTATTAAAACAAAAATTCTGCAGAGTTTTGACAATCTAGCTATTGGTGTGGATGGGAAGAAGCATCACAGACGCCATCAGAGTGCTGGGTCATTCAAACATGTGTATGAGGGACCAATGAAGCGTGTATATGACAGTATAGAAGTGGTGCCAACTCGGGAGGCTGAAGCCAGCAGGTGTGTTTATTAGGATTATTCTGTACATCAGTTATATGATATAGATATTGTTTGTGTTGGAGTTACACACTACCTTTACTCTGTACATCAGTTATATGATATAGATATTGTTTGTGTTGGAGTTACACACTACCTTTACTCTGTACATCAGTTATATGATATAGATATTGTTTGTGTTGGAGTTACACACTACCTTTACTCTGTACATCAGTTATATGATATAGATATTGTTTGTGTTGGAGTAACACACTACCTTTACTCAGTACATCAGTTATATGATATAGATATTGTTTGTGTTGGAGTAACACACTACCTGTATTCTGTACATCAGTTATATGATATAGATATTGTTTGTGTTGGAGTTACACACTACCTGTATTCTGTACATCAGTTATATGATCTAGATATTGTTTGTGTTGGAGTTACACACTACCTGTATTCTGTACATCAGTTATATGATCTAGATATTGTTTGTTTTGGAGTATCTCAGTATCTAGTTACAGATACTTGTACTTATGCTACATTCCATTTGTATTGAAATGGTAAGGTTGAAAATAATTGTTTACATACTTAGTGAATGTTGAGGACCTCAAGAACAAAATCATTGTGGATGAAAGCCTGAGATAAAACCACCAGATTGCCAAACCAAATTTTATTGAAAGCAGTCATTTTGTGCTGATTATTAACTGACATCAAGACACTTGATCAATCCCTGATTTTATATCCTTTACTTGCAGAGCGATGGCTGGAGGCAAGACTGTGTCAGAAAACTATGCTTTTACAGGAATGCATCATATATTTGATCAGCATAAGGAATCAGGTAGTGATTGTATAATAAATCAACAGTTTGTCAGGATAGTGTTGTATATCAACAGTGGGTCAGGATAGTGTTGTATATCAACAGAGAGTCAGGATAGTGTTGTATATCAACAGTGGGTCAGGATAGTGTTGTATATCAACAGTGGGTCAGGATAGTGTTGTATATCAACAGTGGGTCAGGATAGTGTTGTATATCAACAGTGGGTCAGGATAGTGTTGTATATCAACAGTTTGTCAGGATAGTGTTGTATATCAACAGGGAGTCAGGATAGTGTTGTATATCAACAGGGAGTCAGGATAGTGTTGTATATCAACAGTGGGTCAGGATAGTGTTGTATATCAACAGTGGGTCAGGATAGTGTTGTATATCAACAGTGGGTCAGGATAGTGTTGTATATCAACAGTGGGTCAGGATAGTGTTGTATATCAACAGTGGGTCAGGATAGTGTCGTATATCAACAGTGGGTCAGGATAGTGTTGTATATCTACAGTTTGTCAGGATAGTGTTGTATATCAACAGAGAGTCAGGATAGTGTTGTATATCAACAGTTTGTCAGGATAGTGTTGTATATCAACAGTGGGTCAGGATAGTGTTGTATATCAACAGTGGGTCAACAGTGGGTCAGGATAGTGTTGTATATCAACAGTTTGTCAGGATAGTGTTGTATATCAATAGTTTGTCAGGATAGTGTTGTATATCAACAGTGGGTCAGGATAGTGTTGTATATCAACAGTGGGTCAGGATAGTGTTGTATATCAACAGTTTGTCAGGATAGTGTTGTATATCAACAGTGGGTCAGGATAGTGTTGTATATCAACAGTGGGTCAGGATAGTGTTGTATATCAACAGTGGGTCAGGATAGTGTTGTATATCAACAGTGGGTCAGGATAGTGTTGTATATCAACAGTGGGTCAGGATAGTGTCGTATATCAACAGGGAGTCAGGATAGTGTTGTATATCAACAGAGAGTCAGGATAGTGTCGTATATCAACAGTGGGTCAGGATAGTGTTGTATATCAACAGTTTGTCAGGATAGTGTTGTATATCAACAGTGGGTCAGGATAGTGTTGTATATCAACAGTGGGTCAGGATAGTGTTGTATATCAACAGTGGGTCAGGATAGTGTTGTATATCAACAGTTTGTCAGGATAGTGTTGTATATCAATAGTTTGTCAGGATAGTGTTGTATATCAACAGTGGGTCAGGATAGTGTTGTATATCAACAGTGGGTCAGGATAGTGTTGTATATCAACAGAGAGTCAGGATAGTGTTGTATATCAACAGGGAGTCAGGATAGTGTTGTATATCAACAGAGAGTCAGGATAGTGTTGTATATCAACAGAGAGTCAGGATAGTGTTGTATATCAACAGTGGGTCAGGATAGTGTTGTATATCAACAGTGGGTCAGGATAGTGTTGTATATCAACAGGGAGTCAGGATAGTGTTGTATATCAACAGTGGGTCAGGATAGTGTCGTATATCAACAGTGGGTCAGGATAGTGTCGTATATTAACAGAGAGTCAGGATAGTGTCGTATATCAACAGTGGGTCAGGATATTGTTGTATATCCATATATGGTCATGGTAATGTTAGATATTGACAGTCAGCATGGTATTAGATTAAAGTACAGCTTCTCACTGTTGTCTATTTTAACTGTGCTAGAGGAGAAAAATTGTTTTGGAGTTCAAAAATTTGATTCAGGATTACCATTTTCATGGTAAAAAAATCAAAAAGAATCTGGTTTGTCCCCATCAACAGATCTTACACTCCTGTACAAGTTTTTATTTTTTGTCATTCCTGTAGCTAATTTTGTCTTTTGCATGTAGACTACCCAGAACATCACCAGTTGATAAGTGTCATTATAGTGTTTTTAGCTCGTACTATTACATCTATATGTAAAGAATTGGCCCATTCCTGTCATGAACATGCTGATTCCAATGAGGGAATTTAACATTGATTTGGCTTTCAAGGTTTATTAATTAATTATTAATAATTATGTGAACTGAGAATTGAAAGTGATATTTCACTTTGGCAAGTATGAGGAATTGAAATCTTAACTTTTCCCTGTCTAGAAAATGATGAACTTGATTGTGAAAAATACTTGAACAGTGTAGTTTTAAATCTTAAGTGTACTGCAAAAATAACATGAACTTTATATATTGCATGCTTTTTATAAGTGTGGTTTGAATATTTAAATTTCAGTGACAAGTGTAAAATTTGCTAATGATGACAAGTCCCGTGTAGCATGCTCATCACTGGATGGTACTCTGTCCATCTGCCAAGTCATCCCTCCTCCAGCCACTGTTATTTGTATGTTGAACGGACACTCAGCTGGAGTAACAGGTAACTGTTCCTGATACGATGTCCTCCCAATGCTGTATCTGGTAAGAGTATTGTATGATCGAGGAGCTGCAAAGTAAAGTTGCTGAACATTACCAACACCTTTTATATCATGACCTGCTGGAGCTTGATCCAGTATGAAATTTTTAGGTCACCTGAGACAAAATCTCAAGTGACCTATTGCGATCGCCTTTTGTCTGGTGTTGTCTAGCATAGACAATTACATTTTGACTTCTTCTCAAGAACCAAAAGGCCCACGGTCATGGTATAGGGCCAGTAGGATGCTGGGATTTTTTTATGTGGAGACATTTTATGTTAAATCTCTCACGAAATGTACCTGCATATTTCTCTAGAGACATTATATGTGAAACTTCACTGTATACATTTCTCTAGAGACATAAAAATAATGTATTTCTGACGTTGCTGTATTTCAGATTTTGTGTGGTCTCTGTCTAATGATGTGATCCTATCAGTGTCGTTTGATGGTACAGCTAGACTGTGGGATGTTGCTGCGGGCAAGTGCATGCGAGTCATCAATGACAACACAGGAGCAGAACTACTTTGTTGTGTGTTTCAACCCCTCAACAACAACATGTTTGTTGTATCCTTCTCAAGCTCTGATCATATCTGTAATATAGCACAACTTTTATGGTTCTGTCTTTATTCAATAAACTATACTTGTTTTAAGTGATGTTGATATGTGTGGCCATGTTTTAAAATACCTTAAACTACAATTAGTTTTTCAAATTAGATGATAGCATACTTCTATACATTAAATTTATTAATATTTTAGTAATTGTGACCTGTGTGGACTTTCAAAGAAAAAAATCACAAAAAATGTTATACTTCATATTTTTGAAAAACATTATTTCTCGGATAAATTGCAGTGACCTTTGTCTTCTTTTTATGAATCAGGTCATTGATTGTAGTTAGTTAGTGTCCCTATTACTGCTGTGAAAGGAATAGGTTACCACTGGCTAAAGATATCTCCTCATTCTGGGGTAATTTTCTGTCACAGACAAGTTACACATGTGCCTTAACAAAATTCAGACAGGTAACAGTAAAGGACAGGTGCAAATGATGAATGTGTCTACAGGAAAAGGAAACAAGGTAATAATTTAGGTAGACATATTAAATGTGTCTGAAGGAAACAATGTAATACTTTAGGTAGATGTGTTGAATGTGTCTGAAGGAAACAATGTAATACTGTAGGTAGACATATTAAATGTGTCTGAAGGAAACAATGTAATACTTTAGGTAGATGTGTTGAATGTGTCTGAAGGAAACAATGTAATACTGTAGGTAGATGTATTGTATGTGTCTACAGGAAACAATGTAATACTGTAGGTAGACATATTAAATGTGTCTGAAGGAAACAATGTAATACTGTAGGTAGACATATTAAATGTGTCTGAAGGAAACAATGTAATACTGCAGGTAGACATAGTAAATGTGTCTGAAGGAAACAAGGTAATACTTTAGTAGACATATTAAATGTGTCTACAGGAAACAATGTAATACTGTAGGTAGATGTGTTGAATGTGTCTGAAGGAAACAATGTAATACTGTAGGTAGACATATTAAATGTGTCTGAAGGAAACAATGTAATACTGTAGGTAGACATATTAAATGTGTCTGAAGGAAACAATGTAATACTGCAGGTAGACATAGTAAATGTGTCTGAAGGAAACAAGGTAATACTTTAGTAGACATATTAAATGTGTCTGAAGGAAACAATGTAATACTGTAGGTAGACATATTAAATGTGTCTGAAGGAAACAATGTAATACTTAAGGTAGATGTGTTGAATGTGTCTGAAGGAAGGTAAACAATGTGTGTAAACTGTAGGTAGACATATTAAATGTGTCTGAAGGAAACAATGTAATACTGTAGGTAGACATATTAAATGTGTCTGAAGGAAACAATGTAATACTGCAGGGACATAGTAAATGTGTTGAATGTGTGTACAGGAAACAATGTAATACTGTAGGTAATGTGTTGAATGTGTCTGAAGGAAACAATGTAATACTGTAGGTAGACATATTAAATGTGTCTGAAGGAAACAATGTAATACTGTAGGTAGACATATTAAATGTGTCTGAAGGAAACAATGTAATACTGCAGGTAGACATAGTAAATGTGTCTGAAGGAAACAAGGTAATACTTTAGTAGACATATTAAATGTGTCTACAGGAAACAATGTAATACTGTAGGTAGATGTGTTGAATGTGTCTGAAGGAAACAATGTAATACTGTAGGTAGATGTGTTGAATGTGTCTGAAGGAAACAATGTAATACTGTAGGTAGATGTGTTGAATGTGTCTGAAGGAAACAATGTAATACTGTAGGTAGACATATTAAATGTGTCTGAAGGAAACAATGTAATACTGTAGGTAGACATGAAGGAAACAAGGTAATACTGTAAATGTGTTGAAGGAAACAATGTAATACTTTAGGTAGATGTGTTGAATGTAGGAAACAATGTAATACTGTAGGTAGATGTGTTGAATGTGTCTACAGGAAACAATGTAATACTGTAGGTAGACATATTAAATGTGTCTGAAGGAAACAATGTAATACTGTAGGTAGACATATTAAATGTGTCTGAAGGAAACAATGTAATACTGTAGGTAGATGTGTTGAATGTGTCTGAAGGAAACAAGGTAATACTGTAGGTAGATGTGTTGAATGTGTCTGAAGGAAACAATGTAATACTGTAGGTAGATGTGTTGAATGTGTCTGAAGGAAACAATGTAATACTGTAGGTAGACATATTAAATGTGTCTGAAGGAAACAATGTAATACTGTAGGTAGAATGTGTGAAGGAAACAATGTAAATGTGTCTGAAGGAAACAATGTAATACTGTAGGTAGACATATTAAATGTGTCTGAAGGAAACAATGTAATACTGTAGGTAGATGTGTTGAATGTGTCTGAAGGAAACAATGTAATACTGTAGGTAGATGTGTTGAATGTGTCTGAAGGAAACAATGTAATACTGTAGGTAGAATGTTAAATGTGTCTGAAGGAAACAATGTAATACTGTAGGTAGATGTGTTGAATGTGTCTGAAGGAAACAATGTAATACTGTAGGTAGATTTTTTTAATGTGTCTGAAGGAATCAATGTAATACTGTAGGTAGATGTGTTGAATGTGTCTGAAGGAAACAAGGTAATACTGTAGGTAGATGTGTTGAATGTGTCTGAAGGAAACAATGTAATACTGTAGGTAGATGTGTTATGGTAGATGTGTTGAATGTGTCTGAAGGAAACAAGTAACATATTAAACTGTAATACATGTAGGTAGATGTGTTGAATGTGTCTGAAGGAAACAATGTAATACTGACATATTATGGTAGATGTGTTGAATGTGTCTGAAGGAAACAATGTAATACTGTAGGTAGATGTGTTGAATGTGTCTGAAGGAAACAATGTAATACTGTAGGTAGATGTGTTGAATGTGTCTGAAGGAAACAATGTAATACTTAAGGTAGATGTGTTGAATGTGTCTGAAGGAAACAATGTAATACTGTAGGTAGATGTGTTGAATGTGTCTACAGGAAACAATGTAATACTGTAGGTAGATGTGTTGAATGTGTAGGAAACAATGTAATACTGTTAGATGTGTTGAATGTGTCTGAAGGAAACAATGTAATACTGTAGGTAGACATATTAAATGTGTCTGAAGGAAACAATGTAATACTGTAGGTAGATGTGTTGAATGTGTCTGAAGGAAACAATGTAATACTGTAGGTAGACATATTAAATGTGTCTGAAGGAAACAATAGGTAATACTGTAGGTAGACATATTAAATGTGTCTGAAGGTGTTAGGAATGTGTTGAATGTGTCTGAAGGAAACAAGGTAATACTGTAGGTAGATGTGTTGAATATGTCTGAAGGAAACAATGTAATACTGTAGGTAGACATATTAAATGTGTCTGAAGGAAACAAGGTAATACTGTAGGTAGATGTGTTGAATGTGTCTGAAGGAAACAAGGTAATACTGTAGGTAGATGTGTTGAATGTGTCTGAAGGAAGCAATGTAATACTGTAGGTAGATGTGTTGAATGTGTCTGAAGGAAACAAGGTAATACTGTAGGTAGATGTGTTGAATGTGTCTGAAGGAAACAATGTAATACTGTAGGTAGATGTGTTGAATGTGTCTGAAGGAAACAATGTAATACTGTAGGTAGACATATTAAATGTGTCTGAAGGAAACAATGTAATACTGCAGGTAGACATAGTAAATGTGTCTGAAGGAAACAAGGTAATACTTTAGTAGACATATTAAATGTGTTTACAGGAAACAATGTAATACTGTAGGTAGATGTGTTGAATGTGTCTGAAGGAAACAATGTAATACTGTAGGTAGACATATTAAATGTGTCTGAAGGAAACAATGTAATACTGTAGGTAGACATATTAAATGTGTCTACAGGAAACAAGGTAATACTGTAGGTAGATGTGTTGAATGTGTCTGAAGGAAACAATGTAATACTGTAGGTAGATGTGTTGAATGTGTCTGAAGGAAACAAGGTAATACTGTAGGTAGATGTGTTGAATGTGTCTGAAGGAAACAATGTAATACTGTAGGTAGATGTGTTGAATGTGTCTGAAGGAAACAAGGTAATACTGTAGGTAGATGTGTTGAATGTGTCTGAAGGAAACAATGTAATACTGTAGGTAGATGTGTTGAATGTGTCTGAAGGAAACAATGTAATACTGTAGGTAGACATATTAAATGTGTCTGAAGGAAACAATGTAATACTGTAGGTAGATGTGTTGAATGTGTCTGAAGGAAACAATGTAATACTGTAGGTAGACATATTAAATGTGTCTGAAGGAAACAATGTAATACTGTAGGTAGACATATTAAATGTGTCTGAAGGAAACAAGGTAATACTGTAGGTAGATGTGTTGAATGTGTCTGAAGGAAACAAGGTAATACTGTAGGTAGACATATTAAATGTGTCTGAAGGAAACAATGTAATACTGTAGGTGGACATATTAAATGTGTCTGAAGGAAACAAGGTAATACTATAGGTAGATGTGTTGAATGTGTCTGAAGGAAACAAGGTAATACTGTAGGTAGATGTGTTGAATATGTCTGAAGGAAACAATGTAATACTGTAGGTAGACATATTAAATGTGTCTGAAGGAAACAAGGTAATACTGTAGGTAGATGTGTTGAATGTGTCTGAAGGAAACAAGGTAATACTGTAGGTAGATGTGTTGAATGTGTCTGAAGGAAGCAATGTAATACTGTAGGTAGATGTGTTGAATGTGTCTGAAGGAAACAAGGTAATACTGTAGGTAGATGTGTTGAATGTGTCTGAAGGAAACAATGTAATACTGTAGGTAGATGTGTTGAATGTGTCTGAAGGAAACAATGTAATACTGTAGGTAGATGTGTTGAATGTGTCTGAAGGAAACAAGGTAATACTGTAGGTAGATGTGTTGAATGTGTCTACAGGAAATAAGGTTCTTATGTGGGTATATATGAGGAATGATCCTGCCAGGAACAGACCATAATTTGTATTTTGATGAAATGTGCAATTTAATTTGCCACTGCATATTTCTTGGAAATACTGGAGTCTCCATTATGAATAAAATTCTTTTTTTCTGACTTCTTAGAACCTACAGCATAAATTACTTTGATTAGGCTTTGCTTTTGTCACAGTTCCTTTAGCTCTTTCAATGAAGTCTTATGATAGAAAATGATAAGTAGGATGAATGTAAACCCTGAATGTGATGTCACTTTGCTTCAGGGAGGAAGTAGTAAAGTGACGGGTAAGGCAATGGCTTTGGCCTTTGACACGACAGGTCGCATCCTCTGGGCAGGCGATGACAAGGGGTCAATCTTCTCTTTCACTGTAGATGTGGCTACAGGGAAACTTACAAAAACACGAAGGTCAGTTTATCTCAAGGTTAAAACACAAACATCAGTTTTATTCAACTTTAAAACACAAAGGTCTGTTTATCTCAGGTTTGAAACACGAAGGTCAGTTTTTCTCAAGGTAAAACACGAAGGTCAGTTTATCTCAGGTTTAAAACACGAAGGTCAGTTTATCTCAATTTTAAAAATGAAGGTCAATTTATCTCATTATTAAAAAGTTTGTTTTTCTCCAATGTATAGTAAAGATCAAATAGACTTTATACTACAGCTATAACTGTGTCTTCTGAACTCTATATCTGTATCACAAATTAATCTGTTAAACTCATTTCAGCTATAGGAAATGTCATAATCGTGGTACAATTATAATATTGTTAGATTTGATACTGTACACAGATTATTTTTACTTGCCAAAGTTGAGTTTGAGTTTTTAAGTATGGATAATTGCAGTACAAAATGTACTTAGATTTCACTGTTGCCGAAATTTTATTTCAGAATAACGGTGAGCGATGGAAGTGCCATTACCAGTATCTCCTCTCGCTCCTGGATCAGTCGAGAAGCACGAGATCCATCACTCTTGGTCAACAGCTGTATCAGTGCTATGTGCCTTTTCAAGTAAGAGATCAATTATTTCATCATGTCTTGGATTTAACAATAGAGTTTTTAAGAATGGAGTTCTCTGAAAAATATAGCCAATTCTAAAACTTTACACCAATTTCTTTATGTTAAATCACGTATCTAATATGATCATATTTTTTTTGTAAATGATGAGAGATATAATATGTGATTAGATATTACACAAAGCAAATCTATTTCTTGCACATATACCTGGTACATGTATTTGACAAATATTACACAGAAGGATCAGTTTGTGATTAACACTGATTTGTACCAATCTGTTTGGTGTTCAGTTTTTACATCGCCAACTTTTTTTGTCTGTGATAGGCTGTAAGCAGATGATGGTGATTGATGTTCAGTTTTAATTTTTTCCTTGTCTCTGACAGGGTGGTGACAGATGATGGGGGTTTACAGCTAAAGAAGACATTCCCAGTGAAACAGAAGAAGTGTCATATCCGTAGTACCTTTTGTCCTCTCATGTCTTTCCGTCAGGGAGCTTGTGTAGGCAAGTATTGAAACTGATAAAAATGTTTAATATACATCAATGTTAAAATATAGATTGTGTCTCTCTATATGTTAGTTACATTAGTTTTTGTCACAGAGTTTTAATTCTTTCTTTAGGACTTTATAAACATGTTTGTTTTAGCAATAGATTGTGTTTCTTAAAACAGATTTTTGAAATATTATAAAATATGTGGAATATTGTTTGCAGTGTCTGGCAGTGAGGACATGTGTGTATACTTCTTTGATGTTGGTAAGGACAACAAACCTTGTGTCAACAAACTGCTCGGTCACTCAGCTCCTGTGTTAGATGTATGTTTCAACTGTGATGAGAGCCTGCTTGCCTCATGTGATGAACTAGGAATGGTGATCATCTGGAAGCGAGAAGGAAAGCAGGGGATGATTTAATGGCTGTGTGTAATTTCATGCTATCTGACCCTGGGGTTACTGGTATATCAGATGTACACAGGGCCTCATTATTATCTCTGTTGATTCTTAGAGTCATATCATTCAAGATAATTCTTCATTCTATAATTCTAATATTAGTTCATTGACAGTGACCTACAATAGTGTCGCAGGATTTCTAATCAATTTTCCGTTTTGATTCATTCTGGAGCCATTTTATTGTGCAATAAGTGAGTGAGAGTTTAGTGTGCTATTGTTAATCTGTTACCATTTAATGATAGGTGGTTGTTGGTGACCAAGTGATGAGAGGAGGAGGCGGATAATGTTAATCAAAGTATTGGTGTTTCCTTTCTAGAAATGATCAGAAGTGTCCAGAAGTCTAGAATTCCTAACACTACACAGTATACTTTGTTCTACTGATGAGTCCTACAGGATTCAGAGTCATGTTACAGAAAATCAAGTCTTATCAACACATTACACCTCTGACCATTTCTGGCCAGTCACTGTCTAGATGGTAAAGAATACCTTGTGATTTTTAATATATAATTTTGTCACTTTGTGTGTCCCTCACACAGCTTGTGTACTAGATATTTCCTGAACATATTTAGTCCATATTCAAACCACAGTATCACAAAATTGTGTGTATCTGTAAAGATTTCAAAGTCAAAGGTAAAACTTGACAGCTTTCAAAATAATAAATAACCTCTGAGTAGATTTAGTTAGTCATATCATATTGTTACAACACAAACTTTGAAATTATACTTGATAGTCATTGGTTGAGGTTAAAGGTCATATATGACAAAGTTTTAAATAGAAGCTTGTGAACAAGATGGCATTAGTATCTCATAATCTCCTAAAGAGATTGAGTTCATATTTACATCATAGTAACATAACTTGAAATCTTCCATGTATTACACAGATATTTGTTTTTCAGCTGCCAAAAAGAAATGGTCACTGGTTACACTTGACCACTTTTGAAATAAAAAGCTTGTGTGCGAGATATCATATTCAAAAAATAGCATTACAACATGTTACATGCATTCTTAAGATTTTTCCTGGTCGTTGTTAAGGTTGAAAAGTCAAAGGTAACACTTAGCAAATTTGAAATAAAAACATAAGGGAGTAAGAGGTATATCTATCATAGCACCTGCTTATTTAATTATTTTCTTTTGCTTGTAATATGAATGAGTTCTGTTTAGTTAGTCGGTTTATTGATTGTTAATTTATTTTGTTATGCTTTTTTTATTTAGATATAAATGTATTCAGTTGATAACGACCATCTCGTACACTGTGTACGTCAGTGCTAGTATGCTCTACACTGGTCACTTGTCTGATGAAGGTGACAGAGTTGTCATCAAAACCTCACACTATTCTTCTGATTGTGTGATGAGAATTTCTATTATAATGGTTCATGGTGAAATGTAAGAAAGCCTTACTCCAAGTAGTGAGACATTCTTCACCATGAAAAGTGAGAGCATCGGCTCATTGGATGATAGACTTACATTAGTTACAGACCAATTTTCTGTTTGACTTTAGAGGCTTCTGTCTGTACTTTTAATACTGCAGAAATCGGTTACTTGACTATGAAGAAAGAGTGCTAACATATCTATGTCAGAGAATATCCATTTTCTGAAATGGTCCACAAAGATAGGAATAATTCAGTTCTTTGTGTTTTTGTGTCTACATGTAACTTGTAGAGTCTCCTTATGATTGTGTCCTATGATTCTGTTAGGGTTATTTAGGAGAGTAACTTAATATGTCTGTGATGTAAAACTTAAGGACATTTTTTTTCCATTTACAATAAATGTGATAGTTCTCTAAGCATTCCTGTAATTGAAATGTCAAAGTGTTGCAGTTTTCCACATTCCACTTGAAAGTTAAATTGATATTTCATATAAATGTTAATAATCTGTGTATTTACTGCTTCCAAACGGTTTGTCATAGATTTTTTTTTATTTTACAACACGACATACCGGTAACTTATAATGAATATTCTACAAATATTCCAGACTTGTTTGAATCCCGAGTATCATGAAGCCATCAATTTATGTTGATTTCGTGGATACTGTTTATTCACCAATTCATGTGTTACCAGATGAATGAATCAAACAGCAGATTTTAGTATGGGTGGAATTCTATCTATAACACAAAATCAAGTGCCCATGTAAAAATTATTGTTTGAAAAACCATGTAACCTAATCCACATGAAAACGTGATTTCACAGTACCATGAAATTGATTACACCTGGAAATGGAACTTCTGTGTGACAAGGATACTGTTAAACCTATATACTTGTACTTAACTAAGTGATGTTTGATACAAGATGTGCCTTAATTTCTGTCCTTGGTGTTTACATAGGTTTTAATTATGTCAAGGATACCTACTAATGTATGTTATATAACACGTGCAATATAAGTTATAATTGTAAATCTGTTGTTATTTGCAGTATGTGTTTAAGTTGATGGTTTCATGCAAAACATTGGATTTCCTGTGTTTTATCATATTGAAAATCATATTATTACAGAAAGCTCAATTTGCTGACAGGTATATCCTATACGTCCATATGTTTATATTGTTGTGACCTAGCTATGTCATATTGTTAAAGTGTTTACAACATCTTGTCATTTTTTCATTGTTGACACGTTTATTTCATATTGCTAGTGCTGTGACATCTGTCATGTTGCCACATTGTGACATATTGATGTCATTCTGCTACAGTGTTGTGATATGTCATAATGCTAGTGTTGTAATATATCATATTGTTACACTGTTGTAATATATCATATTGTTACATTGTTGTAATATGTCATATTGTTACATTGTTGTAATATATCATATTGTTACATTGTTGTAATATATCATATTGTTACACTGTTGTAATATATCATATTGTTACATTGTTGTGATATGTGATATTGCTACATTGTTGTAATATATCATATTGTTACACTGTTGTAATATATCATATTGTTACACTGTTGTGATATGTCATATTGTTACACTGTTGTGATATGTCATATTGCTACATTTTTGTGACATGTCATATTGCTACATTGTTGTGACATATGTCAGATTGCTACATTGTTGTGATATGTCAGATTGCTACATTGTTATGACATATGTCAGATTGCTACATTGTTGTGACATATGTCAGATTGCTACTGTGTTGTGATGTCAGATTGCTACATTGTTGTGACATATGTCATATTGTTACATTGTTGTGATATGTCATATTGTTACACTGTTGTGATATGTCAGATTGTTACTGTGTTGTGATATGTCATATTGCTACATTGTTGTGACATATGTCATATTGTTACACTGTTGTGATATGTCATATTGTTACTGTGTTGTGATATGTCATATTGCTACATTGTTGTGACATATGTCATATTGTTACACTGTTGTAATATGTCATATTGTTAATGTGTTGTGATATGTCATATTGCTACATTGTTGTGACATATGTCAGATTGCTACATTGTTGTGACATATGTCATATTGCTACATTGTTGTGACATGTCATATTGCTACATTGATGTGACATATGTCATATTGCTACATTGTTGTGACATCAATTTCGGTAAGGTTTTTCTTAATCCCTGTTGAAGGAGGACTGTGTATGTATCCTTATATAGCCAGAGTTGACACTAAATCAGGGATTATTTTCATATCAGTCTGTTTGTATTGTGAATTAGTACCTTATACCCTCTGATTTATTAACCTTGAATAGCATACTAACTCCAGCAGTGTGTTGTTAAATTCAGGTGAATAGTGTACTTTACAGGTATAGCAATAAATTCCACTTGTACAATATTGCATGAATCACAATCATCACCTTGTTGGATTCACTTTCATAAAGTATATGTTGTTCACATATACATTTTTACAAAAATATCACGTAGTGATCAAAGATTTGTCATATCCATAAGCTTTTGAAATATATTAATGGAATGTTGTGATGAGAAGATGTGCTGGAAGACAGTAAACAAAACATCATGGAAAGTTAGGGGTATGTTCTGGCCAGATCAAGTTTACACTCCGAAACAGTCAGAGTGAATGTGAGAAAATAACCAACCTATTGTCAGTTTCATTTTTTTTAGTTGATGCAATGCAAAATCTTTAATGCATTATATTTCAAGGAGAAATAAGTTATAATTTATGAACTCTGGATAGTTGCTAGGATATCAGAAAGTTGTTTTGAAAGGACCACGATTTACGATTGTACTGTTTATTGTCTAAATAAATATTTGATCAAAACGTTGATGTTTCACATAAACAATATTGCCAAAATCATACCCCTTACTTTGGTCTGGAAACTAATTTGACCCTGATTTGAGAAATGTACTTAAAACAATATGAAAATTGTTTGTTATCTGTTTTTGCCTGTAGAATTTAAATATTATTTGGAAAATGGAGAGGAATTAATATCAGTATCAGAATTGTCTGTGTTGTTGTCTGTTTTATAGTAGGTTTATTTAAAGCTGTTTAGCAATGCTCAATTCATCGTCCCATCAACAATCATCATTTGTCTGGTGGAGAAAATAGTGAAATCAGTAGCATTGAAAAAGTTGTTTTGAAGAAACAAATAAATGGATACCACACTGGGCATAAGCTCTCCCTAAATCTTTTGAAGCTCTCCTTATGTCTTTTGCACTAGGCAAGTTAAAATAAAAATAAAAACCAAACTTGTATATAAATATCCTTTAATTATGCTTTTTATTAGAACAAGGTAATATATCTTTGATGAATCAACAACTCCAATATGATTGGATTAAATAATACAGGACTTAGTGGATTATTGTGACAGGTTATACATGATATGATTTAATACATTTTAATTTGAATACAAGAAAATCACCAATCCATGTTATAACAAGAAATAATGGATTCTAATGGATAGATACAGTGGAAACATCAGACAGCTAGGAACCCTCGTATCTGGTCTGGCATCAGAGAGCTAGGAACCCTTATATCTGGTCTGGCATCAGACATCTAGGAACCCCTTATATCTGGTCTGGCATCAGAGAGCTAGAACCCTCATATCTAGTTGGGCATCAGAGAGCTAGGAACCCTTATAACTGGTCTGGCATCAGAGAGTTAGAACCCTCATATCTGGTCTGGCATCAGACAGCTAGGGACCCATATATCTGATTTGGCAACAGACAGCTAGGAACTCTTTATATCTGGTCTGGCATCAGACAGCTAGGAACCCTTATATCTGATGTGGCATCAGAGAGCTAGGAACTCTCATATCTGGTCTGGCATCAGACATCTAGGAACCCCTTATATCTGATGTGGCATCAGAGAGCTAGGAACCCTTATATCTGATGTGGCATCAGAGAGCTAGGAACCCTCATATCTGATGTGGCATCAGAGAGCTAGGAACCCTTATATCTGATGTGGCATCAGAGAGCTAGGAACCCTCATATCTGATGTGGCATCAGAGAGCTAGAACCCTTATATCTGATGTGGCATCAGAGAGCTTGGAACCCTCATATCTGGTCTGGCATCAGATAGCTAGGAACCCTTATATCTGGTCTGGCAACAGACAGCTAGGAACCCTTATATCTTGTCTGCCACAAGACAAATAGAAACCCTCATATCTGATCTCCCAATAGAAAGCTAGGAATCCTCATATCTGATGTGGCATCAGACAGCTAAAAACCCTCTGGTGTTTTTTTCCTAACAATTTGCTATCTTTAAATCATTCCTCTGAAAGCTATGATTTACAACCATAGCTCCCTGCAGAATTACTGGTATATATATTGATAAAGATGGCAGTGACATCTAAATACAATATATATATTGCCAATGTGAAGCTGTCATGATCATAGCCAAGGCACATTAATTTGAAAAACTGAAGATAGATATTTTTGTGGTCAGTATACATAAGTTTGCACAAAACAAATCACAATACCTAGGTACATGTAAAAGAAACTGTCAAGTAGATGACTTTTTTGTGAAGTCATTGACCACGGGATAGAAGTGTTGAGGGGAAAAAAACCCTCATTTCCATGATGAAAATGTTACCATGAAGGTGGAACACATCAGGTAACCAAAGAACTGCTACAACATTCAAACAAGTAATTTAAACACTACCAGATGTAATCGAGGAAGATGGAGCTCACTATATGTACCAGGTAACCAAGGATAGTGGAGCACACTACCACGTAACCAAGGAACATTGTAACAGGTAACAAAGGAAGTTGGAGCTTCTTACCACATAACCAAGGAAGGTAGATCAAACTGTCAGGAGCCAAGGAAGGAGGAAAACACCACCAGGTGTAACCATGCAAACCACCAGGTGTAACCATGGAAAGTAGTTCATACTACCAGATAACTGAAGACCGTGGAAGGTACCGCTAGGTAAACAAGGGCAGAACACACTAATAGGTAAAGAAGGTGGATCATACTACCTGGTTAAAAAAACGGGAAAAACAAGGGCATAAAATATTCTTAATACAACTGCCAAATTTATTTCACTCTAATCATGATTCTTTATCTGTTTGGCCAATACCCCACTGCATTTTGAACTTTGCAGTTGTATATCGAGATGATTCTGTCAGGATAACTTTTAACTGGAAACAAGTAGTGAGAAACAGACACTGCAACAGTATAATCAGAGTGGGGAATATATTCCAAGCATGAATCAGAAATTTCCAACAAAGCAGTATCTTTTGACTGTCAAGTCAATATGATCTAATAATTAGTACAATCAGATATTCAAATCTGTTCTTCCTGTTCAATCATTTCAGTTATCATATTGCACATTAAAATTCATCACAAAATCAAAGATGATAACACTGCTGAACAAAATAGAAATATGAACAACCTGGCCACAATACACAGATACATAGCTGACTAAGCACATGACATAATTTTCACAGGGAACTGTTCCACATGATGTGATTACCATATTTACATATAATAATCTGACAAAATACTAAGGTGAATAAACAAACAAAGTTAAGCTTTTTGTCATTCTCCCATAACCAATATTAAAAAACACAAACAAAATGTTTATTAAACAATATACATATATACTCCTGATGATAGCTCCCAATTTTTCAACATATCACAACAAGTCTGTATCAAAAAGCACTCTATCCTTATAATTAAAGGTTTAAGATGGATATCAATTTCACATAAATACTTTTATGTTTTGCAATGCCAATAAAGGTGTTTATATGATACAATAAACTTTCTGAGGTAACACTGATTGGTTGGAAATGCTACTACGCATGATGCAAAAATCGTCCTAACAATTAAAAAATGAACTGGTACATTTATAGAGGCCGTTCAGAATTGTAAAATTTTCATTAGTTCAATAAATTTGTTTCATTACTATCATCTGATGAGCTAACAATCAGGCCAACAGTAACTTTTTGTGATAACTTCACACTGCTATGTTTGACAGGTTGTTGTTTGACCTAACGCCTAGAATCTCTCAGCTGTCCTGAACATAATTTTAAAACAGCACAGTTTGTTGTTTTTAATTATTTAAGCAATACATTACTAATTATTATTCAAATTACTTATAACTGAACATTTTTAATCTCAAAGAACTGAAAAGTTCACTGAAGAAAACTTACAGTGAAATGAATGTACATTCACACATATACAGTACCACCTTGAAAATCATGGAAGTAGCAACTCATGTTTGAACATCAACTTTAAAAGATTCTCACAGTTGTACAAGGCTAAAACATAAAACTCCTTTCTACCAACAAATTACAGCAATTCCATTTTACTACACATTAAAACTGTAAAAAAGTAAAACCCAGAATTTACAACATACATACACTGTAAAAACGTCTTCACTGTCAAAAATTGAGTGTAAATATAGTAAGAACTTTATTATGACATCATTATGCTATCATTTACTGCACTAGAATGGCATCTTTTAAGTTAACACCAGAACGTTCTCAGAGCAACAAAAAAATCCTACTACTCGCACTATATGCTAAAATATAACATGTACCAATCCTGTAATGTCTCTTTATCATCGCTTGGAAGTGTTGTCCTAAGTACATAATTAATTAATGTTTACAGCTACCGAGAGATTTTAAGCCTGAACAAGAATCAATCCATTAATAACCTGGGGTCTACACACAATTTCAAGTGGTAGGGTCTGACAAAAACTAAGATGATTGCAGCTTAGTCAGGTACATGCATCACTAATACTAAAATGAAATCCTACCTCTTTAATGATAGGAACTGGAATTTCAATAAGATTTGATTGTAAATATGAATACTAGTGATCAACATTTTTGAAATTCAGACCAAGCACTCACAGACATATAGATATGTGTATTATCAATCATTTTTCTTTATCTTCACATTCTAAAAAACCTATTTGATAAATGTAGCGAAATACAAATGTCAGTTATACATAACAACGTCTGTCAACAGCGAATGTTTACAACACCTGTGAACATGTAACTAAATAGATGTTTTATTCTCACATTACAAAGTAGGAATGTGTGTTCATCTTTTAATTATTCCTAATATATACACAGTATTGTAAACTTCCAAAATATTTATATTTTTTAATATGTGTATTAAAAACAACATTTAAAAACTAACCTTTCCATGATATGAATCATAAAAATCAAATGTAATAGCTCGTGTCAACACTTAAAATATTACAACCTGTCCACATGTACAAACTCAAACTACCAGTACTCCGTGTCACTTTGGCATTAAAATGTGTCCAGCACAAAAACAGCATGCAGTCTATGTATAACAGATTGATAGCAAAACCATGATCAGCATCAACGAAATTTGCTATAGCACCATCAAAATGATTCCCACAGAATACAACTACACATGGGGGAAGCAACACCACAGACAAATGGTTATCGTGCTGTTAATATTAAACTAATAAACTACATCTATAGGAGGTATCATAATTGTTCCACAGCAAGTCGCTGTTAATCATCTTATAATTGTAGTTATTTTTTAAATTCAAGCCGTATCACACTTTCTGGTGATGGTTTGAGCCAATATAAATACAAAATAAACAATAGTCATGTATCGTGGAACATCTTGCATGATATCAACTCAGGTTATTTTTCTATACAAATCAGGACACATACAAATTTAACATACAGACAGATCCAAACCTTATTTCATTTACAGCGATACTATGATACTTGTTTTTTTTAATCACTTGTTTTGTTTAAATCGCTTCTGTTTGTTACATAAACCGAATTGTCACATTAAACTTTGAATCAACATGGCCACTGATTGATACTCACAGATGCTTCAGAGGCCAATAACCATGTACAATTGTAATGGAAAACAAAGTATCCCTAACCAGCCATATAAAAAACAATTAATGAATTTGAAATTTAGGATGAAATTAAAAGTGAGATGGACTTTAGAGTATCAGGTTTGTATTGTAGATTAGCAAAGCTTCTAGTGAAATAAAGGTACTATGAAACAGAAGCAAAGATCAAGATATGATTTTTGAATCAGATTAAGGAAGCCAAGTCTATTTTTAAATTGTCTAGTACACCAAAACAAGTTCAGAACAAGCATTTTGCAAATGAAAAAATCGAAATTTGGCTTTTAGTGCAAATATTCTTGTCCTTGATTGCCTCACTCCTTGGTAGCAAGATCAGTATCTGTGGAAGTGCTGAGGTCAACCAGAGTGTCTCCCTCTGCTGTCTTCTTCTTGTCTTCACTATCAGAATCCTACAAAGAAACCATTAAATATGCTTCCATGTTTATTTAGCAGCATGCTACACAAAACACTATTATCATCACATGCACAAACAGCATATCATAACATAGTACACATACTGTAGTAAATAGCACATCTGTATTATTTATCACAGTTCATACTTTAGAAAAAAAGGATTTCAAATCTTCTTAAATTAATTTGGCTCCAATGTCATAACATTAACACAAATAGAGTGGACTTTCTTCAGATTGTCAAATGACTTATTTACATACTGTAAATTCGTGTACTGGACTGATCCTCAATTAAATACTCATTTATGATAGAAGATATTAACTGATAGGTAAATGGGTTAGACATATCTTATATTGTTATTATATTGTTATCACATACAATTAGTTTTTTAAATTAACTAATATATGTACTGTGCACTAGTAAAATTTTTACATGTGATATATGTATCCTTTAATAATGAGATAAAGATTTCCTGGAATAAATGTCATCTATTGATAATTAATTGAGATATTAATGGCTATTTTAGTTATAAACAAGAAAAATAAGAATGTAAAAGTAAAAAAAATCCCAAATGATTAAATCACAAAACTGATGAAGATGAATTAGGCATTAACGATGAATCTTGGCATCATAAATCCTATGCCAATTGCTGCAAACTGATATCATTATAAGATTCAAAATGTATGTTATAAGCTGACTAGCAGCATCTTCAAAATGGTTTAACAAGTAGTGTCTTTTTAATGATCAAACAACTTATACAACATGTACAAAATGTCATGGCACCAAGAGATACACAGAAGTGAGGGAGAAAAGAAACATTGTATACAATACCTCACTTCTTTTCATTCCAGTAAGAAAAATTAACACCACCACAAGCAATACGAAAACCAACTAATAGGAACAGGCATACAAACTACATTGTCAAGTGTCATGCATTCAGCTTGATGAAAGTTTACATTTTCTAGTTATTTTCCTGATTAAAATGATACAAAAATTGTATACTGCAGGCTTTAAGTATTTTTCCATGGATTATAAATAAATGTTGTAAAATCTGACATCAGTCCACAGATTAAATGGTAAAAGTTTTTTTTTCTATCTAATTGGATTTTGTGTCAATTTATCAACTTATTCAACAATAAGATCTGGATCTTGAGATTTCTTAACATCAAACCGTTTTTACAAAATCAATGTTCCTATTAAGTACTCATTGCTTATTAAATCTAGTGTTGAGCATTGTGGCGTGGACCAATATCAATTTTATCACATTTTGGTCTGAAAGGAGACAGGAGGAGCCGAGCATACCTGGCAGAAGGTAAGTAAGATATATGATTTTGGAGCCCTAGTCCATTTCCCACTCCTCATTAAAGTAGCTGGCTGGGGCTTCTGAAGGCATGCCGGAGTTGGAGGACTCGGAGTCCGAGGAGGCATGCTCAGAGGAGTCTATGTCTATGGTATGAGATAGAGCATAAAATGATGAGTTTTTGGTAGATACACTCCTACTATTAGTAATATTACGAGTAGCAGATACTCTGTTAGTCAGTATATCATTTATATATTTGGAGCTTGATGATACACCACCAAATTTGCCTCGTTTTACCTCGGAGTCTGACGAGGAGTATGGTGTACTGACACTGCTGCTGGACGAAGACGTTCCTGCTTTTTTATCACCATCAGGTTTGGAATGCTGTGACTCCTGGCTGGAATCTTGTTCTAAAGTCCAGTCTGTAAACTCCATAGTCTGGCGAGGGGAGTCAGCAGCATCCTTTACCTTACCAACCAATTGTAAATCATCCCCAATATAATCATCCCATTCAAATGTGTCCTGCACTCCATTGGAGAAAAAAGTATCATCACCAGGGTCAACAAATTTAAGGCCGCTGTTTGAGGGTGAATCCATGGGAACAGCATCCTCAGGAATGGTTGTCAAGTTTCTAGTAGAGGTGTGTTCTGTAGGTGGTATAGTAGTGCCTTTAGATATATAGATCTCCCTTGCAATATCATACTCATCTCGAGGGGATCCGTCTCCACCATCCTTAACGTTTTCACTGTGCTCTGACGTAATACTAGATTTCATGCAGAAGGCATCCTCAATGCTCTCTTTCAACATCCGCAACTTATCAGCCTCACTCCCATTCACTGTTCCCGTTTCGTCTTCTTTTTCATCGTCAGATCTGTTAAGTTCAACAAACTCTACACTGTTAGCACTTGCACAGCTAGTGGTATCTTCCTCATCATCTGTTACTTCAGCGTTCATCACTGTGTCCCGCTGACTTAATACATCTCCCTCACCCTTGGTGGGAGTAACAAGTCCAGTCAAGTCTCCTGGCCCACTATTCTCAAGGGACATATCTACAGAGAAAAATTCACTGCCAGGATTGATACTTGCTGCAGTGACATATTCTGATGACACATTTCTCGAAACAGGGGTGCTTGTCAACTGGAATGAGGAACCAGACGAAGATGGTCCTTTTTCATTCATTGTCACAATCACTTTGTCTGCATATTCTTCTGTTTTAAATGATGGTGAATCAGAAGGGGTAACTGCTATTGCGTGATCATCACAAGCAACATTTTCATCAGCAGTGATGATAGATGGTTCATTTTCTGTGAAGTTTAAATCAGTTCCTAGAGTCTTATGCATTTTCAAACTGTCAGTATCAGCAATATTTTCAATATTCACAACACTATCAGTAACTTCCCTTTCTTTTGTCTTTATAGATACTTTATCGTCCCCTTCAGATTTTTTGGACACAGCAGTAGCAGCATCATTGGGCGAGGCACTTTCCCATTTATTCTCAAACTCTGCCTGCAGTTCCTTTTCACGATCATGCATTATTTGGGACATCAAGGCACTAACTTCCTCCATTGCAGGTCTCTCTTCTGGCAGCATCCAGCAAAACTGCATCACTTCATTTCTATACAGAAACATGGAACAGAAGGGAACATAAATGTTAGAATGTGATTTTGTTGTACATATTTTACAAAGAGCTTTAATTTTGTCAAGGATTCAGATTACAGTTAGCATTATCACAAACAGCAGTGAGAAATGTAACTGTAATTTGAATCAAATTTATAATACAAATAGAACTATTGTTAATAGAATTAACTATTGTATGAACTGAACTAATCCGTAAATCCAGTTTGTTTTAAACACAATCTAATAAAATATTTTGTTATGGTAAACAGCCAATTTCTAACATTATTGTTAGATAGTGATTTACATAAAGAAATCCTTGAAAGTTCTTCACATTGGTATAACTGCTAAATGTGTATAATGTACATTTAACTTTATATATAGTTTAAACAATATTGTATTCAATAGTACACATACATATACAACATCTGGGATAAGAAATCACGTTTAAAGCTTTTAACTTACAGTCTCTGTTTGGTTTGTCCTTGAGAAGAGGTTATAGGCAATTTGAGTGTTCGGTCGATAACAACCTGTTGGAGGACCTCTTCATCCTTCAGTGAGCTGTATGGGAGTTTAGCCATCTCTATCACCTCCCACATGGCTACCCCATAGGACCAGACATTGGCAGGCTTAGTGAATTCTGACACCTGCCATATGTGCTGATTGAGAGTGAGAGTGTCTGGGGCCATCCATCGTACTGGTAGCAGATCTCGACCCGTATCATAATAATCTTCCTGTCAACATTAGAAAGTACAAAGCCTTTTGAAACTGTACATTCCTTATCTATTCAGAAACAGAAACAAACATTATGGGTATCAAAACATTGATAATGGAACTTTCTATCAAATTCCATGGTCAATGAAAATGCCATACTTTCAGCATATTACACAGCCAAATTTTTGCATTTTTTTTTCTTTTTAATTTGAATAAAAACAACTAGGGACAAAGGGGAGTCCCCATAAGAACTTCAGAATGATCATGTGTGCCAAGGACAAACTGCTAAATTTTTTTTTCATGAAACTTTAAATTGTCAAAATCAAATATGACCATCTTGTTTAACAGGCACAACTAGAGACAAGGGAAATTTCACATGATGTTGCAGAAAGAACCATCCAATACTTTCTGAAAAACAGTAATAACAACCAAAATGACTTTCTGTCAGTTGTTTTGTTATTTATCAGTTTCAAATTTCAACATGTACAACTTGGAGTCATGGGGGAGTCTACACCTGTGGTATGAAATTTGAGAAATCAACTTAGTCAAGAAATAATGGCAACAAGGAGGACTTTTTAAAGGGCAAACAAACAATTGAAAGACTGAGGAGTGATGGAGCACAGACAATTGGATCAGTTCATCATCTTATGACAGATAATTAGGAATGGTAAGTGCTAACAATGCTCATTATATCTCTCCCATATCCTATTGCTACTTACCCTATGCTGGTCTTCAGAAATTCCATAGTCTCCTACTTTCACTTTAAGATTTGACATCACTAAGCAATTACGACATGAGAAGTCACTGAAAAATAAAATTTAGCAAATGTTTCCGAACAAAACCACAGCATAGTGAACTAAATGTAAATTGAAAGAGGGTACATGTCTCTGGTAAATAACTGGGAGCAAGGTTCAAATATACTGATAACTGGGAGTTCTATTTTGGAAGTTGGATGTAAAATTCTTGAAATCCTAGCCTGGCACATTACTATCAAATTGAATTCTTTGGATGTTTAATATAGATAATAATCTCATAACTGATGCACTGGACTGGCAAACAAGGAAGGACCAATGATTTCAAGTTCCTTGCTTACTTTGTTTTTCATGGTATTAAGAATGGTTCAATGTCACATTAAAGGGAGAGATCATTAACAAGCAATGAGAACTTACTGGTGAATATATCCATATTGATGGAGACAGGTTAGACCATCTGCCATGTCTGTTATAAACTGTAGTAACACGCCTCTCTTCACCAGGTCCTCCTCCTCATGGCGGTGACGCTTCAGATAACTCTTCAAGTCACCCTAAGGAGAGAGAATCAATAAATATTTAAAATCTGATACCAGTTTCTCTTTCATCATATTTAAGCAAAACATCTCTACATTTCGCAAGACTCTGTAGAGCATTGCATGAAAGTTAATATTTAGCCAAGATTCAGAAACGCATAAAATACACACAATTTTCATGTTTATACTGACACTTAAATCACATCGTCAGTAATCAAAGATTAGATTAAAGTTCAGCTCTACTCCCCAACCCTGTGTTAATGATATCATTCTAACGGCCTATAAGAAATGTCCCTTAATTAACTATTCTTATGTTTACATATTTGATGTGTGTGGATGAAGTATTTGACCTTGACTTTTTCTCCGCTGGCCTTTAAATGACTTCTAAATTGATTCCTAAAAACTTGAATTCATAATGTCATAAGTATTTGATGCAATGACCTTGACCTTTGGTCAGATGACTTCTAATTTGCCTACAACAAATTTGTTTCAACCAATTTACAACCAAAATTTTCCTTTAACCTTTTTGCTTTATGACTCTGACTTTTGAACCATTGGGTCAGTTGACTTCTTATTTGATTTCAACACATAAAATCATCAACTGGATGCAAATACCAAGGGTATAACATAAGGTATACCACTCCCCCACACACATTCACACACAAGGTTGAGGTGAGCTAAACGATGAGAAAAAACATGTTTTCTCTCACTAGCATCTTGCAATTCTCTGACCATACCTGATGTGTTGAAAGAAAGATTACAATGTAAAACATAACAAGGATATACACGACATATATAACAAAATCATCCTGAACGCAGGTAAGGAATAGGTTCTAACATATAAGTAGTTCATTTCTTATCAAAAACATAATCTCAAATTTACAGAGAAACCTTTTAAAACAGAGAAAGAAAATATCTAAAACCAGCTTTTAGAACAAAATTAATGAAAGTGAAAACAATCAAGACGTCAAAAGTTCATATCACATATGAGAAAAGCTTTTTTAAATGACAACATTGTGACAACTATAGAATCTTCCCCAAAAGCCAATGAACAAGTAATTATGCTTTAGTGAGCTTTCAATTTCTTCATGTTCTCCTCACGTGTGATTGTTACTTGGCTCCATCCAAAGAAAGATACATCAAAAGATTACCTTTGTCACTGTACCATTGGAACAAAATCAGGATGACCAACTTTCATAAATAATTTAGTGTTCATCTTGTGAGAGCACAATACATCAGATCTGCTTACTACTTGCCAACTGTGTTTGAGGCAGACAAAAATAAACCAAAATGTTGACATCACATAGAAGTACGGCTTTCGTAAATCTAATTTGGCCAAAAATGTGACTTACATGAGGAGCATGCTCCAAGATGACGATGAAAGGGTATGTCTCTGTACACTGACCCAAGAGGCTGACTACATTTTTGTGATCCAATTCTCTGTTGAAAAAAAAAGATTATATTATGGGTCATTCTGATATGTATCATTAACAGGAAGTCAAATGAAAAGGTTTAAAAACAGGAAACATAAAAACATTTTATAATTGTAGCATTCTTTGAAGTTTGATTATTGCTTAATATGCATAAAGTTCAATCAGGATTCTATGTGAGAAAATTTCATTCATTAACTGCTTATCGAAAATCTATTATCATTTCCTAGACAATATTGCCTAAGGGCAATTATGTCATCGTTGATGTTTTGTGACTGGAGAAAAATTAATAAAGGATGTGGAGATGACTCAGAAAAACTTTGATAATGATGTCTTCTACCTAAATGGTACCATCTCCTCCAAGAAGAGTTGTCTATCCGACATAGCTGCATCATCCTTCAACAGTTTTACTATCACTCTACTTCTTTTGGATCCAGCCAAAATTTTTTCTGCATCACCGACCAAAACCTGTCATAGAAAACCAACATAGCCATGGAACAAATTTATTATCATAAAGCTGAATGGTCAGAATGTATGTGTATTTTTACATGTACTTCCAAATACAAAATAAGTATATATTCATCTCTGTAAATCAGACCCCGAGTAAAATTAGTGATATTATTTGTTCCTGGCATAATTCCAAGTCAACTTACGTTAATCAAAACTTTTTCTCAGCTGTAAACTGGTCTTGTCTAGTGCATTCTCTACACTAGTAAAAATTTACTGTGGAGCTGATATTTATATCGATATTAAATGACTGAAGTGGTAACACCTTCAAAACTCATATAAGTGTGTTTGAAGCTCTTTTGAGTGAGATGTCATACAACTTAATGACTAGAGATATGTAGAAAAGAAATGGATATTTTTTCGTCTGTTCATCCATTCAGTCTCAAAATAGTCTGGCACAGGTGACACTTTACTGTAGGTAATGTTGGAATATCAACACCCAGTCATATTAATCACTATTAGAACTTACCTGTCCAAACCAACCAAGCCCAAGTTCCTTAATAAATGTGAGCTGAATTCTCTGAAAAGGCTTGAATGTAGCTGAAAAAGCATAATGATTTACCTATGTAGATATTTAATTCATGTTCAGAAAAAAATCCTCACAATTTACAACAATCTGAAAACCACTGAAAATACATCCTCACTAAGAAGGTATAACAGTTATACATGTACATAGTAGCATAATATCTGTGTCCCTTCACAACAAATTCTATAAAAGTTTTCACAACAAATTCTACAATTTAACTTTCGAACCAAACATTTACTACAACACCATATCCTTGTACAAGTATTTCAGTGAAATCTTTTATATCGTAAATGTTCATTAAACTGAAGACAGTAGATTACATGTGTAACAACAGCTAATAACAAAGTAAAAAGCACCCATTTTGTATGACTGAAAACATGATAATAAGAAGTGTGTTTACTTATTTGGCGTGCTGCTTCCTTCTGCCACTCCTTGTCCACAGAAGTTATACGTGGCCTGAGAGCTGTTGCTGTTACAGTTTTTGCAAGAATGTCAGGCAAGGGTTCAAAGGTCACATTGGAAACAATGGACGAGTCAACCGACTCATTTGTCGGTGACATAGAATAGTCATGCCCAGCCTCTTCATCATTCTCAAAGGACTAGAAATTAAAAAAAAAAAAATGTTCTTAATCATATGTATCATCTACTGTACATGTTCTACATTAAATATTGGAAATATTCATGTTAGAAATGAATTTTCACAAATGTTTCTGCAACAGCTCAACTTATTCAAATTAGTTATCCTAAGTTGGCTAATATACATGTATAAAACCTTGCATATTAATATTACAAATCTTCATTGATTAAGGCAGACATTATTTCAATTCCAAAAGAAGCAAACGGATTTGAACAAAATAGTTCTGTTATCATTCCCGAACAGCCACATATATATATATACAATCAAATTTGCACTTCCTGCTTTGTCAAGTATTTTTACCGAGAATGGGGCTGATCGCTTGAAGAGATGGCACAAGCAACCAAACAGAAGGGTGACAGAGCACAGGGCAAAGCCTGCTCCAAGAATCAATGCTGTCTCCAACATTTCATTGCTGTATTATTCCCATGATGCCTGAAACATAAAGAGATGTACATTACTCCATTTACAGTTTTAACTTAAAAATTATGTTAGATTTATTTGTCATACTTACAAAAATGTTTATCTCCAGCTATCAAATTGTTTTCCTCTCCACATATTTGTATGTTTGATTATCTGATTTATCTAACAGACTTTTGGTACAAGAGAATAACAATAATTTGAAATTGAACTACCACATCAACATTACCAAATAGAATAGTTATACATATAATGGTACCAGCATTTCATTGGTTGTCTGATGATCTTACTGTAAATAGAATATTTTCAATGAAAGCATTATATAGTCGTAAAACTTCCCCATAGTCTACATCAACTTGTATCTGTCGAAACTGTGTTGAGTTTATCAAACCGATCTGTTGATATCTTGGGTCATTTTATTGTTTCACAAAGTCTTACGGCATTTGGGTTTCATCACGGAACAGCAAGGGGTAGAATCTATCCAGAAATATCCTGATTAAAAAAAAGCATCCGAATGACGTATCGAACACAAAGCAATTGACTTGGATTATGGAGGCAACACCTGTGTCCTGATATAATTTGTCACTGAACAAAATCAATGCAGGACATTGCTTACGCCCAATTCGGATTGAGATGTTACATTTAGACATGCTTGAAAGTCCGGATTACATTTGATCATCATATTATGAAATAAGCATTACAACAACGTCAACAAGGCTTACTCTAGGAGTTAAGTGAATCAAAAGGAGGCGTGTCATCACATTCCAGTGTTCAGTCTCTATCATTCTGTTCGTCTGCCATTTTTATTTTCTGTTCGGAACCTCTCTGCGTATTGTTAATCACTATACGAAAATATATGAGTCCTTCCGAAATAGAAATTAAAAGAAAACCGCTGAAAGAAATTTATTTTATGACCAATTAATAAAATAAATGAATGTTATTGCGTCTTATACAAAATATAATAAAATAAGATATTTATCGTTTTAAAGATTTAGAATATGTTTTGATGTTATGCTAACTTTTGGGTTCGAGGCTAGATTATCTTTTTATGACTTATCGTGAAAGGCAAATGGCGGGTGAGAAAGGAGGAAGTGAGTAACAGACTCTCATCAAAATTCAGTCAAGAATTGGATGCTGAATTTCATGTATTGATTTTTGTTCATCGAAGACAGATACCTCAACATGGAACCGCAGAACAACAACCACTTTGATCTATCAGGTAAATATGAACATAGAACACGAATTTTGTTGTTATCACACCAGCAAAGCTGACTCAGACTGATTCAAAACAACCCATAACTAAAGTGCCAAAAATGGCTGTAGTATCACAGACCAGTATATAGGTATTTTTCTGTTATTCGGTTACCCTATAATTACTTCTTTTTTTATTCTTAATGTCTACTGAATAGACATAACCTCTCGGAACAGTTCTGTTGAAGAAGATTCATCACTACTGTATTGGCCAAAATCACATCTATATTAGAAGGCCTTTATATAAGTCAGTTTAAACAAGTCTAGTGCACTATGCAAACTACACATAAAGCCATATAAAAGTTATATCTGAAATAATTGTATTTACAAAATGTTTACATTTGATCCAAATAAAATGAAAAAGTGGAAGCCTAAAAAGCTAGTAGCATTTGTAATTACTGAACAGGGGAATGAACAAGGCTATATTTATTATAAATCTGCGAATAAAGCAAGTTAAAAGTAGGAGTCATGTGGGTTGATAAAAATCTTAAGTTGAATTAAAGTATTTGATTTTGATTTGTTGATTTTTTTATGTAATTATAGTTTTAAGTTATTTGCAAAATTGTTTTTGTGGTACCAGGTAAATTACAGTCAAAACATTTAATTCCAAACTAACAGAATTCTTCAAACTATACTTTATTTGAATGTGAAAATAAAAAAAATGTGTGATTTTGAAATTAAAAGCTGGATACAGCTAGTGTGCACCACAGCAACATTTGTAGTACAGGAGGTAAGCCATATCACCTACAAACCATAGTAGTGTTCTGGACCTAATGTCCGATGTTGGGTTTCATTGCAAGAATCTCCCCAATAATTTTGGGTACCAACACCCAACAAAATGTCCTGTAAACTGTTACTTTGATGGTGCTAACTGTAATTTTAAAGGGGTTTGACCAAGAAAGAGTTGTCAAGTAAAAGTTATCTGATGATAAATATGAAGGAAAGCACCCTTTTTGTTTGTGTAACATGGACGAAAGGGAGGTAATATCAATTTTATTTAGGAGTATATAAATGCTACACTTTTATGTTGTGCTCAATCACATGAAGTGGAATGCCAGAAATTGTGAAAAATGGAACAGGCATTACAGATATAGATGCCAACAATACAGCTGCAGTGACAAAGATGTCAAATGGCACTTTTGTTCTGAAACAAATATGCAATTTTAAAACAAAATAAACCATTGTCAGACTTGATGTGGCTATGGTAGCTTGACCAAACTAAAAAAAAAAATTGATATTTTAGCAGCTCAAAGGTATCTAAATTTTTTAAAGAAAGTTTTATTGGGTTGAAATAACTATCTTGGATCTTGGTTTTTTTCTGGAACATAGATTAATCTGGAAAATTACAGTGAGATTTAAACTTTTTCAAGATATTTACCAATCTGAAATGTCTAATACTGATATTCTTTCGGTACCTGCTAGATCGAATGTCTTGTAAAGGGTGATCTGGTCTGCTAACCACTCAGTATTTACCAGACTGAACGTCCTGGAAAGAAAATTTGTATTTAGCATGGTCTGTGGAATCATGTCCACTGTTCATGTACAAAGGACAAACAATTTTTTCTTTTGCACCTGACAGGGAATCCAAAATTTTATATTGAATTGATTGATAACATTGACATTGAATTTGTGAACTTCTAGAGGTTGTTTGTTTAAACTGCCCCTATATAGCATTTTGCATCATAAAAATGAAGGCGACCTCAGTTGATGATGTGTTTACATTTATAGTGTAAATTGCTGAGTTTATTTACATGATTGAAATTTCGAAATCTTCATAATGAAATTAATATTTATATGTCTGATCTTATTATAAAACATACATTATTTGAGACATTTGCATATATAAGGTCACATGGTCACATTAGAAAATCTTATGAAAGATACCGTGGACAACAGGTCTGCTGATTTAAATATTTTTAAAAAATTTATATCTTTATTTGGCACAATTATCACTATCACTTCTCAACTGTCCTGAAATAGAACACATCACAAAAAGCACCTTTGACCAGAAAGGGCTCCCAACAATTTCCTCTGACAGACGTGACTTGCTGTTAGACACAGCAGATATATTCTTTTCTTTAACTGATTGGTTGTACTAGAACCATACTCGTTCACTCACAATGATTGCAATATGAACACAGCAGAAGTACTTGATAATGGATAATGAACTAGAAATAAAGTTTCTTGTTTCTTGTACTGGTTTCCAATGTTGTTGCAAAGTTTCAGTGGTAAAAATTAAGAACTTTGTGATTAGAGAGTTTATTAAAAATTGTTTTCAGATTTATGGTATTATGTTTTACTTCTGAATGAGCTACGAACTGTATGCCTGCCATGACATTCATACAAACAGGTTACGAAAGTTAACATAGTTGCACACTTGAGTTCATGTCATTTTTTATTTCAACAATTCTGCAGAAAGCCTTATCATTGCAATCTGGATTCGTTATAATTCAATGACTAAGAGATGTCATGGAAAAGTGCTGGGATATGAAATTAAAGATCATATTGGAGTGTCTGTTTCTGAGATGTAGGTGGTTACAGGTGTCATGTCTTATTCATAACAAGCCAATATGCTTGTAATGTTGTAACTGTTGGTGAAAAAGTTGGACTGTCCACCTTATACGTTTTACAGATTATGAATCACAGTGTGGTAATTGATTTATATCCTCAATTTAGACAACAATTTAACCCTGACAAGTTCATCTGGTTCCTTTCCATAGAAAATGAGGTAGTTTGATGTGCTAAATGGATTTGTTTCCAGTTCCAGGCTAAAGGAGAAGCAATAATGTTGACATTTTTGAAGACAATTTTTTATTGTTCATTTTTTCATTTGATTATATTCCCATTATAGACTTTGTTTGAAGGATCTATTGTAGTATGGTTTCATCTGTCTGTCATAAACATTTATTTGTCCTGAGACCTCCTTCCAAAGTTTTTAACAAATCTTTTTCAATTTTGCTAGACTTGGTCACCATGAAATGATATATATGTTTTTTATAAGGAGTTTGATTCGATGGGTTTTAAAAGGGATGTTGCCCATTGTTCTTTTCTTGATCTTGTGTGGAGATCTCTCATTTTTGAAGTATTTTTCGAACTTGGTAGACTGTAATGGCATGACATGATGCTTTTCTGGAAATCAGTTGGATTTAACAATTTTTTTAGATGTCATATATCTTAAAGCTCTTGAAACGTGGCAGGCTTTCTGACATGAAAATTGTTTTGCTTCATTTCAATTTAACAACTATTTGAAGAGATATTGGTCCTCTCCTCTCTCCCCCCACTTTTTTTTACAGCATTTTAATCTTGTACAAATATCTACATTTTCATCAACAGCATTATGATGCAACAATATTTGAAAGTGTTATTGTACCTTTCTTTACAGCATTTCAATTTCGTCCAGCACACTGTTTCCCTAGTGGCATTTTGACTCGGTATTTCCATTTCTTCATTTGTATTCATTTTCATATGATGATGTATAAATTTTCTCCTTGGCATTGCCATGAAAATGCCATGTATTATTCCGCCTCGCTGTCCTCTTACTTTGGTATTTATAGGGCCAGATATATGTTGATCAGGGTATTGGACCAGAAAAACTGTGCTGGTTGAATAAGTTAACAAATCAGATTGCCTGTGTTGACTTGAGAATAGCTAATTAGTCTGCTATTCTTGTACTAGTCCACATAGAATTGATTTTAGGCATACAGAACTGGAAACAATCAAGGATTTTTTTCTCCAATTCCCAACAAAATTGTGAAGCTGGAAGTCATTGTTTTTTAATGAAGTTAAAAAAATAAAAAGTTGTTATGATCTGTCAGACGGATTTTGATATTGCATGGCTTCAAATTTTGCAATTGTGTATCAAGTTTATTTTTTATAGATATATTAAGTGCATAGGATACACAAGGGTGTTCAATTCTGAAAATTTTTCACTAGCCCAAAAGCTTGTGAACCACTTTTTCTCACTAGCCCTAATCAAAACTACTAGCCTCACTTTTGGAATTCTTCAATTAACGCTAAATACTGTTTTTTTTACTATAATTTACCTTTTCCTTAAGAAAATTAATCCAATCTGTGTTCTTCAATAAAGCATTAAACATTATAAATGATACTGTTTGTCTAGTTTCTGTGCAATAAGTTAATAATCAACATGAATCAAATTAATTGATATACATTGTACATGTATACCACTGGTTTAGTGAGTAACCCAGAACTTCTACATTCTAGATGCATGTAATTTATTTTCCTATCTCATTTCCAGTGGGAAATCATGAAGCCAACACTGAATACATTGGATCTGAACTATTGGTGATGTTATCAATGAAATTGTTATTCCTATATTTCTCATAGGGAAATGTGTAACAGTAAAAGTTTATATTTATAAATTTGCAATATTTGAATTATAAAGCCGACAAAATTACTGAGAAATGTATATTTCAGAAGACGACGTTGTAAACATCTGTCAAGTATGCATGTCTTCATGTAACGAAAATATTTTCTTATATTATCTGGAAAGCCAACAATGGCTTATTTTGATGTGTTCACGTCTTGTGTGATGTAACATCTATAATGCAGTAGCATAAAGTGCAAATGATCTTGTTTCAATTTCAACAGCATCAGGATTTGCTTAATTTATAATTTTAGAACCATATATCAAAAAGTCAGTGACATGTTCACTTAATGTCTCTTTATACTACAATTCTTATCTAAATCCTCCTTGCAATTGTCAAGCTAGTTTACATATTGGTAAACTCGCATTTACATCTTGGTCACTACTAAGCTTGAATTCTTAAATCCATCTATGACATAACTAAGCATTTGATACACCTAGATGAAGGTATTTTTTTATGTGTGAGAATCCTGATGGACCAATGGAAACCACCTGTGGTTATAAAATTTTACTACCCAGACCAATGTGTACAGAAACACGTTGGCTTTTAATGCTGTTAATGCAGATTAAGAACAGAAAAATTTCACTAGCACATGGGCTAGTCAGTGTCTTGGAAATCTAGCCCAGACCTGAAAATCACTAGCCCGGGGCGGGCGCCAGGCTATCGGAATTGAACACCCCTGGTACATATACAGTATTTCGACAGAAATAATATGAACCAGTCATTTTTCCAGATTGTATTATGTACTAGTTGTTTCAACCAAGGCATTGATTTTCTTTGATTGACCAACTTTATTGAGATACTCTCCTTGTCTCTGTGACTAGATATGCACCATATGAGACATGGACAGAGATCTCAGTGTGATACCACTAAAGGAAATATGTATGTTTGAGTAATCATCACTCTCGCCTTTTTTAATTGTTAAAAGTAAGTGAAATTATATATCTAGTTTATTTAATATGTAACTACCCAAGTCAATGAGACCAGTGATTCTCAATGATGGCACAGGACATGTCACCATCAGAATCTGCTGATGTCGATAGCATTTTAGCCCTTTTCATGAGACAGCTTACATAAAGATGACATTAAATCAGATTCATCAAGACATCCATGGATAACCTTGCTTCTGTTGATGCAAGTGACCCAGTATAACATTTCTTTAGTTTATAGTTGCTAATTCTCTTCCATATTGAAACTGGCTCCTGCAACCAACTCTTCTGGTAAATGATGAGGCTGTTGATTTTAGCTATACCCTAACAACCATTTTATAGAAAAGTGTTGTTAAAAACCGATTATGATACAGAAATTACACATTTTTTGTGCTTTTATGTGAAATGTCAGATCCAAACATGAAGAAATTTGTGAACTTTGTACAGGATAAAGTGAGATGAATGGATTCTGTTTAATGGACATGGTGATCACAGATATGAAATTTGAGTTTTTTTTATTGCTTTTACTGATGGACACAAATGCTGATTTGAAGTTAAAGCCTTTCATAGTGATCAGTTGTAATATGTATGAATTTTTGATGACTATTATTTTGGTTTTATATTGAAATTCTGGGTCGTTTTCAGACATTCCAGAAATTAGTGCCATGGTATTTTTGCAAGGGAGCCCATTAACTACTTTTCGAATGTATGAGTCTGTATTATGTATGAAAGAAAGCCAAACAGGGATGCCAGAATGGGTTTATTTATAACTAAAAAGAAACATTTGATTGGATGTGATGCCTATTATTACCCGATTAGACACAGGTGAGGACTTCAGCATCTGGAGGGAATCTGATTCCGCCTCAGGTAGAACAGATACTGCCGGGGAGTGATGATATAGATTGTGGTAAATGTCATAGAGATAACTGAAGGCTGTTTGAGTTCAAATGTAATCACGATAGAAAACTGAATTTCTTGCTTGGTCGATAAAAAGATTTGAAAGTGTGCAGTTATTTGAAATTCTGGACGAGGAGGTCAATGGAAATCAATCGCTTTTAAAAATACTATATAAGTAAGAAGAGATCTGCTTTCACGGATGTGAAAGTGACTAGGGTATCTACCGTACTCTGTTGGAGTAAAATCTGATAGGTATTACGACAGATGTTATACTTCTAGACGTCACTTAAAGAATACAAAACAAAAATGTTGTAAATGTGTTTTGTAATAGCAGTTTGCAGTCAAATATATCTGCCAACATAAGGACAGTAGTTATCAGTGTCAGTAAATTTTCCTTTCAATACTTACAACTGCCCTCTCACCGATCCCCGCCAATCAAATCAGAAAATTTAAAACAATAAATACACAGATGATATATATATATCTAACATATAGCTGTGGTATTGTGTATGAAAGTATGGCTATTAGGAAGAGGGTAAATGGTATAAGTATCTAATACAGGAAACTATAGGTCAATAATCCAGTTCCTTGTGTTATTGATTAGCGCTAATAAACTGTACCAGAGGTTGGCCAACACTGATATATTCTCTTACAGGAAAAACAAACTACTTCATCTGTCTAAATAAATTTGATACTGTAGAAACTTCCTTAAATTACCTAGAATTGTTTACAAAAGCTTTCATTTATTGTTCCTTATAGGTCAGCATGGAAATAAAGAATATACAAACACATATAGCATTTACTGTTGATATTGATACCAGAGTGATATGGGAGTTGGTAGTTTTCATTGCCATCTGTCACAGTTCATATTTCATGGCTAAATTCAAAGTGTAAGCCATTCGGAAATTCAATTTTGTTCTCATGAATGAATTAGTTGTGGAACGTAAAAGTTAAACTATAAATGTAGTTTAATGGTGAGAACTAGGATTGTTTTAAATGAGCAGACAGCAGTGAGTCAGCATAGTAGTGACTATACTGGTGCCTCATCCCAGTGAACCACCAGGTCAGAGTCAGGACTCTGCATCATTAAGAGGGTTCAGGCTGGTCCTGTTGTGTTGTGGGCAGGGAGAGGCAAAACCCAAACACCACACCACTACAGACAGTGGTGGGCTCCCATGTCTACTGTAGGTCTACATCCTCCAGCAGGCTCCTCCACAACATCTACTACTCCATGGACGTTAACACTTCCAGATGTCAATGATGAATCAACTGCTTGCCTGCTGGGGGAATACAAAACTAACGTCAGTGCCAGCTGTACTTATGCATGGCCATGTCTTCTTTCATAGATGATACGGGAGTAAAATCATAACAGTCATCTGTATTGGCATTGTATGTGTATATAATGATGTATAGAGTATATAGGGGTCCTGCTTTATGAGGACGGATATCATCCACTTGTTACCATGAATAACCATGTCTTGCTCTCCGTCATGTTGGAAGTAAATTTATACTGCTGAGTGTGTTGGCATGTACAGTGTGTGATAAATGTCACCAATCTGAATGAATAACACTTATTACGGTACAATGTGACCATGCATACTGTTGATTGACTCTGCTATCTGCTGTGCAATCATTATTGGGATTTATTTGTCAAGCTTGTATTTGACGTAGGATTATACTGCTCAACTGTTGGAACGAAGGAAAGTGAACGGCAGATCCTTCGGACAGCTTGTTTGTTTGATAACACAGAATTTATGCTTGTTACAGATCTTACAGCAGAAGAACAGAAATTGCTGACAAGCATCAGAGACAGGAAAGCTAAGCTGCTGAAGGAGATACAGGTAAGATTACAGCTATTTGATCCTGGCTGACTATCAAAGTGATCACTTTCTCCTTTCTCCCAGGAGGAGATCATTCTAGTTCCAATGATTCCGTATCTATACACGTATAACTGATGGTAGAAACTTGATCCCTTGTGTTTTTGACTGGTAGGAATTTGCATATTTCTTCTGAAAAAAGGAAATAACAGCTGAAAGAATGCACATCTGGAGATATTTGTTTCTTTAACCCTATCAATGCAATGAATGTCATTGTTATCTAATGACATATTGATGAGAAGTTTCAAGGTAAAGGCCCACTGTTGATCTGTAGGTGATGGAGTTGGGTATCAGGTGATATGGGGTGATTGATTTACTGGACAGATGTGATCACAGCTTGATCATAAGTTGATAAATGTGGCAGAGAAGCATCACATTTTATTTCGGATGATTTATGTTATTTTATGGCGGTATGGTAAACTAAAGCACAAATTTTGTTTTAAAAAAAGTATGTTTTTGGAGTGGATTTAAAATAAAAATGGATATCTCTATACATATGAATCCCCTGAAGAAATAAAGTCACCACTACCCATCACACTGTAGTATGTATGTAAATGATCCTAGTATTAGTATGCTTTTTAAGATCAAGATAAAATGTTGAATTTACGGTACTAGGGGTGAAAAGACATGTAAGCATAAACAAAACATGAATATGTATGATCTTTTACCTGTGAGGCATCTTTTTACAAAAGTTTTACGAGTTAAGTGTATGTATTGCTTTACCATCATACCCTTCATTTTACTGAGAGGGTACACCATTTTACTGGACTTCATAACTCACCTGGCCCTCAAGGGGCAGGATGGGCAGGGCACAATAGGGCAAATAGGACAAGCTCTTTAAAATCCTACTCCTGTAGGAATGATTGGATTTTGCCCAAATTTGGTCAGAAACATCTTCGGGTGAAGAAAAATCAATTTAGATATAAACATTGAATCTCAGCCCTCTGGGACGTGAGGGGCGGGGGTCATTGATTGAAATAAAGCAAATTCTTTAAAATCCTACTCCTCGTGTATGAATGATTGAATTTTGTCCAAATTTGGTCTGAATCATGTTTAGGTGAAGAGGAATCAATTTTGTATAAACAATGGGTCTTACCCCTCCAGGGACAGGAGGGGCAGAGCCCAATAAGGGAAATAGAACTAGTTCCTTAAAATCCCACTCCTTCTGTAGGAATTATTGGTTTTTGCCCAAATTTGGTCAGAAGCATCATTTGGTGAAGAGAAATCAATTTTGCATAAATGGTGGATTTCAGTCCCCTGGGTTGGGAAGGTTCGGGCCCTATAGGGGAGATAGAGCAAATTCTTTGTAGTCTTCCTCCCCATCCAGTAGGAATGATTGGATTTTACCCAAATTTGGTACCAATCATGTTTTGGTGAAGGGTAATGTATCTTTGAAACAGTTGAAATTCCCACCGTATTACCATATATATATATATATATAGATAAACACATTTGTTATGTAAGAATTGACCCTTGGGTGTGGCAAACCTCAAGGTACATTATATTTTGGATTATATTTTTGAAATATTTGAGATACCAACCCGATAAGATTATAAATTCTTATATTGGGAAGCAGTAATAAGTTAAATGTATAAATCATATGGAAGGCTAGACAAATTGTAATTCTCTCCAGATTTTGTTTATGTTGACGAGATTAGTTAACATCATACTGGTCACTGACTAGAAGTAACGACGATGCTGTTTTCAATTTTTTTTGGTTTATTTTGAACTGAATTTGAGCTAATTAAAAAGAAAAAAAAATCAGTTTAGTATATATACATGCACAGATTCATCAAAGTGATTCATTTCACATATGTAAAACTGGCCGAGGACACCTCTTGAAAATTGCAACTGTTGTTGCCTTGGCAACGATAGAGGAAAGTTTGTCCTTTGCATGATATGGAACACTGAGTTCAGAAAAAATATGATTTTATGCCACAAATTGATTGCTTTAAAACTTTCAACAATTAGAATAAAAGTTCTTAAAACACAATCAGTAGAACATAATAACATGGTAAGATGATGTTAATCTCACACATCTATGACCAAGTGTTAAACAAAGCATAGCAGAATTAACTACAATACATTAGTGCCATCTTGTGTGTTTTTTTGTCTATAATCTCTTTACCATCTCGTCACACTATTTTGGACCTTAGTTTACCGTCAGACAAAAAAGTTGGTTGATTCCTTACCATCTCGTACACTATGTACATCAGTGCTAGTACGCTCCACACTGGTCTTTTGTCTGATGAAGGTGACTGTGTTGTCCATCACACTCAAATCTTCTACTGGTTATGTTATAAGAACTTTTATTCTATTGGTTTAAAGTGTTTAAGTATTCAATTGAAGGCATAGAATCATTATTTTTTTCTGTATTTTGTTTTATCTATAATCCTACTTATTTCTATACCAAAGTAATGAGGATAAATCGGAATTTGTTTCATTCTTTCTTTTGCTGTCTGGAATAGCTAGTGACAGTGTTTGATGTAAAGTGACCATATATTTGTATGTTCATCATACTCTAGGTTTAACAGTCAACTATGCCTTATCATAATGTAAACCAAAGATTGCTGAAGTGGAAACAATGTTTACCAAAGTTCTTAATTACACCCCTTACACCTTAAATATGAGAAATGAAAAAGGCTGCAAAATACTATACTAGAGTAAATAAAACATTGTTGGACTTTTCCTTTTGGACATTCCTGAAAAAAAATATTCACTTTTCAATTTAAATAGATATAGACAGTAAAAAAGGAAATAAATTATCCCTCCTCAGTTTTAGTATGGAGTGTAAAGGTTGAAAAAATACTTATCTATACTACTATAGTAATTTTATACTATTTCTTATTTTATAGTAACACTAAATCACTTCAGAATGGCAGACAACCAATTATAAAACTGCTGTGCAGTGTTGATGGTAGTTTTGAGGAAGTTCGTGCAAGTGACCTCTTACTGATAGCTAGGTCTACCTACTGAAGGTATCTTATTTCTAGACAGATGTAATCGTAATTGAGGTAGAGCTGTCTTCACTACTCTGTTCAGGATTCCTGTGAAAAAAGGGGGAGTAATGAGCCACAAAGATTAAGAGAAAACAACAAATTTGGATTAAAGCTAGGAACTGATACACAAGTTATGATAAGGACTTACAGCCCTGTACACTTTGTACTGCTACACACTTTCTTATCTGCAAAGTTATGGTGGCCATTTCACATAGTTAAGTGTAGATGGATATTTTCAGTCTCTGTGGACTGTTTAATATTAAATTACCACATATACAGATAAACTAACAATAAGTCTTTCCTTAAGTTATATTCAAGCTATCATATATGTATTTGTTAAAAATTCATATCACCAGTGGAGACAGGATTTCGTCAAACTTTTGATAATTACTATCTAATACCCTTGAGGAAATTCTGTTTCACAGGACAAAATAATTCCAAATAAGGAAAAAATTCATTGAATTTTGTATAGAAGAGATAAAAAGGCTGCCATATTCTGTGTCTGTTTTTTTGTTAGTTATTTCTACCATTAGAAATTTGGTTAACTCTACTTCTGCTCATCGTTTAATATATCTAACGATTAAAACCTACTTGTTGTACAATTATAATGTTACTTCTCACACATTGATTAAGTATTGATAGCATCTGACAAAGCTTTTAGCACAACCTTGACTGGATGATACCAAAAAGTTGGTGCCAGTTTTTCAGCCGAAGGATTTAAAGGATTTTAAAATAGATCAATAAAAATGATCAACTCATTAAATTTCCTTGTTTGAAATCATCGATTCAACAGGCTAGATATAAAGGACTAGGGCTAACCAAATATAAGAAATTGTCATAATATGTTAAATGAAAGACAATTAGGGCAAAACATGTTATATCATGGGCAATCAGGGCAAAAAGTGTTATATCAGGGACAATCAGGGCAAAACATGTTATATCAGGGACAATCAAGGCAAAACGTGTTATATCTGGGACAATCGGGGCAAAACTTGTTATATCAGGGACAATCGGGGCAAAACATCTTATATCAGGGACAATTAGGGCAAAACATGTTATATCAGGGACAATCAGGGCAAAACATGTTATATCAGGGACAATTAGGGCAAAACATGTTATATCAGGGACAATTAGGGCAAAACGTGTTATATCAGGGACAATCAGGGAAAGTGTGTTATATCAGGGACAATCAGGGCAAAACATGTTATATCGAGGACAATTGAGGCAAAACGTGTTATATCAGGGACAATCAGGGCAAAACATGTTATATCAGGGACAATCAGGACAAAACATGTTATATCAGGGACAATTAGGGCAAAACATGTTATATCATGGGCAATCAGGGCAAAACGTGTTATATCAGGGACAATCAGGGCAAAACATTTTATATCAAGGATAATCAGGGCGAAACATGTTATATCAAGGACAATTGGGGCAAAACATGTTATATCATGGGCAATCAGGGCAAAACGTGTTATATCAGGGACAATCAGGGCAAAACATGTTATATCAGGGACAATCGAGGCAAAACGTGTTATATCAGGGACAATCAGGGCAAAGCATGTTATATCAAGGACAATCAGGGCAAAACATGTTATATCAAGGACAGTCAAGGCAAAAGATGTTATATCAGGGACAATCAGGGCAAAACATGTTATATCAGGGACAATCAGGGCAAAACATGTTATATCAAGGACAGTCAAGGCAAAAGATGTTATATCAGGGACAATCAGGGCAAAACATGTTATATCAGGGACAATCAGGGCAAAACATGTTATATCAGGGACAATCAGGGCAAAACATGTTATATCAAGGACAGTCAAGGCAAAAGATGTTATATCAGTGACAATCGGGGCAAAACATGTTATATCAAGGACAATTAGGGCAAAACATGTTATATCATGGGCAATCAGGGCAAAATGTATTATATCAGGGACAATCAGGGCAAAACATGTTATATCAGGGACAATCGAGGCAAAACGTGTTATATCAGGGACAGTCAGGGAAAGCGTGTTATATCAGGGACAATCGGGGCAAAACATGTTATATCGAGGACAATCGAGGCAAAACGTATTATATCAGGGACAATCAGGGCAAAACATGTTATATCAGGGACAATCAGGGCAAAACATCTTATATCAGAGACAATCAGGGCAAAACATGTTATATCAAGGATAATCAGGGCAAAACATTTTATATCAAGTATAATCAGGGCAAAACATGTTATATCGGGGACAATCAGGGCAAAACATGTTATATCAAGGATAATCAGGGCAAAACATGTTATATCGGGGACAATCAGGGCAAAACATGTTATATCAAGGACAGTCAAGGCAAAACATGTTATATCATGGGCAATCAGGGCAAAACGTGTTATATCAGGGACAATTGGGGCAAAACATGTTATATCATGGACAATCGAGGCAAAACGTGTTATATCAGGGGCAATCAGGGCAAAACATGTTATATCAGGGACAATCGAGGCAAAACGTGTTATATCAGGGACAATCAGGGCAAAACATGTTATATCAGGGACAATCAAGGCAAAACGTGTTATATCTGGGACAATCGGGGCAAAACTTGTTATATCAGGGACAATCGGGGCAAAACATGTTATATCAGGGACAATTAGGGCAAAACGTGTTATATCAGGGACAATCAGGAAAAGCATGTTATATCAGGGACAATCGGGGCAAAACATGTTATATCGAGGACAATCGAGGCAAAACGTATTATATCAGGGACAATCAGGGCAAAACATGTTATATCAGGGACAATCAGGGCAAAACATGTTATATCAAGGACAATCAGGGTAAAACATGTTATATCAAGGACAATTGGGGCAAAACATGTTCTATCATGGGCAATCAGGGCAAAACCTGTTATATCAGGGCAAAACATGTTATATCAAGGATAATCAGGGCAAAACATGTTATATCGGGGACAATCAGGGCAAAACCTGTTATATCAAGGACAGTCCAGGCAAAAGATGTTATATCAGTGACAATCGGGGCAAAACATGTTATATCAAGGACAATTGGGGCAAAACATGTTATATCATGGGCAATCAGGGCAAAATGTGTTATATCAGGGACAATCGGGGCAAAACATGTTATATCGAGGACAATCGAGGCAAAACGTGTTATATCAGGGACAATCAGGGCAAAACATGTTATATCAGGGACAATGAGAGCAAAACATGTTATATCAGGGACAATCAGGGCAAAACATGTTATATCAAGGACAGTCCAGGCAAAAGATGTTATATCAGTGACAATCGGGGCAAAACATGTTATATCAAGGACAATTGGGGCAAAACATGTTATATCATGGGCAATCAGGGCAAAATGTGTTATATCAGGGACAATCAGGGCAAAACATGTTATATCAGGGACAATCGAGGCAAAACGTGTTATATCTGGGACAATCAGGGAAAGCGTGTTATATCAGGGACAATCGGGGCAAAACATGTTATATCGAGGACAATCGAGGCAAAACGTGTTATATCAGGGACAATCAGGGCAAAACATGTTATATCAGGGACAATCAGGGCAAAGCGTGTTATATCAGGGATAATCAAGGCAAAACATCTTATATCAGGGACAATCAGGGCAAAACATGTTATATCAGGGACAATCAGGGCAAAACATGTTATATCAGCGCAAAATATGTTATATCAGGGACAATCAGGGAAAACATGTTATATCAGGGACAGTCAGGACAAAACATGTTATATCAAGGATAACCAGGTCATAATACATTTTATCAAGGACAAACATGTCATAACACTTATCAATGATAATAAGGTCATAATTGGTTACATTTTTATATCAAGGACAATGGTCAACACAATACCTTTATTGTTGACAACAGGAGTTAGAAACAATGTTGTCAACAGGAGTTAGAAACAATGTTGACAACAGGAGTAAGAAACAATGTTGTCAACAGGAGTAAGAAACAATGTTATCAACAGGAGTTAGAAACAATATTCAAATTTCATGGAACAGAAACTGATCATGTTATGTAGGTAGACCTACCGTTACAGATTTTGTCATGTGCGATCAGTTTACCCATTAAATGTCCTCTTATGTCAAGGAGATCTTTAAAGTCCTCTTCTGTTCATTATAAGATTGTTTAATAAGGTTGATTTAGTTGAAAGAACTGAAAGTGTACATGAGTGACTATTGCCATATAAACATTTGTATGAGTTGTATATTACTTGACAACATTAAACCATAGTCAAAAATCAGATACAAAACATTTCCCCCACAATATATATATATATATAAATTTCTTCCTTGTACATGTGATAAACATAAAGTATATATTATACAATATGTACATGTATATCATAAGTACTTCAAATTACTAAGATTTCCTCCAATTGATGACAGAGCCTGGTGGGTGTGCTTTCCTTTCTACTTCCTTATCCTGGTCTAGCTGCGACTGATCTAACCACTGATGATTTTGCTATGTAATTTAATGCATTTAACAAAAAAATCACAAATGTAATTATTTTCCTGTGTTTTCATTTTATAGGAGCTTAAAAATGAGATAGCAGAAGTCGCCAATGAAATGGAGGCCATTGATGTCTCCGAGGACAGGTAAGATGTTTTGTTTTAGTCTGTAGGCTGGTAAAATGACAACAATTTCTTGATAAACAATTAACATTTGTTAATGACATTCACAGTATAGTTTTATTGCATTAAGGTATCATCCTCTCTTCTTCACAGTACCATTGAACAGAGGAAACGATTATCACCCAAACATAAGGTTTTCAATGGTTTTGTAGTTTTGATTTAAACATTTTTGATTTCCATTGAAATTTATATTAACAAAAGCAACAAATATCTAACGACTATTTCCAAATGCAGTGATCAGATTTGAAGTTAGGTGATATGGTCGTGATACAAAGATTAATTCAATTAGTACTTCTGTATACGAATAAATAATGTTCTACTCATTTTTATGGGATTTCAGGCATGTCCCCATGTGCTCACAACCAGCGCCTTCCTTGAACAGAAATTAATATAAGTTCCCTGTTTTGTGGGTAGAATTTGTTAAAACTCCCTTATTAGAAACTTTTAGCAGATCTTTAAATCTATTATTTTGCCATTTGGTATAACATAGTACGTCCTGTTTTCAAAACTTGTTGAATAGTAGTTGATTCATGCTGCTTATTTAAGAAGCTACTATATGAATATTTTTTGAAGATAGATAATGAAGTAAAATTTTATTTTGTAATGGCTGCCTAAGTGTACTATGTATATGTTCCTAATTAGTTCTTCCTTGGTCTAAGCCTGGGATTCAGTCTCCAGGTTCTGTTTATCTGATATAAACAGTGTTTATAACTGAAGCTGGTTCCCATGACACTAATCTACAGTAGACTGTTAATGCAGACCGCAGCCAACTCTAAGCCCTATGTATACCCTTATCACTCAACAGAAAATTAGAATTTGTAAGGCCCCTGTACTTATGTACTTCTATAACTCCACATGTATTTACTTTTGAAAATCTAGGAAAGTAAACAGAAACTGTACTTAAGTACAAGTTAAGATTGAAAACGATCATGATCGATAGAAATGTAAATTAATTCACCACTTATTTTTCATGAATATTTATAAAAATTATTCTTGAGGTTTCTGTAATAAGACCTTGTATTTATGTATTGTATATAGGGTATGAAGACATATTTAACCTTCAGATATAATGACCGAGTGTATTGATATATGGTACTTCATAACATGATGTTTTGAGATAACAATGTGTAAAATCCTACACATTGGAAATGAAATAACATATTCTAAGTAAACTAAACATTGGTGATTAGTCTGTAGTTAGCTCTTTGTTTTTAGCCCATTATCATCAGTACTGTTATGATTTTGAGACTGATCAGAAAAACAAAATGGCTATCAAGTGACCATCTTGGGTTTTGACGATGAATGTTTATCATTAACATTTCTTGAAATATGAGAGGGATCATTTTTAAATTCCATGTATGTTCCTCTTGGTTCTTAATTGTGCTTTTTGGATCTTGGGATTGATCAGAAAAATAAAATGTCTGAGAGTCATAGGTAAGTTTATAAAGGTCCTTAGGATTACAGTGCTACAATTCCCAGTGGTAAAATGTAGGGGGAAGATGTTTTGTTATAAAGCACAAGATTTTTATCACTATTGATACATGTTAAACAAAGGGTAGGTTACTTGTTAGATAATCAAATATGAACTCATTACACCTTAGGGATCTAGTCACTCTCATTATACAAGGAATGGGTTTATTTCTGAGGATGGGGTTATCCACTGTGATATAATATGTACCTTTTAATGTAAACGGGTGGCTTATTGTGTTTATAAATATATGTGTAACGTTTTGAGGTTGGGTCGTCAATTTGCTGGCTTTATACCCATTTTGTGTTATTTCTGTACATTAAAACCAGAATTTTACAAACAATATTGTTTACTCTGTTTTATTTACAAGGATTTTTTTATATAAAATAGCTGATTATTGTGGTATGATTCCATGATATCTGATTATGTAGAGTTTGAGACATGCCATGTTGTTGACACAGGTTATTTTCTCATGGTAATTTTCTTGGCCAGGATTCGTACAAACTGCCATGTGGTAAATGTATTTGCAGTAACACAGAATTGCCTGAAGTCTGTGTAACTTGCTTCATGTATCTTGCAAGACTTCTTGTCTTTCCAAGGACAGAACATGAATGAAAGCTGCTAATTTTACTTACTAACAGCTGGCAGCAGATTGTAGAATCTTTAAAGTTGTGTTTACTGTTCTTTGTTTTTGTACTATACAAAGTGATGTGTAGCAGCATCCACAAGGACAGACCCCTTATAGGAATTGGTAGTATTACATTGATGTAATTATTTGAAACCTTCTTTTATTTAATAAACTTTTATATGTCTTGTTTAATATTATGACATGAAAAAGGTCAGAATGTAATTTAGAACTGCCCATAAGCCTCATTATCAGAGTGGGAAACAAGACCTCCATTGTAGCAGTTTAGGTAGTGATTTGATTCTTTTGCACTTTTGACCTTGGTTAGGGATGGATACTGTTGACATGCTGTTAGATGTGGAGAAGTGTGCTAGAACTGCCATTGAACAGATTTAGAGTAATACAGATGATCCTCAAGCTGAGGTCAACTTCCGGCCTCAATCAGATTTTATTTCTTATAGAAACAAATGTTTCTATATGTTCTCTGCCAGCTGCAGATTGTTATAATCGTTAGCATTTCAACCATTAGAATTAACTGTAAATCAAAACCATGTCCAGTGATTTTCTGGTTTGATGCTTGGTCATATCTAATTCTCCAATTTTATGGAATTTAAAAAAAAAAAAAGAATTCTGGCATTAGATTGTAATCCTAGATAATATGTATATCTTATTATACATGCATCATCTCAGAGAAATGTTGGTTGTTTAAAGACAGAAGGGTTCCTTTGTGTTAGTAGAGCTGATATGTTGTAGCTACTAGCTTCAGTAGACTGGGCAAACGTGTAAATAGATGCCAAGGTCAGATTTAGGGGAACTGACCTTTGAATTGGTATCAATGAAAAAACACACATGAATCAAAGTGTGTTGTAACACAAGGAAATTGATATCTAGTGCTGACTCACTGATTAGTTTATAAATAGCCAGCTTAGGGAGGGGCATATCACTTCATTGTTATAGTGTGTACCTACTCCGGGACTATGTAAAATGATTACTCTTGGAGGATGAATAGGATATGTATAGTACTTTATTAAAGTGCATCCCTTGAGAAGGAAGGTTGTGGGGGGGGGGGGAGCAAAATACAGTTAATGTTAGCAGAAAGACAGATAAATTTGGCACAGTTATATGACTATGGATTTTGTTGTTTCTGTGGAAATAAATAATGTGTACATCATGTACAAAGGAAGTTCTTTGATCTCTCAGTAGGAAGTCTGTAAGATAAGCCGAGTGATGTTTAAAAAAAATGTTTTATGGATGATTTTGCACAAGGGTTACATCTGGGCCAGTAATGAAATGACATCTGGTAGTCAGTTTCTTAATTAGCATGAAGAGATGACCAAAATGATGCCCTAATAAAAATAATTGTGATATATATAAAATTGATTTTTAGTACCAATTACAATCTGGTACCTTTGTTAAAATCTTCAGAAAGGAAAAATGCATAAAGAAATATAGTCTGGTTCCTTAGGGAGTATTAAACTTAGTTCATAATGGTACTTTATGATATGATAGCGGAGGAAATCCTGTGTACTGAGAGCAATGGGACATTTTCAACAACATTTAATCAATATCAAATACATAAATAGATAATACAGAAATGGAAAGGTCAGTTAAAGTTTTAAGGGACTAAGTTCCCTTCTGTCCCCTGCTAGATCATCCCTAGGTATGCCATAATATATATACATTTATCTCTGTATGTTAGTGGTTGTGTTTTTACTTTTAATATCAACATTATTACTTCAGCAAAAACAACCCCAAAACAAAGCAAATGTCCATTGGAAAGAAGAAATTCAATATGGATCCCAAAAAGGTAAGTGAACTCCATTACAAGAAAATGTGGTTGAGGTTGAATTTGTTATCAAACCCAGCTGACATGTGTAAACTTCCTGTATTTGATTGGCAGTAACATACACTGGCCAGACAGGCTTTCCCCAATACACACATTATATTACTCTGGGCTATTTAAGTTATACTGGCAAAATCCATTAAAATTCATAGCTTACCACTGCTGTATCTACATCACAGGCTGGAAACTAAAAAGATTTTATTGAGGCTGTTTCCTGTGTTTAAGGGGAAATACTTTAGACTTTATCATTAAAAATCTTTTAATTTAGACTGTGCTGTAGGAGCAACTTCGAGGTGACATAGAAAACTTTTAATTACATTAAAAACAAATCAAAATACAGCCATACTCTAGGGCATCGATAGTTTCCTTGTTGTTTATGTTTTTTATCTATTTTTATGGAGCTTCCTCTTGTTTATCACAATCTCATACTCTTGTTTAGTGTAGTAATGTTGCAGAAAGTAATATACTGCCTGCAGAGTAACTATGGGGATTAAATTACACTGTTACTACAGAATTAAATTACACTGTTACTAGGCAGTTAACTTGCATAGTTACTAGGGAGTTAACTGACATAGTTACTAGGAGGATTAACCTACACTTTTACTAGGGAGTTAAATTACACTGTTACTAGGCAGTTAACTTGCTCAGTTACTAGGCAGTTAACTTGCACAGTTACTAGGGAGTTAACTTGCATAGCTACTAGGGAGTTAACTTACATAGTTACTATGGGGATTAACTTACACAGTTACTAGGGAGATCGCCTTAGACAGTTACTAGGGAGATCACCTTATACAATTACTAGGGAGATCACCTTACACAGTTACTAGGGAGATCACCTTACACAGTAACTAGGGAGATCACCTTAGACAGTTACTAGGGAGATCACCTTATACAGTTACTAGGAAGATTACTTTACACAGTTACTAGGGAGATTACCTGACACAGTTACTAGGGAGATTACCATACATAGTTACTAGGTGTTAAACTTATAAAAGCTACTAGGGAGATTACCTTACACAGTTGCTAGGGAGATCACCTTAGACAGTTACTAAGGGGATCACCTTACACAGCTGCTAGGGAGATATTACCTTACACAGTTGCTAGGGAGATCATCTTAGACAGTTACTAAGGGGATCACCTTACACAGTTGCTAGGGAGATCACCTTAGACAGTAACTAGGGAGATCACCTTACACAGTTACTAGGGAGATCACCTTAGACAGTTACTAGGGAGATCACCTTACACAGTTACTAGGGAGATCACCTTACACAGTTACTAGGGAGATCACCATACACAGCTACTAGGGAGATTATCTACAGTCTTAGGGTAAGTGGTATACTATATGTAGTATAGACATGTATTTGGTTAGAAATGGTTCCTTATAATTGAATGTTTATCCAAGAAGATAACATAATTTTTCGATTACATGGTTCTTTGAACACCAGTGTACCATGCCAGACCGAGGTGAGATATGGTACCACCCAGATGTTAAGCATCTCCTGTGCTGGATTAGCAGGTTCTACAACAGTATATCATTGGGCCCTCTAAATTGTTTCCATGTTCATACAGCGTTCAGGATCTTGCAAATTGGTCCTAACCTTTCCAAATTTATGCTTAAAGGACATAATGTAAACAATACCCTATATATCAAGATCAAAGGACTTGTGAAGTGCTACAATCTGTATAGTGTTAGCATAGTATCATCAATCCTGATCACAGGGCACTGTAGTGTTCTTCTATAGTCATTATACCATGATAGGATGCACAATGAGAACAAAGGGTAAAATAAGCTGCAAATAAACAGACAAACTGTACACATCATGAAAGCACTGCATCTTCTCAGTTTGTCAGTTTACAAACATACATTCATTGTATAGTTAAAGTAGCATTCTAAATATAACTCAAGACTTGCCCTCCTTAGACAAGAGGTCATCAGCTGATGATACTTGCTTATCTTGTAGCCAGTTCTGCAGCATACTTCAAATTTCTTCATTAGAAGTTATTTTAGAGCCAAGGTTCCCGCAGAAAAATATAAATGGATCAAATTTTATTATGTTGCGACTGTGAGATGATTGGGCGCCTGCAATGTTACTTAGGACTATGTGTGTAGTAAAGAGTCACTTCTCTTGCCAGGTGTCTTATTTACACTCAGTTATACTCATCACATCAACACTTGAAACAGTTCACATAAGTTAAGGTCATTGTGTCAATATCTAGGTTGCATCTACTACTATAAATAGAACTATACAAAGAAAATCCATGTCCTCAACTGTCAACAGTCCTTTGAGTGACTGTACAGATTGTGATCAAATTTGACACAAAGATCAAATGGAGCAATACTTAAGTTGAGTTCATGCTCAGTGCTGCATGGTGTAAGTGATGGTCAGTTACCATATATATCTTAGATTTTGTAATTTTGAAGACCTACGGATTTGTCAAATTTTTGTTCAGATTTTAAATAGTTGTGTAACAGTCAAATTAGAGCATTGATATAGTAATTTTAGAATGTGTGTTGACTTGTTTTAGGGTATTGAATATCTCATTGACAATGGACTGCTGCCAAATGACCCAGCAGAGGTGGCCAAGTTTCTACACCAGGGAGAGGGCCTTAACAAGACCGCCATTGGGGACTACCTCGGAGAAAGGTATTCTTCCTTGTCATCATTAATCCTTAACCTGGGAGAAGTGGAATTTTCTGTAGTTCACATTAGTTTTCAATGTTGAGAATATGGTACCTTCAAATTCTCCTTGCTGATGAAAATGAAAAATAAAACAAAAATTGTATTTGTATCTATGTGTGTTGACGTGATGTTTAAAAGACCAGACAACCAGATGGAAATGAAATGGTACTGAGTTCAAAGTTCATTCTGTATATATATGTATAAGGATATCATTGGGTCATGTTAGTGGGAAATCCTTGTAAGAATTCTTCTTTTGATACTTCACTAGTGTTGAGCTAGGTAGGTTCCTTGGCTTGATCCCTTATGAGGCCATAAACGATTGCTTAACTATGATACAGTATCTTGGTTTACGCAGGTTTGGAAAAATGGCATTGTTGATAGGTAGTGTTTGGAAATGACAGTGGATGGATATTACTACCCTTCTGTAAACCTATATAAAAGACATGGCAGTACCTTTAGATTAGTAAATCATATTCTTTTCTTGCAGACATGAATTCAACATCAATGTGTTGAAGGCCTTCGTCAACCTGCACGAGTTCTCAGACATGATCCTGGTTCAGGCTTTGAGGTGAGACAAGTGTTTGATATTGATGATCTGTTTAAATGTAGGCCAGTATTTCATATAATACTGTGTGATGTAAACCACCTAATAAATAAGTGTGTACACAGAATTTGTCCGTTTGTCTGTCAATCTGTTTGTCAACTCGACTGTCATAATTTTGTCTGGAGCATTACAGAGGTGTCATCATGAAACTTTATAGATCTAAACAAGAAGAAATGCTTTGCATCAGAACCATCACTCTCTTTTGCATAATTTACGATTTATGTACTTTGTTATTTTTCATACATAGTTTAATCCCATTCAAGGAGTATATCCCCTCTCTGACAATCCTTGTATACAGTATGATATAAACTACCTTCTGAATAAGATTCATACACAGGACTTATAGACAATAGCTCTAATATGTTGTCATCTTGGCATGTCTCAAATTAGTGCTTATTAATGACATAGTTACAGAATTTCTGAAAAGCACTTGTCTTGCCCTGTACTAATTCATCAGTTTTCTCAAATATGTTTTCCATCATTGAATTTAAATGATCGTTTCTCTGATTTTGCAAAGTATTAAAACAAAATATTGACGTATAATTTTCTTTTATCAAGACAATTTCTGTGGAGTTTCCGGTTGCCTGGAGAAGCCCAGAAGATTGACAGAATGATGGAATGCTTTGCACAGAGATATTGTGAATTGAACACAGGGGTATTTACAAGTTCAGGTAAACAAATTAACTTGTTATGTTTTTAGTGTAAACATTATGTTAATCCTTATTGTCACAATACACAATAGATTGATCGATATAAAAAAGGATACAGAAACAAGCTATGTTTCTTTGTTGTAATTGTCTATGTTTATGATAGGCTGAGGAGGCTGTATTGATCAGATTGTCGGTACGTATTCTCACCTTTTATAAAGATTATAAGGAAACTCGTATTCTTGTCACTCAGGAGAGTAACCCACCAAACCAGATCTAGGGAGAAAGGTTGAAGTAGTCATAGACTGAAGGCTAACGCTAATTAGCATATGTCATGAATTAGTGTTAGGCAGAACACCAATAGAAAAATGCCATTTTAGTTGACATAAGATTTTAGACAAGAGAATGGTGGCATATGTTGTGCTTGCAATTGTTACTTCCTTCAGGACTTTTCAAGGTGTGGTTTTTAACAAGATAATACAGTTTTATCCCTTTATAAACCAGACTGAAATCTGTTCTGAGGTTCTCTCAGTGTTTGGTTGTATTAGATGATTAGAAACGGTTGGATCACTTCAGATAAAAGTAAAGATAAAATACTGGAGTAGCTGTGTTAAATGTTCAGTTTTGTTGAAATGCTACTGATTGTTTACAACATTTACCTGGATGATGTCTTAAAGAGTTCTAAAGATTTGTACCTTTATCTATAGCAGTGGTTTATCATTTCTATCATTTCTAGATACTTGCTATGTCCTGTCCTTTGCTATCATCATGCTGAACACTAGTCTACACAACCCCAGTGTGAAGGACAAACCCACGGTGGATCGCTTCATACAGATGAACCGAGGCATCAACGATGGTGGGAACCTGCCTGAGGAACTCCTCAATGTAGGGCACTAACAATCAATAAAGCCAGCAAATTTTTTTTTATCTGGAAAAGTCATTTAAGTTCAAACTGAAGACAAATTGAAATAGAAATTTAGCTTAGGAGAAAATAATGGTAATATGCTCATATAATCATCTGAGACTGCTTGGGTTTCATGTTAGACAGGGAAGTTACGGACAAAAGTGGCTGGTGTAGGTCTTTCCTCAACACATGTACAGACATTTTTGTCAGGCTTTCTAATACTTCTGAGTTTGAATGTGATTGACAAATCGAAAGGGATTGTCTATTTCTACATGATACCACTGACTGAGTAAGTTATCTCAATTCAGCAAGATAAAAGGGAAGCTACTTGTGTTTTCTGGCAGCACCGATCAGTACTAGTTGTTGGGGGTGGAAATTGGACTGACTTACTGGCCAGAGTTTAGAATTGTCAAGAAACTGAATTTTTATTAAGTATTATATAACATCATGTTGTTTCATTTCTGACATCTGTATTAAAGTTGTACTTTTATGCAAACAAAAAACATCAATAAGGTTGATTACAATAAAACCCACAAAAAATTTCTACTTAGATATCAGAAAGTTGTGGAAAAATCTCAAACTTCATTTCAATAACTTAATCTCTTTAATTACTGGAAACTTTCAGAGCTTGTATGACAGTATCAAAAAGGAGCCTTTTAAGATACCAGAAGATGATGGAAATGACCTCATGCACACATTTTTCAACCCAGACAAAGAAGGATGGCTATGGAAACAAGGTAGCTTAACACTTACTAAAGATCTTTAACTGTTGGTTTTGTAGTATGATCAACTTGTCTCAATGTACATACTGTCAGACCTAACACAGGACTGTTCAGATTTGACAAAAAATCTATCTGGTTTGTCTGAGAAAGCATGACTTGTCATCATTGTAAGGCCACCTGTTGGGAGTAGGTATTTGAGTAGCATGACATAGAGACAAGTGATTTAGCTGCAGGGCCATTTTAGATGTGTGTTGGCTAGTGTGGGAGAGTGGACGCATGGTGGACTGGGTAGAGCCTATATCAGTGGTAGCCTCGACCAATTGTTACTGAGTACTAGGTAGTCTATGCTGAGCAGTACTCCTATATTAGATTTAGTCTTCATACCTAGCTGTGGCTGACTGCAGTGACATGCATGTTAGATCTGTTCAGGTATGTTGCTAGTTGAAAATTACCAGCTTTTTGTGGGTGTTAACAGTAACATTATAATGACCATTCCTACTGGTTATAAGAGTATAAAAGAAATAACTACCCCTCTCATACTGCATTCTGTTGCTTTTAAAATTCTGCTCCATGATGAAGAATGTCATCGGTAAAGATTTCTATAGAATATTGATGTGAAATGAAAAGCCCTGATTTATCTGAATCTCTATGAATTTTATAACATTAACAGTGTAATTGACAATACTAGCTTCATGTTCTTCTTAACAAGGACGTTATTTTTACTCGCTGTTGCACCTGGTATTTGATTGGCTGTAATTCATACCTACAATATCTATAAGTTAGCAGGTTTTCTGTCAGTTTCTATCTACAATCCTAATGATTTACCACTATCAGTTCATCTTTAGTACAAAGACAAGGAAGCTTTCACAATTATTTGCATGATTCAGCATTCTTCTTCCTTTAGAAAGTGACATAGTGTAATAGTATCTGTGTTAAACCTGACCTAAATCCACTGGTCTGTCCTGGCTTCACAGTTCTAACATGACTTGTGTTTAGATGGAACATTGCTACTTCATTCTAGCCCCAGAGTTTCAGTCACATGACAGGTGGTGCATGCTTTAACAGAATAGAATTAGCATGTTGACTAGTTTATTGGGATGTGAATTATTCCAAGCTTCAGTGAAATTTCTTTACAAAAGAGAAGTATTACTTTTCGCCTCAACTAATTGTTCTGCATTTAGTTACAAGGTGATCTAACAAATCTGTTGAAGTCCCTGTTTCATTTTCTTATCAGCCTTTGTTATCGATTATCAACCAATCAGATTGCTTTGTTTTATATCTGCTAGCAAATTGTACAAGTTTTCAACAAAATATCAAGAGACAAATATTCCTTTTACTTGAGTCGATGGAGACCAAGGTCAAGGTCATGATTTCAAGTTACAGCTAAGCAAGTTCACAGGCAAAATTTTTTTTTTCACTGATTCCTGATGAAAGTTAGCTACAAATTTTCATGAAACTTCACATAAGCATTTTGACATCAGTATCTTGGGACCAGGTGCTTGTCAAGACCACATCAAGGTAATGGCTAAAGGATAGGATGTAGCAAAATTTGCTTGTCCATGCATTTCTGATCCATCTAATCATAGGAAGATACAGGACACGTCTATTGTCACAGTTTCAAAAAATGAGATGATATAAAAAAAAAAACCACTACTGAAAATGAGTCTTAAATCACAATTGCATGGCTAGATTGTACACAAAACTTTCCTAATATTGCCTAATATTTAGTATGCGCTCCATACTATAAAACGTCTGTAGTGATTTCCATAGGTATGTCAGATATTTACAGAATAGATGTGAATAGACGTTTGATACTACAGATTTGATTGGTTGATAATTGTATAACTTAATGGAATTGCTATTTGTTCTGATCTCATTATAACAAATTCAAGAGATATACAGTGGGTTCTGTAATTATATTGCTGTCTGTTGTATATAGGGTTATAACCAGCATCAGTTAGCATGTTAGTAAACTGGACGTCATAGGTTATGTGTTTCTCCTTATGATCGGTAATGTGAGTGGTTGAAAGCGGTAGTTTTGTCAAGTGATATGTTGCTTCAAGTACTTTCAATGTTCAATCTGTTGTAATAATGAAAGGGGAAAGTTTGGAAGGAAAATCAGCTAATGTTATAAATCGTGTGTGGATGTCACCATAGTGTTCAGTGTTGTACTCGTGTATATATACTAGTAGTGGTAAAATTGTTGTCATACAAAGGAGTGTGCATGTGAAATATTTTGCATGACTATTGAATAATTCTTACTTCATTTATGAATAAGGTGGTACTTCCAGATCTTTTGTTGTCAAATATTTCTCTTTTGATGTCTTTTTTTTTTTTTTTTTTCAAATTGCACTGTTGTGATTTTGTATCCCTGTATTTCCTTACACAGGAGCTTCCAAAAAATTGAGTAAGTGTGGCGTAGTTTGCGTCAATGTTTACTGCTCGTTATTCTTTGTTTACAGTTATTCGACCCTGACCTGTTCATTTTTCGGCAAAAGCTTTTTGGTGCTTGGAGATTTATGGCTATTGCTGTAGAATGTTTGCAATGCATCAAACTGGTTGAGATGGTTATATGTTCCAAAACCTGGAAAAAATTCACCAAATTTTTACACAAATTTTATTCAAGTGAAAAGATAACCATATTGATGTAACTGTAAACATTTAAAAATCAGTTTTTGGCTTCATTTATTTTGACATGTTTCTCAATTTGTTTACAACCTTCATCATCATGACATCAATATGATCCAATTAAGTCATTAACATAATTCATTACAAACAGCCATTTTTTGTGTTGATTTGCTGGTAAATGTTAATTGAAGTTGCAGATGAAGCATTTTTCTTTTTGTTTACATGGTAGAAAGTAGCAAAACCTATTTTTCCTGCATGCATGTCATCAACTGAGCCAATCAGATACTAAATTACCTTTGTTACCATGGCAACCAGATGAGCCATCCTGTCGCCATGGTCTCATGGTGTGCAACATAACCTGAGTATAATTAATGAGCACTAGTAGAACAGAACCTGGCACTTGTTATGTGGTGATGGTGGTGGTTAATTATTGAATATAATAAAAGTGCTGAGATAATGCTGCCGAAATTTCAAATTATCAATGCCAATACTTAACTAATGATTGACAAGTCATGTAAAACAGAACTATCTAATTGTAACATCAGCAACATTAAATCTAGTTTAAATAAAACGGATCCTGTAAATCTCAATTGAAATAAAACAGTGTATGTGATTTTCTAGTAATAAAACTCTTATCATTGTATGCTTATACCTAAGTAGGAAAGAGAAAGAGATGTCCTTGAGTTTTGTCATTGCTTTCCTTATCAGCATTAAGAAGTTCCTCATAAAGTACTAAACTTAATCAATTTGAATTAATGCTGAGATCATTTGGTCTACAACTGTATCATGACTAGTACAAACAATAGGAATACTCTGTAGTTTAAACTGATTCTCTAGATCAGAATGCGAACAAGTTATTTTAGAGAGGCAAACTTTGATTTGCGAGAATTCTTTTTGTTTTTACATATGATAAAAATGATTATTCAAGTGTCTTCAACTGTAAAAGTTTTAATGCTTCATTAAGGAACACAAACCATCCAACTTGCAAACTAAGTAAAACAACCAGCTTTATATGGAAAATTTTGGCTGTTAATTACGAGCTTTCCACTATTAATGTTATAAGTTTAACACAGGGTGTAATCAGAAAGCTTTTGCCATACTGTTAATCCCTATTATAGATCTGCTTTTTTACATCAGGGGATCATAGAATATCTCTTCATGCCACTTGGATTTTGTTGGTTTAACGGTCGACCTTCAGTGACTTCCCTGTATTCCAATCTTTCTCTATAGATCTTTTCATTATGATGATTTCCTGGTCATGCTGATGAGTATATATCTGTTTTACTGTGTCACTTTCCTAGATCAATTCTATTATCCAATCTTATATCAAGGGTGATCATTATGGTTTTATTGGGACTCACATGCCACTTTGAACGGCAATTTGAACATTGTGTTTACAGCAACAGGTCCTTTTCATCTGACATATCAATATAGTATTTGTAAGGAACAAAGTTAAAAATATTATTAAGATTTCAGAGATGACAATTTTATATCATTATTATAGGAATGTTCATTATAGTATTAGACACTGAGGAGCTCAGAAACAGCTCCTCTCTTACTACACAGGCCCGACAGGACATGGCACCAAATTTGTAACAGGAAGAAGTAAATAAAAACACTTTGGTCCTGATGGGGTTAGAACTATCAGCCATACAAAAGGGAAATTCCCAGAGGCAGAGGCTAGTGAGGTGACCTCAACTCTCAGACAAACAGTCCATATAGGGCACATATTCAGTTGTGTGTGTATGGATGGGTTGTAAATACTTATACTACTTGTGAAAAGATAACAATTGACTGACCAGCTCTTACAGGCAGAATGACACCATTGCCACTATACCATTGCTACTAGTCGTTACTTAACTATTTTCCGGGTTATAAGCCACACTGGAATATAAGCAGCACCCTTTCTTACGATATGGTGACCACATACCGGTAACAAATAATGGAAGGCAGTTCATATGAAGTCATAGATATAACAGACAAGGGAGGGTAATTTATCAAGATTGTCAGTGAAATGCAGAGATATAGGGTCTGACGTTACATACGGTTTACTAAACAACCTCTCCATCAGTGTCTGTACTGTTAGATATTAACGAAGGCCCTTGCATGCTTCTTCTTATAGTCCCATATAATTTCTTCTTGTAAGTTACACAAAGCTATTCTTATCGGAAACCCGATAACCTGATGACCTATTGACCCCAGGATGCGAAAGGTCATTGCAGACTTCTGCTATTGCTTCAAAGTAACCTCAAAAGTTTGGAAGATATTATTGTGATTCATCTGAAAAAGTATGATCAATTAAATTCACCAGAATGTTATCTATTTCAATATTCAAATCATCCTGTACACGATTGCAAATGACAGATCAAGAGAATCTGTTTCAGTCACAAACATGGGGAAGGCAGGTAATTGTCTCATACTGGTGTACTGGTATGCTACCTGTTTGTGGAGGGGTTTTTTTTGTCCTGCCCTCTTTTTTTTTTTTCGTCCTCATATAGGCCTCATTCCCACTAAGGAAAAAAGGTGTGGCTTATAATCCGGAAAATATGGTATACAGATGTCATAGACAACAGCCCAGAGATTGAAACAAATGACCAGTCTGTAAGGGGGTGTGGCAGTGCTAACAAATACTCAGGCCATGACCAGTCTGTAAGGGTGTATGGCAGTGCTAGCAAATACTCAGGCCATGACCAGTCTGTAAGGGTGTGTGGCAGTGCTAACAAATACTCAGGCCATGACCAGTCTGTAAGGGATGTGGCAGTGCTAACAAATACTCAGGCCATGACCAGTCTGTAAGGGGATGTGGCAGTGCTAGCAAATACTCAGGCCATGACCAGTCTGTAAGGGGATGTGGCAGTGCTAGCAAATACTCAGGCCATGACCAGTCTGTAAGGGGTTGTGGCAGTGCTAACAAATACTCAGGCCATGACCAGTCTGTAAGGGTGTGTGGCAGTGCTAACAAATACTCAGGCCATGACCAGTCTGTAAGGGTGTGTGGCAGTGCTAACAAATACTCAGGCCATGACCAGTCTGTAAGGGGGTGTGGCAGTGCTAACAAATACTCAGGCCATGACCAGTCTGTAAGGGGGTGTGGCAGTGCTAACAAATACTCAGGCCATGACCAGTCTGTAAGGGGGTGTGGCAGTGCTAACAAACACTCAGGGCATGACAAGTCTGTAAGAGTGTGTGGCAGTGCTAACAAATACTCAGGCCATGACCAGTCTGTAAGGGGATGTGGCAGTGCTAACAAATACTCAGGCCATGACCAGTCTGTAAGGGGATGTGGCAGTGCTAACAAATACTCAGGCCATGACCAGTCTGTAAGGGTGTGTGGCAGTGCTAGCAAATACTCAGGCCATGACCAGTCTGTAAGGGTGTGTGGCAGTGCTAACAAATACTCAGGCCATGACCAGTCTGTAAGGGTGTGTGGCAGTGCTAACAAATACTCAGGCCATGACAAGTCTGTAAGGGTGTATGGCAGTGCTAACAAATACTCAGGCCATGACCAGTCTATAAGGGGATGTGGCAGTGCTAACAAATACTCAGGCCATGACCAGTCTGTAAGGGGGTGTGGCAGTGCTAACAAATACTCAGGCCATGACCAGTCTGTAAGAGTGTGTGGCAGTGCTAGCAAATACTCAGGCCATGACCAGTCTGTAAGGGTGTGTGGCAGTGCTAACAAACACTCAGGGCATGACAAGTCTGTAAGAGTGTGTGGCAGTGCTAACAAATACTCAGGCCATGACCAGTCTGTAAGAGTGTGTGGCAGTGCTAGCAAATACTCAGGCCATGACCAGTCTGTAAGGGATGTGGCAGTGCTAACAAATACTCAGGCCATGGTGGCCATGACAAGTCTGTTAGGAGGTGTGGCAATGCTAATCACTTTTACAATACTTGTAAAACAAATTGTTCCTTATTCACAATCACATTTATAGTTTCTTCTTCACATGTGATAATAGTACCATCCTGTTTGTGAAAGTTGTCACAATTATGTAAAGTATAATAGACAGGTGGGATCAACCTCTTCCAACTGAATGGGAGACCACAGTGTATATATTGCTATGTACTCTATAAAATAATGTTAGTATGTGGGCTGTTTGGTTGGTGTCAACACTTAGTTTTGGTCTGTGCTACTATGATGACCCTTTATCTCCTGTGCTTTATGTAAATAACATTGAAACTCTAGTCAGTTCTGCACTGCAGTACACAGATCCTGCATGCATATCATGGAGAAGGGTCTCTCAATTATCAAGGCTGATTGTGTTTCTCAGTAAGCTGTAGAAGTTCCTCCTGAATGACCTTTGATTCAATATTTTCAGAGGATTAAGTTATGATGATCTATAGCCTTCATGGTTTGTCTGTTCATACTATAGAAGAAAGTAAAACATAACACAATATAGTCAGACAATACACAATATAGAATATAGACAACACACTATAGAATATAGCCAGATGTTATATGGTACAGAATATAGTCAGACATAACACAATATAGAATATAGTCAGACAATACACAATATAGAATATAGTCACACAGTACACAATATAGAATATAGTCAGATGTTACATGTTACAGAATATAGTCAGACAAAAAAAACAACATAGAATACAGACATAACACAATATAGAATATAGTCAGACATAACACAATATAGAATACAGTCAGACATAACACAATATAGAATACAGTCAGACATAACACAGTATAGAATATAGTCAGACATAACACAATATAGAATATAGTCAAATGTTACAGAATATAGTCTAGACATAATACAATATAGAATATAGTCAGACATAACACAATATAGAATATAGTCAGACATAACACAGTATAGAATATAGTCATACATAACACAGTATAGAATATAGTCATACATAACACAGTATAGAATATAGTCAGACATAACACATTGTAGAATATAGTCAGACATAACACAGTATAGAATATAGTCAGACATAACACAATATAGAATATAGTCAAATGTGACATGTTACAGAATATAGTCAGACATAACACAGTATAGAATATAGTCAGACATAACACAGTATAGAATATAGTCAGACATAACACAATATAGAATATAGTCAAATGTTACATGTTACAGAATATAGTCAGACATAACACAGTATAGAATATAGTCAGACATAACACAGTAAAGAATATAGTCAAATGTTACATGTTACAGAATATAGTTAGACATAACACAGTATAGAATATAGTCAGACATAACACAGTAAAGAATATAGTCAAATGTTACATGTTACAGAATATAGTCAGACATAACACAGTATAGAATATAGTCAGACATAACACAGTAAAGAATATAGTCAGACATAACACAATATAGAATATAGTCAGACATAACACAATATAGAATACAGTCAGACATAACACAGTATAGAATATAGTCAGACAACACAATATAGAATATAGTCCAATGTTACAGAATATAGTCAGACATAACACAATATAGAATATAGTCAAATGTGACATGTTACAGAATATAGTCAGACATAACACAGTATAGAATATAGTCAGATAATATAGAATATTATCAAACAATATAAATTATAGAATGCAGTGAGACTTCACATGTTATAGAATACAGTCAGACCTTACATACTATTGAATATACTTAAACTACATGCATAGATGGTGTAATCTGTAAAATTGACCAGGTGTATGTCTATGCACTAGGTATATGCATACATATTTACACCAAAATATTTGTCATTTGACACCTTGGTCTGTAATAACTAGTAAGCTTTATTGATAGCAAGTGGGACAGTAAATTCTCAAGGTTTATTATTGCAACAAGTTAGTACATACAAAGAACTAAACTGGCACATCAAACATGTTCCATTTCTTAAAGTCTCTTACAAGTTTTAATTATATATGTCAAAGGTAATTTATTTGGTATGTGCATGAACATGGCTTTGGTCAAGTGTATCACTGCTTATACAGTTACAAGGACACAGCTTAGGTTATCTTCCCTTGTTCCCTGTCTATCTCTGCTGGGACCCTCTATGGATTGTCAAATTGGAAGGCTTTACAAATTTATTTTCTTTAACATTCCCACCACTTAACAAAAAAACATGTATAGCATTATTATCAGTGATGATCATTTACATTGTGTAAAAACACAAAATAATGTAATGGAAAAGAGCAGATAAACATTACAATAGATTTATCTGTTTATCCTTCAGTGACAGACATCCTGTCATTAAATGTAGGAATCGGGACACACGAGTGCATGCGGTTACGTTGTAGTCTAGCCTCACACTGGCTCACATCTAATCAGTCATCACATTTTCTTTAGACTGATGCTGTAATTAAAATAAAAAATTTGGTTACTGGTCAGTGATATATGCAAACCAGAAAATCTACAAATCACAAAGTAATTTTACCAACAAAACAAACAAACTGTTGTAGTACAATGTTAACAGTATTTATATATAGTCAAATGTATGTGATATCTTCCATTAAAACTGATAGTTAAAGGAAGCAATAAAACTTTTATTCCATATCTTACTTTCTGAATACTACAAATATTTCTATATTCTGTTAATACCAGAATGAATCAGCAGTATAACGCTGTAATCTACTGTTATAATTGTGTGGGTAGGGATCCTTTATGAAGCACATGACAGTGACATTTTGATTTATTTCTATATTTTGTGTTGTAGGTGGTCGATACAAGAACTGGAAGAGAAGATGGTTCATCCTTAATGATAACTGCCTTTACTACTTTCAGTTCACAACTGTAAGTTAATCAAGCTTGAACCATGTGATAACTGCTACTAAAGCTTGAACCAAATGGATAGATATTTCTTTGGAAGTTTATCATTATATATATATATATATCAAATCCAATTTATACTCATGGCACCATAGAGTATAAGAATTAGAAAAGAGGCTGTGTCTATGGATAAAAGCACAGATAGTACCATCCTTGTCGAAAAACATTGAAGTTAAGCTTTTCTGAAAGAAAAAAAGAGAATGCATGATGTCGAAAGAAAGTATGCTTGCACATTCTTCACATTTTTCTGAAAGAGAAATGATATCTAGTAATTTTCATGAAACCGATGATTTGTACAGATAAAGACATTACTTCCTTATCAGATTGTATCACAAAATACAATTCATGTGCATTTAATGTATTTTAGGTTAGAGCCATGAGTGTATTTTATGTATTTAAGGTTAGAGCCATGAGTGTATTTTATGTATTTAAGGTTAGAGCCATGAGTGTATTTTATGTATTTTAGGTTAGAGCCATGAGTGTATTTTATGTATTTTAGGTTAGAGCCATGAGTGTATTTTATGCATTTTAGGTTAGAGCCATGAGTGTATTTTGTGCATTTTAGGTTAGAGCCATGAGTGTATTTTATGCATTTTAGGTTAGAGCCATGAGTGTATTTTGTGCATTTTAGGTTAGAGCCATGAGTGTATTTTGTGCATTTTAGGTTAGAGCCATGAGTGTATTTTATGTATTTTAGGTTAGAGCCATGAGTGTATTTTATGCATTTTAGGTTAGAGCCATGAGTGTATTTTATGTGTTTAAGGTTAGAGCCATGAGTGTATTTTATGCATTTTAGGTTAGAGCCATGAGTGTATTTTATGTATTTAAGGTTAGAGCCATGAGTGTATTTTATGTATTTAAGGTTAGAGCCATGAGTGTATTTTATGTAGTTAAGGTTAGAGCCATGAGTGTATTTTATGTATTTTAGGTTAGAGCCATGAGTGTATTTTATGTAGTTAAGGTTAGAGCCATGAGTGTATTTTATGTAGTTAAGGTTAGAGCCATGAGTGTATTTTATGTATTTTAGGTTAGAGCCATGAGTGTATTTTATGTATATAAGGTTAGAGCCATGAGTGTATTTTATGTAGTTAAGGTTAGAGCCATGAGTGTATTTTATGTAGTTAAGGTTAGAGCCATGAGTGTATTTTATGTATTTTAGGTTAGAGCCATGAGTGTATTTTATGTGTTTAAGGTTAGAGCCATGAGTGTATTTCATGTATATAAGGTTAGGGCCATGAGTGTATTTTATGTATTTTAGGTTAGAGCCATGAGTGTATTTTATGTATATAAGGTTAGGCCCATGAGTGTATTTTATGTATTTAAGGTTAGGCCCATGAGTGTATTTTATGTATTTAAGGTTAGAGCCATGAGTGTATTTTATGTATTTTAGGTTAGGCCCATAAATGTATTTTATGTATTTAAGGTTAGGGTATCATGGACCATGATTTAGTACAGTAAGCTGTAGGGTATCATGACCCATGATTTAGTACAGTAAGCTGTAGGGTATCATGACCCATATTTTGTATAGTAAGCTGTATGGTATCATGGACCATGATTTAGTACAGTAAGCTGTAGGGTATCATGACCCATGATTTAGTACAGTAAGCTGTAGGGTATCATGGACCATGATTTAGTACAGTAAGCTGTAGGGTATCATGGACCATGATTTCATACAGTAAGCTGTAGGGTATCATGGACCATGATTTAGTACAGTAAGCTGTAGGGTATCATGGACCATGATTTAGTACAGTAAGCTGTAGGGTATCATGGACCATGATTTAGTACAGTAAGCTGTAGGGTATCATGGACCATGATTTAGTACAGTAAGCTGTAGGGTATCATGGACCATGATTTAGTACAATAAGCTGTAGGGTATCATGGACCATGATTTCGTACAGTAAGCTGTACGGTATCATGGACCATGATTTGGTACAGTAAGCTGTAGGGTATCATGGACCATGATTTAGTACAGTAAGCTGTAGGGTATCATAACCCATGATTTCATACAGTAAGCAGTACGGTATCATGGACCATGATTTCATACAGTAAGCTGTACGGTATCATGGACCATGATTTGGTACAGTAAGCTGTAGGGTATCATGGACCATGATTTAGTACAGTAAGCTGTAGGGTATCATGGACCATGATTTAGTACAGTAAGCTGTAGGGTATCATGGACCATGATTTAGTACAGTAAGCTGTAGGGTATGATTTCGTACAGTAAGCTGTACGGTATCATGGACCATGATTTGGTACAGTAAGCTGTAGGGTATCATGGACCATGATTTAGTACAGTAAGCTGTAGGGTATCATGACCCATGATTTGGTACAGTAAGCTGTAGGGTATCATGGACCATGATTTAGTACAGTAAGCTGTAGAGTATCATGGACCATGATTTGGTACAGTAAGCTGTAGGGTATCATGGACCATGATTTAGTACAGTAAGCTGTAGAGTATCATGGACCATGATTTGGTACAGTAAGCTGTAGGGTATCATGGACCATGATTTAGTACAGTAAGCTGTAGGGTATCATGACCCATGATTTGGTACAGTAAGCTGTAGGGTATCATGGACCATGATTTAGTACAGTAAGCTGTAGGGTATCATGGACCATGATTTGGTACAGTAAGCTGTACGGTATCATGGACCATGATTTAGTACAGTAAGCTGTAGGGTATCATGACCCATGATTTGGTACAGTAAGCTGTAGGGTATCATGACCCATATTTTGTATAGTAAGCTGTAGGGTATCATGGACCATGATTTAGTACAGTAAGCTGTAGGGTATCATGGACCATGATTTGGTACAGTAAGCTGTAGGATATCATGACCCATATTTTGTATAGTACATCTTGTATTTTCTCCATGACAGGACAAAGAACCAAAGGGGATTATTCCACTGGAGAACATACAAGTAAGAGTTGTGCCCCCTGAGAAGTCCTCCAAGCCAAATGCATTTGAACTGTATGCTGGAAATAATGACATTATCAAGGCATGTAAAGTGGACAGAGAAGGCAAGGTTGTGGAAGGTCAGTATTCTACTTGGTCACATCATTAAACATCTGCTCAGTTTTATACAGTTTTAGGTGCTTTTTTTTCTGTTTTTCTGAATATTGTGTAAAAATCAATACTGCTGTTTGATTGGTTAATTCTGTGTCACTACAGTTTTTTTATTTATCACACAGGTAAACACAATGTGTACCGCATGTCCTCTGCTACTGCCGACGACCAGGAGGAATGGATCCGGTGTATCAGGTATGTATCATTGTGACTGATAGTTTACAGACATAGGTAGTGATTGGTCAGAGTGATAGACATAGGTAGTGATTGGTCAGAGTGGTAGACACAGGTAGTGATTGGTCAGAGTGATAGACACAGGTAGTGATTGGTCAGAGTGATAGACATAGGTAGTGATTGGTCAGAGTGATAGACATAGGTAGTGATTGGTCATAGACATAGGTAGTGATTGGTCAGAGTGATAGACATAGGTAGTGATTGGTCAGAGTGATAGACATAGGTAGTGATTGGTCATAGACATAGGTAGTGATTGGTCAGAGTGGTAGACACAGGTAGTGATTGGTCATAGACATAGGTAGTGATTGGTCAGAGTGATAGACATAGGTAGCGATTGGTCAGAGTGATAGACATAGGTAGTGATTGGTCAGAGTGATAGACATAGGTAGTGATTGGTCAGAGTGATAGACATAGGTAGTGATTGGTCAGAGTGATAGACATAGGTAGTGATTGGTCATAGACATAGGTAGTGATTGGTCAGAGTGATAGACATAGGTAGCGATTGGTCAGAGTGATAGACATAGGTAGTGATTGGTCAGAGTGATAGACATAGGTAGTGATTGGTCAGAGTGATAGACATTGGTAGTGATTGGTCATAGACATAGGTAGTGATTGGTCATAGACATAGGTAGTGATTGGTCATAGACATAGGTAGTAATTGGTCAGAGTGATAGACATAGGTAGTGATTGGTCAGAGTGGTAGACATAGGTAGTGATTGGTCAGAGTGATAGACATTGGTAGTGATTGGTCATAGACATAGGTAGTGATTGGTCATAGACATAGGTAGTGATTGGTCATAGACATAGGTAGTGATTGGTCATAGACATAGGTAGTGATTGGTCATAGACATAGGTAGTGATTGGTCATAGACATAGGTAGTGATTGGTCAGAGTGATAGACATAGGTAGCGATTGGTCATAGACATAGGTAGTAATTGGTCAGAGTGATAGACATAGGTAGTGATTGGTCAGAGTGGTAGACATAGGTAGTGATTGGTCAGAGTGATAGACATTGGTAGTGATTGGTCATAGACATAGGTAGTGATTGGTCATAGACATAGGTAGTGATTGGTCATAGACATAGGTAGTGATTGGTCATAGACATAGGTAGTGATTGGTCATAGACATAGGTAGTGATTGGTCATAGACATAGGTAGTGATTGGTCAGAGTGATAGACATAGGTAGTGATTGGTCAGAGTGATAGACATAGGTAGTGATTGGTCAGAGTGATAGACATAGGTAGTGATTGGTCATAGACATAGGTAGTGATTGGTCAGAGTGGTAGACACAGGTAGTGATTGGTCAGAGTGGTAGACATAGGTAGTGATTGGTCATAGACATAGGTAGTGATTGGTCATAGACATAGGTAGTGATTGGTCATAGACATAGGTAGTGATTGGTCATAGACATAGGTAGTGATTGGTCAGAGTGATAGACATAGGTAGTGATTGGTCAGAGTGATAGACATAGGTAGTGATTGGTCATAGACATAGGTAGTGATTGGTCATAGACATTGGTAGTGATTGGTCAGAGTGATAGACATAGGTAGTGATTGGTCAGAGTGATAGACATAGGTAGTGATTGGTCATAGACATAGGTAGTGATTGGTCATAGACATAGGTAGTGATTGGTCAGAGTGATAGACATAGGTAGTGATTGGTCAGAGTGATAGACATAGGTAGTGATTGGTCAGAGTGATAGACATAGGTAGTGATTGGTCAGAGTGATAGACATAGGTAGTGATTGGTCATAGACATAGGTAGTGATTGGTCAGAGTGGTAGACACAGGTAGTGATTGGTCATAGACATAGGTAGTGATTGGTCAGAGTGGTAGACATAGGTAGTGATTGGTCAGAGTGATAGACATAGGTAGTGATTGGTCAGAGTGGTAGACATAGGTAGTGATTGGTCAGAGTGATAGACATAGGTAGTGATTGGTCAGAGTGATAGACATAGGTAGTGATTGGTCAGAGTGATAGACATAGGTAGTGATTGGTCAGAGTGATAGACATAGGTAGTGATTGGTCATAGACATAGGTAGTGATTGGTCAGAGTGATAGACATAGGTAGCGATTGGTCAGAGTGGTAGACATAGGTAGTGATTGGTCAGAGTGATAGACATAGGTAGTGATTGGTCAGAGTGGTAGACATAGGTAGTGATTGGTCAGAGTGGTAGACATAGGTAGTGATTGGTCAGAGTGATAGACATAGGTAGTGATTGGTCAGAGTGATAGACATAGGTAGTGATTGGTCATAGACATAGGTAGTGATTGGTCATAGACATAGGTAGTGATTGGTCAGAGTGATAGACATAGGTAGTGATTGGTCAGAGTGATAGACATAGGTAGTGATTGGTCAGAGTGATAGACATAGGTAGTGATTGGTCAGAGTGATAGACATAGGTAGTGATTGGTCAGAGTGGTAGACATAGGTAGTGATTGGTCATAGACATAGGTAGTGATTGGTCAGAGTGGTAGACACAGGTAGTGATTGGTCAGAGTGGTAGACATAGGTAGTGATTGGTCAGAGTGGTAGACATAGGTAGTGATTGGTCATAGACATAGGTAGTGATTGGTCAGAGTGATAGACATAGGTAGTGATTGGTCAGAGTGGTAGACACAGGTAGTGATTGGTCAGAGTGATAGACATAGGTAGTGATTGGTCATAGACATAGGTAGTGATTGGTCATAGACATAGGTAGTGATTGGTCATAGACATAGGTAGTGATTGGTCAGAGTGATAGACATAGGTAGTGATTGGTCAGAGTGATAGACATAGGTAGTGATTGGTCATAGACATAGGTAGTGATTGGTCATAGACATAGGTAGTGATTGGTCAGAGTGATAGACATAGGTAGTGATTGGTCAGAGTGATAGACATAGGTAGTGATTGGTCAGAGTGATAGACATTGGTAGTGATTGGTCATAGACTTTGGTAGTGATTGGTCATAGACATAGGTAGTGATTGGTCATAGACACAGGTAGTGATTGGTCACAGGTAGTGATTGGTCATAGACACAGGTAGTGATTGGTCATAGACATAGGTAGTGATTGGTCATAGACACAGGTAGTGATTGGTCATAGACACAGGTAGTGATTGGTCATAGACACAGGTAGTGATTGGTCATAGACATAGGTAGTGATTGGTCATAGACACAGGTAGTGATTGGTCATAGACATAGGTAGTGATTGGTCATAGACACAGGTAGTGATTGGTCATAGACATAGGTAGTGATTGGTCATAGACACAGGTAGTGATTGGTCATAGACATAGGTAGTGATTGGTCATAGACACAGGTAGTGATTGGTCATAGACATAGGTAGTGATTGGTCATAGACATAGGTAGTGATTGGTCATAGACATAGGTAGTGATTGGTCATAGACTTTGGTAGTGATTGGTCATAGACTTTGGTAGTGATTGGTCATAGACTTTGGTAGTGATTGGTCATAGACTTTGGTAGTGATTGGTCATAGACTTTGGTAGTGATTGGTCATAGACTTTGGTAGTGATTGGTCATAGACTTTGGTAGTGATTGGTCATAGACTTTGGTAGTGATTGGTCATAGACTTTGGTAGTGATTGGTCATAGACTTTGGTAGTGATTGGTCATAGACTTTGGTAGTGATTGGTCATAGACTTTGGTAGTGATTGGTCATAGACTTTGGTAGTGATTGGTCATAGACTTTGGTAGTGATTGGTCATAGACTTTGGTAGTGAGACAACTCTGATTGTATCTAACATTTAGTGACTCTTTCATTTCAGTTGGTCAGACAAGTAGTAATCATATGTATCCAGATTTTTCTACCACAATAGTTGAGTGTTTTTCAATTCCCAAGGCATCAGTTAGTTATTAGAACTGTGGTATGAAATGGGATTCAGACAAATACTGAACAGTGGTAATGGAAGATGCTCAGATTAAAATTACAGGAACAAGTGAGCTTTGAAGACTTAAACTGTGTCACATTTGATTACTGCTAACCTTTACATTATTTACTTACAGGGCCAGTATCAGTGAGAACCCATTCTACGATATGCTGTCTGCCCGTAGGAAGAAAGTTATTACAAAGTGATGAGCTGGCCTGTAAAACCTTGATGGTAGACCACACACTCTGTATATCCTCTCATACTCATCTTACCTTGACAATATCATGTAAATGGCTCTTGTAAGGAAAACCTGTAATGCTCCCACCTGTGATTTTGTAGAATTGCAGACTTGTTTGATTTATTGTTGAATCACTGAAGACTTGATGAATGAAATCCTAGCTTTAATTCTATATAAACTTGATGGATTTCCCAAGGAGTCAGCACATAGGACGTGGTACTTTACTGTAAATCTTGTTGAATAATTCTAACCTAGATTATCAAAATCTTGGTTTGTTGATGATTTGTACTCTTGACAAATGCTGTCCTACAGATTTTGCTGCTCACCAATTGTGCCACAATCCCTGACCATTGTGCCCCCTTAGCAGAGAAAACCTCCACTGTATCGTGTCACTGGTATGGATAATGTGTATTTACATGTATTTACCTGGTTATCGTATTTATTCATTTTACATGTTATATATTGTTTCATATATTAATTTTATGAAAGGAATTTTTTTATTCATTGTGTCAAAAAAAAATTGCCTAAAGATATAATAAATGAAAAAAAAAAATTTTAAAAAAATTACTAAACCTTCCACTTCTTGCTCTTCAGAAGTTAGAGATAGAATTATACTTGATTGAAAATTATGGAAAACCAAATTTCTTAAGTTATATTTAACATGCTTAAACAGTATTTGCATCATGTTAGCACTGTGATAAATCCCACATTGGACTTAAAAGCAATAATATGGATTACATTTTGGTACTTCTACCAAACTGTAAAGTCAATAAAGGAGACTTCAAAAATATATTGGAAATAGTTTGTTGTATGCTCTACGTAAAATGATTCTAGTCAGGAGAATTGGTTTGAAAGTCACAGGGTTTTTTTGTCCTTGTGTTGATGTTGGCCGCAAATACACGAAGCTTTATTTATCTTTTTATACACTGTAAGAATTTGGTGTGACTTTTCATTAAGGTGTATGTTACCTCCCCATTGCTTATCACACACTCAGATATTGATATTAAAATATACACGTATATTGTATTTGGAAAGAGTTTCCTTTCTATGATCTAAATAACAAGGGACCAACATTTACTTAGTGTACCAGACATAAGATCTACATTAGACTAACAGTTTGATGTTCACCCTACACAAGATCAACATTAGGTTCACAAACTAGTATTCACTCTACTTCAGATCAATTCTATAATGACAGTGGAGACCACAGTGTCCCCTTGGCTGTCACACACTACATACAGAACAGTGGAGACCACAGTGTCCCCTTGGCTGTCACACACTACATACAGAACAGTGGAGACCACAGTGTTCGCTTGGCTCTCACACACTACATACAGAACAGTGGAGACCACAGTGTCCACTTCGCTCTCACACACTACATACAGAACAGTGGAGACCACAGTGTTTGCTTGGCTGTCACACACTACATACAGAACAGTGGAGACTACAGTGTCTGCTTGGCTGTCACACACTACATACAGAACAGTGGAGACCACAGTGTCTGCTTGGCTGTCACATGCTACATACAGAACAGTGGAGACCACAGTGTCCCCTTGGCTCTCACACACTACATACAGAACAGTGGAGACCACAGTGTCCCCTTGGCTGTCACACACTACATACAGAACAGTGGAGACCACAGTGTTCGCTTGGCTCTCACACACTACATACAGAACAGTGGAGACCACAGTGTTCGCTTGGCTCTCGCACACTACATACAGAACAGTGGAGACTACAGTGTCTGCTTGGCTGTCACACACTACATACAGAACAGTGGAGACCACAGTGTCTGCTTGGCTGTCACACACTACATACAGAACAGTGGAGACTACAGTGTCTGCTTGGCTGTCACACACTACATACAGAACAGTGGAGACCACAGTGTCCCCTTGGCTCTCACACACTACATACAGAAAAGTGGAGACCACAGTGTCTGCTTGGCTCTCACACACTACATACAGAACAGTGGAGACCACAGTGTCTGCTTGGCTCTCACATACTACATACAGAACAGTGGAGACCACAGTGTCTGCTTGGCTGTCACATGCTACATACAGAACAGTGGAGACCACAGTGTCCCCTTGGTTCTCACACACTACATACAGAACAGTGGAGACCACAGTGTCCGCTTGGCTCTCACACACTACATACAGAACTGTGGAGACCACAGTGTCCGCTTGGCTCTCACACACTACATACAGAAAAGTGGAGACCACAGTGTCTGCTTGGCTCTCACATACTACATACAGAACAGTGGAGACCACAGTGTCTGCTTGGCTGTCACATGCTACATACAGAACAGTGGAGACCACAGTGTCCCCTTGGTTCTCACACACTACATACAGAACAGTGGAGACCACAGTGTCCGCTTGGCTCTCACACACTACATACAGAACTGTGGAGACCACAGTGTCTGCTTGGCTCTCACACACTGCATACAGAACAGTGGAGACCTGTGTCCCCTTGGCTGTCACACACTACATACAGAACAGTGGAGACCACAGTGTCTGCTTGGCTCTCACACACTACATACAGAACGGTGGAGACTACAGGAACTGTTGGCCCATTGGCTCTCACACACCACATACAGAACAGTGGAGACTACAGGAACTGTTATCTCCTTGGCACTCACACACTACATACAGAACAGTGGAGACCACAGGAACTGTTATCTCCTTGGCACTCACACACTACATACAGAACAGTGGAGACCACAGGAACTGTTATCTCCTTTGCATTCACACACTACATACAGAACGGTGGAGACTACAGGAACTGTTGTCCCATTGGCTCTCACACACCACATACAGAACAGTGGAGACTACAGGAACTGTGGTCCCTTGACATATACTACATGCATAACATTTGAGACATCACCTAGACTCTTAACACACCACATACAGATCATTGTGTAACTATTAATTTGTTTTGTATAAAGTTAATTTTGGATCAGTTGGCATACCAGTAATATAATAACTGATGGAGGAGAAGTGTGTATGAATAGGTATGGTTTTGTCTGGTATTAAAGTGATAGAAAATGTTGCATATGAAGCCACAACAGGACAATATTACTATGTCTTTATATATTGTCATATATTACTGAAGAAAGCTGGGAAACCTGGCATGTTAAATTGTCAACTGACAAAAGTCGTCTAGGTTTGTTTCTACGTACATTTCAGTTTATGATTTATATGGAATTTAAATTGAAAGTTCAGTGTAAATGCCAATGTGTGACTGATGATTTAGTAAGTGTGTGACAAGTTGTTTGACAAAGTGTGACATGTGTGAAAAATTATAGAAGATATGTGTCTGTTGTGTTTGTTGGAATGAGTTATGTGTTGGGTAGATTGACAGTTGTGTTATGTTGGATTGAGAAATGTGTCTTGTAGATTGACATTTGTGTGATGTTGGAATGAGGGATGTGTCTTGTAGATTGACATTTGTGTGATGTTGGATTGAGGGATGTGTCTTGTAGATTGACATTTGTGTGATGTTGGATTGAGAAATGTGTCTTGTAGATTGATCTTTGTGTGATGTTGGATTGAGAAATGTGTCTTGTAGATTGACATTTGTGTGATGTTGGATTGAGGGATGTGTCTTGTAGATTGACATTTGTGTAATGTTGGATTGAGGGATGTGTCTTGTAGATTGGAATGTGTCTGGTAGATTGACAGTTGTGTGATGTTGGATTGAGGGATGTGTCTTGTAGATTGACATTTGTGTGATGTTGGATTGAGGGGTGTGTCTTGTAGATTGACCTTTGTTTGATGTTGGATTGAGGGATGTGTCTTGTAGATTGACATTTGTGTAATGTTGGATTGAGGGATGTGTCTTGTAGATTGGAATGTGTCTGGTAGATTGACAGTTGTGTGATTAAAAGATACCAATGTAGTTGTAATACTGTTGTATGAATATGTAGATGTTATCCATTGTGTTCGATATGTGTAGATTAACACTTATATGTAAACTATCCTACCCTGTATAGCTCAGACTTTGTGGAAGATATATATTCACATAAAGACATGTACATATGTTATTAATTAAGACACAGAGCTGTCAATAGCTCAAAACATAATGTTTATATTGTTCTTCTTGGTCATTTATATTTTAAGCACATTGCATGGTTTTGAATGACAGACCATCTTAATGGGTAAGCTGTGATTTTGAAATCATAAAAACATTTGAATGACATCCTAGCAAGAGTTAAAAAACTTGAAAATTGATAATTTGAGGTCTGACACTAAAGATATTTTATTTCTATGGATTTATTTATCAGCCAGATGATATTTTTCACTTTTGATGCCCATACTGCCGGATCTCCAACACTATTGCACACGATTGGTGAGGGTAACTGGCAAACTGCACAGAAGCTTATCATTTGTGTTAAGCATGTGATGACTATGCATTCAACATCACACATATAGATCAATCAAAATTATGATAAATGCAATATCACATTTTAAAATGTATTTGATTGGGGATGTATATTGTCTAGTATTGTTTTATAATAAATTAGCATGTATTCATTTTTGTGAAAATGACAATTTTTTTCACAGGTAGCGATCAACATTTTACAAATGTATGCGGAACACCAATTCAAAACAAGTACTACATATATCACTAAAATAAATTTATAACTCTTAAATTGATTTGTCTGTTGTTTTTCTAATTACGACTAAATGGTTTTAAACACATTTTAGACTATGATAGAAGACTTCTGGAACCATGTTCCTTCTACTTTGAAATCTTGGAAGTACATTATGAAAACATCGTGTGTTGACTTCCATGAAGGAAATCATTCCATTCTTTTCTTGTTTCAGCCCATTTCAATTCTGCTCTGGGAATTTGAATCAAATGACAGAAGTGACACTTTAAGCCAAAAAACTTGATTGTGAAAATCAAATTACCTTAATTAAACAAGTGTGCGTATATATAGAGGGGTGTGTACTAATCTTACTGTTATCCAAACAGTTTAGTTATTTCATAGTTGATGCATGCTTATACACAGCAGGTAAATACACCAGCAAAAAGCCTACCATCTATTTCTAATTTGGAACAGTGAAAGTAGACAGAGTTATGTCCCTTGACAGGTACATTCACTCTGGATGTACATAAATAATTTTCATTGCAATTTGACAAATTCTTTCAAAGGGAATATTTTGAAAGAAAGCTGGGTGAGCGCAAGTTAGTCTCCACTTGTCATGTAACACCACAGCGGGAGCCAAGTGTTATGGCATTCAGTACAACAATAATTTGTAAATAACACCAGGGACGTATATGTCTGTCATATACGTCTCTGATAACACTAAGAACCAAAATCAAACAAAGTGAAAAGAAATTACAGATTACATAAACACCTAGCTCCTGAAAACATACCAGAATTAAAATTGTATGTTGTAGAAGAATGTTGTGGAAGTCCCACATTCTCAAAAGGTGACCTAAGTTAGTGGTAAAGAAATCAGTATCTATATATACTAATCAATTTCATAAAGCACTTGAAAGGATATTGCATATTTCCGATGAGATCATTGTAGCAACCTGGAAAAAAAAACTTTCCAATAGCAAGCTGTGGTCATTGCAGGGCTAAACAATGCCATTGTCTCAACTATTCCTTTCACATTTGTGTATATGTAAAACATACTGGTAAAATGTCTAGAAACACAACGTCATTGTACCAGTGATTGAGAATACATAATTATATTGGCATGATAGACTTGGAACTAATGAAAATATGTTGATATCAAATTGGCTGTTATCATTGATAGGAGCCTTATACCTGCCAGTATGGGTGTGGTGGTCAGTCATCTCCTAGTTTTAATCATTCACAGGACTTATTAAATGGCACAGGAAACACAGCCAAAATAAGCTGTTCCATGGTGTTCATCAAATGTCATGGTCACAGTGCTTTTCATTTCCAGACATTCCTTAAGATGTATTTATGGTATGACATTTATAGCATGGCCTGAACAAGATCTCAAGGATTGAAGGATGTACTGCACCATATTCATAATATCAATAATCTTATTGTTAAAATTTGACCGCCCTTTTCTGAATTTCTCAGTGGAAATATTTCATATTTTTGCTCAAAGAAAGAAAAAATGCTTAATGGGAGAGAGTTTCTCCCAGAGCAATCCCTTTAGGTACCCACTGGCGACTGATAACTCATGACAACAGTTTGGAGCTGGTGACATTGCACTTCGTCCAAAAATGATCAATTTTGCTTGTATGAGGATCTTGTGAAACACTTCTGAATGCTTCACTAAATCTACTGGTGCAGTCAATCAGGTCTTCAGGACTTTTCAGACTTTGGAGTGTTCATTATTTTTTGTTCCTTATTAGTTGAAGCACAGTCTGGATAGGACCTCGAATTCATGAAGATTAGCAATCACAAGATTTTCAAGGCGGGGTTGTTTACAATGTCATCAAACGCAGGAGGCTCACTCGTCAACCTATCGAGCTCAAGATTATGTTAGAAATAGGTATTATATTCTGACAGCAGTACTGCCCATGGAACCAATGGTCCACAAATATGCACATTTACTGGTTCCTAACAAGTGGATATGAAGACAAGCATCTAAGCTGGAATGGCTATCAGGAAGATAGGCTCTCGGCAACAACCTCCCAGACTCTCAGTAATTATATCAGGATCCACTCGACATCATGGAGAGTTGAAGTAAATACTTCAGTTATTTTGATCAGGAAACGTAGCAATCACAGAATTTAAAAGATGGTAGGAATTTCAGCTGGACCCACTATGGCCATATCCATCTCACCGTTGACGTCCTTTATATAAACATCCCTTCAGGATTAATAACTGTTATGGGAAAATTTATTAGATGAGGAAACACAGGCACCATGGCCTATATATTCTGGTCTATGATTAGAAAGAGCTAAAGAGATAAAACAAAGGACACACTTGTATCATGACTGAAGACTCGTCTTCCATTGCATTTATTAACATCCATCATATGTGCAACATGACTTGATGAAATACCATTACAGTATAATGTATTTTGATCCACAATGATGACAGGGAGTATGTTGGATAACACAGACTCTGCAATTTCAAAACATGAAATACACTGCATTTCAATAATCATGCATTTCATGTTCTTCCTTATCCACTTTCACAGAGACAATCATCTACATCAAATATCAGCGTGGATGTAATGGCAGACAAGCTCTGCCTAAGGAGTACACACTTGGGGTCACATGACACCACTACATAGTTCTACAGTTTTACACTGACCTTACACAAGCTTTTGTTATATTCCATACATGACTGAGTTAGCTATCAGAACTAGATAATACCTTTTCTAAACATGCAATACTTCACAGAACAATTTCTAAACTTTGAAACCTAACCTGAAATAAAACTTTTCCAGGATTTTTTTTTCTTTTTTTAAAAATGTTTCCTCCTATCCTTCTGTTCCTGAGTATTAAACCAGGCCTAATAGTGGGAATTAAAAATGGCCGACATCATATAACTAGCCGCTATTGATTATGAAACATATTGAAATGAGTGGTAAGATGAGCAATGGTTTATATTTATATATATATATATGGAAGCAACCTAAAGAGATACAACATGCGATTTGAAAGTACCACGCTAAAAATAGGGTCCTGTACAACATTACTATAGACTGGTTGTGGAATGCCAATAACTTGACCAGAATCACCTCTTCATTGAGGCCAATCATCAGTTCTATTCATCGGAGTGGCATTATATTGTTTGTACTATTGTAACATCACCAGGAAAGCAGAAACGAAGTTATATATGTATAACTGTAAATAGGATAACTGTGAATTAATTAGGTATATAAGAAGAATCTGTCAGAAAGCAAAGCCTACAACTGTTTATTGTGATCTCCACTCTACTGGTAAAATGGAAATTACATCTTGACTTGTAATTTTTGTTTACCATTTTTTGTTCACATTTGTTAATTTTTCATGTCAGTAAAGTTCCATCTCATGATCATAATTGCAGTAATGTTGGGATTATCTATAATTTGATTATAATTGCAGAAATGTTGGGATTATCAATAATGTGAATAAATATCATCTGCCTCCTTTACTCAAACTTGCAAAAAAAAAAAAATCACATTTGGACATTTTCCACGTATTTAAGAGATTCTAGCGTATCTGAATTAGAAAATGATTTCTGAAATTATAAGTCAATTTTCCTCATGGAACCTCAAGGAATCTAGATCTGAAGTGATATATCATAACATACTAAAAAACACTTCACCCAGAGAGAAATTAAAGCAAAATCTTTAAATTATTTCTCTAAGAAAATTTCTTTGTAAATCTGGATTTAATTGGTCATAATAGTATGTTCAGAATAACAAAGTTTCAATTATTTTCTGTTGATTTTTCTTTTTCTTTTACAGACATGGTGTCTTCAAAAGTAGTAATTCTGTACTGGAAATTTAGATCATACCAATTTAGTAGCTTAAAGCTTCACTGAGTTGAGAATCATGTAATTTGCATATAGAATTGTTTTAAGAATAAGTGAAAATGTAAATTATTTTAAGGAAAAACATCACGCAATGTTAAATCCTTAAGTTCCATTAGACAATTTACATGTGACAGAAAAATATGGAAGTATTCTTCACATTTCAACTGTTTGGGAAACATATTGTTAGAAAATATGACATCTTCTCTGCTATGGATATTCCATTTTTGTTTCACTAAATCATCTATCGGTATAAGCAGAATGAAAAATTAGGGAAAAACATTTCCACTCATTTTGTGCAACGATCGACATACATTTAATTACAAAGATAGTTTGTATCACAAATAAATCATATAGGACTTCATAAAAATATATAAATGAAATGAAATGCAGGAGGTAAAATATATTGATGATACAGTTTTATTGTGCTGTATAAAAAAAATATTAATACCTAAATCAGAAGTATTGGACTATGTAGTCCTAATAGAAAGGTCATTAAATACAAGTTTTCTGTAGTATAGATGAAGTTTCTCCCATCTACATGGTACATGATAAATCAGAAGTATTGGACTGTGTAGTCCTAATAGAAAGGTCATTAAATACAAGTTTTCTGTAGTATAGATGAAGTTTCTCCCATCTACATGGTACATGATCAATCAGAAGTATTGGACTATGTAGTCCTAATAGAAAGGTCATTAAATACAAGTTTTCTGTAGTATAGATGAAGTTTCTCCCATCTACATGGTACATGATCAATCAGAAGTATTGGACTATGTAGTCCTAATAGAAAGGTCATTAAATACAAGTTTTCTGTAGTATAGATGAAGTTTCTCCCATCTACATGGTACATGATCAATCAGAAGTATTGGACTATGTAGTCCTAATAGAAAGGTCATTAAATACAAGTTTTCTGTAGTATAGATGAAGTTTCTCCCATCTACATGGTACATGATCAATCATGAGATCAACACTGAAAAGCTCTTCATCGTTGGACTGCTGCTTACAAAAGTCTTGCTACACAAGCTTGCTTAGACTTGACTGCACATGCTTATTTAGACTTGGCAAGACAAGCGTGCTATGACATTTTGGACTGCACAAGTTTGCTTAGACGGTTTTTGATCACATATGCTTGCTTAGACATTCCTTGCAGCACAAGCTTGCATGAGACTTGGCAGCAAAATCTTGCTTAGAAGTTTTTGTCTGCACAAGCTTGCTTAGATGTTCCTTGCGACACAAGCTCCCTTAGATCTATCTAATGTTGTCCTGAGGTGAAAGGAAAATGTTATTAAAGCCTACATGTTTGTAACAAATATGCTTACAACAAATTAGTGAACACATGGCAGTAAGGATCATTCCTTGATAAGGGCTCTATCATTTAAAAGATATATAAAAAATTTAATATATAGTGAATTTCACAAATAAATGTCTATAACTTCAAGGTTTGCCGTGATTAATAATATTATAGATAAAAATTCCTAGTCAAATAAGTGGTGGCTGAAAGGTATCCCCGTCACATCCTTATAATGTCTTCTAGCCCTGTGACAATGTTATCATGATGACCTATGTCTAGCCCTGTGATATTGTTGTCATGATGACCTATGTCTAGTCCTATGACAGTGCTGTCATGGTGACCAGCTGTGTCTGGATAAGCCAGAGCAGCTATTGGTAGACTCCCAATATAAATTACAGGGATGATTGGGTGGAACAGTTGCAACACATTTATCTTCCATCTAAACATTTGGGGTTTGATTCCTTGAGCGGATGTGAAAATGTATGGGGTCACCTACACAATGACATGGTTTTCTTCGGGCACCGTTTCTCTCCCACAGTAAAACCAGTTGTTTGCAAATGTTGCGAAGTAAATAAAGTTGTCTTTTTTTTACCAATTAAATCATCAAATGATGTGTTGTTTATCATGATCTCATTGATAAAATGTGTGAAAATACATAAATTTAAGTACATTTGTCTCTTCTGATTTAAAATAAAACTATAATCTTTTAAATAAATCATAAATGTAGGTGTATAGTAATAGCTTAGAAATGTTTGGTTCAAATTGCTTAAGGATGTATGAAAGACAGGTCTGATCATAGAAAAGGCATAAGTTACTAAAAGATAATTCCAAAATATCTTTCCTTTGTAGACATTTTAATATCTATAGTACTACTTACAAGTGTTTTCTTTGGGTGTTGCTATAAACTGAATGGTTGATATTTTGAACAATTTTTTACTTGTGAACTATATTGTGTGTAGCAGACAGTAAATAGCATTAACACCTTCAATGTTTACTGTATTTACTTTATAACTCTGGCTGTCTTGCTAAAATTCCATAACTTCTTGTAATAATTATCATCACAAATCACAGGTTTCAGTGCATCATTGGGTACATCAGATATTTCAGTTTGAATCTTGATCTTGAGAATATGTTTTCAGTAAAAATTAAAAAAAAAAAATTAAAAAACAGCAACCCCCTCTTATTTCACCCTGAAATATATAATAATTCTATCAAAGCAGAAAGTGTTGTAAAAACATAAATTCCAGAACATTTTAACTGTAGGATTAAAGCCATTTTTCTAAATGTTCTTTTTTTGACTGCTGTGCAGTTTCAAACGTGGAAATAAATTGAAATTACTTTCTGCTTATTATCCCAGTCCCAGTATCATTATATTACATTTCAGTCAACAAACAGGAAGAGGATATTTCTTGAAAACAAGATTGCCATCCGCCCCTCCATATTTAACAGTAGTAAAAAAATTACTGCAGCAGATAATTAACCTTTCAATGAATCATCACCAGAAGAAAAGTTAAGTTTGAATAACCTGACCCTCATACATCCTTAAACTTGATAAATTACATACATGATACATAGCATCAGAAAGATGGTAAAACCTGTAACAAAAGTAACAACAGCCGGAACCATGATAAAACAGAGTAACAGTAGTACAAGTAACAGAACTAATTGGACATCTATCTAAGTGTTTTAAGCAGCACAAACTGACAAAGTTTTAACACAAAAACTATAATGAAGCATTAACTTACAAGACATGTTTAGCACAGCAAAGACATCACAATGGAATTTCTCTAACTTATACCAACATTTGTATATCAACTGACTCTAAAATATAAACTTTTCAGTTCAGTATAAATAATTAACTGTAAGCTATAACATGTACACATCTTTAAAACTCTTCACAGAGAAAATCACACATGCTTATCATATATTCTTCAAATATAAATGTTGATAGATCATCACGTCTGCTGTACTGAACTTGAAGTCAAATATCCTAGTACACACACTGCTCTGCAGTTGCCCATCCTGTGTCAAAACACTGGACAATCATGAACTATTTGCACTTTCCCCATTCAGTCTACAAATCCCCTCTACAGGTTACACTTTTCAAAAGTAAATAAATGTACACATTCTGATCAATTCAACATGCATTCATATCCAATATTTTCTAGCAAGTGAAGAAAAATCAAAATGTCTGAAAATAAAAACCATGAGACTCTTGCAGAATCTGATTTAAACAATTTTCCCAGAGAAAGTGAGACCAATCCAAATTGTCCTATCATATGCTAAATCAAACATGACCTTGCCAGAGATCAATTCAAGGCAAGATCTGATAGGACCAGGTGCAACCTTGCAGAGACCAATTCATGGCTTGGTCTGGTATACTATCAGTGCTTGTGGTACTTGGCTGATGAGTGAGCACTGTGCTGGAAGTAGCTGCGATTGTTGTCTCGGTGTCTATGTTCACTATGATAGCTGTGAAAATGAGGACCGTTGGAAGGTTTGTGGTGAGACCCGTTGGTGCCATTGTTGTAACCATTGTAGGAGCTCCCATCATAAGACCCTTTCCACTGGAGAAAACAAAACAAAATAAAACAAATAAAAAATACTGACCATTCCATCGCAGGGAAATACAGTTTGTACAGTCAATCAATCTTTAATTCTGTTCATGCTATTAATCTCAAAATCATTTAAAAGACAATGAAAGAGCTCTGCCCATCACAACAAACAAGCTTATTCAGACACTTGAACACTGTTGTAAACTTTAAGTATGAAAGCAGTGGCTTAGGCAGTCTCCAACTTCTTAAAACCCAGAATCTGAGGACATAATCAATCACTTACTAGTATAGTAGAATGTCTCTCCTGACCACAACAGTTTACAAGTCAAATACAGGTATTACAAGATTGCACTACTTACTCTATTCCTGTCTTGGTTGCGTTCATCTTGCATTCTTTGGAAGTTGTTATTGGGCAAGAAATCAAAGTCAGCATAATGCTTTTTCACTTTTTTCACCTGAAATATGACAATAAAACTGAAAATTGATAACAGATAGCAATACCAGAATCAGAAATTAAGTTAAAAACAGATAACATTATCTTGAGTTCCCTATTATATCAGACTTTACTAAGTAACAAGTTCCTTGTTATATCAGACTTTACTATGTAACAAGTTCCCTGTTATATCAGACTTTGCTAAGTAACAAGTTCCCTATTATATCAGGCTTTACTAAGTAACAAGTTCCTTGTTATATCAGACTTTACTAAGTAACAAGTTCCTTGTTATATCAGACTTTACTATGTAACAAGTTCCTTATTATATCAGACTTTACTAAGTAACAAGTTCCCTGTTATATCAGGCTTTACTAAGTAACAAGTTCCCTATTATATCAGACTTTACTAAGTAACAAGTTCCCTGTTATATCAGACTTTACTTGTAACAACTACTTTGCTGTAACAAGTTCCTTATTATATCAGACTTTACTAAGTAACAAGTTCCCTGTTATATCAGGCTTTACTAAGTAACAAGTTCCCTATTATATCAGACTTTACTAAGTAACAAGTTCCCTGTTATATCAGACTTTACTATGTAACAAGTTCCCTGTTATATCAGACTTTACTAAGTAACAAGTTCCCTGTTATATCAGACTTTACTAAGTAACAAGTTCCCTATTATATCAGACTTTACTAAGTAACAAGTTCCTTGTTATATCAGACTTTACTATGTAACAAGTTCCCTGTTATATCAGACTTTACTAAGTAACAAGTTCCCTATTATATCAGGCTTTACTAAGTAACAAGTTCCTTGTTATATCAGACTTTACTAAGTAACAAGTTCCCTATTATATCAGGCTTTACTAAGTAACAAGTTCCCTGTTATATCAGACTTTACTAAGTAACAAGTTCCCTATTATATCAGACTTTACTAAGTAACAAGTTCCCTATTATATCAGACTTAACTAAGAAACAAATTCCCTGTTATATCAGGCTTTACTAAGTAACAAGTTCCCTGTTATATCAGACTTTACTAAGTAACAAGTTCCCTATTATATCAGACTTTACTAAGTAACAAGTTCCCTATTATATCAGACTTTACTAAGTAACAAGTTCCCTATTATATCAGACTTTACTAAGTAACAAGTTCCCTATTATATCAGACTTTACTAAGTAACAAGTTCCCTATTATATCAGACTTTACTAAGTAACAAGTTCCCTATTATATCAGACTTTACTAAGTAACAAGTTCCCTATTATATCAGACTTTACTAAGTAACAAGTTCCCTATTATATCAGACTTTACTTAGTAACAAGTTCCCTGTTATATCAGACTTTACTTAGTAACAAGTTCCCTGTTATATCAGACTTTACTAAGTAACAAGTTCCCTGTTATATCAGACTTTACTAAGTAACAAGTTCCCTATTATATCAGGCTTTACTAAGTAACAAGTTCCCTATTATATCAGACTTCACTAAGTAACAAGTTCCCTATTATATCAGGCTTTACTAAGTAACAAGTTTCCTATCATATCAGACTTCACTGAGTAACAAGTTCCCTATTATATCAGGCTTTACTATGTAACAAGTTCCCTGTTATATCAGACTTTACTAAGTAACAAGTTCCCTGTTATATCAGACTTTACTAAGTAACAAGTTCCCTATTATATCAGGCTTTACTAAGTAACAAGTTCCCTGTTATATCAGGCTTTACTAAGTAACAAGTTCCCTGTTATATCAGGCTTTACTAAGTAACAAGTTCCCTATTATATCAGGCTTTACTAAGTAACAAGTTCCCTATTATATCAGACTTTACTAAGTAACAAGTTCCCTGTTATATCAGGCTTTACTAAGAAACAAGATTCCTATTACATAAGACTTTACTAAGTAACAAACTTCACATATCAACATATGTTTCAAGATCTCTTAGTTTTCTTTAAACTTTATAAAAACATTGATGTCCAAACCACAATGGCTACTGGTATCCATCTTAATTAAGCTCAAAATGTAACAGACATGTTCATAAGTTTCAAGGTTCTTTCAGATGTTCTTCAATAATGGCAATAACAAATTTTAATGCCAAAATCTGAAATATTGCCAGTTAAACTCAAAATGTGACATTCATAACTAGGATCCATACTGAACATGTTCATAAAGCATAAAAAATAGTGGTTACAAGAAATTGTTTATGGCACGGAAAGACCAGACAAGAATGATTACAAATGTCCACAATTTGATGATTAATTTTGCTAAAAATCAGGTTCTTTTCATTGTACAACAGAAAAAGTATGTCTTGTAAGTATCTGCTCCTAAAAAGGATTTCAAAAGATTCTAAGTATCTGCTCCTTAAAAGGATTTCAAAAGATTCTCAAAATTTTGTTCTCTTCAAATAAACATAGGATAACAACTTTTAATTTGTTAATGTAAAGATCAGATTTTGGTGACAACAATTTCCATTCTGACATCTGATTTGATTATCATTATCAACATCGGTGGTACAATACAAACCTTTCCCCTGTCAAATTCTTCATCATAGGCATCTGTCCAGGGACGTTTCTTTTCCCTCTCACGATCAGCCTCGAGGTCCAGAGAACTTTTACCACCATTCCAGGATGCCACTGTAAAAGGATCAACCCAATATTAAGTCTCTCAAACTAAAACAGAAATATAACTCCAAATTTCAATGATTTTAAAAAGTTATTGTTTTGTAATGACAAGCTTACCTGAAGAGCCATAAACGTGGTGAGCCGATTTTTCAAGCTCATCTGCCACTCGTGACTTTTTCGAGCCATCCCAGGAATTACCAGATCGAGCATCACCCCCAGGGCCATTATTGGGTCGTTTGTAACCATCTTTGATGTGATGATCCCAGCTTTGTACAGGAACTGTCAATATTAAGTCTTCAAAATATCAGGAAATTATTACAGAAATTTTTTTTTTAGTTCTGCGTACTGACTTCAATTTAAATAAAAACATTTTTTCTATATCTATATTGCTGAACATACTGTTGTTGGGGTAAATATGTGGTTGTCCTGGTAGCTCAAATGATTAAATATCGTGCATGTCTACAGGCGTACAACACACCTTTTCTGCCATATGAATTTGAAGTGCTGTAGAATTGTTTGTTAGGTATCTAATTTAATGCGATCTTTACTGACAGAAAGCATAATGAAATATTACCAACTATACAATGTCACCTTACACTTCTGTCAAATAATACTTACCAATAATCAAAATAGATAAAAAAAACTTTTGCAAATACAAACATCACTCAAGAAAAAACTTGCCATTACCTTTGTTGTCGCTGATCTTTTCATCTCCACTGGCACCTTTAAGGGAATCTTTAGTCTTCTCCACCCAAACAAACTCCTGGCTATCCTCAGACTCGCTTTCTGACTTTTTATGAGGTGTCTCTTCCTCTCTATTTACGAACTTCTTCTTATCTTTACCATAATCATTAAATTTGAATTCCTTCTTTAGTTTGTGTTTCTTTTTCTTGTGCTTTTTGACGCGGCCTGAGCTATCACTATCATGTACAAGTTCTTGATACTTGATATCTTTGTGCTCTTTTTTGTGCTTCTTGTGTTTTTTATGTTTTTTGTGAGTAGATTGTTTGCCCTCTGAACACACAAAGCTCTCAGAAAGGAGGCTCTGTTTGTCTGGTATATCGACTATTTTGTCATCTATGACCTCACCACTCTGTTTGGATGCAGACGGCACCAACTTTGAATTAAAATTGGACAACTGCAAAGTTTCAGTCCTATAAGAATCATCTGATTTATCATGCACCATTTTATGTTCCTCAGCAGACGTTTCTAAAGTCTGTCTTGTGTCAGGTGAAGACACAGAGGGTCTGCCATTACCATCTTTCTGATCTTCTGAACAATTTCCCAACCTTTCATTCTCTTGTACCTTCCAACCTGGGAACTGTCTCTCGGGCACTTTCGGATACACAGTCATGTCCTTGTTGCCCATCACTGTCCATTCTGTAGTGGAGTTCACACTGTCACGACTGGAAGATGAACCGACTGATGGACTGGGAGCAGAGTCCTGATTAAACACTTGCCAGTTTGTTGTGGAATTCACCTTTGAACTCCCTGCAGGCACCAGGTTTGTTACACAAGATATGCCAGGATTATCCCCGAGTATTCGTTTCCCTGGGCTGAATGCTGACTTATCATTGAACTTTAATGTCAGGTCCTTTGATGGACTAACCATAAGATTGAGACCATCTAGTCGATGGTTTTTACTATCTCCATGGCCTTTGGTGTCCAACAAATTGGCATTTCCTGGCACAGATGTTGTGGCATTTAACTTCTTGTCAAATACAACAGCAGAATCGTCCAAATGTCTTTTGATGTTTTTCTGAGGAAAAAGATGCAGACCAACCTTCTTTTCCTCTTTTTTCAGACTAGATGATTTAGTTTCTGTTTTCTTAACTTTTGTGTAACTAATGGTATTTTCAGAATCTGACTCGCTGTCATCACCGTACGGTACTAACAATGATTTCACCTGATCTGAATCTTTTACTATCTTTGATTTACCATTTGGCGATTTTTCAAATGTCGTAACTTTGCCATTTTTTATCTGCATGACAATTCTGGGCTTGTCTTCTGTTACAGTTTGCTGTTTGACAGGAGTCTGTGGTTTGATGCCAAATGCTACACGATCGCGTTTGTCAGGTAATGGGGTACTTAGAGATAGCGCTGAAGTCGACTTTTGCACATGAGTAGAGGAGGACAATGATGAGGAACTGTTGCTTTTTCTTGCCACACTAGATCCAAGGTCACTGCTTGGCCCACCTTAAAAAGGAAAAAAATGTTTGGAAAACACTTTTTAATCTAATTACAATTATCTTGGATACATGTAATAATGATGGTTTATGTCTAATGTCTTCATCCTTTAGTAATCACTAAGTAAAATACTGGTACACAGGGTTTTCCATAATTTTGTTAGAAGTAGGCTGTGTAGTGAAAGTAGGAGGCTAGTGGAGCAAGCCAACCCGAGCCGCAATGCGGCGAGTTGGGAGTAGCCTGTCGTGTACATGTAGTAGTGTACAGAACATTATTACGGAACTGGATTGGTGTAGGTGGCCACATGATCAAAGTAGCCGGTCAAATTGGCCGGCGACCGGCTCTTATGGAAAATCCTTGGTACAATATAATCAGTTCTTTTGAAGCAATACATGTAATACCTGTTGGCTAGTTTTTCAGATCAAGAAATCAAACTGAAACATTACAGTATGTTGTTACAAGTTTAATAACACTTATCAACAAAAACAAAAGATATCTAATAAACATTGATTTTTTTAAACAAGAATACTCACTGAGAACTCCATTGACTTTGAATTTCTTGTTAATGGTGTGGTTTCGAGGCAGACTAGGACCAATCACAGGGGTCTAGCAAAAAGGAAACATATTATTAACTTTTGCTTACACATTAAGTGTCTAAATAAACGCCCAAAGTAGAAAATAAAATGCACATGAATGAAATTAGATTAAGGAAGCTAATAACAGGACAATATCCATCTTTCTGTCATCAATCCAATATCAACATTTTATACAGCAATTACTTTGTAGAAGTTGTAAAATGAATTCCAAACGCAAAAATTGAAAACTAAAACTTGCATAATCAAACCATGACCTACCTTGTTATTTATTGGTCTCGGTACAGATTTTGATGATATGAGAGAAGGCTTGGATTTAATGTAGAAAAGTAAATATGCTTCACAAGATAGAACCCGTGTAGCACTGACTTGTTGTACCTGTGAACAGAACATCAGTATTAACATCTAACTATGTTTTAACATCCATGTTCAACATCTGAATCTATGGATAAAATGAAATACTGTGAAATAATGAGTTGATATATTTGATTTAGTGTTTCAAGTGAAAGGACAATGCTTTTATGGTGTTCATCAACACACGTACCATGGAGTCATTCATGCAGTACCATATCTGACTTGGAGATTTCACATAGCAGTAGTAATGACCAGAGTTACAGCTGTAACCAGAGTGGACCAATACAGCATACAGTTGGTATATCACTTTTTCTCCCTAAAAGCAAAAGAAAACTGATTTATATCCAAAATGAACATCCTGGCCTACAATCTCCATTGCACTTAAGGTTAAGAGAATTAAAGTTGATGACAAAATTTGATCTTATTATGTCAAGGTCTGTTGCAGTCAAGTATCCAACCCCTGGACTTCAGGTATTGTTTAGACTTATCACTTAGATTGATTGTAAATGGAGGCATGTTTACATAGGGTGAATTTCAACTGCTGTTATATCCGTAACAATGTACGATATTGTCTTGAGCATTTCTCAAATAAGTTAATCATTGCTATATCTGTATATAAAGAATAAGTTTTCTCTTGGTTTTTTTTTTGTGAAGGTAGCGTATAATGGGGCTTCAACGCTTTATTTTGAGATGTTAGATCAATGAATATATCAGTAATTCTGAGCTCTCCAACTTACCTGTCTATTGCTCATATAAGGACGCAGATTAAGTTTTTCTGGGAACTGAATGTGCCGACTCACTTTACCCATCAATCTGTTGTAGTCAAACCTAGGAATAAATTCCACATTTAATAAGAAGTTGTCAACAATTACCAGATAGAAAAAGTTATTCCATCTGTTACAGCAAATTTATGTCCACTGATAACCAGTCTACTTAAATTATAGTTATTCTAAAGCAAAGTGGAATTATCTGCAACATCAAACAACACAACAAAATGAAGATTGAACACTTACCTTTTCAATGAAATTGTTAATATGTTAGGTGCCTTGTGAATTGAAAACCTTTTGTGAGCTGGAACTTTCTGTTTGCATCTAGAATGAAGATAAGACATTGATAATTTGGTGTCTCAATCCTAAATCAATGCTATACATATCCTCTTTTATCAAAATTCATAAGTTGCGTAAATATTTAACAGACCAAGTAGATAATACTCACTTTGTACACATGTATGCATTGTCATTATCCAATGTCTCTGGATGCACATACTTCTCCAAAGCTTTCTCCAGGGTTTGTACAGCCTGTTGTTTAAACAATTCTTATTATTATTATTAATAGGTTAACAGCCCATCAACACATAAAAGGTCATAAGGGCCATCAACCGGTGAAACACAGTGATTCTAAATAAGAGGTATTTTCCTAATGTAAGAAAAAATCAAACTGGAACAGAACACACTTTAGTGCCAGTCATATTGTTGAAAAGTTTTGCTACATTTATCAGTTAAATTAAACACATCCTCAAAGGTAGCTATGTATCATAAATGATTCTATGGTTATATTTTGTAGGGTTGGGCAGCATTGTATACAGAAGAGGAATCAGTGTTTAAATTGAAGCAGATTTAAAAAAGAATCAAAAAGGAACAGATTTAGTTTGGACATCTTCAAAATTAACTTCTTTCTCACCTTAATATCCAAGCTGACGTCCAAGAAGGGGTCGTATGTATTTGACATCTCCTTACATCGCATACACTGAACTGAATAGGAAATAAATTGAGATGCATATTATTATCAAATTAAAGGCTGAAATGTACCATTTACAGAGTCAAAGTTACCAGTTTAAATTCCCCATGGATATCAAAATATAAACACTGTCCAAAATTTATAACTTATAAAAACCATTTTACATACAAAATATATATTTACCCGACATTCTTTTGAAATATCAGATACATGAAAATTACAAAATTTATTGAAATAAATTACAAACTTTATAGAATTATGGGAGCAAATGTACCTTCTCATCTAGATTTTGACCATTTTTTATCACTTTGGATATTCCTCTCGGTACAACTTCAAGGATGAAACAGCTGTATGCTGCCTTATCTATCTCTAATGTTTTCTATTCTACATTTATATTGAAAGGTGCTATTCACTGTGAGTCTTTAGTACAATTCTTATAAACATACCTTGACTTCTGAGAAATCCTCCAAATATTTGGTTGACAACTGTTGTTTCCTTGCTGAACTTGTCTAATCTGTAACATACAGAAAATATAAAGTCTCAATGTAGCTGATTAAGCACTGGTTAAAACATTACCACAAAATTCAAGAGATAAGAATTTGCCATTTAAAATAATGTTTCAAACAGACTCGTTCATTCATTGTTTCCACATTTTCATTCTAATTGACTCACTTGTTATGTCCATTGAGACATGACCGCTGCATTGCATCGACCACGTATCTCAGGAACTCATGAGCATCCTCCTGACGACCCCAGTGCATGTGCTTTGCTATCACTACAAAGAAAGGCTCATACTATGTAGTTTCAAACAGGTGGGTTTTTTTTACACATGTTAGTGTTTATTTCAAATACAGAGGCTCTAATATGACTTTCCATTTTACATGAAATGTTTGTATTTGAAATAATTCCAAGAAAAATCATAAGAACAAAGTTTTACAAATCTCATTGAGACAATTTTCTGATGTCTTCAATGTAGATCTAAACTGCATCTTTTAGAAGTTCTTTTGGCTAAATAGAGCACAAATATTCTGTGAGTGCATTTTGAAAATAAAAAACAAATGGCATTCACAAAAGTTATACCAGTGTTTTGTGCCTGGATCAGTGATTTGGTAACATGGTTACATTAGTCATAAGCTTGAATGAAATAACTTATTTGTATGTTATATTTAATTAAAAAGACCAGTAGTACAGATGAACTGTATGTGTATGTGGAGCCTGTAATATGCAGGTAAAATGTATACTTCAGCAGTGTACTGAAGAGTTCATTTATTGTCATGTATGAAGATGGTTAAAAAAAAACCTTCAATCACTAGCAAGTATTCAGACTTTCTTGAAAAGGCCATCTTTGGATTTCAGCAAACATAGTGTAATAGAAATTTTAAATGTCATAAAAGGACAAAGTCCTAAAAGTAAATTCAAGCCAGTTTCACGGGGGCTAACTAGCCCTTTTTCATGCTAAACACAGAAGCTTGTCTAGAAAATTATCTATGGAATGGGAAAATACAGTTAAGTATCCATCCACATGTTTGTGTAAATTTCAGATCCATCCCTCTCCACCTCCCCTTTCTTTTCAGTGAACAGGTAATGGACTCATCCAAGTCTGTGTTCTGAACAAGTCCATCAAAACATTTGTGGATATGGATGATATGAAATAAGCAGGTCAATACATATAAAATTTCATACTTATATTTGAAGCCTTCAGATGCATGTTATAGATAAACAGGTAATTAACTATCAAATGAAAGTTTCACCTCATATTTTCAACTTTGAGGGTTTTCACCTCATTACATTAAATAATATCTGGAACACTGCATCTGAAGATATCTTTGCAACCTGCATGCAAGAGCTCAATTTGTTTTGTTATGAGTGTAGTAAGATAGAACCTGAGACAGAAAGATAGGTTAACATAATTAACGGGTTCTACTGAACTGGCCATGTAACAGAACTTACTTCTCAGTTTCTGTAATACAGATTGTGGCTTAATGGCATTTCCTGAGTTTTCATAACAACGCTTAACATGACGCTGCAGTTCACACATCATGCAAAATCCTGCTTGTTTGCCTGAAATATGTAAAGGATTCATGTGGCATTATCCAGCATAAACATTTCCTGTGTACAACTATCACATGTTCTAGCCGTGGATAATCCTCCTGACCAGAAATCACTATTAATGAGAGCATGGCAGACTCTGTCATATTTAAACACAATTAATACTGGACCCAAAATTCCCAAAAGGATTTTCTCACAAAATATCATCAGCCTAGTGTTGTTAATGAGTGCATGACATATTCTACAAATGTTCTTAACAGTGACAAAATTTTATTGTTTATCGCTTTTGCTACCTTATAATCAACCCAAGTCATTTTGAAGCATTGATTTTTTTTTAATTTTATAGTTTAAACCAATACATCACTAAACACTTGAAGGTTACTTTTGAAATCAAGTGCAAGATACATTAGTAAGAATGGTACTAACACATAGTACTGTGTTCATTGCTAAGGCAGAAGTTGACAAGAGGAGCTGTGTATGTGAGGCACTGGAGAGTGGAGTTTAGGAAGCAGGTGTTCCCCATGTTCACCAAACCTGCCCCAATTTTCTGCATCTTCCTCCATTCCAACTGAACTTTCTCCTCTGGGTACAAAACAACTTTTGGTGTTGGTAGGGAGTCTCCGTCTCCTTCACCATTCATTCTGGAACCTGAAGTAAATTAAACTCAATTAATACATATACATACAGATCCTGTTGATTTCATATTCCACTACCAGGAAATCTGCAGTTGTGATCAGCTCTATAGAAGAGCGAGCTGATAACAACATCTTTCAATTTTCATATTTGCATTGGAACACTCTTAGGGTTTTATGAATCTAATATATGTTTATCTAATATCATCATTATTTTTTTAAATTCTGTAAGCTTAAACTCATTTTTTTTTAATTTTAAAAGTTTCTCTTGTTCATATTCAATCCTTATTTTAGATAAATTAATAAAATTTCTATGGATTATTATTTAATGCAAAACTAATTTCTGGCTTCCCACTTCACTAAACAGTTATATTAACTACAAAGAGCACAATTTCTCAATCTAAAACGATAGCCAACTCATTGCAACAACAATTTCATATTCAATCAATATCATTACTATCTGAGATAGAAATTAATAACCAGCTTATAATTCCTGATCATGGTGATCATTCTGAAAATGGACATACTATACATATTACTGTCATTTGGTTGTCATCCCTTAGTTACCTTCTTTCTGTTTATTACTGCCATTCTGCTCAGTAGAATATTTTTTACACTGATTCAGAGGTATATATTTAGCTCTCAAAGAGTCCACTTGCAGAGAATATGGCTTCTCTGCTGGTTTGAAATCAATCTTGTGCAAGAGGACTTGTTTGGAGGAGGATAGAAGTTGACTATCCAAGCTCTCCTCCCCAGCCAAGGAGGACTTCAGTGTCTCCTCAATTTGCCCTATATTTTCTGAAGAACTTGCAGGCATAGCATTGGTTAATCTGAAAGAATAAATCACTATAGTCAACATTTACACATAAATTGTGAACTCAACAACACACCCAGTGCATTGAAATACAATTAATTTAAATAATACATGTTCATGTCTGTCATTACAAGTGACATGTTCAACCTGTATACAGTATTTCAAAATCATATGGGGGTACACTGAAACTGTATTGTTCTGTTGATGTTACCACAATATAAAATCTATTATTTTCACATACAAAATAATTGAGATCGATCTTTAACCATTGCTTTCTGTATCATTTATTTACCTGAAAAAGATCCTGGTTTAAGGAATTATCACACTAACTTATGATATAATGTATGTAGAAAGACATAAAGGTATTTCTAAAATTACTTTAAAAAAAAAAGTTTTTTATTTACATATTATTGTGCAAACATGCAAAGCATTAAGAAATACCTGAAAACCTAGTGTAATAATGCAAAGGATGGGGAAGGGAAGGTGTTGAAAAGAGTTAAAATCATATCCCAAATTAGTCTTCTCATATATACAAATCATGCAATGGGAACAGCACGTAAAATACTCTTAGGATCTACCTGTAGTGCGAATAAAGGTTTTGACTAGAGTGATTACCTGTAGAGAGGTGGACAAGGATATAGTGCTATTCAATAATCGGATGAACAATTTTGTAGCAGAGCAATAACTAAATATATGTCCTATCCATCCGAAGGCTTGCCAAAATAGCAATATAAAGGGATTCAGTTATATCTGATACAGAGTAATACAGAAATATTGTGTAGTTCTTCTCTGAATACTTTCCAGGTGCTGGGTTGTATTATGTGGATAACGATCCTAGACAGGGCAAAATCAATCAAATTTAGGTCATTCTTAAGCTTTGTATGCAATGTTCTGAACTTTTTCATAATTTATTTTGATAGGTTGCGATGTAAAATTCTACAGACCTTTTTTGCTTTAGGAGAAATAATTGATGTGTTGATCCTATTTCAGATTTGCCTCCAATACAAGATATAATGAAACTACATTTAAGACTAACAAGGAAATTGAAAAAAATTATTTATCTTATTAGTTGTCGTTTCGTTCAATTTCATATCAAAATAAAATGATACTGATGTTCAAACATCGAATAATTGGATTATGAGACCTCGTGGTGGTGTACATGTGGATAACACTTTCTTGTGCGCATAAAACTGGAAACGGACAACAGGGTCAGCGGAATGTCCCAACTAGTTTCGTAGTTTTCACAGATAATGCTATTTATAATCATGTTACCATTTAAAATGATAGTATAATGATAAGCTTTTCAGAAAAAAGTTCTCGAAATAGGTCCCAATCGAATACACAGACAGACCTATAATCGAATGATAACAACATGGAACCCACATTGTTTCTGGCCACGAGACAGGGTACCGGTTGATAAAATTATTTTGTCTGAGGGAAGCCATGTAATGCTTTAGCTTAGTGTACCTGTATTTATATATACAAGTGATTAGTGGTGCCTTTAAAGTTAATTCCAAGGACATTAATACAAGGTCTGCATGTAAAATATATAAATATTACCTGCAACATCCAACACCGAGTAGATTTCGAATGCAACATCCGGGTATTCTTATGCGAGACCTTCCTTCGCATGCGCATGAAACGATATCCTGTTTTTATTGATGGGTGCGTTCGGTTTGGCATAGATAACTCATTCAGCAATTAAGAATAATATAAGATCAGTAGATCAGGTCCTAATGGCATTGCCTAACTGGTCAGGATATAAATGAAAACGGTCACTGTATTTTTTCAAGGCTTATGCATTGCATTCGAGAGTTTAGTTAACTCGGTAACAAAAAGAAGATCATATCATATGGCTTACGACAGGCCAGGGTGAAAACGAAACAGAATATTTGTTACGTAAGAGGACAATTATTACGAATGATTACTTAAAATATGCGATAACAATTCGAAATTTAGTTGTCAATAAGAAAAGTGCAAATGATATATAAAGAATATCAAGTATCTAAATGTATAAATGGAAACATAAAGAACTCAAGTGTTCATTTCAAATCAAGCACGGGGTATTGATGTGGTTAATTGTCAACTAAAACCATGCCGATCCAAATATAAATTCTAACGTAGCATACATCTTAGTTTTCTTTCTTTGATCTTACACATATTTTATAGACCAAAACTGGGAAGGGAGATTTTGTACAACTCTGCCTTACAGGTACAAATCTGCTTTACAGATACCATTCCTGTGATGATGAATGTGGATTATAGTTTACAATAAAATAATATATACATACTAGTACTGGATTTTGACAAATGTCTGTATATTCTGATAAGATGTTCTCAGACTGTGCAAACGTTCATCATTGTCAATTTCATGATTGAACAAAAAGACATTCCGGTTTGATATATTTTCAATTTCGTAAATGTCTTTTCATTGGAAAATATGGTAGCTCCGAACTCCAGGTGTGGTTTCACTTGAGTTATATATAAGAAATTTGATCTATCTCCGAACTCCAGGTGTGGTTTCATTCGAGTTATATATAAGTAGTTGATCATCTAGCTCCTAACTCCAGCTATGGTTTCACTTGAGTAATATACAAGTAGTTTGATCTAGCTCCGAACTCCAGGTGTGGCCTCACTTGAGTTATATATAAGTAGTTGATGACCTAGCTCCGAACTCCAGGTGTGGTTTCACTTGAGTAATAAACAAGTAGTTTGATCTAGCTCCGAACTCCAGGTGTCGCCTCACTGGAGTTATATATGTAAGTAGTTTGATCGAGCTCCAAACTCCCGGTGTGGTTTCACTTGAGTTATATATAAGTAGTTGATGATCTAGCTCCGAACTCCAGGTGTGGTTTCACTTGAGTAATAAACAAGTAGTTTGATCTAGCTCCGAACTCCAGGTGTCGCCTCACTGGAGTTATATATGTAAGTAGTTTGATCGAGCTCCAAACTCCCGGTGTGGTTTCACTTGAGTTATATATAAGTAGTTGATGATCTAGCTACAAACTCCAGGTGTGGTTTCACTTGAGTTATATACAAGTAGTTTGATCTAGCTCCAAACTCCAGGTGTGGTTTCACTTGAGTTATATACAAGTAGTTTGATCTAGCTCCAAACTCCAGGTGTGGTTTCACTTGAGTTATATATAAGTAGTTTGATCAAGCTCCAAACTCCAGGTGTGGTTTCACTTGAGTTATATACAAGTAGTTTGATCTAGCTCCGAACTATAAATGTGGTTTCACTTGAGTTATATATAAGTAGTTGATGACCTATCTCCAAACTCCAGGTGTGGTTTCACTTGAGTTATATATAAGTAGTTGTTGATCTAGCTCCGAACTCCAGGTGTGGCTTCTCTAAAGCTTTATACAGGAAGCTAAATGTGTTTATCTAAATATGTATCGGATGTAATTTTTCCGTAATTAAGTTTCCTCATTGACCGATTTATGTATATGTATGTACATTTAATTGTGTTGTCTGTGATCCCTTTCCGGTTAAAGTTTTCCATTCACTGATCAGTATTTTTCTTCTCTTCTTCAAATATTGCAGGAATGCTTTCCGAAATCATATTGAAAGCCATATGTCATTTCTATAAGTAGACGAAGGAGAAGGAGATCAAAGAGAGAAAGACAAGCAATCTAAAATGAAATAAAGTGTTTGGGAATCATCGTTAAAACTTCAAATTTCCGCTGTTCAGTTTCCACGTTTTCGTCATCATCATGATCATTATTATCATGTTATAAAATGTTTAGCATAATTAAAGAATTATATTAACTTTATTTATTTTACAATATTTGCGAAATGAGCTTGCTGGCCTTTTCTCTGTGAGGAAACCGAAGTACCCAGAGAAATTTCACGTAGTTGGGCAAGTGATCCCCGTACTTTTTCACGTCTGCTGGGGGGAAATGCGACGGCACCATCCGACCACTCAAATTATAGACGTACAGCAGCTGATGCTAAATCATCTAGAAATTTGATTTAAGATTTTCTCAAATTCAGATGGAGAACTTGGAATTTAAGGCTTGATTTTTTTTATCTCTTGTTAGGGTAGTAAATAAGCTTAAAAATGAATACTAGCTACTGGACAATTCTTTACAAAAACGGTCATAATGGCGACCAGATATACAATACTGATTTTAGTATTCGATCGTACATTGATCAACTGGTCTCTGCATATCGTCGGTGCGTTAAGTTCAAGCGATAAAATTGATCTGTGACAATTCCAAAGTATTTTCAGCATATACAGTAACAGAAACTGCATAATTAAAGATCAAAGCACAATTACAGTATGTAATAGTTTGTCTTTCATTATTGATGCATGTAGAGATCAGCAAAGGTTGTAACTCAAGAATATAAAAATTGAAATCAAGGTAGGAACATTTCTCTGTATGGCATATATATATCTATTTATGAGTTTTATGGTCTGAACATTTGGATAATTATGTGACGACCAAACACATTGCTAATTCAGTATCACAAATACTCTTTAACAAAACTGTATAACAATGTATTTTATCATTTGGAATTATTATGATGGATATAGCTGCGATACGAATAATAAAAAGATACATTTTATTGTCCGTGAATCATTATGAAATACTCACATTATAAATAATAGATAGATATATAGAAGAAGGAGGAGGAGGAGAGGAGGAGGAGGAGGAGGAGGAGGAGAAGGAGGAAGAGGAGGAGGAGAAGAAGAAGAAAGAAGAAGGAGGAGGAGAGGAGGAGGAGGAGGAGGAGGAGAAGAAGAAAGAAGAAGGAGGAAGAGGAGGAGAGGAGGAGGAGGAGAAGAAGAAAGAAGAAGGAGGAGAAGAAAGAAGAAGGAGGAGAAGAAAGAAGAAGGAGGAGAAGAAAGAAGAAGGAGGAAGAGGAGGAGAGGAGGAGGAGGAGAAGAAAGAAGAAGGAGGAAGAGGAGGAGAGGAGGAGGAGAAGAAGAAAGAAGAAGGAGGAGGAGGAGGAGGAGGAGGAGAAGAAGAAGAAAGAAGAAGGAGAAGAAGAAAGAAGAAGGAGGAAGAGGAGGAGAGGAGGAGGAGGAGAAGAAAGAAGAAGGAGGAAGAGGAGGAGGAGGAGGAGGAGAAGAAAGAAGAAGGAGGAGAAGAAAGAAGAAGGAGGAAGAGGAGGAGAGGAGGAGGAGGAGGAGAAGAAGAAGAAGAAAGAAGAAGGAGGAGGAGAGGAGGAGGAGGAGAAGAAGAAAGAAGAAGGAGAAGAAGAAAGAAGAAGGAGGAAGAGGAGGAAAGGAGGAGGAGGAGAAGAAAGAAGAAGGAGGAAGAGGAGGAGGAGGAGGAGAAGAAAGAAGAAGGAGGAGAAGAAAGAGGAAGGAGGAAGAGGAGGAGAGGAGGAGGAGGAGAAGAAAGAAGAAGGAGGAAGAGGAGAAGAAAGAAGAAGGAGGAGAAGAAAGAAGAAGGAGGAGAGGAGGAGGAGGAGAAGAAAGAAGAAGGAGGAAGAGGAGGAGGAGGAGGAGAAGAAAGAAGAAGGAGGAGAAGAAAGAAGAAGGAGGAAGAGGAGAAGAAAGAAGAAGGAGGAGAAGAAAGAAGAAGGAGGAAGAGGAGGAGAGGAGGAGGAGGAGGAGAAGAAAGAAGAAGGAGGAAGAGGAGGAGGAGGAGGAGAAGAAAGAAGAAGGAGGAGAAGAAAGAAGAAGGAGGAAGAGGAGGATAGGAGGAGGAGGAGAAGAAAGAAGAAGGAGGAAGAGGAGGAGAGAAGGAGGAGGAGGAGAAGAAGAAGAAAGAAGAAGGAGGAGGAGAGGAGGAGGAGGAGAAGAAGAAGAAAGAAGAAGGAGAAGAAGAAAGAAGAAGGAGGAGGAGAGGAGAAGAAGCAGGAAGAGAAAAGGAGAAGAAGATGAATAAGAATGTCTCGTAGTACCTGATAAAACTAATAACACATAAATATCTTCATAACCTGCTGTATGTAATTTATAACCAACCACAATATACTTCAGTCGTCGGGTGTTCACTGTATAATTCATGTTTCTGAGAGACAAACACATAAAATAACTACACATTATGTTCATAATCTTCAGTGATATTTCCCACATAACATGAATTATCTGGTTCTATTTCCCGTTAAAAGAGTAGTTCTTTAGTGGGTGATATTTATTGTATAACGTTCATTTAAATACCTTATACATATTATCCCCCATACTAGATATAAAGATACCTGTCTTTGATAGACCTTGATTCTGATATGTCAAATATTTCTTTCCGGTATTCTCTACAATAACCTTCCCCAAACTTTGTCTGTATTCCTATTTCGTAAATTTCTTTATTTGTTATTTTTTCTGTTTGTTGTCTTTTGTTCCATCTATTAAGCAGAGATATACTGTTACTCTTCCTAACTTTTGTTTTACTTAGAAAGATCTTTCATCTGGAGTGTAGGATTGGAAGTGGCAACTCAAAATGCTTTGCGCAATACTTTCCCCAATGTTCAAGTGTGTGTGTGTGTTTTCGCTATACACAGTGTATTTGGAGACCTAGTCATATGGATTTGCTTCACATTATACATATTGTGATGATAAGAGACAGTGACAAGGATAGCTGCAGTTCTACCTTCAGTGTCCAACAACAAGGTCGAGAACGTTTGGTTAAATGCTCTGGAGGATAATGAAGATGGAGGTGCTGAGATAAGCTTATTTATGAGAACTTCTTTGTTTTTATAGATACTTGTTTAGTACTTGTCTAGTGTCTTGAGTTTCATTATTTCTACTTCTTTTGAACTCTAATGACTGCCTATTTTAATGCAGGTAATGAAATACAAAGATTTTGTGACGGAAAACTGGGGAGATGGACAGAATATTCAGTTTTGGAGCCACTTCGACAACAATGGACCGTGTACTACTAACCATGCTGAGGGCTGGCATAGCAAAGTAAACCTTTTAGTTTATCACGCGCATTAAATATTTATCACATTGTGAAAATGATGAAATCCTTGCAGGCAACAAATGAGGTTAAAATCCTCCAGTTGGCAACTAGTGAGAAACACAGTCCTTAAAAGAGGAAGTTTAGCCATATTGATTTGCGCTTCAGTCAGTTTAGAGAAAGATTTCTTCATGGACACATCTAGGTGTTATCGAGTATGATGACACTGCATCTCATCCGTTTCATTTAGAGTGAATAGTCTTCCTTCCTAATGTGTCATTTTTAGGAGTATTTTAAAGCTCGTGCTGCAGATTGTGATGCATGTGAAAGACAGTTGGTTTTTTTATTTTACATTTTAGTTCGGTGTTTTTATCTTTACAAAATACCGTGATACCAAATATGTTTGTTTTTAAAATTTCAAACTGTTTTACATTATGCCATGAATAAAACAGAAATTTGAAATAAAAATGTGTTACATTTTTACAGAATATAATGAAGAAATACAATGTCTGTATGAATGTATCATTTACCTCAGATTTACCTGTAGTTCAAATTCAAGATTTATTATATCCAATTCAATACAGCATATAGGTATAAGTACATTGTATACGTAATTAAACGATCAAAATTCATATATGTAATGTACAAGATGGCGGAGGACAATTCCATTCAAACAGACACACATATGTATTATATATATCTAATATAGTACCGGTCAGTTACGTGATGAAATACCGTAAGTATGACGTTACTACATGTACACATGTATATATGACGTCATGACAACAACATAGAAACAATATATAAAAAGCACCGTAACATATCATTTAAGTCCTATTGAACGAGTTACTGACAGATATCAAGTAACTGTTATTATACATTTATACGTACAACTTAATTAATCCTTTCATATGAGATTCCAATATAATGCTTACTCAGAGAGAAGATATTTTCTTTTAGCAGTAGCGTACAGCAAATATTTACCCAGACTGTTTAAAGATTTAACACTTTTACATCATCATCATCATCATCATCATCATCATCATCATCATCATCATCATCATCATTCTTTATTTTCCCCTTGCGGAGATTAAGATACAACAAAAGACAAGAAATCGACAAAATTCAGAGTAGTACAGAATGTACTTCATCTTCGACGTCTTTTTTATTACACAGTGTACATACCCTCTGTACATACCCTCTGTACATACTCTCTGTACATACTCTCTGTACATACCCTCTGTACATACTCTCTGTACATACCCTCTGTACATACTCTCTGTACATACTCTCTGTACATACTCTCTGCCGTCTTGGGATGTTATTATAGCGCCCAGATTCTATGTAAAGATTGTGACCTTGCATGCGAAATTGACTCAATGATTTTTTGAACCTAAAAATAATGGACTTTGTCAGATATAACTGGGTACAAAAGGTGTCAACAAGGTACTTGTATAAATAACATTTGGAAGTTACATCAAAGGCACTGCGTAATTCTTGAATAAATACATCATGGACACGTGACCATACGTTTACAAAAAGTGATCTTCATTTTGTATATATTGGCTATTCCAAACATAGTTAAAACCCGAAGTACATAGTTCATGCTTAATGTGGTAAACCCAATTAATTTTACAATTATGTTTTCTAATATTAAATTGGACTAATGCGTCATAGCATGCCTTTAAAACACAGTTACTAGTATTTAAAACTTTTAACCGTTAATTCATTATGGCTATTTTACGTTGCATATATAATGAATATTTCCCTGTTTCAAAGAAAACCATAGAAGTATTGACATTTTTAAACATTTAATAGATCTTTGAGAAAACACAAACCATAATGTAATTAAGAATTAGTATCTCGCCTAAACAGCAGTTTATCTCATCGAAAACATGGAGGAAATAACTTATACACTTATGATCAGTGTAAGTTTGATTACGGTGTACAACAGTGTGCTCGCCAAAGCATGAAAGTGTAAAGAATTCCAGTATTCTGTCAAATTCATACAAAATTGAAGTTGTTCCCCTTACATTGGAAACTTGGTCGGTACGTAAGCTTCCTGTAGAGTAGAGCTCATACTGTGATAGCAAGGCGATACTAAAACACGAAAAGGCTAGGATGATTTCAAGCAAGAATTATTTGTGCCGGCATATATCCTCCATTTAATGGATTTGAGTGAATCCCAGAAATAAGCACTGATTCTTGATGGCGATGTCATAGCGAGAAGTAGTGCAAAACTAGTCTGAATTGTTCTGTTTTATCGACTTTTTATCGTATAGGTCTGGAGTCAATGAACGACGTTCATCAAGAATAAATGGCCAGTGTCTTGAAATATAAGCTGTATTTCGGTGAGAGTGAGGGAAGACAAAAGCAGTGAGCTTCTGTACCAGATAAATATATACATATATAAAGAGTCTTTAGAGCGTCAGAATAATTCGGACTGTGCAAAAACCTGTTATTATTTTTTTACATTCTACAAAGAAAATGGAATAATTTATATGGATAGTACAATAAGTGAGTAGGTGATCGAATTAATCTCAATTTACCCTTGTTGTGGTTTTCTTCTTCTTCTTCTCTTCTTCTTCTCTTCTTCTTCTTCTGTATCTTTCTTTCTGTCTTTTATCATATTGCATAACTTTACTAAGAGTGGTAAAATTTAAGTAGTGGTGAGATAAAAATATACTGTCTTATCTTAACTATGCTTTTGTTGACAATGATAAAATATTTACTCTGTTTTTACTTCCATTAAACTAACAACTCTGGCCCTACCAGTCAAATTGATTGCATCACGACAGTCGAAAGCGCGCATCCAAGTCGTCAGTGCGTTGGCAAACTAGAATCGAATCCTCCCATAATGAATTATGTTTTCCCACACGAACTCGCCGAAAATGGCCGCAATACTATGGAGAAGAACAGTTTTCAGCATTTTAAAATCCGCAAATCCTATATGTCGTTCTCTAAATTGTCACAAGCTGCTGGTAGATGATTTGAAGTCTTCCTGTTGTACTTTACCTTTAAATAATTATGTGTTTAATCGCCCTATTTATTTAACACGTGTACACCTCAGCAGTGTTAGTGACGAAACGGTTAAGAAAATGATGGAAGCACTAACAGACAAATTTACGGAGGCACGAGAACTTATGCAAGACGCGGTAAATATTTTATGTATTTTGCTTGGTTGGTCACCAAAAATTGACGTGTTGTAATATTTAAGGCGGAATGTGTAATATCCATTACTGGCAACACGCTACCAAGACAATTGAAAGAAACCTCCACGATAACGATGGGCATGTCGGTTCTGCTGATCAGCTGATGTGTTATCGTAACGTGTGGTGTAATTACACAATCTGCCGACCTACTTTTGTAGCGTCGCGGTTTGTTTTATAAATGCGTCTCAGGTTTAGGACACGATAAAAATAAAGTAGTACAAATAGTTTAAGTGGTACCCGGTGTTCCGAATGTCCACGACGTTATTCAGTCGAGTCAAATATTTACATCTCGCCAGCCAATACAATTTTATACCAAACAAAGTAAAATAATGTTAATCTATTGAAAGTACATACAGCCAGACCGAATAGATTTAGGACAGATGATGAAACATACCCCAAAGTTCTCTTCTGATAACATATTTTTCGTTTCAGTTTACAATGGCTATATGTGTGACAGATAGTGTACACGTAAAATTGATATCAAATAAGAAGAAAAAAATGGATTTCACAAATCTAGATGTGTAGTAATAAGTCAGAACTTTTTCTATAGATACTGGCAACAACAGAAATAAGAATATTTTCAGTTAGAAAAAACATAGCTAATTTATTTATAAAATGAATAAATGTGAAACACTTCCAGGTTTCAAAACTAGCATGTTGTTGATGATTTTCCTTGATTCACACATATCTTTTGGAATTGTGATGTCATTGTGTCATTTTTCTTCTTTAAGCGAGAAAGCCAAGGCACTGTTTACTTTTCGGATGACATGTCTGAAGCACAAGAAGCTGTGAAAGACACACTAGAGGAGTACAACTCGCTTCTCAGTAAGCTAAATGACACACAGAAACAAAACGTTGTTAGGACTATTGGACTGCGAATGGAAGAGCTCAAAGCTCAACAGTCTGCATTGGAGGAGAGTCTGAAGGATTAAGTGTGATGGGCTGTATGGAAACTTAATGACAACCAGCTGTGCCAGATAGTACAAAAGAAATATCAGACAAGAGCTAACCTTGATCGATTGTGTGTGAGGAGAACCTGGCAACATCTTAGTGTTCTAGGTATTAGTAAAGAATAAAAAGGACTTTGTCTGAATTTGTCTATGGCTACTGTGGACATAGTTCGTGGTTAAATTCCTTTACAACATATACCTACTGCTTGTTTAAGAATGCCATTTTGATATTTTCGAAAAGAGATATTGCTTTTTATTACACATTTTTGTTTTTTGAGACATCTGCAGTACACTTTATGTTCTTGATGTGAAAGACTACCCTTTTTTGTATATGTATATTGAAATAAAGCTAATCTCAGGGAAATGTGTTGGTTTCTATTAGAATGTTATGAAATCATCAACTGAAATTGGAATGGGAACTCAATAAATAATTATCTTAATATGTCTATTTTGCCCTCTCATGAATACATACGGATGTACAGTTATCTAAAATCTGATGGCCACTTTAAGGGGACTGACAGATGTCTTCGTCTCTTCCTGAGCAATTCTTCCTGACCTGTAACTCTTCATCTCAAAGATTTAAGCCTGTACACCTTATCATGATCTATATCTGTACACCTCAAATATCAATATTGGTACACCTCAAAGATCAATATTGGTACACCTCAAATATCAATATTGGCACACCTCATCATGATCTATATCTGTACACCTTAAATATCAATATTGGTACACCTCATCATGATCTATATCTGTACACCTTAAATATCAATATTGGTACACCTCAAAGATCAACATTGGTACACATCATCATGATCTATATCTGTACACCTTAAATATCAATATTGGTACACCTCATCATGATCTATATCTGTACACCTTAAATATCAATATTGGTACACCTCAAATATCAATATTGGTACACCTCATAATGAGCTATATTATATATATCTGTACCCCCACATGAATGATTCCTGTACACTTCCTCATACTCTGAACCTGTACACCTTTAAGACCTATACCTGTACACCTTAGAATTTATGCCTGTACACTTCCCCATAACCTATATCTGTATATACATGATGTTTACCTGTAGACTTGATCTATGCCTGCATACATCAGGATCTATATCTTTCTACTTCCTGGGTATCTTGAACTGTACACCTCAGGATCTATACCTTTCTACTTCCTGAGGATCTTGAACTGTACACCTCAGGATCTATACCTTTCTATTATCTGGGTATCTTGAACTGTACACCTCAGGATCTATACCTTTCTATTATCTGGGTATCTTGAACTGTACACCTCGGGATCTATACCTTTCTACTTCCTGAGTATCATGAACCGAACACCTCAGGATCTATACCTTTCTACTTCCTGAGTATCTTGAACTGAACACCTCAGGATCTATACCTTTCTACTTCCTGAGTATCATGAACCGAACACCTCAGGATCTATACCTTTCTACTATCTGGGTATCTTGAACTGAACACCTCAGGATCTATACCTTTCTACTTCCTGGGTATCGTGAACCGAACACCTCAGGATCTATACCTTTCTACTATCTGGGTATCTTGAACTGAACACCTCAGGATCTATACCTTTCTACTTCCTGGGTATCTTGAACTGAACACCTCAGGATCTATACCTTTCTACTTCCTGGGTATCTTGAACTGTACACCTCAGGATCTATACCTTTCTACTTCCTTGGTATCTTGAACTGTACACCTCAGGATTTATACCTTTCTACTATCTGAGTATATTGAACTGTACACCTCAGGACCTGTACCTTTCTACTATCTGGGTATCTTGAAATGTATACCTCAGGATCTATACCTTTCTACTTCCTGAGTATCTTGAACTGTATACCTCAGGATCTATACCTTTCTACTATCTGAGTATCTCGAACTGTACACCTCAGGACCTGTACCTTTCTACTTCTTTGGTATCTTGAACTGTACACCTCAGGATCTATACCTTTCTACTTCCTGGGTATCTTGAACTGTACACCTCAGGATTTTGAACTGTACAATTCCGTGTTCGCCTGTACGCTGATGCAAAATTGAAAAAAAAATTGGTAGCTTGTAAAAACGCCATTAATTCCTTACTTTCTTAACGAGGGATATTTACACAGTATTGAAGTAAAAGAATGGTACGAACGTGAATACAGACCGTTTCATATTGACCCTGCGAATTCTACATTGATCCATGACGTTAGTGTAGCAGGCTTTTATAGCCAATGCGTGTTGGGGACAGGCGTTCAAATTAAGGAACTCTTCCGTTTATCCAGGTGTAACTGTTGAATGGTCTATGCAAGGTTGTGTGTATATTGAGTACAGTAGATGCCTCTTTGCGAGTTTTCATGCTCAGTTGTTCTCGTTATCTGTGGGATGATAACATAACACAGTGTTGACGATATACAGTGTCTTTGATGAGAATGTAGGTCTTGGTACCATCGCGTGAGACGTACATATAAATAAGGAATTTAGTGTTTAGTTCTTATATAGTCTCCTTCACGTGTCCTGACATTTTACCTGCATTCACCGTTTATAAGACATATATAACCACATACATGTAGTGATCACTAATTCAACTAGTTACTATTTCACAACATTGAATGCGTATTAGTAACATCGTTTGGTTCTTTACAACTGACTATGGAAGGCAACTGTAACCAACACATTGGGCTATAAATGCCAACAGAAAACATCCTGGTATAGTACTGCTGCTTAACAATAAGTTGACTTATCATTAAGCATACGTTTAACATAATTGTAATATCTACAAATCCACCAAGGCTTGTGTATGTACAGACCAAATATTATGTGGCGTTAGAGGGGAGGGTGTTGTAATAACAGTGTCAGCTTATTCGACATTCTGTACAAATTCACGAAATAATTAGGCGTTTAAAATGATCGGAATAACATAGTTCTTGAGAAAATACCGTATATCATTCTTGTGATCGCCATTGAAAACAGAAGAAGTGACCTAAATTTTTTGTTAATCCAATCAGAGACGTATATGTGTTATATATGTCTCTGGTTCCAGTGAGAACGTACTCAAACTTCGTATTCATCAAACTTTTTGAGAATGTGCTATGCAGAGCGCGTTAACTAAGAGAACTCTCTAATGATTGGAGATTATTTTGTATGTCGCGCGGTTTTTCGCGTACGTGCACCTGTATTCGAGCAGACGACATAATAATGGCCATCGAGAAGAAGAAAGTACAGTGGAGTACAGCGGAAGAAGTCTCCTTGATCCAAGCAGTACATGCCAATGAGGACGTACTGTTTGGATCAATGACTGGTTCTGGGGCCATCAAACTACCTGCGAAAAGGAGAAAAAACCTTGGGATGACACCACTGATATGATAAATTCGTATAGGAAATTCATGTAAATACTTGAAACGCCACATTTACCCTCATATGAAACGTGCTGCCGCCATGATGAGAATGATATCCTGAGCATGGGCAAGACCATGCTCAAGTAAACCTGAGAACGTGCACAAAAGTTGAGCACAGGATTTTTCGTGAATACGACTTGAGCACGAGAATAAAATAGGTGAGCACAAAAGCTGAATTTTGAGTACAAAACCTTGAGTTTGAGCATGAGAACGCTTTCGTGAAACGGGCCCAGTTATTCTGATGACGTCATTCTGTCAATCGTAATGACGACGTTGAATGACTCAGTGTTCACACGGCCCACCGTCCATTTGTGATGTGCACCGCCTGCACATGTAGCTGTTGTGAAATAGACATCCTGAATATTACCAATCATGTATCTAACACCGTGAACGATAATTTTTTTATCTAATTCGCTTCTAGAATATGGCCTGTGTACAACCACCTGCTGAAAATCGAAGATAAGGACTTCCTGTGTGTCATGACACCCGACATACCTGGTCACCAGAGATGACTTCAGAAAGTGTACTGTCTACATCTATTCCAAATCTGTTTGAACACATTGCATCTTGTCAAATGGTGCTCGGGTTAAAATACATATTTTATCTGATATCATCAATATAACAGGAACGAGGATACAGACAATTAAGTATTCCGTTAATTTACACTACGCTTAACAATACTTTTATACATACTGGTGCTAAAAGCAAATTTGTCGCCGTTATTAACTGTGTTAACAGCTTATGACTTAGACCTGTACTATCGGTCATCTACAAAATGTCTCCATATCAGGAAATTAAAAATACGGCGATGATGATACAAAGGTAACAGATATTCTCAGGTCAGTTGGTGCCGATCTAACCACTTTTTGGTGAAGGGATGGCTTGGAGTTTATAGGTTGTCCATTATTTTTCAATGGACTAGGAATGATTGCCGAAGTCAGTGGAAATGTTAACTCCTGAAAATATAAAAAAAAAAATGACGTTTACAACACAGTTAAGTCATTATTTATTTCAAGATGACAATAATCTCCCGCCCTTCTTTCACATAAAGATTATGGAAACGACAAAAAAATACCATTTGAAATTGGGTCTTATAAATCAGCAGATCTAAAATTGACAAGGATGGAAAAATATCACACAAGTATAGAAGATTTATAGTTGATTGCCTACGCAATACAAAGTTCATAGCTCTTGGGTCGTGAAAACATGAAACTTAATACTAATCGTCACAGAAGAACAGCTTTTATTCCAACAATACGAATTATTGTCTATGTCTCCAATCACGCTAAGCGTCAGCCATAATGATGAATCAGAGTAACATGGACGCTGACCCGAGTTTCCTCGGACCCAAACATCAGACACCTGGACCAGAGAAAATCCGAGTTAAGCGGGTGTCAGCACCGCTGCTATAGAGACGCTGTTTTTTAGTAGTCATAACCTGGTAATACTCTGCGACATATAAAGTTGGAATATTATGAACATTATAAATTTACCGAACCATCGATCACTCTGACACGTAGCAGCCGGAGGATACGTTCGCCATCATTACATCGATAGATAAATCTTAATTAAACGTGGATTCTGCCTGTCAATACAGAAAATGGTCTTCGCGATCAAAACAGAATAATATCATCCGAAAAACGATGAAGTGTCTGTAAGAATAAGAATGAATTCATGTGTTGGTGAAATATTTCTAACAAGTCGTGATATAATTGGGGATTATCGAACCCAACTTTGCGCAAAACCGAGAAATTTTACAATGATGAAGGGTAGCTCGGCCTCCGTACAAATGACCCCGATTTTCAAGATAACAAAAAAAAAGTTATGGCTATCAATACGCTGCCTATAAACTGACTTTTAAATGCGCCTGCGGGACCAGACTGGTATTAAAAAGGTGCTTTTATTTCGCATATGATCACACATAGTATAAACATCATGATATCTTTATATAATCTGCGAGAGACGTGTCAGAAATAAGAACATTACGCACTAAGATTAGTACGCCCATGTAGGGTGAACCGTTCTCCTGTCATCAACTAAAAAAAAAAAAACGAGACCGAAGCGCTTCAGTGGAGAAGCGTCGAATCTCCATCCTTTCCGAGAAACAAAGACCAAGGAATTTAGCTATGGGTGTTCCCTATCCTCCTCCTGAGACTAAAGGTCCCTGGACTTGGATAGTTCAGTGAAAGATGTGTCCAGTCTCAGCTCTCCCAGAGAGAAAGATACCCAGAAAAAAACTCAACCAAGGAAGCTAAAGTGATTCAAGGAGAGGTAATGGTTTCAGGAACCAGTGGTGCCGAATAGCAGAAAGAATAGAAAACGCATATCTCAAAACTTCTTGTAAACGTGTCAAAACAAAAACAAGACAACCAACAGAGGAGCACAGTTAGTTCCCTTAGGTATGCCAATAGTCTGCTGGAAGATCTTACCACCAAATTCGACGAAAATGATGTCAACTTGAAACTCGATCATTTTTAGGATTTCGTCTCTGGTATATTTCTTCTTGATTGGACGTATTTTTCACGATGCTTCAGTATAGTTAACAACCATATATTTGTACCTGCTTTATTGGAAATTGATCGAAATTAATATCAAAACCATTCAGGGACGTTCATCAACCGTACAGTTCAATAACGTTTTGGATGGATACTGATAAAGAACATGTGGAAAGTCCATGCCTTCAAGGAGTTTGTGGTTTACTACGCTTTAATGACTGTTATTCCTATATTAAGTATAACAATATTTCACCTGTCGAAATCTTTTAGATTGTGTTACTAATCTCTGGTACTGCAGCAGCTTTCGTATGAATAAGCGTATTACATTAAATGTACCTCCACTACCGTGTTAAACGATGCCACCCAACTATTTGTTTTCGAATCAAAATGAAGTCTTGCAACCATTCGACGCAAACAAGATGCATTAAACATGAGCTGTACACACATTTCGTCTAGTGACATTTCCGTTTGGAAATGGAATTTGGATAGTTTTTACATTGTACCTGATGTGATTGTTGTCACGCACGGAACCTTCTCACGAGGAGCACCTGCTCATGTCATCGTTAGGATGCTGACAAGTTGGTCGCAAAAGCTGTTTCTGGTGAGATCGATACAGGAGAGCGCTACCCGGGACCTTGGGCACTGGGCACCAGTCGGTGTAGCTTGGACTATTATATTGCAATGCTGAAAATCTTACTACGACTGGCTACCGTAACTACTTTTATAATAACAGGTGGGTATTCCTTGAAAATTCCATATTTTTCTAACAGTTATTCTTCAAATTTCTATAAACTCGGATATAATCCCTCACTGGTTAAGTAATCTATGATCACAAAACTAGAGGTCAGTTATCGTCGATGTATTTCCGATTAGCCCCGTAAAATATGTCAGTACTTTATATCACAAACTGAACTTGACAATAATTTGTTTTGATGTTCTTGATGTCGATAAAAGAGAAATTATGTTGATCATGTTCATCATTCATATCGTGATATCTGTTGATGTTGACATGAAATATCTTTGGACATAACGGTAAACACGGTGAATTCCAGGAGTTCGCGCTGTCCTCGAGACTATCATACAATGACCCACTGCTTCGTACATACAAGGATAAAAATACTCATATTCAGGAACAGGAAAAGACGAGCTAAAATAAAAACTAATTATCATAAATTCACTGCTTTTTATTTGCCCTCGTTATATGTTTTATGTCAACATTTAAATGTCTGATACATATTTTTTCAGCATTAGGAGTAAGTAGCGTTTTCTCTACCCATGACGGTTTAGCTGAAAGTGTAGACGATGGGGTGGGAGATGCTGTGTCTGATGATGAGAACACGTGGCATGCTACTGGACGGCAACTGAAGAATGAGAACTACATTAAATTGCTGGATGAGAAAACTGTAAAAGATGTGGAAGGAGACATATCTCGGCACAGGGCACGGCGGTCATTGGAGGAGGAAGCGGATTACTCGTTTGTGTATCATACTGGTCACCTGTACATCGATCAGGGTATTGAATGGCAGGATGATTTCCAACACAAGACGTCGGGTGCCTTTCTGGACCTTAAGTCATTACTTCTGTCATGGGTAAGTCATTACCTTTGGGGTGTAACTGGGCAACTCAGAATGTTTGTAATGTCAAGACGAGAGCATTGACACTTCTGGGTAGTTCTAGTATGACGTCTCTAGATCACATTTAGTTTGAATCCCTTTTAAATATCGTTGGTACTTCATGAAATGTTTTCATAGCTTCATACTTTGTTAATGTTAAGACCGGGTGTAACTATGAGTCAAGTTCGACAATAATCAATGTTTGAAGATAGTAGTGTACCTATTAATTACCAGGATACTTCAATCGAGCTCCTGAAGGACAGTTCCACTCTCATGCTGAATGTTTTTATAACACAGACGCCGTGCTATGTATATTTGGTCATCCAAAAGACAAAAGTCTTCCATCCATGATCCAACTAGGAAACTTTAAATATCCTTGAATCTGTCTGTTCATTTCTATGGAATACAATGCAGGTTCGTTCTTACTTACCTCGTTTGTTCTTTTTTAATGAAAAGTAGGTGCTGTAATAAGTATCTCTATGTAAAAGTAGGCGCTGTAATAAGTATATATATCTATATAAAAGTAGGCGCTGTAATAAGTATATTTATAAAAGTAGGCGCTGTAATAAGTATATATATAAAATTAGGCGCTGTAATAAGTATATATATCTATATAAAAGTAGGCGCTGTAATAAGTATATATATAAAAGTAGGCGCTGTAATAAGTATATATATCTATATAAAGTAGGCGTTGTAATAAGTATCTCTATATAAAAGTAGGCGCTGTAATAAGTATATATATCTATATAAAAGTAGGCGCTGTAATAAGTATATATATCTATATAAAAGTAGGCGCTGTAATAAGTAAATATATCTACATAAAGTAGGCGCTGTAATAAATATATATATCTATATAAAGTAGACACTGTATTAACTATATATCTATATAAAAGTATGCGCTGTAATAAGTATATATATCTATATAAAAGTATGCGCTGTAATAAGTATATATATCTATATAAAAGCAGGCGCTGTAATAAGTATATATATCTATATAAAAGTAGGCGCTGTAATAAATATATATATCTACATTAAGTAGGCGCTGTAATAAGTATATATATCTATATAAAGTAGACACTGTATTAAGTATATATCTATATAAAAGTAGGCGTTGTAATAAGTATATATATCTATATAAAAGTAGGCGCTGTAATAAGTATATATATAAAAGTAGGCGCTGTAATAAGTATATATATAAAAGTAGGCGCTGTAATAAGTATATATATCTATATAAAAGTAGGCGCTGTAATAAGTATATATATAAAAGTAGGCGCTGTAATAAGTAAATATATCTACATAAAGTAGGCGCTGTAATAAATATATATATATCTATATAAAGTAGACACTGTATTAAGTATATATCTATATAAAAGTAGGCGCTGTAATAAGTATACATATCTATATAAAAGTAGGCGCTGTAATAAGTATATATATCTGTATAAAAGTAGGCGCTGTAATAAGTATATATATCTGTATAAAAGTAGGCGCTGTAATAAGTATATATATATATATATACATAAATATAGGCGCTGTAATAAGTATATATGTCTATATAAAAGTAGGCGCTGTAATAAGTATATATATCTATATAAAAGCAGGCGCTGTAATAAGTATATATATCTATGTAAAGTAGGCGCTGTAATAAGTATATATATCTATATAAAAGCAGGCGCTGTAATAAGTATATATATATATATATATCTTTGATCCAATTCTTAACTATGTCTGACAGACGACCCATATTGTGGTAATTTTATAAAATACAAGCCTGACATCACAGTCGATTGCGATCAATATTTCAATGACGGGATGTGCGGATTGTAAGTAGGTACATACACCTCTCCCGTGCAGCATTGTAATTGTCCCTGCTCTCTTTACTTCCTTTCTTTGCCTTGACATCGTTTATGTCTTATTTTAGTATTAAATCGTTACGTAAATTATTAGTTTCTTAAACAACAATATTTCTTTACTATCTTTATAACCTTATGTTAGTGTGTGATTACACGTCTATTTTTATTGTTTTCACCACAAGACAGTAGATGGTTGTGTGAGAGAATCTTACAAAAGAACAACAAGACAGTAGATGGTTGTTTTAGAGAATCTTATAAAAGAACAACAAGACAGTAGACGGTTGTGTTAGAGAATCTTATAAAAGAACAACAAGACAGTAGACGGCTGTGTTAGAGAATCTTATAAAAGAACAACAAGACAGTAGACGGTTGTGTGAGAGAATCTTATAAAAGAACAACAACACAGTAGACGGTTGTGTTAGAGAATCTTATAAAAGAACAACAAGACAGTAGACGGCTGTGTTAGAGAATCTTATAAAAGAACAACAACACAGTAGACGGCTGTGTTAGAGAATCTTATAAAAGAACAACAAGACAGTAGACGGCTGTGTGAGAGAATCTTATAAAAGAACAACAACACAGTAGACGGCTGTGTGAGAGAATCTTATAAAAGAACAACAACACAGTAGACGGCTGTGTTAGAGAATCTTATAAAAGAACAACAAGACAGTAGACGGCTGTGTTAGAGAATCTTATAAAAGAACAACAACACAGTAGACGGCTGTGTTAGAGAATCTTATAAAAGAACAACAACACAGTAGACGGCTGTGTTAGAGAATCTTATAAAAGAACAACAAGACAGTAGACGGTTGTGTGAGAGAATCTTATAAAAGAACAACAACACAGTAGACGGCTGTGTTAGAGAATCTTATAAAAGAACAACAACACAGTAGACGGCTGTGTTAGAGAATCTTATAAAAGAACAACAAGACAGTAGACGGCTGTGTTAGAGAATCTTATAAAAGAACAACAACACAGTAGATGGTTGTGTTAGAGAATCTTATAAAAGAACAACAAGACAGTAGACGGCTGTGTTAGAGAATCTTATAAAAGAACAACAACACAGTAGACGGCTGTGTTTGGGAATCTTATAAAAGAACAACAAGACAGTAGACGGTTGTGTGAGAGAATCTTATAAAAGAACAACAAGACAGTAGACGGTTGTGTTAGAGAATCTTATAAAAGAACAACAAGACAGTAGACGGTTGTGTTAGAGAATCTTATAAAAGAACAACAAGACAGTAGACGGCTGTGTTAGAGAATCTTATAAAAGAACAACAAGACAGTAGACGGTTGTGTTAGAGAATCTTATAAAAGAACAACAAGACAGTAGACGGTTGTGTTAGAGAATCTTATAAAAGAACAACAACACAGTAGGTGGCTGTTTTAGAGAATCTTATAAAAGAACAACAACACAGTAGACGGCTGTGTTAGAGAATCTTATAAAAGAACAACAAGACAGTAGACGGCTGTGTTAGGGAATCTTATAAAAGAACAACAAGACAGTAGACGGCTGTGTTAGAGAATCTTATAAAAGAAGAACAAGACAGTAGACGGCTGTGTTAGGGAATCTTATAAAAGAACAACAACACAGTAGACGGCTGTGTTAGAGAATCTTATAAAAGAACAACAAGACAGTAGACGGCTGTGTGAGAGAATCTTATAAAAGAACAACAACACAGTAGACGGCTGTGTTAGAGAATCTTATAAAAGAACAACAAGACAGTAGACGGCTGTGTTAGAGAATCTTATAAAAGAACAACAAGACAGTAGATGGTTGTGTTAGGGAATCTTATAAAAGAACAACAAGACAGTAGATGGTTGTGTTAGAGAATCTTATAAAAGAACAACAAGACAGTAGACGGCTGTGTTAGAGAATCTTATAAAAGAACAACAACACAGTAGACGGCTGTGTTTGGGAATCTTATAAAAGAACAACAAGACAGTAGACGGTTGTGTGAGAGAATCTTATAAAAGAACAACAAGACAGTAGACGGCTGTGTGAGAGAATCTTATAAAAGAACAACAACACAGTAGACGGCTGTGTTAGAGAATCTTATAAAAGAACAACAAGACAGTAGACGGCTGTGTTAGAGAATCTTATAAAAGAACAACAAGACAGTAGATGGTTGTGTTAGAGAATCTTATAAAAGAACAACAAGACAGTAGACGGCTGTGTTAGAGAATCTTATAAAAGAACAACAACACAGTAGACGGCTGTGTTTGGGAATCTTATAAAAGAACAACAAGACAGTAGACGGTTGTGTGAGAGAATCTTATAAAAGAACAACAAGACAGTAGACGGTTGTGTTAGAGAATCTTATAAAAGAACAACAAGACAGTAGACGGTTGTGTTAGAGAATCTTATAAAAGAACAACAAGACAGTAGACGGCTGTGTTAGAGAATCTTATAAAAGAACAACAAGACAGTAGACGGCTGTGTTAGAGAATCTTATAAAAGAACAACAAGACAGTAGACGGTTGTGTTAGAGAATCTTATAAAAGAACAACAACACAGTAGACGGCTGTGTTAGAGAATCTTATAAAAGAACAACAAGACAGTAGACGGCTGTGTTAGAGAATCTTATAAAAGAACAACAAGACAGTAGACGGCTGTGTTAGAGAATCTTATAAAAAAACAACAAGACAGTAGACGGCTGTGTTAGAGAATCTCATAAAAGAACAACAAGACAGTAGACGGCTGTGCTAGAGAATCTTATAAAAGAACAACAACACAGTAGGTGGTTGTTTTAGAGAATCTTATAAAAGAACAACAAAACAGTAGATGACTGATTTAGAGAATCTTATAAAATAACAACAAGGCCGTAGATTGTTGTTTTGCTGTCCCGGTGCTTCGCGTCGTTGACATGACATCATTGATATGAAAGGGTTAATAAATGGTTGGTGTGATGTCAGCAAATTGTCAATGTGACGTCGTATCATTTTTCGACGGGGAGGTTACATTACTTTATCCCTTCCGCGTGTTACTGCTGTTGCATTAAGCTTTTGCTAGGAAAATAAACAATATCGTCAATTTATTTTACGAGTCATATATGTCAATGCATTGTTTTACTTTGGCGTCACTATTGAAACAAAGGGAACTTGTTGGAAATGCACCCCGAAAGGTGTTTACTTAAGCACTGAACTGCTCCAGTTAACATTCCAAGCCATTCAATGACAGTTGTATATGCATGTGAATGCCAGCTGACAGCTAGCTCATTACTTATGCTGAACATATTGTAAAGTATTTGGATGTTGAGTATCAGCTCAAGTGATACGAAGACAACGTTAACAGATAATAGGTTTTGATAGTGCAATCACAATGAAATATAACCTGCATGACAATTTACCTGGTCTTATTTATCCGGTCGCATCAAAAACTGAACGGAAAGGAAGGGCAGTAGAAGTGAATTTAAGTGTCTGTCATGGTTTCAAACACACAGCTTTCCTCGCTCGGACGGATGCTGAACACTGAAACATCAACACTATCTATAACCTCTGTCACGTTTATTGCAAGTTAACCTTTGTTATAGCGTCGGCTACGTATGCTTGACATTAACCCTAGTTATAAGCTCAGACAAGTGACTTGTTATTAACCCTTGCTATAACCTCGGACACATAAACTGTTCATTAACCCTTGCTAACACCTCGGACACATAAACTGTTCATTCACCTTAGCTATAACCTCGGCCACTTGTACAGGTCATTAACCTTAGCTATAACCTAGGACACGTAAACTGGTTATTAATCTTAAATATAACATAGGACACGTAAACTGGTCATTTACCCTTGCTATAACCTCGAACACGTAAACTGGTCAATAACCTTAGCTATAACTTCGGACACGTAAACTGGTCATTAACCCATGCTATAACCTCGGACATTTAAACTGGTCATTAACCTTAGCTATAACTTCGGACACGTAAACTGGTCATTAACCCATGCTATAACCTCGGACATTTAAACTGGTCATTAACCTTAGCTATAACTTCGGACACGTAAACTGGTCATTAACCTTAGCTAAACTGGTCATTAACCTTAGCTATAACTTCGGACACGTAAACTGGTCATTAACCTTAGCTATAACCTCGGACATTTAAACTGGTCATTAACCTTAGCTATAACCTCGGACACGTAAACTGGTCATTAACCTTAGCTATAACCTCGGACATTTAAACTGGTCATTAACCTTAGCTATAACCTCGGACACGTAAACTGTTCATTGTTTTATTTCCAAATGCAATTACAGCATATAGGTAGCAATGATACATAATTATTTAAATCATATTAAATGTTCAAGATGGCGGAGGGCAATTCCATAGAGATGGTGAATATAACATATATTGACACCAAACAGTTCCAGGAATTAACATATAACAATGTCACGAGAATCAATATTCATAATTATATCCTTTGGTTTGTGACGTAATAATAAAGATGATACGGGAAAGTTATGACGTCACACAGTGTTAACAATGAAAGTTGACTTTCAATCAAAACTCAAGTAATAAGCTATGGTAATAGAGAAGAATTCATACTCATATAATAACAAATGAAATTAATATACAATGTATTACTACTACACAGGAAGGTTTTTTCTTTTAGCTGTTGCACACAATAAATATCTACCAAATTTTCTTAAAGTTTTAACACATTTACATGTAAATAGTTCTACTAATTTCAACACACATGGACGTCGATGATAATATTGTTTAATGTAAGTTTTTCTTATTTCTAAACAGGCTGGACAAAGAAGTATAAAATGTAATTCGTCCTCAATATCACCTGTATTACAAATTGTACATACTCGTTGATTTCTAGGTGTACCGTTATAACGACCAGATTCTATATTAACAGTGTGACATTGCATTCGAAACTGGCTCAGTAATTGTTTAATATTGGAAGTGATAGGTTTAATTAGATACCACTGAATTTGAAAGTTATCGACTAAATGTTTATATAAATAACACTTAGGAGATGTATCAAGTGCACTTCGCAATTCCTGAATAAAAACATCATGCTGACGTTGTGTATACATTTCAATAAACTTGTTTTCATTTGGTACATGTTGACTCACCCAAATATAGTTAAAACCCAGTCTACATAATTCATTCTTGATTTGGTATACCCAGTTCACTTTACAATTTGGCTTTCTGACACTGAAACCAAGTAAAGCATTATAACAAGATCTTACTATACAATTATTCGTATTTAAAACTTTTACCCAATATTTCATCATAGCAATTTTACGTTGTACATGTAATGAATACACCCTAGTTTCAAAATATACCATTGAACTATTGACCGTTTTCTTTACTTTCAATAAATCTTTGAGAAAAAGGAGATGAACTTTTTCAATTTGTGGCGATGCACTATGACCCCACACTTCACACCCATAATTCAGTATACAAACGACATATGTATCAAATAAAGAGATTAGAGTTTTAGTATTAAGGGTAAAATCTTTAATTTTTCGTTTTAAGTAGTAATATGCTTTCCTTCCTTGAGATGCTAATGTATCCTGTGCTACAGTAAATCTCCCATTATAGTTGAAAACTAAGCCAAGATAACAAAACTTATCAACAATTTCAATAGATTTACCATTAAAAGTCCAATTTTCAAAAGGTAGTACTCGTTTTTTTTTTCTAAAAACAACAATTTTTGTTTTATCAATATTAACATTTAAATTCCACTTCTCAGTGTACATTTGTAAATGATCCAGCATATGCTGAAGATCTGTAGCATCCTCCGAGAATAAAACTGTGTCATCCGCATACATTAGCATAAAAAGGTTTATAAACTGTAATGCATAACTTTGACAATTTGAATTAATAAATTCGCTCTCCACATCATTAACAAATAATGACAAAAGGATGGGAGATAACGATTCCTTGTAATAAACCGACATGTATATCAAACATGGCGGATACGTTACCATTTAATTTCACACATGAACGTACATTATCATAAATTGATCTAATTACATTAAGCAATTTACCTCTTATACCACTTCTCCAAAGTTTAAACCACAGATTCTGGTGTATCACACTATCAAATGCCTTGCTATAGTCAACAAAAACACAATAAAGTCTTTTGTTTTGTTCTATTGAATTAAGGATTAAACTATTTAATGCAAAAATTGCGTCCCTAGTACCAAGCCCAGGTTTGAAACCAAACTGTGCATCAGAAACAATATTTTCACTTGTACTCCATTTTAGAAGACTCTTATTCAACAAAGATGTAAACAGTTTAGTTCAATGACTAATCAACGTGATTCCCCTATAATTATTGACGTTGTTTTTATCCCCCTTTTTGTGTAACGGAATAATAACGCCCTGAGCCCATGATTCCGGAAAATATCCTATTTGTAACATTCAATTAAAAAGTCGCAACAACATTGGTGAAAAAATATCCCTATATTCAATAAAATATTCATTAATTATTATATCAATACCAGCATTAACCTTAGCTATAACCTCGGACACGTAAACTGGTTATTAACCTTAACTATAACCTCGGACACGTAAACTGGTCATTAACCCTTGCTAAAACCTCGGACACGTAAACTGGTCATTAACCTTAGCTATAACCTCGGACACGTAAACTGGTCATTAACCTTAGCTATAACCTCGGACACGTAAACTGGTCATTATTAACCTTAGCTATAACCTTGGACACGTAAACTGGTTATTAACCTTAGCTATAACCTAGGACACGTAAACTGGTCATTAACCTTAGCTATAACCTAGGACACGTAAACTGGTTATTAACCTTAGCTATAACCTAGGACACGTAAACTAGTTATTAACCCGTTGCTATAACCACGGACACGTAAACTGGTTATTAACGCTTTGCTATAACCTCGTCTATGAACTCTTGACGTTATCCTTAGCTATAAAAAGTGACAATATATCAATGATTAAATGTTTCATACCTTTCGATAATGTTAATGTTTTGTTTCAATCATCCCGTCCTTATAAATACAAATCGACGGGACGCGCCAGTGATCATTAATTTCATACAGGCGATAATGATTTTCAGGTGAAATATGTCCGTTAATTGTTGTTTTGAAATTCAATTTTCAATGATGTACCATCGCGTAGATGATTTATTAGATGCGCACAGCTTTACAGGCGCAAAAAATGCAATAAAAATTCAATAAATCTATTTTGTAGTTCAACGACTTGTTCTCAAGTGGTCCACTGGCTGAGACTTATCAGACAACGCTCATTCACGACTTCAGGTACGTCACCAACCCTTATTATCAGGGCCTGATTTATTGCTCAATGCCAGGTATATCGCTTCAAACTTGATTTCGCAAAGATGATATATTTTGTTCAAGCAGATGATACAGGTAAAATATAAAATTAAATCAACAAGACGTGAATGTTTAGTCGTATTTAATGCTTATTTTCTGTCCGTGTTTTACTTTGCTCTTAATTCTTTATATATCTAAAGTGTTTTACATCTACTGTTGCGGCCTTGCGAACTTTCAGCGGAATAGTCCGTTTTTCTTAAAATACTGGTAGAAAGAGTTCTCAAATATGGTATCACTCCTTCATTTGTGACGTAGTTTGATATTTAGGGTGAGGGAACTTCTGTCATTGTTTCGTTGTTTGAAGGGTTTTGTATCTAGGCTGAGGGAACTTCTGTCATTGTTTCGTTGTTTGAAGGGTTTTGTATCTAGGCTGAGGGAACCTCTGTCATTGTTTCGTTGTTTGAAGGGTTTTGTATCTAGGCTGAGGGAACTTCTGTCATTGTTTCATTGTTTAAAGGGTTTTGTATCTAGGCTGAGGGAACTTCTGTCATTGTTTCATTGTTTGAAGGATTTTGTATCTAGGCTGAGGGAACTTCTGTCATTGTTTCGTTGTTTGAAGGGTTTTGTATCTAGGCTGAGGGAACTTCTGTCATTGTTTCATTGTTTAAAGGGTTTTGTATCTAGGCTGAGGGAACTTCTGTCATTGTTTCATTGTTTGAAGGATTTTGTATCTAGGCTGAGGGAACTTCTGTCATTGTTTCGTTGTTTGAAGGGTTTTGTGTCTAGGCTGAGGGAACTTCTGTCATTGTTTCATTGTTTGAAGGGTTTTGTAGTGATCCATGAATGCCAGGGTTGGTAATACTACTTGTTATACTTATACTACAGAGAAGGAAGTATTGTGGTCACATTCTCGATGGTTCTGTCCTCCAATGGCACCAATTCCACCGTCACCCTGGATTCCGAGAGCGTAACCAACTTATTGTTGAGCGCAATCAGTAACAGTACTATTGGAAACTTCACCGTGGACGCCAACAAAACATCAATTATAGGTGAGTACTCCCGCATGTATAGAACCAGATAGTATCATGTTATACTCTAGGATAGGGCGGCATTCATAACAGCCCTATAATGAGGAAACATCAGTGTGTACTTTATAATATCGGTCAACAGTGTATATCCTTTAATATAGACAATAGTGAGTACCCTATAATATAGAGAAAATAGTGGGTTCTCTATAATATAGAGTCTACAGTGGGTACCCTATAATATAGAGACAATAGTGGGTACCCTATAATATAGAGCCAAAAGTGAGTACCCTATAATATAGAGACAACAGTGAGTACCCTGTAATATAGAGACAATAGTGGGTTCTCTATAATATAGAGCCTACTGTGGGTACCCTATAATATAGAGACAACAGTGAGTACCCTATAATATAGAGAAATAGTGGGTTCTCTATAATATAGAGCCTACAGTGGGTACCCTATAATATAGAGACAATAGTGGGTACCCTATAATATAGAGCCAACAGTGAGTACCCTATAATATAGAGACAATAGTGTGTACCCTATAATATAGAGACAACAGTGAGTACCCTATAATATAGAGACAATAGTGAGTACCCTATAATATAGAGACAACAGTGAGTACCCTATAATATAGAGACAATAGTGAGTACCCTATAATATAGAGACATTAGCGAGTACCCTATAATATTGAGACAATAGTGAGTACCCTATGATATTGAGACAATAGTGAGTACCCTATAATATAGAGACAATAGTGGGTACCCTATAATATAGAGACAATAGTGGGTACCCTATAATATAGAGACAATAGTGAGTACCCTATAATATAGAGACAATAGTGAGTACCCTATAATATAGAGACATTAGCGAGTACCCTATAATATAGAGACAACTGTGAGTACCCTATAATATAGAGACAATAGTGGGTACCCTATAATAAAGAGTCAACAGTATGTACCCTATAATATAGAGACAATAGTGAGTACCCTATAATAAAGAGTCAACAGTGAGTACCCTATAATATAGAGACATTAGCGAGTACCCTATAATATAGAGACAACTGTGAGTACCCTATAATATAGAGACAATAGTATGTACCCTATAATATAGAGACAACAGTGAGTACCCTATAATATAGAGACAATAGCGAGTACCCTATAATATAGAGACAATAGTAAGTACACTATAATATAGACAAAAGTGAGTACCCTATAATATAGAGACAACAGTGAGTACCCTATAATATAGAGACAATAGTAAGTACACTATAATATAGACAATAGTGAGTGCCCTATAATATAGAGACAATAGTGGGTACCCTATAATATAGAGACAATAGTGAGTACCCTATAATATAGAGACAATAGTGAGTACCCTATAGTAGAGACAATAGTGAGTACCCTATAATATAGACAAAAGTGTGTACCCTATAATATAGAGACTATAGTAAGTACCCTATAATATAGAGACAACAGTGAGTACCCTATAATATAGAGACAATAGTAAGTACACTATAATATAGACAAAAGTGAGTACCCTATAATATAGAGACAACAGTGAGTACCCTATAATATAGAGACTATAGTAAGTACCCTATAATATAGAGACAATAGTGAGTGCCCTATAATATAGAGACAATAGTGGGTACCCTATAATATAGAGACAATAGTGAGTACCCTATAATATAGAGACAATAGTGAGTACCCTATAATATAGAGACAATAGTGAGTACCCTATAATATAGACAAAAGTGTGTACCCTATAATATAGAGACTATAGTAAGTACCCTATAATATAGAGACAACAGTGAGTACCCTATAATATAGAGACAATAGTGGGTACCCTATAATATAGAGACAATAGTGGGTACCCTATAATATAGAGACAATAGTGAGTACCCTATAATATAGAGACAATAGTGGGTACCCTATAATATAGAGACAATAGTGGGTACCCTATAACATAGAGACAACAGTGTGTACCCTATAATATAGAGACAATAGTGAGTACCCTATAATATAGAGACAATAGTGGGTACCATATAATATAGAGACAACAGTGTGTACCCTATAATATAGAGACAATAGTGGGTACCCTATAATATAGAGACAATAGTGAGTACCCTATAATATAGGGACAGTAGTGTGTACCCTATAATATAGAGACAATAGTGAGTACCCTATAATATAGAGACAACAGTGAGTACCCTATAATATAGAGACAATAGTGTGTACCCTATAATATAGAGACAATAGTGAGTACCCTATAATATAGAGACAATAGTGAGTACCCTATAATATAGAGACAATAGTGGGTACCCTATGATATAGAGACAATAGTGGGTACCCTATAATATAGAGACAACAGTGAGTACCCGATAATATAGAGACAATAGTGAGTACCCTATAATATAGAGACAATAGTGAGTACACTATAATGTACAGAAATCAATATATCTCTGTCCAACCGATATAACTTCAGCCCTGACCTAACTGTGACCAGAATATATGTCCTTTCTACGTAACTACATGTCAGACTTTGTTGGGTCAAGAACGTTTTCCTTCCTACGTACTACAGCTAAGGCCTAACTTTGGGCAGGCACGGATCAGCTCGTGCACGCATACAAACCTCGTCTTGTAAACGTTAAACAGACTTTTGATATGAGAAGGAGTAGTGCCAATTCGATTCATTCTTCAGTAATTTACTACATCACTGAGATCTACTTTCAGTTTTCGGGGATGGGGTTTGAACTTATTCCTATGACTTGATATTAATCCTTTACTTCAATATTAAGTTTATCAGAACTTAATGATATTTTCATTTTACATTCGATCAACTTGGCCCCCAAATTTTGTGTATGCCCATACAAAATCTTTTGTTCTCAATAGCCATTATAATCTCGCTAGTCTTAGAGAGTCTTACCGAAAAAAACTGTTTATGAGTGAGTGTCCGCAGAATGGCTCGTGTTGGCACCGACCTTCGTCGATTTTCGAATGAGTATTACTTTCCTATATTGATATACGTTGTACATACTGGTTTACAACCACTTGGTAACATTGGTGTGTGATTTTGTTTGTTACAGTTTAACGTTTAATCCCAGTTTTATTCCTTTTAATTTGTTTACGTACTGTGCCCCTTTGGTCCAAGCAAGTATACACTATATCAGATATGTAAACCCATATATCCCGAGTTTTCTGGTCTGTTCAAAAAGAAGAACGAGAGAAAACACTGCAGAAAACTCTCTCCGCTGTCAGAGACCGGAATGTTGGGAGTCTCTAAGTTTTTCTCGATTTAAATTCATTGGTAGCAGCGAGGAAATAGTGCTCTAGTTTAAAAACACACAACTACCAGGCGAGTCTAACTTTGTTTGTATAATGACATCAATTTTCATTGGTATCCGGATGTAGCAATAACCACGCTCATTATCAATAATATGTGTGTTTGACCGTGTCGTGTTTGCTGGTACCACGCTACTCCGCTCATATCTACACAAATACATTTTTATGATTTTTTATGCTATGAGTGACCGGTAATACCACTGTACCACAGTTTCCTTTATACCCAAGGAAGATGTGCCATAAAATATCAATTATTGTTCAAACAGGAAACAAGTATGCTAAAAGTAAATATTGGTATTCTGAGACTAAATGCGTCGCGTACAATCCCATGTTCACGTCTCGTCGTATCGCACGTCATCCAGAAACATTTAACGACACTATCGATGTTTTGACATCAGTAACGTGGGTGCTGAGGCGGATGTGACGACTGCAGATTCTCTTTAGTCTGCAGTGCACCATCACAGTATCGTGTTACCTCCGCATTTCACCGAAAGAATACACAGCAGTGAACATTCCCAGATGATCTCACATTCAATCACATATACAATAGGAACAATAAAAAACATTGCAACTTAATTGAGGCGTGTAAATTTTAAAATCTTGTGATTTATGGTCTAAATTTTGTTTTTCCAAATCATGTGATTTATGATTTAAATGCTTTATAATATTATCATGTTTTATCGAAATGCTATTTTTTATTTTGATAAACTTGATTTATATATATTTGTGAGGTAACTTAAGCTTTACAAAACAATTCACAAATTTGATAACACTGTAGATCACAAGATTTTAAGATATTACAACGTTTTAATCGCTTGACGTGAACTTCAGTAAATCATCCGCACTACATGGGACATCTTATCTGGCAACGTGTTTTATGTAATAACCTAACATACAGGTTGTTAAGGTTTCTATATAGACAAACCGGACAGCTTTAATGTCCGAGAATCATTTTGCCATGATATGCCTACAATGCCGTTTTGTAATCAGTTATCTTACACTCAGTATTGTAAAGTAAAGCTGAGTAACACTAATGTTTGACATGTTGGAATTTTGATACAACCTGATGAATTCTGATGAAATAATACATGATCAATGATTCGGCCAAGCAGTGGCTGGCTAACAGTCATACATTCTTTCCGTTGCTTAAGTAAAGAATTATGGAACATGTACTGGCTAGTTATATCCACCGCACTTGATGGCTTCTGAACACTAAGAAATGACAAAGAAATCAATCGATATAAAAAGAGGTCCAGTTTTGTGATTGGACTGGTAGTTATATTTTATAACAGTCACCAGCAATATTCTATATAAACTTTCGGTTTTTTTTTTTGTTGTTGTAATTTTGTAATTTTGTTGGTATTGTTTTTTTCTGTTCCAGTTTGTCCGTTTTTGTTTTGTTTGTTCCCTCTCGTGCTTTTCACTATCAATGGATTTTTTTCCGTATCGACGCTGATAAATATAGATTATAGAATAGCCGACATCTCGATTGATTTCTTTCCATTTCTTTTAATCTGAAGGACAAGTAGGCGATGTGGATAGCTTAACAACGAAGGAGGGAATACTGACTAGCACTGACCCCATAACCTCCGACCCTTCAACACAGCTCTTCTCAACATCGACACCATCAACCACTACGGTAGCTAATATATATGCAGGGTCTACATCAACGAACTTACCAACTACACAGACAACGGCGTTACATGTTTCCGCTTCGGAATCAACAACGAATCACGAAACAACATCAGAACCAACGACCATAGAAACAACGACTACAGAAACAACGAAAACGGAGTCAAAAACCACCAATTCCGCTACAATTGATTCTATTTCTTCACAACTATCTACTTCAGGTACAACAACCGAAACTACTGTTACGGAAACAACAAGTCCGGAACTGATCACTACAGAACCGACATATAAGGAACCGACAACTACAGAACCGTCAACCACAGAACCGTCAACTACAGAACCGTCAACTACGGAGCCGACAACTACACAACCGACCATCACAGAACCGAAAACTACAGAACCGATCATCAAAGAACCGTCAACCACAGAACCGTCAACCACACAACCGACAAGTACAGAACCGTCAACCACAGAACCGACAACCACAGAACCGTCAACCACAGAGCCGACAACTACAGAATCGACAACTACAGAATCGACAACTACACAACCGACAAGTACAGAACCGTCAACCACAGAACCGACAACCACAGAACCGTCAACCACAGAGCCGACAACTACAGAACCGTCAAAAACGTCAACTACACAACCGACAACCACAGAACCGTCAACCACAGAAACGTCAACCACAGAGCCGACAACCACAGAACCGACAACCACAGAACCGTCGACCACAGAACCGACGACCACAGAACCGAAAACCACAGAACCGACAACCACAAAACCGACAACTACGCAACCAACAACCACAGAACCGTCGACCACAGAACCGACAACTACAGAACCGACAACCACTGAACCGACAACTACAGAACCGTCAACTATAGAAACGTCAACCACAGAACCGACAACTACAGAACCGACAACCACAGAACTGTCAACCACAAAACCGTCAACTACAGAACTGACAACCACAGAACTGACAACCACAGAACCGACAACTACAGAACCATCAACTATAGAAACGTCAACCACAGAACCGACAACTACAGAACCGTCAACCACAGAACCGTCAACTACACAACCGACAACCACAGAACCATTAACCGCTGAACCGTCAACCAGAGAACTGACAACTACAGAACCGTTAACCACAGAACCGTCAACCACAGAACCGACGACCACAGAACCGACAACCACAGAACCGACAACTACACAACCGACAACTACAGAACCGTCAACCACAGAACCGTCAACTACACAACCGACAACCACAGAACCATTAACCGCTGAACCGTCAACCAGAGAACTGACAACTACAGAACCGTTAACCACAGAACCGTCAACCACAGAACCGACGACCACAGAACCGACAACCACAGAACCGACAACTACACAACCGACAACTACAGACCCGTCAACCACAGAACTGTCAACTACAGAACCGTCAACTACAGAAAAGACAACAACAGAACCGACAACCACAAAACCGTCAACTACAGAAAAGACAACCACAGAACCGATAACCACAGAACCGACTACCACAGAACCGTCAACTACTGAAAAGCCAACCACAGAACCGTCAACCACAGAACCGACGACCACAGAACCGGCAACTAGAAAACCGACAACTACACAACCGACAACTACACAACCGTCAACCACAGAACCGTCAACCACAGAGCCGTCAACTACAGAAAAGTCAACCACAGAACCGTCAACCACAGAACCGTCAACTACAGAACCGTCAACTACAGAACCGACAACCACAGAACTGTCAACCACAAAACCGTCAACTACAGAAAAGACAACCACAGAACCGATAACCACAGAACAGACAACCACAGAACAGATAACTACAGAACCGACAACTACACAACCGATAACTACACAAGCAACAACCACAGAACCGTCAATCACAAAACCATCAACTACAGAGACGACGACTAGAGAACCGACAACTACACAATCGACAACTACAGAGCCGACAACTACACAACCGACAACTACACAACCGACAACTACAGAGCCGACAACTACACAACCAACATTCACAGAACCGACAACTACACAACCGACAACCACACAACCGACAACTACACAACCGACAACTACACAATCGACAACTACAGAGCCGACAACTACACAACCAACATTCACAGAACCGACAACTACACAACCGACAACTATAGAGCCGAAAACTACACAACCGACAACTACACCACCAACAACTACACAACCAACAACCACAGAACCGACAACTACTCAACCGACAACTACACAACCGACAACTACACAACCGACAACTACAGAGCTGACAACTACACAACCGACAACTTCACAACCGACTACACAACCGACAACTACACAACCGACAACTACAAAACCGACAACTACACAACCGACAACTACAAAACCGACAACTACACAACTGACAACTACAAAGCCGACAACTACACAACCGACGACTACAGAGCCGACAACTACAGAGCCGACAATTACACAACCGACAACCACAGAACCGACAACCACAGAACCATCAACTACACAACTGACAAATACACAACCGACAACCATAGAACCTACACAACCGATATCCACAGAATCATCAACCACAGAACCGTCAACTACACAACCGACAACCACAGAACCGTCAATCACAGAACCGTCAACTACAGAGACGACAACTACACAACAGACAACCACAGAACCGACAACAACAGAACCGACAACTACACAAACGACAACTACAGAGCCGACAACTTCACAACCGACAACTACACAACCAACAACCACAGAACTGACAACCACAGAACCGACAAGTACAGAACCGACAACCACAGAACCGACAACTACACAACCGACAACTACACAACCAACAACCACAAAACCGACAACCACAAAACCGACAACTACACAACCGACGACTACAGAGCCGACAACTACAGAGCCGATAACTACACAACCGACCACCACAGAACCGACAGCTACAGACTCGACAACTACACAACCGACCATCACAGAACCAACAATCACAGAACCGACAACTAAAGAATCGACAACCACAGAACCGACAACTGCAGAGCCGACAACTACACAACCGACCACCACAGAACCGACAGCTACGGACCCGACAACTACACAACCGACCATCACAGAGCCAACAATCACTGAACCGACAACTACAGAATCGACAACCACAGAACCGACAACCACAGGACCGACATCCACAGAACCGACAACTACAAAACCGTCCACTACACAACCGACAACTACAGAACTGTCAACTACACAACCGACAACCACAAAACCGACAACAAAACAACTGACACCCACAGAACCGACAACTACACAACTGACAACCACAGAACAGACAACCACAGTACCGACAACAAAACAACTGACACCCACAGAACCGACAACTACACAACCGACAACTACTAAACCGTCATCCACTGAACAAACAACCACAGAACCGAAAACTACAGAACCGACAACCACAGAACCGAAAACTACAGAACCGTCAACCACAGAACCGACAACTAGAGAACCGTCAACCACAGAACCAACAACCACAAAACCAACAACTACAGAGCTGACAACTACAGAACCGTTAACCTCAGAACCGACAACCACAAAACCGATAACTACACAACCGACAACCACAGAACAAACAGCCACAGAACTGACAACTACACAACCGACAACTACAGATCTGACAACCACAAAACCAACAACCACAGAACGGACAACTACAGAACAGACAACTACAGAACTTTCAACAACAGAACCGACAACCACAGTACCGACAACAAAACAACTGACACCCACAGAACCGTTTACTACACAACCAAAAACCACAGAACAGACAACCACAGAACTGAAAACTACAGAACCGACAACTACAGAACTGACAACCAGCGAACCGTCAACCACAGAACCGACAACTAGAGAACCGATAACTACACAATCGACAACCACAGAACCGTCAACCACAGAACCAACAACAGAATCGATAACCACAGAACCGTCAACCACAGAACCAACAACCACAGAACGGACAACTACAGAACCGTCAACCACAGAACCGTCACTCACAGAACCAACAACCACAGAACTGTCAACTACACAACCGTCAACTACAGAACCGTCAACCACAGAACCGACAACCACAGAACCGTCAACCACAGAACCGACAACCACAGAACCGACAACCACAGAACCGTCAACTACACAACCTTCAACCACAGAACTGATAACTACAGAACCGATAACTACAGAACCGTCAACTACAAAATCGACAACCACAGAACCGTCAACTACACAACCGACAACCACAAAACCGACAACCACAGAACTGGCAACTTCACAACCGTCAACCACAGAACCGACAACCACAGAACCGACAACTACAGAACCGTCAACTACAGATCCGTCAACCACAGAACCGATACCTACACAACACTCAACTACACAAACGTCAATTGCAAAACCGACAACTATAGAACCGTCAACTACAAAACTGACAACCACAGAACCGACAACCACAGAACCGTCAACTATACAACCGACAACCACAGAACCGTCAACCACAGAACTGACAACCACAGAACCATCAACCACAGAACCGTCAACAATACAACCGACAACCACAGAACCGTCAACCACAGAACCGACAACTACAGATTCGAGAACCACAGAACCAACAACCACAGAACCGACAACCACAGAAACGACAACTACAGGACCGACAACCACAGAACCGTCAACTACAGAACCGTCAACCACAGAGCCGACAACTACAGAACCGTCAACCACAAAAACGTCAACTACACAACCGACAACCACAGAACCGTCAACCACAGAAACGTCAACCACAAAACCGACAACCACAGAACCGACAACCACAGAACCGTCGACCACAGAACCGACAACCACAGAACCGACAACTACACAACCGACAACCACAGAAACGACAACCACAGAAACGACAACTACAGGACCGACAACCACAGAACAGACAACCACAGAACTGACAACCACAGAACCATCAACCACAGACCCGTCAGCTATACAACCGACAACCAAAGAACCGTCAAGCACAGAACTGTTAACCACAGAACCGACAACTACAGATTCGACAACCACAGAACCAACAACCACAGAACCGACAACCACAGAAGTGACAACCACAGAATCGACAACCACAGAAACGACAACTACAGGACCGACAACCACAGAACAGACAACCACAGAACCGACAACCACAGAACCATCAACTATACAACCGACAACTACACAACCGACAACCACAGAACCGTCAACTACACAACTGACAACTACAGAACTGACAACCACAAAACCAACAACCACAGAACAGACAACAACAGAATCGTTAACCTCAGAACCGACAACCACAAAACCAACAACTACAGAACCGACAACCACAGGACAGACAACCACAGAACCAACAACCACAGAACTGACAACCACAGAACCGAGAACTATTGAACCGTTAACCGCAGAACCGTTAACCACAGAACCGACAACCACAGAACTGACAACCACAGAACCGACAACCACAGAACCGACAACTACACGACCGGCAACCACAGAACCGTCAACTACACAACCGACAACTACAGAACTGACAACTACAAAACCAACAACTACAGAACCGACAACCACAGAACCGACAACCACAGAACCGACAACCACAGAACCAACAACCACAGAACCGACAACTACACGACCGGCAACCACAGAACCGTCAACTACACAACCGACAACTACAGAACTGACAACTACAAAACCAACAACCACAGAACCGACAACTACAGAACTGTTAACCTCAGAAACGACAACCACAAAACCGACTACAGAACCGACAACCACAAAACAGACAACCACAGAACTGTTAACCGCAGAACTGACAACTACACAACCGACAACTACAGAACCGACAACTACAGAACCGTTAACCACAGAACCGTTAACCAAAGAACCGACATCCACAGAAACGACAACTACAAAACCTACAACCACAGAACCGACAACCACAGAACTGACAACCACAGAACCGTTAACCACAGAACCGACAACCACAGAACCAACAACTACAGAACCGTTAACCACAGAACAGACAACTACACGACCGACAACTACACGACCGACAACTACAGAACCGACAACCACAGAACAAACAACCACAGAACCGACAACCACAGAACCGTCAACTACAGGACCGACAACCACAGAACCGACAACTGCAGATCCGACAACCACAGAACCGACAACCACAGAACCGTCAACTACAGGACCGACAACCACAGAACCGACAACTGCAGAGCCAACAACTACACGACCGACAACCACAGAACCGACAACTATTGAACCGTTAACCACAGAACCGTCAACTATTGAACCGTTAACCACAGAACCGTCAACTATTGAACCGTTAACCACAGAACCGTCAACTACAGGACAGACAACCACAGAACCGACAACTACAGAGCCAACAACGAGCTCTACGACAATTATACCTACCACGAAACCTACCACAACTGTACCTACAGCTTTATCTACCACAATAACAACAACAATTGTGCCTACCATGACACCTACAACAACTGTGCCTACCACTACACCTACAACAACTGTGCCTACCACTACACCTACAACAACTGTGCCTACCACTACACCTACAACAGCTGTGCCTACCACGACACCTACACCAACTGTTACTTCCACTTCACCTACAACAGCTGTGCCTACCACTACACCTACAATAACTGTGTCTACCACTACACCTACAACAGCTGTGCCTACTACGACAACTGTGCCTACCACGACACCTACAACAACTGTACCCACCATGAACCCTACCACCAATATGCTGACTACGATTTCAACAACACCTGTAACTAGTAGGACTGAGACAATGTTGCAGAGTACAACCGCTTCAGCATCCTATTCACAAACTACACCGGAGATACATACAGGTAAGATTGTAATGAAATGTACAGCGGAATAATAAAGAATGGAATCACTTGATGGTTTACTTATCTAACCTTTGTATACGGACTTACCACACCTGAGATCTGCTTGGTCCGATCTCACCTTCACAAAACCATCAACAAATCGTTATCAACAACCTTTGAATTCTGTTGAGGGTGTTTGTTACCCACGGAAAATTAAATATCGAGATAATTTTGAAAAGAAATTTTAAAAATGCGAAGGTTCTCAATCCATAAGGTTTATATACCTATTACTATGCTCCAAAACACACCAACTTATTGGTTTTACAGTCCATTACTACAACAGAACCGACACAAAATCTGAAAAATAAAATAGAACTGACAACACATTCTACAACTACAACAGAACCGACACAACAGTCCACAACTTCAACAGACATCACAGTCCACAACTACAACAGAACCGACACCACAGTCCACAACTACAACAGACACCACAGTCCACAACATCAACAGACATCACAGTCCACAACTACAACAGAACCGACATCACAGTCCACAACTACAATAGAACCGACACCACAGTCCACAACTACAACAGAACCGACACCACAGTCCACAACTACAACAGAACCGACACCACAGTCCACAACTACAACAGAACCGACACTACAGTCCACAACTACAACAGAACCGACACCACAGTCCACAACTTCAACAGACATCACAGTCCACAACTACAACAGAACCGACATCACAGTCCACAACTACAACAGAACCGACATCACAGTCCACAACTACAACAGAACCGACACCACAGTCCACAACTTCAACAGACACCACAGTCTACAACTACAACAGAACCGAAATCACAGTCCACAACTACAACAGACACCACAGTCCACAACTACAACAGAACCGACACCACAGTCCACAACTACAACAGAACCGACACCACAGTCCACAACTACTACAGAACCGACATCACAGTCCACAACTACAACAGAACCGACACCACAGTCCACAACTACAACAGACATCACAGTCTACAACTACAACAGAACCGACACCACAGTCTACAACTACAACAGAACCGACACCATAGTCCACAACTACAACAGAACCGACACCATAGTCCACAACTACAACAGAACCGACATCACAGTCTACAACTGTAACAATTGTAATAAATCTTGTAAGAAAGGTTGATTAAGTTATCAGTACAATGATGTCAATCCTCATTCATCATTATTAACAGTAAAATATGATATACATTAAAATATCAGTAACAGTGGTGGAATGGAGTAACCTGTTATCAAAATATTAGCAAGATATATGTATAATTGTGTGTCTTCCTTATAAACAGCGGGGCGCGGGGGATAATGTGTTGTCATGTTTGTTTTTATTGACGCACGTAAAATGTTCTGCAGAAAGGAACGTAGTGTTCTGACTTTCGATATAATAGGTAGAGATCACGTGATATACAACACCAGAATATATTTACTTATATCAATTTCTCTTTTTGACCTGGATGGAAAGGAACTAGAGGTTTCTAAGGAAGTTCCTTTTGAAAATCCGTGCGGTCTGGCAAGGCACCAAATACCTTTACCCCTATGTTCGAGGAATCGAACCCCGTACGTCTTGTTGAATGAATGGTGCGCTGCTATAGCGCCACCCATTCTTCCCCTCAGAAGTCCCCTGGTACTACTAAAGTAACTGTTGGGAATATCAGAACTCTGTCTCTCTCACATACGATTATGTTACAACGCTACCAAAGAAATTTCGCGAACACTTCTTTGGGGTGTTGTTGATATTGTTTCGAAATAACAAGTCTAACATTGCAGACGAGTTTTAAGACTAGTTTTCAATGGATTAGATTTAAGACCAAGGATCTATTGACTTAGGCGGTACAACCTGCCTTTGAGGGGATATCGCTATCAACTAAATGGTCGAAGCATAGACGTTAAAAAGGGTAAGAATATTTGTCCTTAATACGGTAAGTGATTCAATTTAGGTTTCGATATCCCGGTGACACTCGTATGCTAAGTATGCGAAAACCCCTGGGAATTGTGTTAATTGTGTCGTTCAGTCGATCAGAATATAAAAAAAAAGATTAAAGACAATTTTCTATTTCATAACAGGTTCATCCGTTATTGCTCCAGGAATGACTGATGCACCAGAAATGACTTCTTCTACTGATAGTCCGGTGACGTTAGAAATGAGCTCTTCCAGTCCGACTACAGCATCAAATGTACACACGAGCAATGTACCAGAACTTTCAACAATATCACAGATATCGACAAGTAACCTGAAAACAACTAGACTTGAAACAACTACATCGGGAATACAAGATCCAGATACGACGTCCATCGACACGACTATTCCGGAAAACACTTCCACCGTAACAACAACAAGAGTAGAATCAACGACAACAACATCTATTCCGGAAACAACAACCACCTCAGTGTCATCCACAGCGACTACAACTATTTCGGAAACAACAACCACATCAGTTCCATCAACGACGACTTCAGCTATTCCGGAAACAACAACCACATCAGTTCCATCAACGACGACTTCAGCTATTCCGGAAACAACAACCACATCAGTTCCATCAACGACGACTTCAGCTATTCCGGAAACAACAACCACATCAGTTCCATCAACGACGACTTCAGCTATTCCGGAAACAACAACCACATCAGTGCCATCAACGACTACAACAGCTATTCCGGAAACAACAACCACATCAGTACCATCAATGACGACTACAACTATTCCGGAAATAACCACATCACTGCTATCAACGACGACTTCAGCTATTCCGGAAACAACAACCACATCAGTGCCATCAACGACGACTACACCTATTCCGGAAACAACAACCACATCAGTACCATCAACGACGATTACAGCTATTCCGGAAACAACAACCACATCAGTACCGTCAATGACGACTACAGCTAGTCCGGAAACAACCACAAAATCAGTTCCATCCACGACGACTTCAGCTATTCCGGAAACAACAACCACATCAGTTCCATCAACGACGACTTCAGCTATTCCGGAAACAACAACTACATCAGTGCCATCAACGACGACAACAGCTATTCCGAAAACAACAACCACATCAGTACCATCAATGACGACTACAATTATTCCGGAAACAACCACATCACTGCCATCAACGACGACTTCAGCTATTCCGGAAACAACAACCACATCAGTGCCATCAACGACGACTACACATATTCCGGAAACAACAACCACATCAGTACCATCAACGACGACTACAGCTATTCCGGAAACAACAACCACATCAATACCATCAACGACAACTACAACTATTCCGGAAACAACAACCACTTCAGTACCATCCACGCCGCCTACAACTATTCCGGAAACAACAACCACATCAGTGCCATCAACGACAACTACAACTGTGTCGGAAACAACAACCACATCAGTGCCATCAATGACGACTACAGCTATTCCGGAAACAACAACCACATCAATACCATCAACGACAACTACAACTATTCCGGAAACAACAACCACTTCAGTACCATCCACTCCGCCTACAACTATTCCGGAAACAACAACCACATCAATACCATCAACGACAACTACACCTGTGCCGGAAACAACAACCACATCAGTGCCATCAATGATAACTACAACTCTGCCGGAAACAACAACCACATCAGTACCATCGACGACGACTACACCTATTCCGGAAACAACAACCACATCAGTGCCATCAATGACGACAACACCCGTTCCGGAAACAACAACCACATCAATACCATCAACGACAACTACAACTGTGTCGGAAACAACAACCACATCAGTACCATCGACGACGACTACAGCTATTCCGGAAACAACAGCCACATCAGTGCCATCAATGACGACTACATCCATTCCGGAAACAACCACATCAATACCATCAACGACAACTACAACTGTGCCGGAAACAACAACCACATCGGTACCATCCACGATGACTACAGCTATTCCGGAAACAACAACCACCTCAATACCCTCAACGACGACTACAACTATTTCGGAAACAACAACCACACCATTATCATCAACGATGACTACAACTATTCCGGAAACAACCACCACATCAGTACCATCAACGACGACTACAGCTATTCCGGAAACAACAACCACATCAATACCATCAACGACAACTACAACTGTGCCGGAAACAATAACCACATCAGTACCATCGACGACGACTACAGCTATTCCGGAAACAACAGCCACATCAGTGCCATCAATGACGACTACATCCATTCCGGAAACAACAACCACATCAATACCATCAACGACAACTACAACTGTGCCGGAAACAACAACCACATCGGTACCATCCACGATGACTACAGCTATTCCGGAAACAACAACCACCTCAATACCCTCAACGACGACTACAACTATTTCGGAAACAACAACCACACCATTATCATCAACGATGACTACAACTATTCCGGAAACAACCACCACATCAGTACCATCAACGACGACTACAGCTATTCCGGAAACAGAAACCACATCAGTGCCATCAATGACGCCTACAACTATTCCGGAAACAACAACCTATTCACTGCCATCCACGGCGCCTTCAACTATTCCGGAAACAACCACTACATCAGTACCATCAACGACGACTACAAATATTCTGGAAACAACAACCACAACAGTACCATCAACGACGATTACAACTATTCCGGAAACAACAACATCAGTACCATCAACGACGACTACACCAATTCCGGAAACAACAACCACATCAGTACCATCAACGACGACTACACCAATTCCGGAAACAACAACAACATCAGTACCATCAACGACGATTACAGCTATTTCGGAAACAACAACCACATCAGTGCCATCAATGACGACTACAACTATTCCGGAAACAACAACCACTTCATTGCCATCAACGACGACTTCAGCTATTCCGGAAACAACAACCACATCAGTGCCATCAATGACGACTACAACTATTCCGGAAACAACAACCACTTCAGTGCCATCAACGACGACTTCAGCTATTCCGGAAACAACAACCACATCAGTGCCATCAATGACGACTACAACTATTCCGGAAACAACAACCACATCAGTGCCATCAATGACGACTACAACTATTCCGGAAACAACAACCACATCACTGCCATCAATGACGACTACGGCTATTCAGGAAACAACAACCACATCAGTGCCAACAATGACGACTACAACTATTCCGGAAACAACAACCACATCACTGCCATCCACGACGACTATAGCTATTCCGGAAACAACAACCACATCAGTGCCATCAACGACGATTGCAGCTAAGTCGGAAACAACAACCGCATCAGTACCATCCACGGCGTCTAGAACTGTTCCGGAAACAACAACCACAACACTACCATCAACTACAACTACAAATATTCCGGAAATAACAACCACAACAGTGCCATCAACGACAACTACAACTATTCCGGAAACAACAACCACATCAGTAACATCAACTACAACTACAAATATTCCGGAAATAACAACCACATCAGTGCCATCAACGACGACTACAACTATTCCGGAAACAACAACCACCTCAGTACCATCAACAACGACTTCAACCGTTCCGGAAACAACAACCACATCAGTACCATCCACGACGACTATAGGTATTCCGGAAACAACAACCACATCAGTACCATCCATAACGACTACAGCTATTCCGGAAACAACAACCACATCAGTGCCATCAACGACGATTGCAGCTAAGTCGGAAACAACAACCACATCGTTGCAATCCACGGCGTCTACAACTATTTCGGAAGCAACAACAACATCAGTACCACCTACAGCGACTACAACTATTTCGGAAACAACAACCTCATCAGTACCATCCACGACGACTACAGCTATTCCGGAAACAACAAGCACATCACTGGCATCAACGACGACTACAATAATTCCGGAAACAACAACCACATCACTGCCATCAATGACGACTACAGCTATTCAGGAAACAACAACCACATCAGTGCCAACAATGACGACTACAACTATTCCGGAAACAACAACCACATCAGTACCATCCACGGCGTCTAGAACTATTCAGGAAACAACAACAACATCAGTACCATCCACGACGACTACAACTATTCCGGAAACAACAACCACATCAGTACCATCCACGACGACTACAGCTATTCCGGAAACAACAACCACATCATTACCATCAACGAAGACTACAGCTATTCCGGAAACAACAAGCACATCACTGCCATCAACGACGACTACAATAATTCCGGAAACAACAACCACATCACTGCCATTCATAACGACTTCGGCTAATACGGAAACAACAACCACATCAGTACCATCAATGACGAGTACAGCTATTCCGGAAACAACAACCACATTAATACCATCCACGACGACTACAGCTATTCCGGAAATAACAACCACATCAGTGTCGTCAATGACGACTACAACTATTCTGGAAACAACAACCACATCAGTGCCATCAACGACGACTACAAGTATTCCGGAAACAACAACCACATCAGTACCATCAACGACGACTACAAGTATTCCGGAAACAACAACCACATCACTGCCATCAATGACGACTACGGCTATTCAGGAAACAACAACCACATCAGTGCCAACAATGACGACTACAACTATTCCGGAAACAACAACCACATCAGTGCCATCAACGACGACTACAGGTATTCCAGAAACAACAACCACATCAGTACCATTCACAACGACTCCAACAATTCCGGAAACAACAACCACATCACTGCCATCCACGACGACTATAGCTATTCCGGAAACAACAACCACATCAGTGCCATCAACGACGATTGCAGCTAAGTCGGAAACAACAACCGCATCAGTACCATCCACGGCGTCTAGAACTATTCAGGAAACAACAACAACATCTGTACCATCCACGACGACTACAACTATTCCGGAAACAACAACCACATCAGTACCATCCACGACGACTACAGCTATTCCGGAAACAACAACCACATCATTACCATCAACAACGGCTACAGTTATTCCGGAAACAACAACCACATCAGTGCCCTCCACGGCGACTACAGCAATTCCGGAAACAACAACTACATCACTGCCATCCATAACAACTTCGGGTAATCCGGAATTAACAACCACATCAGTACCATCAACGACGAGTACAGCTATTCCGAAAACAAAAACCACATCAATGCCGTCAATGAAGACTACAAGTATTCCGGAAACAACAACCACATCAGTACCATTCACGACGACTACAACAATTACGGAAACACCAACCACATTTCTGCCATCAACGACGACTACAACTATTCCGGAAACAACAACCACATCAGTGCCATCAACGACGAGTACAATAATTCCGGAAACAACGATCTCATCACTGCAATCCACGACGACTACCACTATTCCGGAAACAACAACCACATCGGTGCCATCAACGACGACTACAACTGTTCCGGAAACAACAACCACAACACTACCATCAACTACAACTACAAATATTCCGGAAATAACAACCACAACAGTGCCATCAACGACAACTACAACTATTCCGGAAACAACAACCACATCAGTAACATCAACTACAACTACAAATATTCCGGAAATAACAACCACATCAGTGCCATCAACGACGACTACAACTATTCCGGAAACAACAACCACCTCAGTACCATCAACGACGACTTCAACCGTTCCGGAAACAACAACCACATCAGTACCATTAACGACGATTGCAGCTATTTCGGAAACAACAACCGCAACAGTACCGTCCGCGGTTACTACAACTATTCCGGAAACAATAACCACAACAGTACCATCAACGACGACGTCAACTGTTTCGGAAACTACAACCACATCAGTACCATCAACGACGACCATAATTATGCCGGAAACAACAACCACAACAGTACCATCAACGACGACTTCAACCGTTCCGGAAACAACAACCACATCAGTACCATCCACGACGACTATAGGTATTCCGGAAACAACAACCACATCAGTACCATCCATAACGACTACAGCTATTCCGGAAACAACAACCACATTAGTACTGTCCACGACGACTACAAGTATTCCGGAAACAACAACCACATCAGTACCATTCACGACGACTACAACAATTCCGGAAACACCAACCACATCACTGCAATCCACGACGACTACAACTATTCCGAAAACAACAACCACATCGGTGCCATCAACGACGACTACAACTGTTCCCGAAACAACAACCACAACAGTACCATCAACTACAACTACAAATATTCCGGAAATAACAACCACATCAGTGCCATCAACGACGAGTACAATTGTTCCGGAAACAACAACCACATCAGTACCATCAACGAAGACTTCAACCGTTCCGGAAACAACAACCACATCAGTACCATCCACGACGACTATAGGTATTCCGGAAACAACAACCACATCAGTACCATCCACAACGACTACAGCTATTCCGGAAGCAACAACCACATCAGTACCATCCACAACGACTACAGCTATTCCGGAAGCAACAACCACATCAGTACCATCAACGACGACTACAGCTATTCCGGAAGCAACAACCACATCAGTACCATCCACAACGACTACAGCTATTCCGGAAGCAACAACCACATCAGTACCATCAACGACGACTACAGCTATTCCCGAAACAACAACCACATCAGTACCATCAACGACGACAACAAATTTTCCGGAAACAACTTCTACATCAGTGCCATCCACATCTACAACAAATATTCAGGGATTAAGCACCACATCAGCACCATCAACGAGCAGTTCAGCTCTTCTGGATACAGAAATTACACAATTACACATCTCGACGACTACTATTGTTCTGGAAGCAACAACATCTCCAACCACATCAGTAAAATCCATAACGACTGCAGTTGTTTCTGAAACAGCAGCTACACAAATATCAACGTCGACTACAAGTGTTCCTCCAGAAACAATATCCACAAAAGCACCAGCTACGTCGAGTACAAGTGTTCCTCCAGAAACAATATCCACACAAGTATCATCTATGTCGACTTCAAGTGTTCCTCCAGAAACAATTACCACACAAGTATCAGCTACGTCGACTACAAGTGTTCCTCCAGAAACAATTACCACACAAGTATCATCTACGTCGACTTCAAGTGTTCCTCAAGAAACAATATCCACACAAGTATCATCTACGTCGAGTACAAGTGTTCCTCCAGAAACAACATCCACACAAATAGCATCTACGTCGACTACAAGTGTTCCTCCAGAAACAATATCCACACAAGTATCATCTACGTCGACTTCAAGTGTTCCTCCAGAAACAATTACCACACAAGTATCAGCGTCGACTACAAGTGTTCCTCCAGAAACAATTACCACACAAGTATCATCTACGTCGACTTCAAGTGTTCATCAAGAAACAATATCCACACAAGTATCATCTACGTCGAGTACAAGTGTTCCTCCAGAAACAACATCCACACAAATAGCATCTACGTCGACTACAAGTGTTCCTCCAGAAACAATATCCACACAAGTATCATCTACGTCGACTTCAAGTGTTCCTCCAGAAACAATTACCACACAAGTATCATCTACGTCGACTACAAGTATTCCTCCAGAAACAATTACCACACAAATATCAGCGTCGACTTTAAGTGTTCCTCCAGAAACAATATCCACACAAGTATCATCTACGTCGCGTACAAGTGTTCCTCCAGAAACAATTACCACACAAGTATCATCTACGTCGACTACAAGTGTTCCTCCAGAAACAACAACAACAACACAAGTATCATCTACGTCGAGTACAAGTGTTCCTCCAGAAACAACAACCACACAAGCACCAGCTACGTCGACTACAAGTGTTCCTCCAGAAACAACAACAACACAAGTATCATCTACGTCGAGTACAAGTGTTCCTCCAGAAACAATTACCATACAAGTATCATCTACGTCGACTACAAGTGTTCCTCCAGAAACAACAACCACACAAGTATCATCTACGTCGAGTACAAGTGTTCCTCCAGAAACAATTACCACACAAGTATCATCTACGTCGACTACAAGTGTTCCTCCAGAAACAATTACCACACAAGTATCATCTACGTCGAGTACAAGTGTTCCTCCAGAAACAATATCCACACAAGTATCATCTACGTCGAGTACAAGTGTTCCTCCAGAAACAATATCCACACAAGTTTCATCTACGTCGACTACAAGTGTTCCTCCAGGAACAATATCCACACAAGTATCATCTACGTCGAGTACAAGTGTTCCTCCAGAAACAATATCCACACAAGTTTCATCTACGTCGACTACAAGTGTTCCTCCAGGAACAATATCCACACAAGCACCAGCTACGTCGATTACAAGTGTTCCTTCAGAAACAATATCCACACAAGTATCATCTACGTCGACTACAAGTGTTCCTCCAGGAACAATATCCACACAAATAGCATCTACGTCGACTTTAAGTGTTCTTCCAGAAACAATATCCACACAAGTATCATCTACGTCGAGTACAAGTGTTCCTCCAGAAACAATATCCACACAAGTATCATCTACGTCGACTACAAGTGTTCCTCCAGGAACAATATCCACACAATCACCAGCTACGTCGAGTACAAGTGTTCCTCCAGAAACAATATTCACACAAGTATCATCTACGTCGACTAGAAGTGTTCCTCCAGGAACAATATCCACACAAATAGCATCTACGTCGACTTTAAGTGTTCTTCCAGAAACAATATCCACACAAATAGCATCTACGTCGAGTACAAGTGTTCCTCCAGAAACAATTACCGCACAAGTATCATCTACGTCGACTTCAACTGTTAATCCAGAAACAATAACCACACAAGTACCACCTTCGACGACTGGAACAGAATTAACCACATTGGTGATGTCCACAACGACTTCTAAAACTTTTCCCGATACAACATCAGCGGTAACAACTTTAGCGGAAACAACGACTACGAAAACAATAACAGATCCTTCATCAGATCCAGCAACCAGTAATCCGACAGCCATCACAACAGGTACGACTTATATCCCTGGCACTTCTGATGAAGTATCTATAGAACGAGTCACTTCTTCAGCAATGGCTAGCGAAGTAGTCACTAGTGAAATAGCGACTATTGAGCCGGTTAGTGCTGAAGCAGTGACAACAGAACCAATGCATGTTGACATCAATGCTACTATGATAATGACTACTGAAAAAGTATCTGCCACATCAGGGCAACATACCACCACTGCAGGTGTTTCTGAAACAGCAACTACACAAATACCATCTGAACAAATTACTACACAAGTACCATCTTGGACAACTAAAACTGCGGAATCAACAACCACATCTGTGACGTACACTACGTCTTCATCTGTTCTGGAAACACTATCCACAGGTGTACCGTCCACGTCGACAACAACTGTTCCAGAAACAACAACCACATCGACTACAGCTGTTGCTGAAACAAGCACCACAGTGACAGAAAAGGGGACTACGAGTCTACCGGAGACAATTACTACATCAGTACCAACCTCGGCGAGTTCAAATACAGCTGTTTCGGAAACAAAACTGCTATCAACAACTATTTCAGCTAATCCGGAAACAACAACCACATCAATACCATCCACGACGACTGCAGCTGTCCCTGAAACAACAACCGCATCAGTACCATCAACGACGACTGCAGCTGTCCCTGACACAACAACCGCATCAATACCATCAACGACGACTGCAGCTGTCCCTGAAACAACAACCACATCAATACCATCCACGACGACTGAAGCTGTCCCTGAAACAACAACCGCATCAGTACCATCAACGACGACTTCATCCGTCCCTGAAACAACAACCACATCAATACCATCCACGTCGACTGCAGCTGTCCCTGAAACAACAACCACATCAATACCACCCACGTCGACTGCAGCTGTCCCTAACACAACAACCACATCAATACCATCCACGACGACTGCAGCTGTCCCTGAAACAACCGCATCAGTACCATCAACGTCGACTGCAGCTGTCCCTGAAACAACAACCACATCAATACCATCCACGACGACTGAAGCTTTCCCTGAAACAACAACCACATCAATACCACCCACGTCGACTGCAGCTGTCCCTGAAACAACAACCACATCAATACCTCCCACGTCGACTGCAACTGTCCCTGAAATAACAACCACATCAATACCACCCACGTCGACTGCAGCTGTCCCTGAAACAACAACCACATCAATACCACCCACGTCGACTGCGGCTGTCCCTAACACAACAACCACATCAATACCATCAACGACGACTGCAGCTGTCCCTGAAACAACAACCGCATCAATACCATCAACGACGACTGCAGTTGTCTCTGAAACAACAACCACATCAATACCATCCACGACGACTGCAGCTTTCCCTGAAACAACAACCGCATCAGTACCATCAACGACGACTTCATCCGTCCCTGAAACAACAACCGCATCAATACCATCAACGTCGACTGCAGCTGTCCCTGAAACAACAACCGCATCAGTACCATCAACGACGACTTCATCTGTCCCTGAAACAACAACCACATCAATACCTCCCACGTCGACTGCAACTGTCACTGAAATAACAACCACATCAATACCACCCACGTCGACTGCAGCTGTCCCTGAAACAACAACCACATCAATACCACCCACGTCGACTGCAGCTGTCCCTGAAACAACAACCGCATCAGTACCATCAACGACGACTTCATCCGTCTCTGAAACAACAACCGCATCAATACCATCAACGTCGACTGCAGCTGTCCCTGAAACAACAACCACATCAATACCACCCACGTCGACTGCAACTGTCCCTGAAATAACAACTTCGTTGGTATCATCCATAACAGCTATTACTGATGGCGAAATAACTACCAAGACAACAAGAACAACAACTACTTCACCTGATCCGGAAACAACAACAGCATCAATACCATCCACGACGACTTCAACTGTTCCAGATATAATAACCACATCAATACCATCCACGTCGACTGCAGCTGTCCCTGAAACAACAACAGCATCAATATCATCCATGACGACTACATCCGTCCCTGAAACAACAACAACATCAATACCATCCACCACGACTGCAGCTGTCCCTGAAACAACAACAGCATCAATATCATCCATGACGACTACATCCGTCCCTGAAACAACAACTACATCAATACCATCCACGACGACTGCAGCTGTCCCTGAAACAACAACCGCTTCAATAACATCCACGACTACTGCAGCTGTCCCTGAAACAACAACAGCCTCAATACCATCCATGACGGCTACTGCAGCTGTCCCTGAAACAACAACAGCCTCTATACCATCCACAGCAACTGCAGCTGTCCCTAAAACAACAACTTCGTCGGTATCATCCACAACAGCTATTACTGATGGCGAAATAACTACCAAGACAACAAGAACAACAACTACTTCAGCTGATCCGGAAACAACAACCACATCAATACCATTCACGACGACTGCAGGTGTCCCTGAAACAACAACCACATCAATACCATCCACGTCGACTACAGTTGTTACTGAAACAAGCACCACAGTGACAGAAAAGGGGAATACGAGTCTACCGGAGACAATTACTACATCAGTACCAACCTCGGCGAGTTCGAATATAGATGTTTCGGAAACAAAACTACCATCAACAACTATTTCAGCTGTCCCTGAAACTATAACCACATCAATACCATCCATGACGACTGAAGCTGTCCCTGAAACTATAACCACACCAATACCATCCACGACGACTACATTCGTCCCTAAAACAACAACAGCCTCAATGCCATCCATGACGACTACATCCGTCCCAGAAACAACAACCGCTTCAATTCCATCCACGACTACTGCATCTCTTCCTGAAACAACAACCTCGTCGGTATCATCCACAACAGCTATTACTGATGGCGAAATAGCTACCACGACAACAAGAACAACAACTACTTCAGCTGATCCGGAAACAACAACCACATCAACACCATCCACGACGACTGCGGCTGTCTCTGAAACTACAACCGGTTCAATACCATCCATGACGACTTCAACTGTACTTGAAACAACAACCACATCAGTACCATCCACGACGACTGAAGCTGTCCCTGAAACTATAACCACATCAATACCATCCACGACGACTGCAGCTGTCCCTGGAACAACAACCGCATCAGTACCATCCACGACGACTACATCCGTCCCTGAAACAACAACCGCTTCAATTCCATCCACGACGACTACATCCGTCCCTGAAACAACAACCGCTTCAATTCCATCCACGACTACAGCAGCTGTCCCTGAAACAACAACCGCTTCAATAACATCCACGACTACTGCATCTCTTCCTGAAACAACAACCTCGTCGGTATCATCCACAAAAACTATTACTGATGGCGAAATAACTACCACGACAAGAAGAACAACACCTGCTTCAGCCACATCTACTATGGAAACAATAACCACGATGACTGTTCCGGTAACAACGACCTCATTATCATCCAGGCCGACTACAAATCTTCCGGAAGCCTCATCGCCTACAACTGTTTCAGAACAGACAACCACAAAAGTATTATCCACGACGACTGACCCTTTCCCGAAAACAACCACCTCAAAAATGACTTCAACCGTTCCGGAAATAACAACCACACAGGTATCATCTCCAAAGACTTCAACTGTTCATGGAACAACCACTACGTTAGTACCATCCACGAGTACAGTGGAAGAAGTTACAGCACCAGTAGCATCATCAATAACAACAAATACTCTAGAACCAATTACATCACCAGTGATATCTACAACAGAAACTGGAACAAATCCAATGGTAGCCACAACGGATACAACTCTTCTGGAAACAACGACTTCGAAAACTATAACAGATCCTTCATCAGATCCTGAAACCAGTAATCCAACAGCCATTACAACAGGTACGACTATTATTCTAGGCACTTCTGAGGAAGTATATATTGAAAAAGTCACTTCTTCAGCAATGACTAGCGAAGTAGTCGCTGATGAAACAGCGACTATTAAGCCGGTAAGTGCTGAAGCAGTGACTAATGTATTAATGCATGATGACTTAAATTCTACTATGGTAATAGCTACTGAAGACGTATCTGCTGAAGCTGTCGCTGCTAACACAAAGTATACGGAATTAGAAGGTAATAAAGTTACACCTACTGAATCAGTCATTACTGAAACAAAAGTCACTGATTCATCCTCTACTGGAACTACGACTACTGAAAATATAGTAACAATGACTGATGAAGCGGTCGCCCCCATAACAACGACTACTAGAGTAGTCACTAACGAAACAACGACAACTGAAGTAGCCACTAACGAAACAACGACAACTGGAGCAGTCACTAACGAAATAACGACAACTGGAGCAGTCACTAACGAGGCAACGACTACTGGAGCAGTCACTAACGAGGCAACGACTGCTGAAGTAGTCACTTACAAAACGACTGATGGAACAGTCACTGACGAGGCAACGACAACTGGAGTAGTGATTAACAAAACAACGACTGCTGAAGCAGTTAATGGCGAAACGACTACTGAAGCAGTCACAATCGGAACGACGACTGCCGAATCAGGCTCTGACGAAACGACAATTGAAGCAGTTACTAACGATACAATAATTACCGAAGCAGTAAATCCCCAAACAATAACAACGACGACTGGATCCATCACTCCTCAATCAATAACTACAGGAGCAGACACTATTAAAACAACGACTGCTGATGTAGTCGACACTACCGAAGCAACATCTACTGTTGCGATCAATTTTGAGTCGGCGTCTACTGAAGCTTTCAAAACTGCAACGACTTCTGATGCTTTCATAGTATCAGTAGTGTCTACTGAAGCTATAACAACCGAAGTAACATTAAACGAAGTTGTGACAACTGAATCGATGTCGACTAAAGCATTTACCGCTGAAGCAGCGTCATCTGAAGAAAGTTTCACAACTAAAGCATTGTCAACAGAAGTAGTCACGAGTGAAGCAGCGTCTACTGAAGCAGTCTCAATCGCAGCACTGTTTACTGAACCTATCACAACCCAACCAACGTCTACTGAAGTTGTCACAACTGTAGCAGCGTCTTCTGATGCTATCACAACAGGGACGTCTACTGAAGCTGTCACAACCGAAACAACCTCCGCTGAAGGCGTCACAACCGAAACAACGTTCGCTGAAGGCGTCACAACCGAAACAACGTCCGCTGAAGCTGTCACAACCGAAACAACATCCGATATAGCTGTCACAACCGAAACAACGTCCGCTGAAGTTGTCACAACCGAAACAACGTCCGCTGGTTCTGTCACAGCTGAAACGAAGCCCGCTGAAGGTGTCACAACCGAAACAACGTCCACTGCAGCTGTTACAATCGAAACAACGTCAGTTGAAGCTGCCACAACCGAAACAATCTCCGCTGAAGGCGTCACAACTGAAACAACGTTCGCTGAAGGCATCACAACCGAAACAACGTCCGATGAAGCTGTCACAACCGAAATAACGTCCGCTGAAGTTGTCACAACCGAAACAACGTCCGCTGGTTCTGTCACAGCTGAAACAAAGTCTGCTGAAGGTGTCACAACCGAAACAACGTCCACTGCAGCTGTCACAACCGAAACAACGGCCGTTGAAGCTGTCACAACCGAAACAACCTCCGCTGAAGGCGTCACAACCGAAAGAACGTTCACTGAAGGCGTCACAACCGAAACAACGTCCGATGAAGCTGTCACAGCTGAAACAACGGCCGTTGAAGCTGTCACATCTGAAACAACGTCCACTGCAGCTGTCAAAACCGAAACAACGTTTGCTGAAGCTGTCACAACCGAAACAACGTCCAATGCAGCTGTCACAACCGAAACAACGTCCGCTGGATCTGTCACAGCTGAAACAACGTCCGATGAAGCTGTCACATCTGAAACAACGTCCGATGCAGCTGTCACAACTGAAACAACGTCCAATGCAGCTGTCGCAATCAAAACAACGTCTTCTGCAGCGATCCCTCTTGAAACAACGTTCACTGATTCTAGGTCCTCTGAGGTTACGAGTACCGCTGAATCGGTGACTAGTCAATCAATAACAAGCACTATTTTGTCAACAGTTTTCGATCCTGCAGCAAGTAATACTATTCAGAGTAAGTTTGACACTTTTGTCGTAAAGCAGAATATCAGAAGTTTGTCTTTTTTTCCTGAATCCTGATACCAGATAAAACAGCAATTTGTCTAAGTTAAACATAAATCACCAACACCTGAGGGTAGCATTATTTTTTTGTCTTTCTTTCAGACAGTACCTTGGACACTGGCATGCTCCTGACAGACGAGGTTAGTACAATATCTCAGCCGACTGGAAACACTGACCCGACAACGACAGACATCAGTCCTACAGAAGCTACCACCAGTTCAACAGGTACGTGCACGAACGCCTTCTCAGTAAAGGGAATTATACTCCCGGCCAATAAAATTATATATTGTTATTTGTATTTGATATTTATCATCATGAACAATAAAATTAGATTATTACTTAAAAAAAGGAAAGAAAAACAAGCGGGATATTAACAGGTCATCACATTACAGCTAAAGCCAAAAGTTCCATTATATGAATAACATTAATGCATTAAGTATACAATTTTGGTAACTACAAACTGCTATCGCTACGCTAAACAATAATTACAGAGGAAAGATAAGTTATAACTGTACAAGGCCAGTACCAGGGAACACAAAACAACAATGTTAACAGTGAAAAATGAAAGACATTTCCTAGAACTAACCAGAACTAAACGTGTGTTACTTCTAAAAGCGACTGCGCAAAGAAAACATCAGAAAAAAATCAAAAACAAAGAAATAAACAAAAACACGAATATCATTAAGACCTACTAGTTATCATTATACACACACAAACAACTTGCTACGCCATGAAAGCAAACTTCCTGGAAATTTCATATCAAGGAGAGGTAAGTTATTAGTAGCAAACAGACAAATACTCTTTACAAGTAATGCACAATGTTGATTGGACAATTTGGTAGGCTATAAATGTGTTGTATGATATCCTAGAAGTCAGTCGACATAATTGTACTTAGGAACCGTTAATCGTGGTCTATAACAATGTAGGTTACACCTATAAACATTGTGATTTATCTAAAATGTCTTTGCCGATACTCAGTTAACACTTTTGAAGGAATATCCTACTTGTCATTGAGTAACAGTACAGTGTAGCTACCCTTGACCCAATCTTACTGTTGAAGAGCTTAGTTATCAATACCCTAGTTCTACTCCCATCAAACTTCCTGATGTTGTGTCTATTTGTCTAAAAAGATAACGGCTTGGAAAGACGATAAACCTTATCCGGTTAGCTAATCTAGCGAACCCAAGTCATGAATGAAAACACAAGAACATGCCTCTCAGAGTTAAACTTTCTGTTAATAGCGGAACAGGTACGGAACATAAAAACGAAAGGACATTTTTATGCGAGTGCAATAGTCAACAGTTTTCATCTCGACGCCGAATGCTGCTTTGACCAGCGATTCGTCCTTAAAATGACACTGCAAATATGAGAATACCTTGGCACCAAGACTGTCAACATGAATAGCTCCATTTCCTTTGTGTTTATATCCATCTAAGGAAGTTCGGAGACTTTGGAGACATAATGTTTTTGCTTCGTATTTCAGTATTCTTTTTCTGGTTTCTGGTAGTCCAATCTCTTCGAAGAGAAGATAACTCACTACTAATTATGTCATTTCCCGTACAATTTGACCAGAATGTCCTCAAAACAAGCCATATAATAATGGGCATTGAACAGATCACAAGGCTGGATGAGACGATTCTCGAGAAATATGTGTTCGTTGGTGACTCTTTCACAACAAAACATAAACAATCATAATGGGAGCATTATTTTTTTCTCGAAGTCTAGATAACTTCCTTAAGGAAAAGAACATGTTCTATTAGGTACAGAACTTTTGTCTTTATCCTTTGGGATATCCTGGTTATGGTTTACCAACTTACGCGTTAATCTTAGTTTACCTGGAAACGTTGATTTGAGATTAAGAAGAGTCACTGAGTTATCATTTTAACAGGTGATACATATGTATATGTATTCTGCATTCACTTCAACTAGAAACGCAGACGTTGAGCTGAACTTGATATCAACATTGCAAGAACTTGGACTGCAAAAATGACCAGTCTGTACAATGTAATTAAAACCAAAGGAATTCTTACACGTGATCGTCCTTGACCAGACAACTTCGAAAGTCGTTATACGGTTTAATTCAGTCGAAGCCTGCTGTCACTGGCAATTATCTGTTTGTAAATGCTACAGAATGAGAAAGCACCACGGACATCAACACTAGATCGCCAGTAAATACAGTTGTCTTTACATGATCAACTGACCACGTGTCTAGAAGAAACGTTTCTTCACAGACTGGAATCAACAATCAAAACCGCACCCTAATTACAGAGTGGGCGTCACAAATACTTAACAACTTTACATGCTTTAATATATCATCGTTCTTGTTTTAAATACAAATCATTGCTTGCTTCATTATTTTGGACACAGATTTCACATTTACCTCCACAGAGTTTGTTTTACACAGACCGAGTATTTTTCCGAAATCACATGTGAATGCTTTACTATGTTGTAGCATCAGTGACGATTGCTGGGTCAAATTCAATGCAGGCGACAGTATTCCATGCACAGACAAGTGACCAGGCTTTGACTCCGTCGAACAATTCTGTTGATTATCAGCCAACGGATGCTTCTATTGAGAACATACCATCTGTGATATCAAACGCACCAAATACCTCTATTGCTTCTACTACATCGACTACAACTGTCCGGGATCAACAATCCAATACAATGACTGCAACTATCGGGGATCAACCGTCTACTTCAATGACTGCAACTGTCAGTGATCAACCGTCTACTACATTGACTGCAACTGTCAGTGATCAACCATCTACTTCAATGACTACAACTGTCAGTGATCAACCGTCTACTACATTGACTACAACTGTCAGTGATCAACCGTCTACTACATTGACTACAACTGTCAGTGATCAACCGTCTACTACATTGACTACAACTATCGGGGATCAACCGTCTACTACATTGACTGCAACTGTCAGTGATCAACCGTCTACTACATTGACTACAACTGTCAGTGATCAACAGTCTACTAAATTGACTGCAACTGTCGGGGATCAACCGTCTACTTCATCGACTGCAACTGTCAGTGATCAACCGTCTACTACATCGACTGCAACTGTCAGTGATCAACTGTCTACTATACTAACTACACCTGTTAATAATCAACCGTCAACTACATTGACTACAACTATCGGGGATCAACCGTCTACTACATTGACTACAACTGTCAGTGATCAACCGTCTACTACATTGACTACAACTGTCGGGGATCAACCGTCTACTTCATCGACTGCAACTGTCAGTGATCAACCGTCTACTACATCGACTGCAACTGTCGGGGATCAACCGTTTACTACATTGATTACAACTGTCAGTGATCAACCGTCTACTACATTCACTACAACTGTCGGGGATCAACCGTCTACTACATTGACTACAACTGTCGGGGATCAACCGTCTACTACATTGACTGCAACTGTCGGGGATCAACCGTCTACTACATTGACTACAACTGTCAGTGATCAACCGTCTACTACATTGACTACAACTGTCGGGGATCAACCGTCTACTTCATCGACTGCAACTGTCAGTGATCAACCGTCTACTACATCGACTGCAACTGTCAGTGATCAACCGTCTACTACATTGACTACAACTGTCAGTGATCAACCATCTACTACAGTGACTGCAACTGTCAGTGATCAACCGTCTACTACATTGACTACAACTATCGGGGATCAACCGTCTACTACATTGACTACAACTATCGGGGATCAACCGTCTACTACACTGACTACAACTGTCAGTGATCAACCGTCTACTACATTGACTACAACTATCGGGGATCAACCGTCTACTACATTGACTACAACTGTCGGGGATCAACCGTCTACTACATTGACTACAACTGTCAGTGATCAACCGTCTACTACATTGACTACAACTGTCGGGGATCAACCGTCTACTACATTGACTACAACTGTCGATGATCAACCGTCTACTACACTGACTACAACTGTCAGTGATCAACCGTCTACTACATTGACTACAACTGTCGGGGATCAACCGTCTACTACATTGACTACAACTGTCGGGGATCAACCGTCTACTACATTGACTGCAACTGTCAGGGATCAACCGTCTACTACATTGACTACAACTGTCGATGATCAACCGTCTACTAAACTGACTACAACTATCGGGGATCAACCGTCTACTACATTGACTACAACTGTCGAGGATCAACCGTCTACTACATTGACTACAACTGTCAGTGATCAACCGTCTACTACATTGACTACAACTGTCGAGGATCAACCGTCTACTACATTGACTACAACTGTAAATGATCAACCGTCTACTACATTGACTACAACTGTCAGTGATCAACCGCCTACTACACTGAATACGGCTGTCGATGATCAACCGTCTACTACACTGACTACAACTGTCGAGGATCAACCGTCTACTACATTGACTACAACTGTCGGGGATCAACCGTCTACTACATTGACTACAACTATCGGGGATCAACCGTCTACTACATTGACTGCAACTGTCGAGGATCAACCGTCTACTACACTGACTACAACTGTTAGTGATCAACCGTCTACTACATTGACTGCAACTGTCGAGGATCAACCGTCTACTACATTGACTACAACTGTCGAGGATCAACCGTCTACTACATTGACTACAACTGTCGAGGATCAACCGTCTACTACATTGACTACAACTGTCAGTGATCAACCGTCTACTACATTGACTACAACTGTCGGGGATCAACCGTCTACTACATTGACTACAACTGTCAGTGATCAACCGTCTACTACATTGACTACAACTGTCGAGGATCAACCGTCTACTACATTGACTACAACTGTCGGGGATCAACCGTCTACTACATTGACTACAACTGTCGAGGATCAACCGTCTACTACATTGACTACAGCTGTCGGGGATCAACCGTCTACTTCATCGACTACAACTGTCAGTGATCAACCGTCTACTACATTGACCGCAATTGTCAGTTATCAACCGTCTACTACATTGACTACAACTGTCGGGGATCAACCGTCTACTACATTGACTACAACTGTCGGGGATCAACCGTCTACTACATTGACTACAACTGTCGAGGATCAACCGTCTACTACATTGACTACAACTGTCTACATTGGATCAACCGTCTACTACATTGACTACAACTGTCAGGGATCAACCGTCTATGATCAACATTGACTACAACTTCGGGGATCAACTACACACTGTACAAGTGATCAACCGTCTACTACATTGACTACAACTCCCGAGGATCAACCGTCTACTACATTGACTACAACTGTCAGTGATCAACCGTCTACTACATTGACTACAACTGTCAGTGATCAACCGTCTACTACATTGACTACAACTGTCAGTGATCAACCGTCTACTACATTGACCGCAATTGTCAGTTATCAACCGTCTACTACATTGACTACAACTGTCGGGGATCAACCGTCTACCACATTGACTACAACTGTCGGGGATCAACCGTCAGTGATCAACCGTCTACTACATTGACTACAACTATCGGGGATCAACCGTCTACTACATTGACTACAACTCCCGAGGATCAACCGTCTACTACATTGACTACAACTGTCAGTGATCAACCGTCTACTACATTGACTACAACTGTCGGGGATCAACCGTCTACTACATTGACTGCAACTGTCGGGGATCAACCGTCTACTACATTGACTACAACTGTCGGTGATCAACCGTCTACTACATCGACTGCAACTGTCAGGGATCAACCGTCTACTACATTGACTACAACTGTCAGTGATCAACCGTCTACTACATTGACTACAACTGTCGGGGATCAACCGTCTACTACATTGACTACAACTATCGGGGATCAACCGTCTACTACATTGACTACAACTGTCAGTGATCGAGGATCAACCGTCTACTACATTGACTACAACTGTCAGTGATCAACCGTCTACTACATTGACTACAACTATCGGGGATCAACCGTCTACTACATTGACTACAACTGTCGAGGATCAACCGTCTACTACATTGACTACAACTGTCGGGGATCAACCGTCTACTACATTGACTACAACTGTCGAGGATCAACCGTCTACTACATTGACTACAACTGTCGAGGATCAACCGTCTACTACATTGACCGCCATTGTCAGTGATCAACCGTCTACTACATTGACTACAACTGTCAGTGATCAACCGTCTACTACATTGACTGCAACTGTCCGTCTACCACATTGGGATCATTGACTACCGTTACCACATTGACTCACTGTCGGGATCAACCGTCTACTACACTGACTACAACATTGACTACAACTGTGTCAGGGATCAACCGATCAACCGTCTACTACATTGACTACAACTGTCGATGATCAACCGTCTACTACACTGACTACAACTCTCGAGGATCAACCGTCTACTACATTGACTACAACTCTCGAGGATCAACCGGCTACTACATTGACTACAACTGTCAGTGATCAACCGTCTACTACATTGACCGCAATTGTCAGTTATCAACCGTCTACTACATTGACTACAGCTGTCGGGGATCAACCGTCTACTTCATCGACTACAACTGTCAGTGATCAACCGTCTACTACATTGACCGCAATTGTCAGGGATCAACCGTCTACTACACTGACTACAACTGTCGGGGATCAACCGTCTACTACATTCACTACAACTGTCGGCGATCAACCGTCTACTACATTGACTACAACTCTCGAGGATCAACCGTCTACTACATTGACTTCAACTATCGGGGATCAACCGTCTACTACATTGACTACAACTGTCAGTGATCAACCGTCTACTACATTGACTACAACTGTCGAGGATCAACCGTCTACTACATTACTACATTGACCGTCTACTACATTGACCGCAATTGTCAGTAATCAACCGTCTACTATACTGACTACAACTGTTAATGATGAACCGTCTACTACATTGACTACAACTGTCAGTGATCAACCGTCTACTACACTGACTACAACTGTCAGTGATCAACCGTCTACTACATTGACTACAACTGTCGGGGATCAACCGTCTACTACATTGACTGCAACTGTCAGGGATCAACTACATTGACTACAATTGACTGCAACTGTCGATGATCAACCGTCTACTACACTGACTACAACTGTCAGTGATCAATCGTCTACCACATTGACTACAACTGTCGGGGATCAACCGTCTACTACACTGACTGCAACTGTCAGTGATCAACCGTCTACTACACTGACTTCAACTGTCGGGGATCAACCGTCTACTACACTGACTACAACTGCCGGAGATCAACCGTCTACTACACTGACTACAGCTGTCGGGGATCAACCGTCTACTACACTGACTACAACTGTCGGGGATCAACCGTCCACTGCCCCTATTACAACCGTTCCTGAGCATCCGTCCTCGGCATCTGGTACAATAGCCCATGACCAATCCTTACTAACATCAAGCTCAACAATAACTTACCAACGTTCATTAAGCACACTTCTTTATAATCAACCGTACGGTGCAACAAGCGCAATGCTCACTGACCACCCGCCCCTTACATCAAGCTTAACTCACAGTGACGAACACTCCACTACCTCAAGCTCAGCTCTCACTGACCAACTGTCCACTACCTCAAGCTCAGCTCTCACTGACCAACTGTCCACTACCTCAAGCTCAGCTCTCACTGACCAACTGTCCACTACCTCAGCTTTCACTGACCAACTGTCCACTACCTCAGCTCTCACTGACCAACTGTCCACTACCTCAAGCACAGCTCTCACTGACCAACGGTCAACTACCTCAACCTCAGCTCTCACAGACCAACGGTCAACTACCTCAAGCACATTATCCCCTGACCAACTGTCCACTACCTCAACCTCAGCTCTCACTGTCCAACTGTCCACTACCTCAAGCACAGCTCTCACTGGCCAAATGTCCACTACCTCTAGCAAAACAATCACTGAGGAAATGACCACTATATCAAGTACAACACCTCGGGACAAAATGTCCACTTCATCAAGTACAATACCTCGGGATCAACCGTTCTCTTCATTAAGTACTACCACCGGGAGCCAACAATCCACTTCATCACATACTACAACCAGTAACCAACCATTCACTTCATCACATACTACAGCTGGGGACCAGTCGTCTACTACATCACATACTACCACCGATAACCAACCATCCACTTCATCACAAACTACAACTGGGGACCAACCGTTCACTTCATCACATACTGCCACCGGGGACCAACCGTCCACTTCATCACATACTACCACCGGGGACCAACCGTCCACTTCATCACATACTACTTCCGGGAACCACCCATCCACTTCATCACATACTACAACTGGGGACCAACTGTCAACTTCATCACATACTACAACCGGGGACCAACCATCCACTTCATTACATGCTACAGCTGGGGACCAACCGTCCACTTCATCACATACTACAGCTGGGGACCAAACGTCCACTTCATCACATACTACCACCGGGGACCAACCGTCCACTTCATCAAATACTACAACTGGGAACCAACCGTCCACTTCATCACATACTACCACCGGGGACCAACCGTCCACTTCATCACATACTACAACTGGGGACCAACCGTCCACTTCATCACATACTATAACTGGGGACCAACTGTCCACTTCATCACATACTACAACTGGGGACCAACCGTCCACTTCATCACATACTGTACCTGGGGACCAACCGTCCACTTCATCACATACTACCACCGGGGACCAACCGTCCACTTCATCACATACTACAGCTGGGGACCTGCCTTCCACTTCATCACATACTACAACCGGGGACCAACCGTCCACTTCATCACAAACTACAACTGGGGACCAACCGTCCACTTCATCACATACCACAGCTGGGGACCAACCATCCACTTCATCACATATTACAGCTGGGGACCAACCGTCCACTTCATCACATACTACAACCGGGGACCAACTGTCCACTTCATCACATACTACAACCGGGGACCAACCATCCACTTCATTACATACTACAACCGGGGACCAACCATCAACTTCACATACAACAACTTGGTACCAACCATCAACTTCATCACATACAACAACCGGGGACCAACCATCAACTTCATCACATACAACAACTGGGTACCAACCATCAACTTCATCACATACACCAACCGGGGACCAACCGTCCACTTCATCACATACAACAACTGGGGACCAACCGTTCACTTCATCACATACTAAAGCTGGGGACCAACCGTCCACTTCATCACATACTACAGCTAGGGACCAACCGTCCACTTCATCACATACTACAGCTAGGGACCAACCGTCCACTTCATCACATACTACAACTGGGTACCAACCATCCACTTCATCACATACTACCACCGAGAACCACCCATTCACTCCATCCCAAACTACAACTGGGGACCAATCGTCCTCTTCATCACATACTACCACCGGGGACCAAACGTCCACTTCATCACATACTACTTCCGGGAACCACCCATCCACTTCATCACATACTACAACTGGGGACCAACCGTCCACTTCATCACATACCACAACCGGGGACCAACTGTCCACTTCATCACATACTAGAGCTGGGGACCAACCATCAACTTTATCAAGTGCTACCATCGAGAGCCAGCCATCCATTTCAGCACAAACTACCACCGGGGATCAACCGTTCACATCATTAAGTGCTACCATCGGGAGCCAGCCATCCATTTCATCACATACTGCAACTGGTGACCAATCGTCCACTTCATCACATACTACCACCGAGGATCAACCGTTCACTTCGTCACATACTACCACCGGGAACCACCCATCCACTTCATTACATACTACAACTGGGGACCAACCGTCCATTTCCTCACATACCACAACTGGGAACCAACCGTTCACAGCATCAAGTACTACCACCGGGGACCAACCGTCCACTTCATCCCATACTACAACTGGGGACCAACCGTCCACTTCATCACATACTACCACCGGGGACCAATCGTCCCCTTCGTCACATACTACCAACGGGAACCACCCATCCACTTCATCACATACTACAACTGGGGACCAACCGTCCATTTCCTCACATACCACAACTGGGGACCAACCGTTCACAGCATCAAGTACTACCACCGGGGACCAACCGTTCACAGCATCAAGTACTACCACCGGGGACCAACCGTCCACTTCATCCCATACTACAACTGGGGACCAACCGTCCACTTCATCACATACTACCACCGGGGACCAATCGTCCCCTTCGTCACATACTACCACCGGGAACCACCCATCCACTTCATCACATACTACAACTGGGGACCAACCGTCCATTTCCTCACATACCACAACTGGGAACCAACCGTTCACAGCATCAAGTACTACCACCGAGGACCAACCGTCCACTTCATCCCATACTACAACTGGGGACCAACCGTTCACTTCATCACATACTACCACCGGGGACCAGCCGTCCACTTCATCACATACCACCACCGAGAACCACCAATCCACGCCATCACAAACTACAACTGGGGACCAATCGTCCCCTTCATCACATACTACCACCGGGGACCAACCGTCCACTTCATCACATACTACTTCCGGGAACCACCCATCCACTTCATCACATACTACAACCGGGGACCAACCGTCCACTTCATCACATTCTACAACTGGGGACCAACCATCCACTTCATCACATACTGTAACTGGGGACCAACCGTCCACTTCATCACATATTGTAACTGGGGACCAACTGTCCACTTCATCACATACTACAGCTGGGGACCAACCGTCCACTTCATCACATACTACAGCTGGGGACCAACCGTCCACTTCATCACATACTACAGCTGGGGACCAACCATCCACTTCATCACATACTACAGCTAGGGACCAACAATCCACTTCATCACATACTACAGCTGGGGACCAACAATCCACTTCATCACATACTACAGCTGGGGACCAACAATCCACTTCATCACATACTACAGCTGGGGACCAACAATCCACTTCATCACATACTACAGCTGGGGACCAACAATCCACTTCATCACATACTACAACTGGGGACCAACAATCCACTTCATCACATACTACAGCTGGGGACCAACAATCCACTTCATCACATACTACAGCTGGAGACCAACAATCCACTTCATCACATACTACAGCTGGGGACCAACCGTCCACTTCATCACATACTACGACTGGGTACCAACCATCAACTTCATCACATACAACAACTGGGTACCAACCATCAACTTCATCACATACTACAGCTGGGGACCAACAATCCACTTCATCACATACTACAGCTGGGGACCAACAATCCACTTCATCACATACTACAGCTGGGGACCAACCGTCCACTTCATCACATACTACAACTGGGGACCAACCGTCCACTTCATCACATACTACAACTGGGTACCAATCGTCCACTTCATTACATACTACAACTGGAGATAAAATATCCACTACATCAAGTACAACATCTGGAGATCTGATCTCAACTTCATCAGGTACTTCTACCGAGGACAAACCGGCAAATACAACGAAAGGAGACCAAATGTCAAGGTCGGCTGACCATGATCAAACTTCTTCAACAACAAATATACCTCTTAATTACCAAACCTTAAGTTCAGCTCACCAGAACGAAACATCCACAGTCCGTGACGGATTAGACACATCAGCAATTACAGCGTATTTCAATCAAACGTCACCTAACTCAGGTAATACAGATGAATCATTATCGTTGACAAATGTTTGTCTACTGGAAAGGCTTGGACAAGCTGATGACAGTTGATGCGTAAATTTAATCCGCTTAAACCTGTATATATAACGAATGTTAAAACTTTACTCAACAAAAATAAAAACGCACAAAGTCCTCTCACCCCCCTGCAGTATACAATATTTTATCTGGTATTACATCAAGAATGATGTCCGTTCTGGACAATCTACCCTAAAATCAGCCAAGCATGACGATGTCATTGTCTGACTTTGTGAGCTTCTTTAGTACCATTCACGTGGCGTGATCAAGCCAAGCCAGATTTTTAAACGAATAATTTCAACGGATACTCTTAAGTTCAGCCACGTTAATTTTCCACGTTGATTTCGCTGTTGACCGAGCTGCCACACTTAGTGGAAATTCAGAGAGGTAGAGCAATTGTGATGTTGATGGATGTTCAGAGCCAAACCGATGTCCCATGTAACAACTGCACGACAAGACAAGACGATTCGATTGTCGCACTTGCGCAACAGATTCAAGACTGCTGTAGAGACTGTGTCGCATACTTTAGGTACTCATGGCACACCCATTAGTGCTCAAACTGCTAGGACCCACTTGCGTGCCGAGAGAATCATTGCGCACCGACCTTATGTCGGCCTACCTTTTGACACCACGGAGGCGGCAAGTGCGTCTTGACTTGATGCGCAGACATGGCTTGAATGGGTTTGGGATGCGTTAGTGGAGGCGTGTGATGTTCACCGACGAGTCTAGAATCTGTCTGTATCGTTCAGACGGAAGAAAAAGGGTATATAGCAGACGCGGTAAGCGTTTCGCCGACGCATGCGTGATCGAACGCGATAGATTCGTTGAGGATTCTGTAATAGTTTGGGAGGCATCTCCCATGGAGTAAAATCCCCCTAAGTGGTCCTGGATCAAAACCTCCATGCTATTCGATACAGAGACCAGATTTTCCAACCACAAATTCTTCCACTTCTCAGACGCCATAACCTAATTTTCCAGCAAAACAATGCTCGACCGCATGTTGCCAGAGTCTCGTAATTTTCTCACGGCAAACAACGTTCAGCCTCTGGAATGGTCCCCATATAGCCCCGATGTGTCTCCCATTGAGCATCTGTGGGATGAGCTGGACAGGCGTATAAGGAAACATTAACCTCCCTCACTCCCTCAAACTTACCGCGCCCAGTTGATCGCATCATTAATAATGGAACAACATTCCTTTAAGGCGAAATAATGAATTCAATACATGGGAGAATCCGAGCAGTTATTTGTGCAAGTGGTGCCCATGCCATGTACTGAAGTTTCGCTTTGTTTTTCGTGGGTATCCTACTTTGGGAACTATTGACGACACGAGTGGCGTCACACAGACTTTTTTTCTACAGTATTGTTAAGAGTAGACTTGTCTCTTCACATTGATGTAAAATTTTGTGCAAAATTCCCAAAATATCATAGGCTGTTGATTGCATAATTTAATTGTGCGTTTCTTTTTTGTTGGGTATATAAATGATTCTATTTTGAAGATTTCAGTGTGTTTATTTTTCAGATTTTATGTTATCGTCACAGATTTTTGCGGTACACTGATAGAATTACTCATAATAGATTTAAACCAAATGTCTGTTTTCAAAGCACATGATGGATGTCAATGACCGTGTTGTTTGCTGCAATGTAAAGTTGATATGCCTTTTCTGATTGAGAAACTGCATTGCTGATTAACCTTATAAAATGAACTTGTTGTCTGTTTGATATATCTAATGGGCTGTTGATATTTTCATTTCCTTGAAGTGACGAATGTTTCCTTAGCAACGGATGCTGGACACATGACTGAGAGTAACACTGTTAGTTCTACAGATTCTCAGACAGATACAACGACAGCTTCGGTAACCTCTTCATCCAAAACAGAAATTACATCCAACCCAAGTACCACGGAGCCAGTTACTACACTGATAACGACTGATGGGCAGCCAGCTACAACTCTCGAGCCGACATCAGTAAGGACCAGCACCCCCTCCCCAGAACAGTCACTGTCCACTTTCCTGGCGACGCTGTCTGTGGTAGCGGAGTGGAGTCCGGCCTACGAAGATCCTACGTCGGACGAGTATTGGGCTCTCCTCCACGCCGTCATGGCATTTGTAAGTAGAATTCACGCACTATGAATCATGAACATCTTATAATGATCAACATAAAACCATTAATTTCGAATGATTTTGCGAACAAATTATAGATGAAATGTTTGCCTTGTGACATAAAGTCGAGCAGCAATGTAAATCAGTTTCTTTTTTCAGATTTTGCAGTTGTTTAGGGAGGCTCACATAGCAGATGTTTCCAGCATAACATTCGTGGGATTCTCGTAAGTAGTATGGGGAATCTCAACAATACAACTAAACTGTAATATCAGTTTAGAGTCGGAAGATGACTACAAGACGGGAATAAACCTTCTGTTTTATCGATGAGTCCATCGTATAGATTTAGGTGTAATTACCACAAGGTTAAATTTTAAAGAATAAAGTCAGGATGACTAGGATAACTCTCAGTCAGGTTCCGTTATTGTCTGTTTTTCACATAACATGAGAAACAAAACAAGGGTTGTTGAATCCACTGGCACGTGTAAAAACCCTAAGTAAAGGGAATTCTGTTTACCATCGTAAAATTTAATTCATCATGCTGGCATAGCATTATAATGAATGCTCTGATTATTATTTGGAACAAAAACAGACATTGCATATGGTAGATTCTGACGGTGGACTTTTAGCCCCGAGGTTTTCCGTAACCTACAAGCCACGTGTTAAATCGCATAAGTGACACCGTTGAGCACTTGACATCCTTTTGAAACGATCCTTCATTTAATTTATTTTTAACATTTATTTTGTTATCAATTTATCAGATATATGAATACATATATATGTATTTTGTTATTCGGCTAGTACATCTTACAGATCTATATTCTGACTTTTCTCCCGATCACTTTGAATTTTTCTCAGTCGCCTCTAAGGCTTCAAAATTTAGGCCTTGGCATCAGTGACGAGTCCTAGGACAATAAAGCCGTGTAGTGAAGTGAAATTCATAATTTGACTCTGATGTATCTAACTCTACATTTGTATTAGATTTATTGATTATTAGAAGTATTAATACCTGTGAATTATTTTACAAGTCCGGGCAGTGTCAAGGTTAAATATGAAGTGGTCATCAATCGCAAACGATATGAAGGAGACAGTTTAAAAGATGCCATATGGACTGCATATGGAGGCATCGATTTTCCGTCAATGATGTTGAAAGAGGATGTCATATCTTTTCAAGGTAATTTCAATATTAATGGTTTAATTTTGTTTGTGTCAATCCAACATCTACAATCTTGTAATACATATTGTATAAAGGAGGAGTTTTTTCCTTTTAGAAATAAAAGAATGGAAGGTTTAATAATGGTTCTGTGGCTGTTTTTATTTCTATATATTTGCACACTACCACCAGTTTCCCACCTAGTTATGTAAACCGTCGGGGTGGGGAGGGGGAAGGGGAATAAACCCGGTACTAATTGTCTATCTAGTCAAGCGTGTGATTACACATCCGGTGGACAAGGGGAGACGGCCACCAAAACGGAATCCTGGTGGGTATAAATGTAATATTTACATTTTGTGTTGTATTCGCCTATATATCATTAATACGCGAAAATGTATTATATGAGATTGTATACTATAAGTTACAGTGATTTGGTCGGTGTTGAAGTTAATATATCTAGATGTCTCCCTGGTAAGCAGAGCTGGCCGCCTGTCACTTTCACTTCAGTATCAATATACTTTTTACTGACATAGCCGTAGCTTTGGGACTTAACTAAGATCTTCACAAAAGACAAATGACTTTACAAAGCTATCAAATTACCATAGAACAAATTTATTGTCAAATATGTCATTTTGCCACAAACTAATTATTGTCGCCATGACAAACTTTGTCAATTTGGATTGGTGCTGTAGGTGTCGATCTGACAGTCCAAATTGCAAATGTAGAATCCGTTACAAAGAAAATGTCGTTACTTACTGACAGGATCGACTTCCATTTATAATTTCCGTGGTCATTCATTCTGTTCTGATAATCACATCAATACACTCCTCGACACGAAAACGTAAATAATTCCCGAAGAAACACATTGTTTCGTGAAATCTGACTTAGGGCCGTGTCACTGTTTAATAAAATACCAATGGCAATTTTATCTAAACGAATGGAAAATGCATTGTAAAATTATACCCCCACGTAACGAAATTAGGGGGTATACTGGAATCAGTCTGTCAGTCTGGCTGTTCGCCCGTACAGAATATCCGGACAACTACTCATAAACAACAGCATTGATTTCAATGAAACTACACAGGAATGTTGGGAACGATGTGTAAATGTGCATGCAACTGTTTTCCTCCGCAAAATATTGGTTGCGATGGTAACCAGTCAATATCTTTATTCAAATTACAGTGTCAGTATAAAACTGTATTTTGCAAATGACAGGGAGCGAGAAACTCAAACGGCGTATTCCTCGTTTTTGTTTTCGTTTTTCTAGCTGTATCAGAACGGAATTATAAATTATAAACTTTTACCAGATGGGGTATACAGGGCGCCATTCTATTCATCTTCCACCCGGGTTGGCTCTATATCAACTGTTTATCCCATCTGGTAAATGTTTATTGTTTAAATGATGGTATTGCTTGATTTACGTGTTTGCTGTTCAAAGTTATCTTCTTCAGTGCACAACGCTTTTGTATTTAGATGAAACAAAACCAGGTGAAGTTGAGGAGCCAGATTCCGTAGGCCCCTCTCCGACCCAGGAAGCCACATCTGACATGTGTGTTATAAAACCCTGCATGGGAGGTGTTATTTGCCAAGTTGTCGACGGTATCGCCATTTGTAGGTGTAACCTGGGGTATTTCTATAACCTAACCGGCTGCACAGGTGAGAATACTTATATAACATCGAAAAGGAAAACCGTCAAAACGGACAGGTAGCTGCACGTCGATTCAAGTATGTTCCGATAAGACCATTATAGTATAATCAATTGATATTAGTATCTAATTAACCTCCTTTAAACTGAAAAATTGAATCTTTTCATGCAAGAATATACAGACAATTATATTCAGCTGAATAAGAAAAGAAATGCACTACTATCTTATTTACAATGAAATACAGTTTTTTTCCTGCGACAGATGTGAACGAATGTCTGGCTGCCTCAACATGTCCTTCTCATTCCGACTGTGTCAACAACGAAGGCAGTTTTTCCTGTCAGTGTAAACAGGGTTTCGTGGTCACGAACGAAGGATGTGACGGTATGTTTCTAGTGTCAGTGTAAATAGGGTTTCGTGGTAACGAACGAAGGATGTGGCGGTATGTTTCTGGTGTCAGTGTAAATAGGGTTTCGTGGTAACGAACGAAGGATGTGACGGTATGTTTCTGGTGTCAGTGTAAACAGGGTTTCGTGGTAACGAACGAAGGATGTGACGGTATGTTTCTGCTGTCAGTGTAAATAGGGTTTCGTGGTAACGAACGAAGGATGTGACGGTATGTTTCTGCTGTCAGTGTAAATAGGGTTTCGTGGTCACGAACGAAGGATGTGACGGTATGTTTCTGGTGTCAGTGTAAACAGGGTTTCGTGGTAACGACCGAAGGATGTGACGGTATGTTTCTGGTGTCAGTGTAAACAGGGTTTCGTGGTCACGACCGAAGGATGTGACGGTATGTTTCTGCTGTCCGTGTAAATAGGGTTTCGTGGTCACGACCAAAGGATGTGACGGTATGTTTCTGCTGTCAGTGTAAACAGGGTTTCGTGGTAACGACCAAAGGATGTGACGGTATGTTTCTGCTGTCAGTGTAAACAGGGTTTCGTGGTAACGACCGAAGGATGTGACGGTATGTTTCTGGTGTCAGTGTAAACAGGGTTTCGTGGTAACGACCGAAGGATGTGACGGTATGTTTCTGGTGTCAGTGTAAACAGGGTTTCGTGGTAACGAACGAAGGAAGTATGTTTCTGGTGTCAGTGTAAATAGGGTTTCGTGGTAACGAACGAAGGATGTGACGGTATGTTTCTGCTGTCAGTGTAAATAGGGTTTCGTGGTCACGAACGAAGGATGTGACGGTATGTTTCTGCTGTCAGTGTAAACAGGGTTTCGTGGTAACGAACGAAGGAAGTATGTTTCTGGTGTCAGTGTAAATAGGGTTTCGTGGTAACGAACGAAGGATGTGACGGTATGTTTCTGGTGTCAGTGTAAACAGGGTTTCGTGGTAACGAACGAAGGAAGTATGTTTCTGGTGTCAGTGTAAATAGGGTTTCGTGGTAACGAACGAAGGATGTGATGGTATGTTTCTGCTGTCAGTGTAAATAGGGTTTCGTGGTCACGAACGAAGGATGTGACGGTATGTTTCTGGTGTCAGTGTAAACAGGGTTTCGTGGTAACGAACGAAGGAAGTATGTTTCTGGTGTCAGTGTAAATAGGGTTTCGTGGTAACGAACGAAGGATGTGACGGTATGTTTCTGCTGTCAGTGTAAATAGGGTTTCGTGGTCACGAACGAAGGATGTGACGGTATGTTTCTGGTGTCAGTGTAAACAGAGTTTCGTCAGGTAACGAACGAAGGAAGTATGTTTCTGGTGTCAGTGTAAATAGGGTTTCGTGGTAACGAACGAAGGATGTGACGGTATGTTTCTGCTGTCAGTGTAAATAGGGTTTCGTGGTCACGAACGAAGGATGTGACGGTATGTTTCTGGTGTCAGTGTAAACAGGGTTTCGTGGTAACGAACGAAGGAAGTATGTTTCTGGTGTCAGTGTAAATAGGGTTTCGTGGTCACGAACGAAGGATGTGACGGTATGTTTCTAGTGTCAGTGTAAATAGGGTTTCGTGGTAACGAACGAAGGATGTGACGGTATGTTTCTGGTGTCAGTGTAAATAGGGTTTCGTGGTAACGAACGAAGGATGTGACGGTATGTTTCTGGTGTCAGTGTAAATAGGGTTTCGTGGTCACGAACGAAGGATGTGACGGTATGTTTCTGGTGTCAGTGTAAACAGGGTTTCGTGGTAACGAACGAAGGATGTGACGGTATGTTTCTGCTGTCAGTGTAAATAGGGTTTCGTGGTCACGAACGAAGGATGTGACGGTATGTTTCTGGTGTCAGTGTGAACAGGGTTTCGTGGTAACGACCGAAGGATGTGACGGTATGTTTCTGGTGTCAGTGTAAACAGGGTTTCGTGGTAACGACCAAAGGATGTGATGGTATGTTTCTGCTGTCAGAGTAAATAGGGTTTCGTGGTTACGAACGAAGGATGTGACGGTATGTTTCTGGTGTCAGTGTAAACAGGGTTTCGTGGTAACGAACGAAGGAAGTATGTTTCTGGTGTCAGTGTAAATAGGGTTTCGTGGTAAGGAACGAAGGATGTGACGGTATGTTTCTGCTGTCAGTGTAAATAGGGTTTCGTGGTCACGAACGAAGGATGTGACGGTATGTTTCTGGTGTCAGTGTAAACAGGGTTTCGTGGTAACGAACGAAGGAAGTATGTTTCTGGTGTCAGTGTAAATAGGGTTTCGTGGTAACGAACGAAGGATGTGACGGTATGTTTCTGCTGTCAGTGTAAATAGGGTTTCGTGGTAACGAACGAAGGATGTGACGGTATGTTTCTGGTGTCAGTGTAAACAGGGTTTCGTGGTAACGAACGAAGGAAGTATGTTTCTGGTGTCAGTGTAAATAGGGTTTCGTGGTAACGAACGAAGGATGTGACGGTATGTTTCTGCTGTCAGTGTAAATAGGGTTTCGTGGTCACGAACGAAGGATGTGACGGTATGTTTCTGGTGTCAGTGTAAACAGGGTTTCGTGGTAACGACCGAAGGATGTGACGGTATGTTTCTGGTGTCAGTGTAAACAGGGTTTCGTGGTCACGACCGAAGGATGTGACGGTATGTTTCTGCTGTCCGTGTAAATAGGGTTTCGTGGTCACGACCAAAGGATGTGACGGTATGTTTCTGCTGTCAGTGTAAACAGGGTTTCGTGGTAACGACCGAAGGATGTGACGGTATATTTCTGCTGTCAGTGTAAACAGGGTTTCGTGATGACGAACAAAGGATGTGACTGTGTTTCTCATATCAGTACAAATTACGGTTTCTTAATCACGATTGATTTTACAGCATTATATACAGATATCTATGACTGTTTTAATAGATATTTTTTCTGTTTGATATATAGAATTAACTATTTTAATGGGTCATATTTAAGATTTAAAATATTTGTTCAACTACACAACTTTACAATGTTATTGCTCTACAGATATCAACGAATGTTTGGATGGACCCTGTGGAGATCACGCTCTCTGTTACAACACCCCCGGTACCTACGAGTGTGTTTGTAACCCAGGTTACGTGATGACTGACGGCGAGTGCAAAGGTTTGTGGCTGATCCATATCATCTGAAGTGTCCTTGTGTAGTTTCTCACTATCAATGATTCTTTTACATGTATGTATACATTTCTTATATTTCACATTTATCTGTAACACAGAATACAGAAAAATATCGCATTAGTGAAATGAATGTGTTTGTAATATACGAATGTCAACATATTGAATAATAACACTGACGATAGCTACACTCTGTAATAAAGACCTAAACACACAAATTTCCACGGTCCTATACAGCTGGTTTATGGTTCTGTGTTACTCAGAGACGATTGTTTGAATTTGATATAAACTTTTTAATGTTCTGTGTTTCGCAGTTGAGTTTAATATCTTCGTACGAACAAGAGAGGGGAGGTAACTCGTATTTTACTGGCACATAAGATGCCAATTCGTGTTGCGGTGAATGTGTGACCAATATGTACTACATATCATAAGTATCGATTTGTCTACCCTATGAAGAGGACTGATATACCCTTTAACTGTTGCCTAATACCCACTTATTTTTTTTCATTTCTTTTTTTTTGTTGTTGTTTTTATTTTTTGTTGTTTTTGTTTTTTTTTTTTTTTTTTGTAAAATGAAATGTTTCCTTTTTATGTTCTGTGTCATGCAGATAGAGACGAGTGTCTGGATTTCCCTTGCCCCGGTAACGCCCATTGTAACAATACAGATGGCAGTTACCGGTGTAAATGCTACGATGGCTTCGCCAGTATTGGTGATACATGCGAAGGTATGTTTCATAACCGAATAATGTTTTGTACGGGGATACTGGTATAGGTTGACGTTAATTTTCTGTATCTGCATCGGAGTTGTTATATATTTAGGTAAAAACACAAAGTAAAATATAGATAGCACAGATCTGTACAATGCAAGTGTAAATATTTTATTATATATTTACACTAAAACTTTGTTAATTATTATAATGAACCGTGAAAATATATGCCTTACTAATCAAAAATGTTTACAATTTTATCATTTTTCTATATATGTACTGGAAACTGAGATTTAAACTTTCTGATATATTATTAGGAGAATAAAGGTTAGACAGGATACAGAGGTTGTTTATCCGTCGTGATCATTGCAGATATAAACGAGTGCGAGGAAAACCCGAGCACGTGTCCTGCTAACTCCGAATGCGTGAACATCGATGGTGGACACTTGTGTGTATGCAGCAATGGCTTCAGTAAGGTCAATGGCACGTGTGAAGGTAAATAGACTTTGTTGGGATAAATACTAACTCAAAAGAGTCATCACTATTTAGCAATAATACCTGCAACAACTTCATAGCTTAATTTTGGAAATTTTCTTTAACTTAAATTTGCCAGTAGAAAAGAATGACATAAGTTAAGAAAATTTCCTTAAATTCTAGATGTTAAGATTTCCTTAATTCCCTTAACTTAAATTTGCCGGTAGAAAAGAATGACATAGGTTAAGGAATTTCCCTTAAAATCTAGTTGTTAAGATTTCCTTAATTCAAGAAGGATTCGCGAAACTTGGACCTGCTGTTTCCAATAGTATGCCTTACATCTATTTCTTAGATAGGTACCACGAATACATCAAATTTTACAAAAGATGATACCTTACAAGCAGATATACCAGCAAAAGTTATGTATTAGTTATATGTAAAGAATAAAGCAATTATAACCGTGTTCTACGTGTAAATCTGCAACTTTTAGATGAAGCAACGTCGTTTTTTTACATAGTATCATTTAGACAATTCATACTAGGCCATAACAATACATGGTGTGTTTACATATCATACGAAGTTTGGTTGTAAAACGTAAAGACAAGAGGATTTAGGGTCAAAGATTATACGTCTAGTTTCTACAACTTTTGTTGAATATCTTTTTAATGTTTGAATTGCCAAATATGGAAGGATCTGTATGTCTGGTTGATTTCCAGACGTGAATGAATGTACAACAAGCGCGGTATGCCATTCTAACTCTCAGTGCAGTAATACTGTGGGTAGTTACCGATGTGTTTGTGAAGACGGCTTCCTAGATCAAGTAACCCACTGTGAAGGTCAGTACAAAGCACCTGTTTCATTCTGTATCAAGCTGAAAGTCAATATAAGTCATTGCCAGTGATATGATTTTATAGATTATAAATGAGGATATGATAAATCCTTAACTTACCCCCTTTTTATTTTTTTTTTAGATATAAATGAATGTCTCACTGGTGTTTGCGGGGTTAATGCAGATTGTTTAAACACCAAAGGGAGTTACCAATGTTCGTGCAAGACAGGCTACACAAAAATCAACAATAACTGCCAAGGTAAGCTTATTGATATTTTAAAATCTTTCCTATCATGGCGGGAGATTCGACAATTAATTGTACCTTGTTAATGTATGTATCAGTCGTGTTACTAATTGTTACTGATCAACACCGATACCGATTTCAGTGTATTATTCATCACAAGAACCTTCCGTGCTTCCTTTGTTCGACAGAAATGTTCTGTAAAGCTACGGTGAACCACGTGAAATGTTTTTCCTGTTTTTCTAACATTGTAACAGTACAGTACACTAACGACCTAACAACATTATATTTACAGATATAGACGAGTGTTTATACAGACTTTGCTCAGCTAATACCAATTGTACCAACACACCTGGTAGTTACACCTGTACATGCCATACCGGATTCATTGATATTGGAACGGAGTGTGAAGGTCGGCTCAATAAGCAAGTTCATAATACAAATCTACTAAATTTATTGAACTTTGGTTTAAGGATCAAACAAAAGAAACAGATTTTTATATTAGCATGTTTGCAATTTAGTTTGAAATCTCAGTCTGACACAAAGTCTTAACAGTAAAAGGCGTTTTTAGAACATTAAGATTGCACGACGTGTTAGAGTTACTTTCCTTGAATTACAGATATAAACGAGTGTATTACAGACCCTTCCCCGTGTCCCAGTCATTCCGATTGTGCCAATTCAGCAGGTAGCTTTACCTGTACGTGTAATACAGGTTACGTCATGGTGGATAGTGGAGTATGTGAAGGTAGGCACTGCATTCTCTCTTTATGTATTGCATTGTATTGTGTTAAAGAGGAAAAGGCCGTATTTAATGTCGCTGTGTTTCTTGAAATGTCTTATTTGGAGTACTTTCCATCACACTAAATAAACCCAGTTTACTCTATCATCACGTTATTAGAATTAAAAGTTTGTCAGGAATTGTATCCGTTTCTTAACACAAATCCGACTCGACATGACAAGTTATTTATTGTATGATTCAGATATAAATGAATGCCTATTGTCACCTTGTATGGAGTTTGCTTCTTGTAAAAACATAATCGGAAGTTACCATTGTCTCTGTCTACCTGGCTTCATCATGAACGGAAACACATGCGTCGGTACGTAACCAATGTTTTATGTACGTCAGTGTTGCCTAACTGATCGGTAGTTTGACAGCCTCCTCCGGGACGGTAGTACTTTTTCAACCTCTGTAATGCATCAAAAAAAATATAAACATAAACTTTATTTATTTTACAACAATTGCGAAACAAGTTATGACAACTTATGTCTGTAATGTATTAATAATACTTTGTAACTGCCTGGAGCTCTGAAGTATCAGAACTATTAGGTAATACAGTGGTATCTTACCATTCAGATATCGACGAATGTCCTCGCAGCCCGTGTCCAAGTCACTCCAAGTGTCAGAACAACCAAGGCAATTACACCTGTGTTTGTGAGAAGGGATTTTTCCAGAGCACACCTTACGAATGCATTGGTATAGATTTAATGAGTTCAATTCTGTCTTACATTATTCAGCGTATTATAAAGTAATATCCTTAAACGAAATAAGACGCGGCTGATTTTCTGTAAAAGTAAGCAAATGCACGTTTTAATAAACTACAGGCTTATTTTCAGGTTAGGCGTATTTTTGAAGATCGGATTGTTTTCGAGTTTTCATAGTTTTTAAGATATCTCATATGCCCTTGACAATATTTTGTTATAAAAGAAGTGAGTCAAGTGTGGTTTGCAACAAATATTTTACGTGTTAATGAAGCTGAAGAAACAACGTTATTTAATGTTTATCATAAAAAACGTTGTGATAACCAATTCATGCATTAGACTTTTTTGTAAGGTCAATAGCAAGGAATCGTTATATGATGCTATCACATGATACGTTCACAGATGCCAGAGTATTCAATACGTCTATCAAAGTGCTGAAGGTGAATGACAGTGACGCTGTTTTTAGTGACGAGTTGAGGGATGACCAATCGGAGTTACATACATATATGACAAGCTCGTTTAAATCATCGGTATGTGTTGTAATCACTTTCTGAAACGTTTTGCTATCGAGAAGTTTTTATTTTCTGAATGTTCTCTGCTACTGGAAAGTTCTCCTATATTTACATATGAAATTTAATTTGTTACATTTCTCCCGTGTAATATTTGTTTAGGTATCGGAAGTGTTCACAAATGCTGGATTTGAAAACAATTACCTTGGAACAAGGATAGAGAGATACGCTCCAGGAAGTATCATCATCTTATCAACCGTCTATTTCCGTACTGAGAGTACTGCTCAGGAATTGGACATCAAGAACTCCATTGTGTCAGGGATCCCCGTGTTGCAGTCAAATGGACTGGAGGTTCTTCCCGGAGACATACATGTATCAGGTGGGAACTCCGTATAGGAGACACGTCAACATTGAAATGTCCCTAATTTTATTTCTTTAATCAAAACATAAACATCATTACAACATTTGTTTTGAACCCGCAGACCATTCCACAACATACAGTGGGTAACATCCGGTCAGTATATCTCTACTGCATCATCACACTATAATGTGGGTAACATCCGGTCAGTATATCTCTACTGTATCATCACACTATACCGTGGGTAACATCCGGTCAGTATATCGCCATCACATCATCACACTATACTGTGGGTAACATCCGGTCAGTATATCACCATCACATCATCACACCATACAGTGGGTAACATCCGGTCAGTATATATCCTTCACAACATCACACTATACATTGGGTAACATCCGGTCAGTATATCGCCATCACAACATCACACTATACTGTGGGTAACATACGGTCAGTGTATATCTCCATCACATCATCACACGATACAGTGGGTAACATCCGGTCAGTATATCACCATCACATCATCACACCATACAGTGGGTAACATCCGGTCAGTATATATCCTTCACAACATCACACTATACAGTGGGTAACATCCGGTCAGTATATCGCCATCACAACATCACACTATACTGTGGGTAACATACGGTCAGTGTATATCTCCATCACATCATCACACGATACAGTGGGTAACATCCGGTCAGTATATCGCCATCACAACATCACACTATACTGTGGGTAACATACGGTCAGTGTATATCTCCATCACATCATCACACGATACAGTGGGTAACATCCGGTCAGTACATATCCTTCACATCATCACACTATACAGTGGGTAACATCCGGTCAGTACATATCCTTCACATCATCACACTATACTGTGGGTAACATGCGTCAGTAATGTTCACTGAGATAAGCTTAGTCGACGGATTGTGTTTGTCAGTTTATAAAACAAGTTTCCTTTATCTACAGCTATAAATGAGTGTGACAGCGATGAGTGGAATAGTTGTTCGCCTAACTCTACCTGTACCCAGTCGTCTGGTGTGTACGTCTGTACCTGTTTCACTGGATATATTGATATAGGTGTGGATAATGGACAGATCCCGGGATCGGCGTGTGCAGGTAATGACCACAACTTCAAACCTTTGGGGTATTACGGGACCAAGAGTATGCTTTCATCATTACGAACAGACCTGTACACATTTCAATCAATACTAATAAGGGGGTGTTAGTTTTGCACTGACACAATCACACACTTCTACTTTCAGTTATTGACGATAACAATCAGGACCCAATCTTGGGATTTGTTGTTTCTACTGACTTCTATTTCTACCGCTTGGGAGATGACGTGTTATTTACGCTGCAACTTTCCAGAGGCTCGCATGTCAAGTACACAGTTAATTACGGTGACGGAACAGTGAAGATGGTTGATGACCCGGAAGACCTTGCATTCATTTTGCCATTTTCGTTAACTCACAGGTTAGATACACTGATTATGATTACAGATCTGTCATTCGCTTACACTCTGATTTGGATTATTTAGCTCTATTACTGTTTAATTTTGTATCTACTGGTTCTATGACGGTTGAAATTTATAGTTTTTATTTTGTGTTGCTGCTGAAAAAAACCCTGTTCACTTATAAACAAAAACCTTTGGAAACAGCCGCTTCAACTATTTGTTTAAATTGTTATAAATTAATTCTAAAATGGAAAAAAAGAAACATTTATTCAATTTACTTATTTTCAGATACATGTCCGCTGGAAATTATACAGTTGAAATTTCTGCAAGCAACAGCATTTCCCAAGCTTCGCTTAGTCATCACGTCTTCATCCAAGACGGCATCTCAAGTTTCCTTTTGGATTGTAAAGAGCGAAACACGTCGTATCCGGGAGACATTGACTTTGTGTTAACATCCATGTCTTTGATCACTTTTGCCAACATCCATTTACACTGTGTGTTTGGCGATGGTAACACATTGTACGAGTACGTCGGTGACACTCAGTACAACTCGTCCTTCACCTTCACTCATACGTTCTCTCCGGGAGTTTACGAAACGACTTTAAACATATCAAACATGGTTAGCTTTCTTATGATAAAGAAGACATTTATCATCGAAGAACCCGTTTCAGGATTAACTGTCTCCAGTAATAAGTACGTTCTCTCCAAGGGAACCGAAATCGTTATTTCAATAAGGACATCAACAGGATCGAATATAACACTTCATATAGATTTCGGTAGTAACGAAACCACTTCCCTTTCACTAAACAACATTCGGCGTGGACAGTCATCAGTTCATATACCATTTACTTACAATGATATAGGTACCTATAACGTGACAGTTATCGCAAAAAATGTTAACTCTTCTCAAACGATGGTTTCTCAATTAATATTCGTCCAGAATCCTGTCAGAGACGTTGTCTTAGAGGTGCCTAATCCCCTAATATTGTCTCCCCCTGGTCATATTTATGCTGAACTCTCGTACGTCGGAGGTCAAGATCCGCCATCCCACATGGAATGCTTGATATTGCTGAATAACACATACCCCTCTAGTGTTTACATAGATATTATGGAAAATGCCAAACCGACCTACCTTAATTCGACTTGGGGTGGTTCTGAATCTGTGGGAGATATAGAAATGTTTGTCAACTGTTCCAACAAGTTAACGTCAGTACTTATGATCAATTGGATTACTATCCAAAGGAAAATAGAAGGATTATCTATTAACGTCAACAAGTTGTACATACCTGTAAATGGACAAGTTAATTTCGATTTCTTAATTGGCGTTGCATCTCATGCAAAATACGAAATATTGTTCAAGGATGGTCACGAGGTTTTGGGCGTGTTAGATCAAGATATATTCTACAATAGACAGATTTCACTGACGCACACATTTCAGCAGAAAGGATTATACCCAGTGACCTTCACTGTCAGAAACGCGGTATGGTCATCAATAGCTGAGGTTGATATCTGGGTATTAACAGAGGTTAAAGGACTGGCTTTCGTGAGATATTATGCTATGTCAGATAAGTTCGACCTACCAAACTATGGTCATGGTGATAGAAGTAACATATTTCCCCTAGAGAGAGATATCATTTTAAACGCCTCCGTGTCCAGTGGTAATCACTTGACGTTCGGTTGGAGTTTCGGGGACGGCGTATATTTAGAAACTCAAGATGAAGTTATGAGGCGAAAATTCAACAATCCAGGCACTTACAATATAGAACTGAACGCTTTCAATCAGTTGTTTTATGCTGTAACGGACGACGTCATCACCTTACAACAGATCGTGCAGTTTCATACTATAAGTAACAACGGTCCGAGTGATGCCTTTGAAATAATCACGTTCAAGATGGAACTAGCACGACCCGGTACAGACTCATGTTTTACTTGGAATATGGGTGATGGGTCACAAGAAACGATATACGGAGGAAGTTTATGTGAAAACATCGCGAGACGAAATAAGTTAAACTATGTTAGTTGGACGCCAGTTGAAGTTTTGGAACATTCACACATGTATAGAACTAATGATACTTTCATGGTGAATGTGACGGGTTTCAATGATGTGTCGACTCAGACAGTCACTGATTTAGCAATTATCAATAACATCACCTGTTTCTATCCCGACGTTCACATCGAAGGCGGGGGTCAGCAAATTGACCTTCCAGTCCATCATTACAAGTCCGAGAGAATTATTTTAGAGAGCACAGCAGAAGTCAACTGTAAGGCTTCGAAAGAGGTGAGCTATGACTGGAAAATTTACAAGATTGATGAAGGTAAAACGTATCTGGACTACGTATTTAATCAATACAACATTGACCTCGTACCAACTGATCGCTTTATCATGGTGTTACCACCAAGCACCTTCCTAGCCGGACACTATAAGATTGAGTTGAATGTGTCCATGTACGAGATTCACGGCCTCTCTTCTGTCGACTTTACGTACTTGAACATCACCGACACACCACTTTCTGCCAGCTTTGTCGGTGGCGTCATGCGAACCATCGGATTCGATACAGATGGTGAGTTGGATGTTTTGTCGAATACGTACGATCCGGATTTGCTCGACACTTCAAACAAAACAGGATTAACCTTTACATGGAAGTGCCGTTTGTCACACGAAACTTTTCCAACGGGCAGTTTACCAACTGTGGAGATTCCGACCATGGAGCAGCGACAAAACATGACTTGGGGACAAGGCTGTTTTGGAACAGGAATCGGCAAATTGGAGATGGAAACTGGAATATTGACGCTGAATTCGGCTCTATTTCAACCCAGATCTGAAAATGTTTTTGAGGTGATTGTGCAAAAAGATGAAAGGATATCGATTGCTGAACAAACTTTAATTGTCATAGATGGAACACCTAAGCAACTACATATCAAGTGAGTATTTTTTGTACTTCAGAATGCCCTTTCTTGATGAAGTATACCACTGTGTTCACTGTTTGAGACCACGTAGACTAAATTCAAAGCAAACTTTAAACTATCTTTAAAACCGCGTTGCACACATCGGTATCCTTTCACTTGTATATATTTATTTTAGATGTCGAGTGAATTGTAATTCCAAGATGAACCCGTCGGGTGAATTTCTCCTGGTCGGAAGTTGTCTAGATTGTAGCCCGTTTGATGACATCCAGTTTAGATGGTCCTTATCCTTGCAAAATCTGACCACGCTGAGTTTTGATGATGTCGTCGAACTTCCCGAGTTTGCAGAAGCTGGTAAGTCTAGACGTTAATTTTAGAATAAAGTTAACGTTTCTAAAATTTTAAGTAGCATTGAACTGAAAACGACTTCCCAAGAACTTTCTTATGTTTTTCCGAAGATTTTTAGACCCAACAAAGCAATTTCGGTCATGTTAACACATACGACATCTTTAAAATCTTTATAAGCTGATTTTTTATAAACCTTGCATTGTCATATACGCTGGTACATGTTCTTCAGTTACAGGTTTCATCACTTGAAAGGTGTTTTATCGTGTAAACATTGTAATATTTTTGAAGGTATTTCAAGTTCAGTGTTGTTATTGAAACCAGCGACATTGACCGGGGGTAGAAAGTATCGTCTTAAACTGGAAGCACAAGTACATGGTTACGCTGATTCCTTTACTGTATACGAGTTTGTCACCAATCTACCGCCATATGGTGGTATGTGTAATGTCATTCCTGAAAAAGGTGAGACCCGTTAAATAATCTATGCATTTATACTTTCCATTTCGTTATCAGTCAATTTAACGTACCATGGTACCGTTAGACAAATATTCCTCTCTTCATTGGTCATGGCACATATTGTCACTAATATTCACTACAAACCATTTATTTATTTCAACGACAAACAGGATTTGCTCTTGAAACGACTTTCACAATCGCATGCCACGGTTGGAAGAATCATGGCGAGGATCAAGAAAACTTGGAGTATACGTTTTGGTTGAGACCACTGGATAGCAATCACAATCAGCTCGTGTTCTACGGACGTCAGCCTTACACGCCCGATTCACAGTTCCCGCTCGGACCTAGCGAACACAACTATATCATCGACATCATCGTCAGAATCCAAAACCCGATCGGGGAATATATCGAAACACCACTCGAGGTTCAGGTACTGAAGAAGTCGATAGATACTTCAATATCAAACACCACCATTCTATATATAAATTGAAAACTAAAGCCACGTTTTATGTTATGAGGTGTACAAATGAGATATAATTCCACTGTATGATTGTATGGTGATCCACGTATACAATTTTGTCATCCCTTTGATCTCTGTTGTTTTCCGATATACTAACTTTTAATAAAAGGAAAACTTTTTTATTCATACTCTTACTCTGTAAATAATGTGATTATTTGTGCTGTTTCATGACACCTTGGCCTTGTACATTGGACGATGTATTATTCCATGTATCTAAAGGTGATGAATCCAACAAAGGAGGAAGATGTTGACTCGTTGATAACACTTGCCTCAGGTGAGAATAACGAGATCTCTAGTCTCCTGTCGTCAGGCAAGAGTCAAGAGGCTAAACAGCTAATCGTTGCCATGGTCTCCCTCATCAATGATGAACCGCTCAATGTGAGTACCATAATTCATGTTTGATTAATTTTAGTTAGAAAAATAAGTTGCACTATTGAAAAATGAATTGAATAAATATAACATTTTACGGTACCGCAAGTCATGTTTGCTTTTTGAATGTCGGTTTCCCAATTACAATAAATAAATGACTATATAAACACATAAATTATACATATATCTACTAGCTAACAAATACTTTTACCATTCGATGATTCAAAATCACATGTGGAGTTCTTTATTTACTAATATCAAGTGTTCAAATAAAGCAACATCGTACTGTCTTGATATTGTAATATGGATGTAGAAGAGATATACTACCGTATGTACACCTATTCGAACTGAAGGAGGCAATGGATTTGACTTGTACTGCAAAGTTTGAGGAAGTTTTCAATGTTACACCCGGTCCTGATTTACATTTGAGTTTGGGACAACGGGACAATGTTTATAAAGTGAAAGAAACGGTGTTGTGCCTTTGATGACTGTGTTGATGCCTTTTACCAAGGGATCATTGCATTGGGGTGGAACTACGTACCACTTTAATAATAATATTAGTGAAACAAGAAATAGACTTCAGTCACTGAGGATCAAATGGTGTGAATGTTTTCTGTTTTATAATCGCGACATGGACTTAGATATATATGTTGGTTCGTGATCAAAGTGGTATATCATTTCAGTATTAACCACCACGTAGTCATTGTCAGTGGTAATTTTAATATTGCATATCTCTATGAGGTAGAATTAATGTTTGTCGTCTTCACGATCAAAAAAGTTGGCGTGTATTTGTTTTATTTAACATGATATTACAATTAACTTTTACCGTAGCTCAAACTATATTTTGCAGATTTTTAAAAATAAGCATGTGGTCTGAGGTTGCGGAAACGCGTACTTTTCTCTTGACGCTAGAAAAGATAGATTTCTCTTTGTCTAATGAGTAATCAGTACAACTGAAATAAATACAAAGATTTATAGTACGATGTTATGTTTTTTTATCCGATAGAAAACAATAAATCGGTGTTTGCACTTTTGTATATAGTTTATTCACTGTACTTGCTTGTCTTTCAAGTCGGACGGATGTCAAAGGGTGTAATGTAGCTCCGACCTCAATTCAGTAATCACTTGATAATGAGGCATAGCCAACCAGAGACCTGGCCTTTTTGTAAGTGGCCTGTTGACATGTCTGGAATGAATCAACAATCGTTCCGGTCACCATAGTGTACCGTTTCGCTCTGAACCGTCAACTCAAATTCTAAGGTAAATCTGAACCGAATGCAAACCATCCATAACCATAATCAATGTTTGTCGTATATCGTTGTCAGTTTGCGGGACACGATCAGAGCGTACAGGAAACTGCCACATCAGTACATGTAACAAGCAACACAACGAACTTTAATGCCACAACCTCGGAAATCACCACTATAACGAGTACGACCGGTATTACCGGTACGACAACGGTCCCAACAACGGTTGATCCGGTCAAGGCAAAGCAGGACAAGGAGAAAAGAGAAGAAGAAGAAAAAGAGAAACGGATACAGGTACAGAATATAGTCAGGTGGTAACAATATCAAGTGTGAAGTTTTATGGAAACGGATGTTCCCTACCTCTTAGCACGATGGACTATTTTTCGGTGCTGAGAGTTTCTTACTCGGTATTTTTCCCAATTACGTTTGATTCTAAGAAGTTCCTTTTATGGTACTTTTTCTTTACCTTTTTGTTGCTTTTCCTATGTTATGTTTTACTTGTTTCCTTTTGGGTACGTTTCTTGTAACTCTTTTCCCTAGGGATTCTTTAAGGCACTTATCCTACACCTTTATTTACAGGACTAGGAGATTCTTTTTTAGGCACTTATCCTACACTGTTTTGTTCTAGGACTAGGAGAGTCTTTTTAAGGCACTTATCCTACACTGTTTTGTTCTAGGACTAGGAGAGTCTTTTTAAGGCACTTATCCTACACTGTTTTGTTCTAGGACTAGGAGAGTCTTTTTAAGGCACTTATCCTACACTGTTTTGTTCTAGGACTAAGAGAGTCTTTTTCAGGCACTTATCCTACACTGTTTTGTTCTAGGACTAGGAGAGTCTTTTTTAGGCACTTATCCTACATTGTTTTGTTCTAGGACTAGGAGAGTCTTTTAAAGCACTTATCCTACACCCTTTTCTCTTAAGGCACTTATCCTACACTGTTTTGGTTCTAGGACTAGGAGAGTTTTTTAAGGCACTTATCCTACACCCTTTTCTTTTAAGGCACTTATCCTACATTGTTTTGTTCTAGGACTTGGAGATTCTTTTTGGTCACTTATCCTACACAGTTGTTCTAGAAGTTTCTTTTCGATTTTCTTATTTACCATTGTGTTTTCTTTTTAAATACCTTTTCTGTATCGTTTAAACCTAGAACTTTTATTTTTGAGAATGTTTCCCATACCGTGTTTTACTCTGAGTTTCTTTTTAGATACTTTTCTTTAGTTTCTAAGGGTTTCTTTTGGAGTATTTTATTTTTTTCTTTATCATATTATGCTTAACGTTTCTTTTCTTATGCTTTTCCTACATGATTTATTTGTTAAAAACTTCATGTTTTATACTTGAAATGTTAATCTGTTGTCATTGGAACCTGTAATGGGCATTTATTTATTTGAATTATATTTTCAGTGAAGTATAGGGAATATTTATTGATGTCAAGATTGTAATGGTCATTTTGTTCTGCCTTGAATGGATTAAATATTCAAAGTGAGCATTGAGTTTCCATAACTTATTTTACATATGAGATTAAAGTGTTGAAAGTGAGTTGTTGGACAAAGATCTGGTGCACAACTTCAGAAGTGTTATCTTCTTTGATTTTGTTGAAAACTTATCATTGTTTCTCTTTTGTTTCTCAGTTTCGAGAGGTGCTGGCAAACACTCTAGAGCAACAGACAAACTCACAGTCAATAAACTCCCTTCAACAAACTGCCATGTGCTTTGCAATGGTGGCACACGCTACAACCGAGCTTTCCGATAACACGCAGGTACGACTAACTAACTAAAAACCCGAAATGCTCTCTGAACAAGCTAAGCTTTCTGAAAATATACATCTGCAACTTAAAAAAACAACTCCTTGAACAAGCCATGCTTGCTAACATACATGCATCCTTCACAGGCGGTGAAATGTGGATTATACGAACTCCAACTAGAGATCAAAGGTCAAATAACAACAAAATATTAGTTCGTTAATGTCTGGGCCTTATCTTCTAAACCATTATGGTTGTTATATTTTTTAAACATATGATATGTTAGTGTGGTCAAGCCAAATTTTTAATATGATACTATATATTCTCTAACGTTCTGAAAATTGTGGATAAAATCAAATAACTTGATTTATATACATGGTCAAATTGTAAAAATATAAAACAAGGAAATATGGCGTTTTGTTCACAAAAAAATGTATTTTGTTACATAATAAACAATATCAAGAAAATACGAATATGTCAGCATAATCTTAATCAGAAATCAAAATCAATCAAACTAGGGCAAAATATAAATAAGAGAAAGATTAAAATAGAGACTATTGAAAAAGTACAAAGAGAATAAGACCTGGAGTTTAGGAAGAGTAAGCGTCTTCTGCTTCGTCGATGACACCCGCCATGTTAATCTTGGTTCTCAAATAGGAGCAAGGGACAACAGAACCAACAAGTAACCTAACGAGCATCAAATAAGTCCAGCGTCATGAACTAGAAAATTTCTCAATGAGATAGTAATGACGACCGTAAAATCTCCCCATAATTTTCATCAATCTGCATCTTTTGAAACACTGTCACACGATTTCGTCCTTTAGTTGACGACTTCTTGCACGTAAATCTTGATAATGGAAACATGTCCTTGAATATCGAATCAACCACGACACATTTACACCATAGTTTGAATGCAAGAATGTTGCTGTCCAGAACTAGAGAATTTATAATTAGGAAATTGAAATCATCACCTTATCATACAGCCTGGTTAAAAGTTGGCCATATTGAATCCTTATAAGAAAATATTGAGATAAGTTGCTGATGTAAAAGAATTCGTAGTGTGTTTGATTTCCAGTTCTAGTGGATATATGCGATGGACGTGGTCAATAAATTTCTAGTTATTTAAAGACAAGAAACCATCCATATAGTCATAGTAAAATCAAACACGTGAACCAACCCATTTGTATGTGAATAGTTTGTTGGAAGATCTTGCTATTAAATGTTAAACATTTTTAAGTTCTGAATTCGTAGTATTAAAAGTAAAATCTTGTTTGCGATTATGCTGTAAATATATTCACCTTTTTATCATTCACATTGTATAATGTGTAGGATGGTATTAAGATGGTTGATACTATCACAAAGAAGAACATCTTTTAGATAAGATAATATATCACGAGGGATACGATTTGTAGTAAAGCAACATTATGTCTAGAGTGTTGATGAAACGGTAAACGAAGGTGAATGTTTACAGTGAAAAGCAACTACGCTATACAGTATTCTTGGATTTGTTGGGCAAGGAGAAGTATAATTATGTTATCGACATCGTTACCGATACAGTTCCTGTGTATGCATACATCATATTTATATCGTTTCAATGTATATGCATTTACACCATTTTTTATTAACGAACAGGACATCGTAGTCTCTTCAATGCTGATAATGGCCAACTCTCTCGACATATTGGTGGATAATTCCAAGTCTGAATCGATGGATCAAGAATGGGACACTGCAGTTGGTATGTAAAACTATAGTTGTAAATCAGGTGAAACATTGTTCGCGATATAAAATTTGAAATCTTAATTTCATTATTGTTCACATGTGTATATGTTTTAATCTAGATATGTTAGCTTCCCTTGGAAGTGTGGCAATGGCTGCTGTTGGTATGTCTTTAGAAGAGGTCGCCGTGAGCTCGCATGTCTCCGAAACACAACACACGCAAAGTCCTACACAGCCAGTAGGGAGCACCACTAACCTTAACACTACGCAGACGCAGTCGACGACAACCCAATCCACGCGATCGACAACCTTATCTAATAAGGAAATCCGGAGACAAAAGGTACACATTTTTCAAGAACATTAAAATAAAGGAATTTGACCGATGATTAAACATTAAACACTGGTAGCCAGAAACATAAAGTAGAAATTGATTTTGTCCATTTGTTTAATAATCGAAAAAAACTGGCGAATTGAGGTTAACCGTAACTATTCACATCAAATTTGGAATCTGATAATAAACATTAGAGATTCTCCGTAAATTAAAGAAATCTAGCTAGAGTTGTTAGACCAATCATATGAGGAAACGCTTTTCACATTTTCAGACAACGAAGGATTTGGGAAAGTGTTGTTGGAATTATTATTTCCCAATTATTGTCATGGCAACGCAGCACAATTACACACGGGAAAGTATTTCTTTGTACCAGTACTTCCCTGTGGTTTTGTTCTTGTCATTTTAGTCAGGAGTATAAAACTGACTTGACTAAAAAGTAAAAAAAAAACTGTGTCATTAATTACGGAACCGAGTTGTAACACAATTGATATTTCAGGTTAAGGAAATCGCTACTAAGGTTCTGGAGGTGACCGAGATGTTGTATCAAACCGCCATTAAGACACGTATACCTGGTGGTCCACCATTGCGTCTGGAGGCAGAACATTTATCTATGGTTGCCGAAAGGAGAGAAGTGAACAAGTTGGTCAGTGCCGTGCTGAATGTTACCAGCGGCTCTTTCGCGTTGCCATCATCAAACGAAATCATCAACGGCAGTGCGAATACATCCTATATAGATTCTAAGGTAACGTTAGAAAGTGATGAAATAGTGATTTATTATGACTGTGTCTGTTAAATATGTTAATTCAGTACTTATCATTATGTCAGTGAATGTATTGGCTACGTCAACATTTTCAAGCGCTCACTAAACGTGTGTAGAATGATGTCTAAAATTTGACAAAACTATGTCGTTTGTAAGATTTATTTTCTCTTATAATACCGGAATACGTTTTCTAAATTATCAACTTTTCATTAACATATTATTTGATGACACACTACAGCGCAACTTTCTATCGTTATATGCATACGTGATATGCGTGTTATCTTTGCCCCGGCTGTTCAAAATGCTGGTTAGAGATTGTCAGTGGTTAAAATTGTCAAGCATGAATTCAAAAAATCGCGGACACTATTTGTCACGGCTGTAGATTGGTGGTGATTGATATATCTTGAGTGCTACTTAAATGTTTTTGTTTGTTCGCTGGAAGCATTTTTAATTTTTTAACTAACCACTGACTAACTAACCTATGATCACCAGGGAAAGATGATTTACTCACCCAGTTGAAACATTAGACACTTTTCAATCCATTGGCACACGATATTAGTATTGGTTTGTAAATATTCTCTAACGTTCTTAGTAAAGGTTTCGGTTACAATTTTGGCGTCGTGAGTGAATCATCTTGTGGTACAGCGTTATATGTTTTACTACATTGACTGTAGTAAACATGTGACATGTGAGGGGATTGATATATACTTGTAGTATTTAATGGCTATTCAACAATAAGCTGTTCTGTTGTCCAGGTTTTGAGTGCAGCACAGAATACGTTCGTTTGGGACGACAGTTCCAGTAAGATAAAGACCCCAGTACTGTCTCTATCGCTATATGACAGTGACAAGAATGAAATCCCTGTAGCAGATTTAAAAGAGGAAATCGTTATCGACATAGCCATTCCATCTGGAAACTCTAACAATGTCCGAAGCGCCACCGTCTCCAACTTGGATAAGAAACTAATGCAATTTGTCGTAGAAGCGGGTTCGAATGAATCATCTATTCACCTGATTATCAGGCCTGAGGATGACGCACTGTTACAAGTGTATGTGCGGTACGGTGTTGCACCCACTGAGGAGACATATGATGCCGTATTTCTCATTCCCCAATACGACGCAGTTCCAGATGGTGTCGAGGACGACAATATGGCCGACGAACTTGCGCACACCATACTCATTACACCAGAGTTTATACAGGAGCATGGTATAGGATCTTATGTAGTAGCATTAAAACCTTTTGGTGAGTTATCATCTGTTTACCCTATTTCAAATATTTTATCCCATCTAACCGTATACACGATAAAAGACAACTGTTTGATTGGTAGCGGGATATTCCGACAATGGAATATAAGTTTTGTACTCCATTGAAAAAACATATTCGAATACTTTCTGTATTATACGTTACACATAAAATAGGATTATATTTATCAGTAAGTGATGTATTTTTACACAGAAAACGACACAGGTGAAGTTGAAACATATGATGAATACTACGCTGACTATTTAGGACCAACCATCAAAAACGAAAAAGCAGTAAACTTCAGTATCACGTATAGAATATGCGGATGCCTTTTCTGGAATGAAACAGCAGACAGATGGATGTCAGATGGCTGTAGAGTAAGTAGCGTTGAAATATTGACCCACGCTTACCTTTCAGAACACCTGGCTTTATATTCAGTGTTTAATTGGCATCATCGGGAATGATAACTGTCATTGGTGATAATGTTTCTTTCCTTTATAATATTATGTTCAAGTAATGTGTTTATGCATTGATGTTGTTTGTGTTTCTACGAGAGCAATGGTTGCTTCAGGATATTTGTTCGATTGAAATTAACAGATCCATCAGTAGTCGGCACTAACCTCTACTTTTGTTTTTTATTCAGGTCAGTCCGCTTTCGAACAGCAGATTTACAAGATGCCTTTGTAACCATTTGACATCTTTCGGGGCTGATTTCTATACACCACCTAACAAGATAAATTTTAATACTGTATTTGACAATCTGGGAGCAAAGATCGCAGACAACTGGGCAGTTCTGGCTACGCTATGCTCCATTTTTGTTTTATTCTTTATACTTGCTATATGGGCACGTCACAAAGACAAACTTGACATCGTAAAGGTGATACATTAATAAAACAGCATGTGTTTACTTAAATTGCGCTGTAAGTTTAATTCATAAGAGTTTTAACCATATCTGCTTTTGTATTCACTAAAATGGGAACTTATAAAAATATTATATGAATGTTTGATGGTGGTATTATCGTTGAACTAAGACATGTTAATGGTTGAGATGATAGGTTAGATAAATGCTATTTCAAACATGATAATTGTTTCAATGTCTATACCATTTTCTAACCAAGTGGGTCGATAATATGTTTATTATATAGGAAATTCTTATTTGCCATTTTCAGTGGGGCGTGGCTCCTCTATCAGACAACGTGGTCAGTGACCCGTACTTTTATCAGATCTCCGTGTTCACTGGTATGAGGAGGGGTGCAGGCACAAAGTCAAAGATCAGTTTTGTATTGGCAGGAGATAGCGAAGACACTGGTGTTCGAATCCTTGCCGACGAAAAAAATATCAAGGTATGCAAGATGTTCGTTCTTTGAAGCTAAATTTGAACTGTAATACGGATTAATGCATATATGGTCCATTTTGTGTGGAAACGGTTATTTTATAAGTTTTTCAGAAAGAAATCATGTATTTTTTGTTCTTCGATGCAGCAAAAGACGATAACCATTCCGGAACATCTGGTCTTGTTTTCTTTGTACTTCATCAGGAGTCTTTTTAAATATATTTCTTCTGTTTTTATTTTGTTTCTTGTGTTGAATTTGTGTTTGAATGAATGTTAACACGTGTCTTTTTTTCCCTACCTGTTAGAATTGTAGTCGAGGTAGTGTAAACAACTATGTGATGAGTACACAACAGTGGCTGGGACCACTCACCTACCTACGTATCTGGCATGATAATAAGGGAAAAGGAAAACACCAGGGATGGTACTTAAGCAAAGTCGTCGTATCCGACCTTCAGACAGGGCAGACGTAAGTGTTCTGCTAATTCTTAACTTATGTTACCTGACAATGTAAATTCACAGACTTTTTTTGTATTTTTTCAGAAGCGTTTGATTACAATGTCAAATATATTTAGATATGAAAATAAGATAAGTTACTTCTAAACATTCCAACAACATCACTGTTGGTTGGTTGACTGATTGTAAACGGATTTTTTTACCATTCAGTGTATTAAACTTTGTTTGATTTTATCTTAGGTACTTTTTTATGTGCAACCGTTGGTTGGCTGTAGAGGAGGAGGATGGAATGATCGATCGGATGTTACCTGTGGCTGGAAAGGAAGACCTCACGAAATTCAATACTCTGTTCCTTACCAAGACAAAACGCAGCCTGACTGATTCACATTTGTGGATATCCGTGTTCTCTCGACCACAGCGGAGCCATTTCACACGAGTGCAGCGTCTCTCCTGTATTCTTTCTCTTGTAATGACAACCATGGTAGCAAATGCTATGTTTTACAGATCGGAAGATAACGTAGAAAACAAAGAATCCTTCATTATAGGACCGTTTGAATTTTCACTCAGCGGACTTTACATAAGTTTTATTAGCAGTCTAGTTGTGCTTCCTGCTAATTTGATCATCGATAACATTTTCCGTAAAACACGACCTCGTCAAAACAAGGTAACTAATTCATTTGTGAGTAACATCCAGCCCTTGAGAACTCTCTCACAAGTAGACCTTAGGCCATGCAAAACTGATGATGACACCAAATTATCTGAGGTAACGGAAGACGATTTTGACGTCCAAAAGAACACTCTTAAAAGTGAATCCGCAAATACAATCAGTGGCGTATCTACCACTTCAGATACAGCTTTAATCCGTAAGAAATCGGTATCAAGGCCAGCAACTGCACGATCGAAACAACAGAAACCAAAATTCACTCTCCCGCCTCCATGTATATACATAGCATGGGTACTGGTATTTTTATCGTCAGTTATATCCGCTTTCATCACCTTCCTCTACAGCATGGAATGGGGAAAGGAAAAGTCGTTGGCTTGGTTATCAGCAATGCTTCTGTCCATTGGAGAATCAATCACAGTTATCCAACCAACAAAGGTATATATGATAATTGTACTTAAATTTCAAAATACAACATCAATAATCCAATAAAACTGCGCCAATAGATGTATAAGAACAGAAAATTCAATAGTCAAACCGCTTGTGAAATAGTAACTTAATTGCTGTTTGCAGAAACGGAAATTGAATAAGTTCTCTATTCGCAGATACCCATCAGAAACGATTGCTTTTAACGCCCGTCTTACATTTTTACGGGGCGAACTATATCATGTAGTTGTTCGTTCGTCTGTCCTTCTTGCCATCCGTCATAACGTTTTCCTTGTTCTAAGAAGAATATGACTGTAATATTTTACTACGCTACTTAAGAATTTAATGAAAATAAGTTATTTTGAACAGATCATCACAATTGCTGTGATAATATCTGCCCTGCTAAAGAAGCCGGACGTAGAAGAGGTCGAAGAAAATGAGGATACACCGATGGCTCCAAAACATGACGAAGAACTTCTTTTCACTAAACCAACCAAAGGTTAGCCTACAAGACTTATTATTTTTAATTGGGTAGTTACCAAATCATGAATGACCCTTAGATTCAACCAACGTATAATTTGCCATCGGTATTATAAGTATCAAACTTCAGCAGATCAGTAGGTAGAACGATAAACGTGGGTATCTTGAACTTTAAAGATAGAACATCGTCATAAAGTTGATAAGTATGATAGCAACATATTTCAGAATCGAAAACATTTATATCTGCCTTTATCTTAATAACTTTACAAGTAAAAAACTAGAAACTGAGAGATAGTGATGAAACCGTCTTCATAATTAAGTAAATTCATTATCATAATACCTCTAGTTAATGCGTTAAAAGACAGCGTTTATAATTGTAATAAATAGATATTTCGCATTACAAACAGGTACTGACCTAGCCAGTAATAATGTCAGATTACATACGGGTACTGACATAGCCAGTAATAACGTCAGATTACATACGGGTACTGACCTAGCCAGTAATAACGTCAGATTACATACGGGTACTGACCTAGCCAGTAATAACGTCAGATTACATACGGGTACTGACCTAGCCAGTAATAACGTCAGATTACATACGGGTACTGACCTAGCCAGTAATAACGTCAGATTACATACGGGTACTGACCTAGCCATTAATAATGTCAGATTACATACGGGTACTGACCTAGCCAGTAATAACGTCAGATTACATACGGATACTGACCTAGCCATTAATAACGTCAGATTACATACGGGTACTGACCTAGCCAGTAATAACGTCAGATTACATACGGGTACTGACCTAGCCAGTAATAACGTCAGATTACATACGGGTACTGACCTAGCCAGTAATAACGTCAGATTACATACGGGTACTGACCTAGCCGGTAATAATGTCAGATTACATACGGGTACTGACCTAGCCAGTAATAATGTCAGATTACATACGGGTACTGACCTAGCCAGTAATAATGTCAGATTACATACGGGTACTGACCTAGCCAGTAATAATGTCAGATTACATACTGGTACTGACCTAGCCAGTAATAATGTCAGATTGCATACTGGTACTGACCTAGCCAGTAATAATGTCAGATACATACGGGTACCTACCTAACCAGTAATAATGTCAGATTACATACAGTTATTTAACTAGAGATAGTAATGTTATTATATATACAGGTAACTAACCTACATTCGATATAACATTTCCATTGATGTCGGTTCTTCTTTCTATTCGTTGTAGCTCTGCGACCACTTGTGAAAGTAGACACACCAGATCCCGAGAAACTGAAAGAGGCTCGAAAAATTCGCCTGAATGAGATTCACATGCATCAGATTATCAGAGAAATTATCTTTTACTTCATCTTCCTGGCATTGATTTTATTAGTGGCTAGTCATAATAGGGATCCTAAAGCATTCAATGCAAAAACGGCCATACTCAATGTGGTTAACCCGAAAAACGCAATGACCAAGGTAGGAACCCGTCATACATTTTACATCGTTAATTAAAAGATCATTCTTCATGTTACTTACAAATCCTTGAGATAAGGTCAGGGACTATATCTTTATTTCAATATCTTTTCATTGTTTAACTAAAGGTGAGGACAGTGTCTGATTTTTGGGATTGGATGGAGAAGATTCTACTTCCAAATATGTACCTCACCCACAAATGGAACGGAGCTCCGGCTGATGATGAGGAGCAACGACTCATCTCTACTCGTACAGCATACCGCGTCGGGCCGATTCGTGTCCGCCAACAACGCGTAAAGAAAGGCAAAGTTCGATTTTATGTTATCCCAAGTTAGGTCTAGTTATTAAAGCGGCATGAGTGATTCATAAAGTTAATGTGCTGTCAGTTTGTAATGTGTAAGTAGTACTTTTATTGTGTTAAAGAAGATTGACATTTTGCTGAGGTTGAAGAGTAGTCACGTGTAACTTCTTTCTTTATTGATACATTTGCTTGTTGAATGTGACCAAAGACTTCACAGATCGAGATGTGTTTGTCATGATTCGATGATCATTTCAGATACTTTATAAATCATGCATTTGACATTGTGGTTGGTCGGAATGTATCACACTAGAAAGAAATGTCCACTGTAAGTGCTCAAGAGTAAAATCTTTATGTTAATGCACCTAGTTTATATTTGTATACATATTTTGTTGATTGAATGGTATTGTAATCTTTATTCGCCATAAAAGTCTTATGTTGATATAGTTTTCCGAATAAAACAACTTCTTAATGTACGATTAGGTCGCATTGAACATTTCAGTATAAAAAAGTCTCATGTTTTTTCCCAACAAATTTTGGAACGAAATGTCTTTTTACAATTCAAGAAGTATTATAGAGCTCGATAAATTGTATTTGCAAAGGTGGATGACAAATCGTACATTTGGGATATGATTAAGAATATTGTATTAATTTTTACAGGTGGTTGTAAAGTATCTACGTACATGCGCAATATTATCGACAGTTGTGCAGTTGATTGGGACAATGATGATGCTGACAACGACGCTTATAGGGAAGCGTGGCACAAAGCTACAGCAAATGAATCGTTTGATCACATTGTCAACTATCCTTGGAAGTACCGCCCGTTCTTGGACACGGGAGGACTACCGTATGCCGGGGAAATTGGTGTCTACCCAGGTGGAGGGTATATAGTGGATTTTATAGGAAAGAGAGAACGAGCTTTTCAGTTTCTAAACGAATTACGTCAGAAGAACTGGATAGACAGATATACACGTTCAGTGTTTCTCATGTTCACGGTCTATAACGCGAATATAAACATGTTTTCAACACTTAACATCGTATTTGAAATGCCAAACACAGGTGAATTTATGGTGAAGGAAAACATCCATACCTTTCGCTTGTTTTCTTACCTGGGAGGATACGGTATATTTGTTATATTCTGTGAGGTATCGGCGGCTATTAGCGTTATATACTTTTTCGTCAGAGAATGTAAACGAGTTCGAAAGGAAAAGCAGAACTACTTTAAAGGGTTTTGGAATATATTGGAGCTGCTGACAATGATGACGGCATTGGTTTCCATTATCATGTATATCATCAGACACTTTATCACAGCTATTGCCGTGTCTAGTGTGACGAAGCTCCGAGGTAAGTGACAAAACGCTACAAACACAATGTCGAACATATGATACATCCTCTGGTATAGTGTGCTTGATACGACATGTATCTGAATATTTCTAGCTTTCTCATAGCCATGTAGGTAGTTGGTCTGTATATGTTGATGTTTACGAAGGCTACACTAAGATATGGTGATCTTAATGTTCGAAAAAGAATGAAAAAAACTGTAAATTGAATTATCACACTTTTAAAGGAAGTTTATTTATTCAATAATACGAAACAATAGCAATATGAAACGATATGATTTTTTAAATTCATTTTATTTTTATTTTTTGGAAAAGACCGATTGAATCCTTGGTGTATTGGTAACTAGCCATAGATTATGCGAGTTTCACATCATTGTCGTACCAATTTTAAATCGCCTTTGATGTATTAGCCTTGAATTAAAGACGTCTACGAGAAGTTCTGCAGCATGTTGCATATCTAACTTCAAGTCAATCGCGGTCATAGAACCATGATATCTAATTACGGTCACTGTTGAATAATGTTAGCCTCAATTTGGAAGTATCGAGAAATCGCTTATGATATATCATTTCAGATAGATTCTACAATTTTGAAAAAGTCGCCATGTGGGATGAGGTCTTCGGCTATGTGATGGCATTTACTATCTTCGCGTCCATTATCAAGCTTATTCACATGTTCCGTTTCAACAGAAAGATGTCAATGATAGCAGGGACACTGAAAAACTCTACGAGTGACATATCCGCTTTCTCTTTTGTATTTCTTGTGTTCCTATCAGGATTTGCAATATGGGGATATATTATGTTCGGGCGGAACATGGCATCATATAAGAGTATGATTCAGTCCATTGAAACCCTACTTGCATTTTCCTTGGGAGAATACGACTACCTGGCGCTGGTCAATGCAAATAGAATCTTTGGACCATTGTTTTTCTTCTCATTTTTCCTCTTCATTAACTTTATTCTTCTAAATGTCTTCGTCACAATCCTGAACGAATCCATCTCTGCTGTGAGAAAAGATGTATCAAAGCAAAGCAATGAGTTTGAAATCGTGAGTTTCGCTTGGACAAGGTTTAAAGGCTGGATTGGAATTGATTTTGACAGAATACTGTTGGACGTGCAAAGGAAATACATGATAGGTAAGATTATTCCTTACTTATTAAATCGGCAATAAGCAATTCATTTTCTGTATTGTTAAGAAAAAGTAATTTTAGAAACGATTAAAACCAAGATCACAATCCATTTGCAATGGCTCGTTAAGCTGTTGTCAGTTTTACTTGTATTTGTGTGTGATTATATCGTCTGGTGTGAGGTATTTAAACATTCTGAAAATTACAAATTTTATTATGTTGCAAGTACACCTCCTTGTCTATATTTCAATCCTAATGCCAATTATATTTTCTTAACAAAACATATGTTTGATGCATTTTAATTTCTTATCTGCAGATATTAATTTATAAAATTATAAAATAATTCATATTATTATAAATTTATAATGAAAGTTGACTTGTGTCATTACATGATCCTTTGTTAACACCCAGTATAATCCATGATATGTATTGTCTTAATATACACGCCAATATACCAGATGTATTTACCCTCAGGTAAAAACGACGAGAAGCCCCCCACCATTGATGATTCTATGAAAAACATCGCCAGTAAGCTGGATACTATAATCAGTCGGCTAGAAAAACTAGATAAAGAAGAAAGAGACAACCAACAGACGGATGGAGGACAGAGACAGGCATCCCCTCAAATCATCATCCGTACTGATACTCCACTGTTTACCAGGCTTTTCCCAACACTTGGCCGCCAGAAGATCAATCTTGAATAACAAATCAATGATCTGTTATGATAAGAGGCAAAGATGTACTTACATGCTGTGCAGATCCGTTTTATCTTAGCACCATTCTATCGCCTCCTCGGTTCAAAATGAGCTTTCACAAGCTACAAGATTTTCTAATTTAAAGTCTTGTTTTACAAAAGTATCTTTAGCTTGGTAGAGTTATTCTTCCGACCTTAACTTATTGTGATAATTTCAAAGACAATGAAAATGAATATTTTCAGCATAAAGCCGGGCCGCCATTGTCACTCGGGAAACGGTACAAAATGCATCAACGCGTTGTTATAAAACTATTTTTCACTTTTCGTGTTCCTTTCTGCTGTACAAAATTCACATTAGGAACTGTCATTGATAGTCAACATTAATTAGCTCCGAAAAAAACTTATTAATATTTCAAGCCTACAAACGTTCTTCTAACATGACGATGGACATGGAAAAACTATTCTTTTTTATATCATTCTTTCATTTCCTTTCACGTGACTATTTGTTTTATCGGAATGGTATTAGTTACAAGCGCAATAATTGGAGGAAGCTGTGTATATAATGACGATATACAAGACAAGAATAACCAGGTATACGACGGTCTCACAAAAGCTCTTATTTCTGGCGGTAGTTGTCATCATAAAATATCAAGCCTCTCCATGTAATGATTTTTTCCTGATTTCAATAAGATGTTTCAAGGCGAAATACGGAAAACTTCACTTAAGAATATTAAATAAAATTACAAAGATTGGCGCCATTTTTAAATTATTATCTATATGACCGAAGTCTGGAGAGCAAACAAAAATATAAAACATGCTAACTCCCTGGGAAATCATCTAAGTTAAGAAATTAACTCCACTGAATTGCCACAATGTTGTCTATTCCTTGGCTTATCTTATAATTCAACCAATCGGGTTTGGAATCGTAGTAACATAGTATCATAATGTTCTCATCTCTATTATGTTCGTGTTAAGTTCATCAACCTTATCTAAGTTAGTCGTAATGTTTTAGCCATCTCAAGTACATAATGGTTTTGAAAGGACTAATAAAATCGCATCAGCTTCATTATTTCTTTTAACTATTTGAAAGGTCTGTGATATTTTTGAAAATCAGTAATGTGATGTTTTTGTCATATGGTAAGAACGGGGGTGATCTGTAATAAGAAAAGGACATGGTTTCTGTGTCACAAAAACTTCTCAATGCCATGCGGGTAGACTTTGTATCTCGGGTACATCTTTTGTCCAAAGTATCATAAAATTTCAATTTTATTTTCACTTAGATATTCATGGATATGAAGGGAACACGGCTCAACTAATATGATGGATGCATGATCTCGATCAAGGCAAAAATGGCAAGCAGTGTAATCAAAGTCTAAAATCTGAATAAGGTTAAAAATCTAAATAAGGTATAAAGTCTAAATAAGGTATAAAGTCTAACTAGGGTATAAAGTCTAACTAGGGTATAAAGTCCAAGTAGGGTATAAAGTCCAAGTATGGTATAAAGTCTAACTAGGGTATAAAGTCCAAGTAGGGTATAAAGTCCAAGTAGGGTATAAAGTCTAACTAGGGTATAAAGTCTAAGTATGGTATAAAGTCTAACTAGGGTATAAAGTCCAAGTAGGGTATAAAGTCTAAATAGGGTATTAAGTCTAAGTAGGGTATAAAGTCTAACTAGGGTATAAAGTCTAAGTATGGTATAAAGTCTAAGTATGGTATAAAGTCCAAGTAGGGTATAAAGTCTAAATAAGGTATAGAGTCTAACTAGGGTATAAAGTCTAACAAGGGTATAAAGTCTAAATAAGGTATTAAGTCTAAGTAGGGTATAAAGTCTAAATAGGGTATAAAGTCTAACTAGGGTATAAAGTCTAACTAGGGTATAAAGTCTAACTAGGGTATAAAGTCTAAATAGGGTATTAAGTCTAAGTAGGGTATAAAGTCTAAATAGGGTATAAAGTCTAACTAGGGTATAAAGTCTAACAAGGGTATAAAGTCTAAATAAGGTATAAAGTCTAACTAGGGTATAAAGTCTAAATAGGGTATTAAGTCTAAGTAGGGTATAAAGTCTAAATAGGGTATTATGTCTAAGTAGGGTATAAAGTCTAACTAGGGTATAAAGTCTAAGTAGGGTATAAAGTCTAAATAGGGTATAAAGTCTAACTAGGGTATAAAGTCTAAATAGGGTATTATGTCTAAGTAGGGTATAAAGTCTAAATAGGGTATTAAGTCTAAGTAGGGTATAAAGTCTAACTAGGGTATAAAGTCTAACTAGGGTATAAAGTCTAACAAGGGTATAAAGTCTAAATAAGGTATAAAGTCTAACTAGGGTATAAAGTCTAAATAGGTTATTAAGTCTAAGTAGGGTATAAAGTCTAAATAGGGTATTATGTCTAAGTAGGGTATAAAGTCTAACTAGGGTATAAAGTCTAACTAGGGTAAGAAGTCCAAGTAGGGTATAAAGTCTAAATAAGGTATAAAGTCTAACTAGGGTATAAAGTCTAAATAGGGTATTAAGTCTAAGTAGGGTATAAAGTCTAAATAGGGTATTATGTCTAAGAAGGGTATAAAGTCTAAGCAAGGATTAAAGTCTAAGTAGGATATTTTGTCTAAATAATGTGTAAAGTCTAAATAAGGTATAAAGTCTATTTAGGGTATTAAGTCTAAATAGGGTATAAAATCTAAGTAAGGTATAAAGTGTAAGTACTGTTCGCAACAAATACGTTACATTTCACATTTACCTATAATACTATCGGAACCCGCTCTTGTCCTCTATATGTTGTCCTTGTGATTGTCACAATGTCTTTTACATGTTGTACACCTGCTGTAATACTCTCTGTTAAACTGTTACGACGCGCCAGTGGAAATCGAAGGAATAGAGTTGGATTGATTAAAGATACATAATTAATAATCACATAAGCATGACGAATATACATACGTTATAGAACTTACTGACAAACACACGAGGCAGATACATATTCTAAACAAATGATTGACGGAACTGACAGATACACTAGACGGATATATATTGTCATAGGCACCAGACAGACTTCGCAAACAAACACAATACATGAATGATTTTCCAAAGCATATGAATGACCAACGTAAAAGCACGCGAAACTGATCGAAAGATTGGTGTGCAATTGAGAGCTGATTGAGATACTGGCAAATAAATGAGCATTGAAAATCAGAGAATGATGGTTTATCTTTTTCTTTCGAAATCCGCACTTAGATATTGGCTGATACTCGGAAGCTAACGTGAAGAAGAGAATAGATGTAAATCCGCACGGCTCTCTCTCTCTCTCTCTCTCTCTCTCTCTCTCTCTCTCTCTCTCTATATATATATATATATATATATATATATATATAATGCAGTTCCCTTTTGCTATGAATTGCTTATGCTATTTAAGTATGTATGCAGGTAATACTTCAACTAAATTATCCATATCTATTACATATTACTTTAGATGAGAAGTAATCAATTAACGGCTTTCAGTGCATTTTTGAACCCACAGTTCTGAGGAGGAAAAAGGGCAAATTATGATAAGCGAGCTTTCCTTCGCAAATTAGTTTTAGCTAATATATAATAAAGTTTCATCTCCTTACTTTCAAATCGTAAAATGAATCAACATTAAACTGTACAGACAAGAAAAACGACTAATTCAAATGCTTTATTTCTAACTATGAAACAATTACAGTTATTCAGTTTAATAATATCAAAATTTAATTTGGTCAATTTAAGATAAAGTAAAATTTAACGGGCCAGTCTAAGACGATTAGAAGATACATTTTGAATCAATTTTGATTATTTCGAAATATGAAAGATTAACATTACAGACTGGAATATTTTGGTGTTTCCGATCGTTCGGAAAATCTAAACAATTCTTTTTTTTTTTTTTTTTTTTCTTTTTCTTTGAACACGTGAGAGAACATTTGCGTGCTTGTAGACCAATATCCTGATTGAGAATAAAATACCATAGCAATTCACCGAATAGGGGTTGTTTATATAAGGACGAATCTGACCCCGAAATGATTATTCATTTAGAAAAAAAAATTCCTCGAAGAATGCATTACTGTTGAAATAGATACATAGAGTCAACAATGACACAAATAATCCATTTTCATCATATCATGACAGTTTATAAAACGTCTGTATTAATATATAGAGGAATACCGTGTCTCGGTGAACTTGTAGACTAAGATGAGACTAGCATGCATTACATCATAACCAGATCTAAGTGGAAATCTCTAAACAATCCTATATCTACAGGTGAAGGAATATATTTCTCAGAAATAACGAGTTTTGTCTTGGTAATTATGACTTTCGCAATGAGCAAAATAGTGGTTTGATTTTGATGTTCATTGTGCTATTATCTTGAATGATTATTTTAAGGATTTGACATTCTAAATTACAACTGACACTTTTGGCTGCTTGTGTTATACATAGCAATAGTATTAGACGAAAGAACAAAACTATTGTATTATTTTATTAAGATTACTTATTCTCCTGCTTCAAACTCAGCAGGGTCGTCTTTAACAACTGTAATAAAAGTGATTATCCGTACAAATACATCTATCTCGATACCAGGTGTCGATTAAGATCAGCTTTGTTCTATACAGTATTATTAAAAGTTGTGACGTGTCCTAAGAAACACTATTTATATCAACACTGTTTAAGTCAATCCTAACACAGCCTTGATCCTCTTCCACATAAATGATACTATCTCATAGTCGTTGGTGCTTTGTTCGACGTTAGCCTTGACCTCTGTGAACGCATCGCCAATGATGGTGAAGAACATGCTCATTAGACCGACGTAAACGACACCAACGAAGGTGAAGAAGAAGAGAGGTCCGAGCACTTTGTTGACATCAGCCATGGCAGCAAAGTCAAAGCTTCCAAGGGTAAAGGCAAACATTGACTCCGCAGAACCCAACAAACTGGAGTAAGCTAGAATGGAAGTTCCAAACAGAAGATGGCCACAAGCTGTAAATGCGAAGAAATATAACGCAAAGGCTATAGAGAAAACCTTCAGGTCCTTTGTGGCTACTTTGATAGTATCGCCAAGCATATTCATTTTCTTGTTGAACTGAAGCAATTTCAGAAACTGGACAGTAGCCAGGAACACAACGCACGCCATCATCCAACCAAACAGTTCGTCATACATAGCCATCGACTGGAAGTTAACGTAGTCGGCTGCAAAGGAGAGGTTAGAGATAAAGGTAAGGTAAATTCCCTCAACATAATTTCGTCGGAGAAAAAACTTTATAGGCAAGACACGAAACTTTTCTACGGTAAAACACATAGATACAGCTTAGTGTACAAGTATAAATACGAAAACACAGGGAAAAATATACCAATAACATCGTGTCAGAATTCAGTTCTTACACTAAGTCAAGAAAAGTTATCATGGGATAACAGTTCACGTGCCACGTGTGGTATCTCCTATACAAAGCTAATCGAGTTTGAATTTCAGAATGATACACATTAATAACCAGAAAGCATGCCATGCTCTCATGACTTATAGCATGACACAGTTAACACCACTTAAATCTATTCCCAAACCTATACATACCCTTGTCGGGATCCTTCAGTGCACGCATTGTCAATTCGGATAGAATTTGTTTGAACGCATACATAGCGATGACAGCAATACAGAAACACAGAAGAATGAATTCTAAGAGATTCCAGAAGCGGGCGAAGTACTTCATCTTTTCCTTTCGTAATTTCTTGATACAGCGTACGAAGAAATACAAACTGAAGCATGCGTAGATCACTTGGAATATCATCACGAGAATACCGAAGCCGCCAACATAATTCAGCAGCCGAAAGACCTGGAGGGAAAAATGGAGAGATTGTTAATGGGGAGATACATGCAATAGAAATAGCAACTATCAACCCATCCAAGATTGGTAACCGCTAGACGTGAAATGGGCTAGTTACTTTTTCATCCACAGTTAAAATACTAAAGCGACCTCCAAATCAAACCGTTGTCTGTACGTACATAATGAAAACAATATGCCAACATTTGTTTCCTTTAACCAATGATAACAAGGTATCAATAATTTTATCAACAAAATAAAAACATTTGATTGATATTTAACTGATATCGGATATTTTTCAGGAACTTGCGAGTCCAACGTTAATGAAATATCATACCTTGAATTCAATCCTTGCTACTGCTCCACCGGAAGAGATAAACTCGGTTAGTAAGATGGCAGAACTAAACAGGTTAATGTTAGGATTATAAACAGCGAATTCCAGGAAAACTCCCCGAGTATACACATCCAGCCACACATCCTTCTTCAGTTGTTCAACGATCCGTTTCGTCCACGTGACATTGCGCTCGAACATAGCAACATAGCCACCTCCCTTATAAGTGGAGATGGTCCCTATATAAGGAGCACTTTTTAATTGGATCGAATTTTGGTAGATCCATGGTGATTTTTCTTCCCTCAATGCGGTGATATTTTCCTTAGGAGGTTTTACCCAGCCTGGGAGGTAGTGTTTAGCATCGTCGTCTGTCCACCCGTACTCGTCACGGCAGTGCTTTATAATCGTGGATAATTTCGGATTTACGACGCAGGTATCTGTAAAAGATCCAAGGGTCTAAATACATAATATCCGTTATATTGAAGTAAAGATATTTCATATCTTAAATATATATGCATATCCATGGAAAATATCTAGTTTTATCAAAATTTATTTATTGTTGTGTTAAAATACCTAGAAATCACTAACGGAATCAATCTTAGTATATGTTTGTGTAGCTGATGTACATCAAATTATCAATTTTGATGTTAAACATAACATGATATCCTAGCGAGCTACAAGATGAACAAAATTACTTCAGCCATCTTGTCTATGTTGACGGAAGATGGCCAGATCTGGTGAAATAGAATATTTTAAATTTTGCTACTCTAGGCACTATAAAAATATTTGAAGACATAGTAAAACAGCCCTCCTGGTTCTTTTATAACACACACTATGTTTATTGCTGTGTTTATCTTATTTGGATATCATACTCTCTTGTTTACAAACGACGGGAACAAAGATAAAACTGACCTTCCTTGACCCTAAGTTGTCGTAGACGTGGCAAGCCAACACGGCGAGATTCCATGTCTTTTATACATCGTTTGTCCCACCATGGTTTTATTTCTGATCCGTCGGAATATTGAGTGGCGTATAAGTTGGGGATCAGTTTATTCTCGAGCCAATTCCAATAGTCAGAGACAGTAGAAATCTAAAAGAGAGACATTCGGAGACATAATGTATTGTACTGATGTCAGAGTTTATATCCTAGTGTTTTGTGTCCTTCTTAAAATTATTGGTATTGGTCCAGATATGTGGCTTAGGAAATGTGTACATCTTAACGTTATAGTTGTAATTTGACGTAAAGATATCAAGTTGTTCCAATGCTCTGTAGGGTGTTAAGATGCCTGTTATGTCTTTTCCAATATGTATGTATGTGCAAATATAAGCCGGTCGTGACTTGTTGGGTGTTATTTTTTGCCTATTCAGAAACCTTGAAAATTCATTAAATATCCGCTAAAGGACATTATCACTGATGTTGAATGATAGATAGTGAATGAAGCCCTACCGTTTAAGTAGCTTCCATTGCCTATAGAAATTGAAGATTTATAGAAAATATATACACCCCAAAAGCACACTTGAGTACGGAATGAGCCCTAAATGTAAACATGAGTGATGTCTGTGTTCTGTCTGACATCCAGATGTCTGTGTAGGTTTCCGCCCGACGTATAGATATATGTCGTGTGCCCTGTCGACGAGTAGATGTCTTTAACGTCACATATCCGTGTCAAGTGTCATACCTACCTTCTCGAATCCGCTACCGAGGGTAGTTTTAAGGTTTTCGGCCATTAGGAAGGAATCCGAATCTCGAGTCTGATAGGATAAGAAGAAGAGGATCAGCACAAATAAGGCATAGATTCCTATCTCCCTGACAACCTCTTCCATTTTAAGTTCCATCATTCGTAGCTGTCTTTGTTCCTCTAGTGTTTTCACATCTGGAGGTTTGAATTCGCTGTTTTGAACCTTTCTTCTCAACGCGATTTCTGAATAAACATAAAGAAACAAAACCGTCTTTGAAAAAACATTTTAATGTATAACACTTTATCTACTCTAATCCATATGCTATTAAAATTGGCTGATCGTTAGAATTCCTGCTGAGTTCATGAGGGCTTCATGTGGGACATTATTGACCTGACAAAGATTGATAAGGTGATCGTCTTGAGTGAAGCAGAAGACGATAATCTTTTGAAACACCTGGCCATATATTCCTTGTACATTTTTCAAGTCTCTCGGTTTTGGTTTTTCTTTCAACCATACATTGCCTTTTTTAATCAATGACGAAGGTGAAAATTTAGGAACAGTTCGCTACCTACTTCTTGGTATAGTGTACTCCGAAGGCATCGTTTAGAGAAACAGATCAATTGCCTTACATTTTTAGACACCAATAGCACGTATTGATTCACACCACTTTGAGTATATTGCCACTACACTTAAATATTATACACCCCAACGGCAACTAATGAAATAGTCTGTACACTGAATATCCTTATGCGTTTTCTTTGAGATGGAACCCGATGATCAAATCTCAAAAAATTAAAACAATCAATGATATCACTTTATCACTAAGGCAACATGACTTAATGTACGAAATCTAGTATACATATTAATATATTCTATTTGGTGTTAACGTTTTTTTTTTCAAAGAAAAATGGCATGCATACACTAAAAAGAGGTACATGAATTAAAGGAAAATGGAAACTGCTTTGCGACCTAAGGGCAGCGAACATAAAAGACAACGATAAGAAGAATCAAATTAGCAGTTTCATTACCTTTATCTTTTACAAATTTAGCTCAATTTGTCATAAATGAAGGTAGATGAGACACGGAGTAATTAATGAACGTTACCATCAATAGCAGTGTTACTCTTTGCCATGAATTCCTCGTCATGAGCGGCTATCACATTGTTTAGATCCTCTCCAGGGTCTTCGTCAGACAGATCTGGTTTCTTGAGGACACAGGCAATGAAAGCAACCAGGCAGAACACCTACAATGAAACAGGTAACCATCCATGAATCAATGAAATGAGAAAACAAAACATATGTCTCATTTGTAACTTTTACAGACCGTAATACTTTGAGCAATATGCAAAAAACAATGAAACAACAACTAGAGGCAATGACCCCTATCACAATGGTGAGATGATTTGAGAGGGTGATCCCTACTGAAAAAACTGACTTGAGGGAGTGGTCCGAACAGAGATACTGACCTGAAGGGAATGGTCCCTTCCGAGATACTGACCTAAAGAAGTTGTCCGTACTGAGAAACTGACCTGAGAGAGTGACCCGTAGTACTGAGATAATGACGTCGGGCGTGGTCTGTACAGAGATATTGAAGTGAGAGAGTGATGCCTACCTTGATTGGTTGGACGACTATGACGGATTGGAAGAAGGACATGAGGAAGGTTGTTAGCCATTCGTTTGCCTTCTCTGGTCCCCATTCCATACTGTACAGAATTGTGAAGAAGCCGGACGACGTGATACTAAAGAAACACACTGTCAGGAACACAAAGACATGCTAAGATCAATTGCTTATTAAGGTTTTTTTACCAATTGGTAAGACATAGGTTTATTGTCTATATAGTACGTTGTAGGTACGTATCTGAACGTGTCTAATAAAATATGTCAACTAAGAAAGCTCGCTGTTGGGACAAAGGTCAAAGTTTTTATCTTTTTCTCTTGTTTCTTTTGAAACTTTCTTTCACAGATCGATGTAGATGTCATTCCGATGAATTAAATGTCTTCAGTGATTCTTTATTATTAACCATTAACGTTTGACGCTATTTTGAATATTTCCTTTGGTTTTTTGAAATGCCGAAAGATTGGTAAAACATGTTTCACCTTTGTATCAGTTAGTAAATCTTGTTTAATTAATAGGGAAAAGTTTTCGCCAGATGTACTCTACCATTTAGTTAGAGTTTCAACTTCATCGGAAAAGCAAAATGGCTGCTATCAGACTTTATCTTTAATTGTCATTTTTAATCAATGGCTTAATATATTGTATTTATCTTTTCATACGTAATGTAAAATAACAAATAAACAACATTCTTAAGAAACATTTTTTTTTTTGGTAAAATGACAACTTTCAAGATATTGCCTATCAAATTTGCTAATATAAATGATCTTGACCCAAGTCACAGAGGTGAATTATGTAAAAGTCTTTAAGTACTGTTTTGATCAAATGCTAATGAATGTATCGATAAAGCCTTGTCTGAACATTCAACTTCCGGTTTTGATTGGGATCAATGTTAAAATAGCTGTTTTGGGTAACAAACTTTGAAAAATATCTTCTCAAGTTCCACAGTCAAGAATATGGATTCTTTATATGTTCTATATCCGTCTTATTATCTATCAGGTTATGAAATATGCATGACTTTTACCTACCTCAAGGTCACATGGGGTCAATTTTGTTAAAATTAACAAATCACTGCTTTTCAGTAGCCAAGAGGTACAAAGTGATATTTTGTCATTTGCATAATGCGATCAATTACTATTGATATTAGTCAAACATATTGTGTCAATATTCAGTTTTCGGTAGGGTTCGATCTTAGTCAGTTATTTATCGGGTAAATCAAATAGATAATATAACGTTGTACAGTGTAGTCTAGATATTTAATATATAAATTACTTTCAAGGTTGGCTATTATGTTTGTGGAAATAATTGACCTACGAGGTAAGAGGTTTAATATAGGTGAAAAATCCGTGAAATTGTTCCTACAAATTGCTTTTTAACAACGTCAAATATCACAGGTATTTATCTTTAAACTTGTATTTTGTCATTTTTTTGTGTGTATCAATGTGCCATAATTTTTCGATGTGTTCTTGGTTCAATGTAATGAAGTTGAAATAATATACACAAGAGATATTAGATGGATTAAAACCGGTAATTACGTACAAACCCATGCGATGTATATGCACCAGTGAGGCAGTGTCCCTGGTTTCTTCTTTCTTTTCTTTTTCTTTTGAGCCGATTCGGGTATTCCGGCAATTTTCATTTCCCGAACACATTCATCAGGATCCGGTTCAGATTGATACTTTGACTTGTGACGCTGGAAATTGATGAAGTTGGTGATGGATTCTTTGAATCTTTGCCACCTACTTTTCATAGGGACACTGTTCCACGTTTGTGATTGAGTGGCCGAAACACTCTTCCATTTGCCTCGTTTTGGGACCTGCTGGTTTTTATGCATGACACCATTTTTCTTTGGACGACATTTTCGGAAAAACGTCATCAGGATGAAATTCACAGGGAACACAATCATGGTACTGGCAAAGCTAACAAAGACCTGGAAAAGATCAACACAGTCAGAATGCTTTAGTCATGTCGGACATAGTATCATAGAAACACCTGAAATAAGCAGATATACTGTGCTGACATGTCTCCGTTCGTCGTGTCGCGTTGCTTGGGGATGCTTATATGGTCAAGCGACATCGTCTGAATGTATGTTCTAAGCAATATTTTTTTCTTTTACTATTTTCTAATGAGTCATAATTCATGATTTACCGATGAGACCAGGTGATGATCCGTTTAATTAAAAATAAATAAATAAAAAATAAAGATACATTACATTGGCCTTCATGCAGTCTCGACTCTCGCTATCTGAACACGTGTGGCACATGTTAGATCGACGTATTCGTGAGTCAGTGCTACCGTTTGTTACAAATAACCCGTCTTAATAACCTGTGCATTAGAGCAAATATCTAGTGCAAATCTTAACAACTATCACCATATTCTATTATAGTCGGAAACTATCTCTCTTCGGCCATGACTTCCTCCTGCAAAAGTTAAAATCACTAACCCTGAATTTACAGATTACTGAAAATTAGAGGTCGTGTGTCTTTTGCGTGTTCGTATAAAATATCAAACAGTTGCGTTTTATAAGGGAATTTAAAGTTACTAGAGTTATGTGAGTTACCTGTTGAAGTGTGAAGGAAACAGGTCCAATTTTCATAGCTGACGTGTTGGCATTATTTTCTTCTGATTTGAACCACATGGCGTTGGTAATCATAGTCATAAACAACAGAGACACACAGCAAGAGATTCGCTGTACTCGAGTAAAGTTACTCCGGGTCGGGCGGGAGAACACAGAAAACCATATATGGTCATTGGTTAATTTCTTCTTTACAGAGGAGGAAAAGAGTTGTTTGAATGCTGCTAAGTCCTCTAGACCAGCAACAGGTAGAATTCTGTCCACCATCCCATCGTCCTCCTCCACAGCTAGCCAGCGATCACACAGGAAAAAGTACCTAACAATTGAAATCCAATATATTCCTAAATACATGATTTTAAGATCAATATCGAGTTTCCAAAATCCTTCAATAATGCATTACTGCGCATGTCTTCTAGGTTTGCTTTTTATTTTTTGAAACGCCGCAGCACTCTATCTGCGATTGTAACGAGGCCTTTGACAGTCCTGCAAAATACTGATTATTCACAAGATCAAGCCTTGTAATAAAAATGGGTTCCCATCTAATATGGCATCCAAGATAAGCAGTTGGATTCCGTATCATCACTGTTTGGTGAAAATAACAAGAACAGCAAAGTTTCGAATGTCCTTTTCAATACCAGACATCGATGTGCAGCGCCATGTAATCCCTACAGCTGATGCGAAATAATTCATTATTTCATACTAAAATTTTCTGCAAATGTTTTAACATCAGTAGAAGATAAACGTACCTGTCCCCTGTCTGAAGATCTGTAACTTGTATTTGGTCCAGATACCAAGATCTCATCTTGCCCTTTCCAGTATTATCATGCCATATCCTCAAAAAGTTCAGAGATCCGAGACAATTTTCCACACTTAGGATATAGTTCATGATACTGCCTCGAACGAACGTCTGTGAAGCAAGATACTTCATATCAGTAGTTTGTACAGGGCTCACAAATGAAATGCACCATTTGATACAGATTTGCATACGATTTGATAAAGCCAAACACTGAATTAAACTGCATCGTACAGTTGTACTTCTAGGACACGTCAATGATGTCAAGAGCCTAAATGTTAGACCTTAGAGGCGACTGAGGATATTCCAAAGTGATCGAAAGAAATGTTCAAATCTAGATAGGGAGATGTACAAGCCCCATTATTTCATAATTTTCAAATATTAGATAATTTTAGAACAGTTTTAAATAGATGTGCCATATACGAAACCTTGCCACTATTCGAATGAATTAAAACGTGGCATTCAGGTTACGGCAAACCTCGAGGCTTGAAGTCCACCAGTAGTGTCTACCACCTGCAATCTCCAAGATTATAAAAAGGACACACAAATGAATAGCTCCATCTGATACAAAGTTGGATAAGATACAGTAGAGTCAAACAATTAATTGAACTTCGGCTGTTTTTTGTTTCAGACGTATAACTACCTCGGTTATGATATCTTCGTACTGTATGTTTTTGGGAGATGTTTGCCTACCTTTCGACGGCCATCATATAAACGCCGGACACCTGTGTCACACTCTTCGCCAGATAAGATAAAACTGACCGCTGAGTTGGTTGCGGCCAGTTTGCGTACCCCCGTCTGGACGGTCACTTGATAATGATAGTTATCTGTTGGTAGGTTGTCATCCAATGGAGAGGCTCCCCACTGAAACAGATTTTAGACATACAACAACACACGGAATTATACAGTATTATGGCAGGTTGTCATCCAATGGAGAGGCTTCCCACTGAAACAGATTTTAGACATACAACAACACACGGAATTATACAGTATTTTGGTAGGTTGTCATCCAATGGAGAGGCTTCCCACTGAAACAGATTTTAGACATACAACAACACACGGAATTATACAGTAGTTCACTTTAAACAGATTTCCAGATTGTTACTATACTTCCCAGAATGGATACAAGTGAGTCCTAATTTTAATGTTTCGGGTCCAGATCATGCCTAATGAGAGGTATATATGGAAATGAGACACCACTATTTGTATACATTTTTGTCCGTGTACGGTTAAAGTGAGACCCTACCTCTGTACATCTATTTGTCAGTGTACGGTTAAAGCGAGACCTACCTCTGTATACATTTTTGTCCGTGTCCGATTAAAGTGAGACCAACCTTCTGTACATCTATTTGTCCGTGTCCGGTTAAAGTGAGACCCTACCTTCTGTACATCTATTTGTCCGTGTCCGGTTGAAGTGAGACCTACGTCTGTATATCTATTTGTCCGTGTACGGTTAAAGTGAGACCCTACCTTCTGTACATCTATTTGTCCGTGTCCGGTTAAAGTGAGACCTACGTCTGTATATCTATTTGTCCGTGTCCGGTTAAAGTGAGACCTACGTCTGTACATCTATTTGTCCGTGTACGGTTGAAGTGAGACCCTACCTTCTGTACATCTATTTGTCCGTGTCCGGTTAAAGTGAGACCTACGTCTGTATATCTATTTGTCCGTGTACGGTTAAAGTGAGACCCTACCTTCTGTACATCTATTTGTCCGTGTCCGCTTGAAGTGAGACCCTACCTTCTGTACATCTATTTGTCCGTGTCCGGTTGAAGTGAGACCTACGTCTGTATATCTATTTGTCCGTGTACGGTTAAAGTGAGACCCTACCTTCTGTACATCTATTTGTCCGTGTCCGGTTAAAGTGAGACCTACGTCTGTATATCTATTTGTCCGTGTCCGGTTAAAGTGAGACTACGTCTGTACATCTATTTGTCCGTGTACGGTTGAAGTGAGACCCTACCTTCTGTACATCTATTTGTCCGTGTCCGGTTGAAGTGAGACCTACCTTCTGTATATCTATTTGTCCGTGTCCGGTTAAAGTGAGACCTACCTTCTGTACATCTATTTGTCCGTATACGGTTAAAGTGAGACCTACCTTCTGTACATCTATTTGTCCGTGTCCGGTTGAAGTGAGACCTACGTCTGTATATCTATTTGTCCGTGTACGGTTAAAGTGAGACCCTACCTTCTGTACATCTATTTGTCCGTGTCCGGTTAAAGTGAGACCTACGTCTGTATATCTATTTGTCCGTGTACGGTTAAAGTGAGACCCTACCTTCTGTATATCTATTTGTCCGTGTCCGGTTAAAGTGAGACCTACCTTCTGTACATCTATTTGTCCGTGTCCGGTTAAAGTGAGACCTACGTCTGTATATCTATTTGTCCGTGTACGGTTAAAGTGAGACCCTACCTTCTGTACATCTATTTGTCCGTGTCCGGTTGAAGTGAGACCTACGTCTGTATACCTATTTGTCCGTGTACGGTTAAAGTGAGACTCTACCTTCTGTACATCTATTTGTCCGTGTCCGGTTGAAGTGAGACCCTACCTTCTGTACATCTATTTGTCCGTGTCCGGTTGAAGTGAGACCCTACCTTCTGTACATCTATTTGTCCGTGTCCGGTTGAAGTGAGACCTACCTTCTGTACATCTATTTGTCCGTGTACGGTTGAAGTGAGACCTACCTTCTGTATATCTATTTGTCCGTGTCCGGTTGAAGTGAGACCCTACCTTCTGTACATCTATTTGTCAGTGTACGGTTGAAGTGAGACCCTACCTTCTGTACATCTATTTGTCCGTGTACGGTTGAAGTGAGACCCTACCTTCTGTACATCTATTTGTCCGTGTCCGGTTGAAGTGAGACCCTACCTTCTGTACATCTATTTGTCCGTGTCCGGTTGAAGTGAGACCTACCTTCTGTACATCTATTTGTCCGTGTACGGTTGAAGTGAGACCTACCTTCTGTACATCTATTTGTCCGTGTCCGGTTAAAGTGAGACCTACCTTCTGTATATATATTTGTCCGTGTACGGTTGAAGTGAGACCTACGTCTGTACATCTATTTGTCCGTGTCCGGTTGAAGTGAGACCCTACCTTCTGTATATCTATTTGTCCGTGTCCGGTTAAAGTGAGACCTACCTTCTGTACATCTATTTGTCCGTGTCCAGTTTAAGCGATACTCTACCTTCTGTATATCTTTCTTGTCCTTGTATCGGGCCCAGATCATTATGATGATGTAAAGACCAATCAGCGATATAACCGTGGAAAACACAGCCGCGTTCTCGTTCAGGTTCTTGAACTTTGCCCACACATTAGTGAAGTCGATGGTGTTTGGCGGAACAGCAAAGTCACCTCCAAAAGACGTCAGATGGTTGGTCATACATACTGTCACTTCAGGTGTCGTTAGATTGCTCACCTGTCGGGAATTAGTATTACAAAAAATAGTTTATATATCTGATATGTACAGGAAAATGTTTACTTTATGTTAAAATGCTCAATGTCTTAATAAAGTTACCTCCGTTTTGTTTTGTAGTTTTAATAATTTTATTAAATATTATAAGAATGCACTTTGCAGTTTACGATTATACTTACTAGTCCTGAATATGCCTAAATGCTACCATGCGTCTTTCTCCTGTCAGATACTTTGTTAGATCGTTAATATTACATAGCGAGATTTTCATTATCTATCAAAGTTACTACGACATTTGTTTTCCCCAATAGTGCTATAAAGGGCCTTGTTCATTTGTCTTGCTCTTGTTCCAATAATTCTACCACGAGGCTTTGCCGTGTTCCTATACTCTTACCACGGTAATTCGTTCTAATAAATCAGTATCACTTTGACACACTTCTCACTTGCATTACCCAGGAACTTACCCTGGTGCCGTTACCGATGAAGGATTCCGTGGTTGTATCCCAGAACAGACACCCTGAAGTCCACAACTGGTAGTCATACACAACTTCCGTCACGGTTTCCCGGAAGTCAACGTGTCCCTCTGTAGTAACCGGAACATTCAAACCAATGTAAAAACGAAATCCTCACAATCCTGACATATACCGTGGCGAATTTAGGTAAAACGAGGGAGAACAACCTGAAGGGTAACCTATGTGTAAAATTATATCTTATGTAAAAAGATATTTCAAAATTATATTTAATTTGATAACAAATATTACATTTGTATATTAAAATTGTAATGACATTGAAAATACAGAAATACTTGCTCTCGAGACTAACGGACACAGTAAAATCGCCATTGGTCGGTGTATAATTCTGAGGAGGGAAGTAGGTGTTCCGAAGTTCCATCCAGTGGCTGTAATTTTGTTCTCTTATTTCCGGGAAGACGTCCTCTCCCAGGGGCATGATTGCTTCGTGAATACACGGAGGATCGACGGTGGACGCGTTGTAAACAAGGCAGATTCGGAATTTAGTCATGTCCCAATTCTCACGTGCAGTTATCCGGAAGTGAAGGGACGAGCCGTTGTTAGCCATGGTGATAGAGTGGTACAAACTCACGGGGGGTGCATCTCGTACTTGCCTGATGGTGGCGTTATATACTGGGACCGCGCACTTTGCTGTAAAACACCAGTTGAAAATAATATTATTGCATCGTAAACCGAATGTTATTTATTTATTGGACTTTCTACTCGGTCATCTCTGTTGGTTGGAATAATTCGCCGTCTATCATTTAACTCATTTTGTCCCGAACATTTCATCAATATTCTTTATCACAAAAAAGATATGGAGGCCAAACTTAGCTTTTCAAGGGTAACAGATTTGTACTTATAAAACGTTCACTGCACACCGATCTGAACTTCAAAGCTCAAGTCTCTGTCGTGAAATGCTTTCTGGGAGCTCTTGTTTACACATCACATACGACTGATAGAGGAATTCCTTACTTTCAGGTATATTCTAACTACTTTACATGCATCACACAATTCCTAGAATCAATATCCTGCTATCCTGTAAAAATTCCAGTGAAATGAATATATTTTACCTGAAACAATGACCTCCAAAAACAATTCGTATTTAAGATATTTTGAATGCCAGAAAATTATAGCTCAGTGACAATTATATCAATGTGATGAACATGGTTTAATTGTGATGTATCTCTAGTGCTCACTGGTTCTATCTATACGGGTTACCTGGCTACCTTATCCTAGCTAAACGTTAACAGTATATGCATGTATTTCAGATCTCGTTTTCCTCGAGTAAACAGCGAGACTTTTAAACGAAAACAATTCCCAAGTAAAAGGTAAAGAACTGTAAGTTTAAGATTTGTGTGCTCTTATACCCAGACAGTGTACATTGGTTTTACTTACAATTGATTAAGATAGGCATCTCCTCTTCTGAATCCTCCACTTTTATTGGCTCCCCTAGTGCCGGGTCCACCAGATTGATAGAGGAAACCTCTGACGTCACTCGGGCCGAGTTAGAACCATACGTATAAGGATTGTTTTTATTGACAGCGTTCTAAAATACCAACAAATACCATTCTCTGACATAAACAGGAATAATCTCCAAATTACCATGGCTTTATTTACATGTAGAAATGTACAATGTTTTGACATGACAATAAAAACTGTTAAGCATTGTTAATGGGGATCACAGAACTCCCTGTACTCTCTACTGTGTGTTACTTTCGTCGGGGTATTTTGAAATGGGTCCGAAGTGGCGACAAGATTATTGCGAAAACAGGTCATGTACCTAATCATATTACTGCCACACACCTTTAAGAAGGGTGTTAGCGTATCTGATATATGTTAGAAATTGCTACTTAAATAGCCAGTTTTGTATCCCTGACTTAAACTTTGAGTGACAATATTAATCCAAGATATTCAAAATCACAAAAAATAAATTAAACATCTACAACTTTATATCACTGTACTTCAATATGTACTTACCACAGTTCCAGTTCCTGCTTCTTCGGTGAAGTCTTGTTCTTCGTCCGTACCGCTGTTTGTCTGACCGTCTGTCCCACTGTCTGTTCCTCCACTCGATCCAGTGCCAGTCTGTCCACCAGTATTATCCGTATTTGTCCCGCTGTCCGTTCCCGTACCGCCACTGGAGTCTGTGTTTGATCCTCCACTCGAACCTGTGTCAGTCTGTCCACCAGTACCACTTGTATCTGTCCCGCTGTCCGTTCCCGTATCTCCACTAGAGTCAGTGTTTGATCCCCCACTCGTCCCGGAGTCGGTCTGTCCACCAGTACCACTTGTATCTGTCCCGCTGTCCGTTCCTCCACTAGAGTCAGTGTTTGATCCTCCACTCGTCCCGGTGTTGCTCTGTCCACCAGTACCACTTGTGTCTGTCTCACTGTCCGTTCCTCCACTGGAGTCAGCGTTCGATCCCCCACTCGAACCGGTGTCGGTCTGACCGTTGGTGCCACTTGTATCTGTTCCGCTGTCCGTTCCCGTTCCTCCACTTGACTCAGTATGTGTCTGTTCGTCCGCACCACCTGTTTCATGAGTAACTGAGTTCCCGTCGTCAACAGACAGTTGTGTGGTATATTTCGACTTCCCTACCTCGTATCCGTCAGTGATGTCATCGTGATCACCTATTGGTGTTCTGGTTGACGTAACTACTTGATCAGAAGCCGGAGAACTTGTGGCTCCTGGACTAGTTCCTGAGTTGGCCGGCGTGACTACACCCACTGGACTAGCAGTAGACGACGCGGCGAGTTCAGCCTCGTATTCCGCGTCGTGTACGCTACATGGATCCACACTCACCTTCTTCCTTTTCTGCTTCGCCACCTTACTTGTCAGTGCATTTGGATTTTCTGTCAATAAACGTACAGCGTTTTATTTAACAGTTATGAGAGTGTTGAAAAGTTGAAAGGTGTTTTATTCTCTACATTGGCCTATTCTAGTACAATCTCACATTTCTCTAACAAAAACAATATTTTGTCTGAAAGAAAATGAGTGCTTCTGAAAGTGGTAAATCCATAGGAAATAGGCAACCCATTTGCATGCCTACCTTGGCCAAAACAATAGATATGATCCGAAAACGCGACACAAGTAATTGTTTTGTGGGTGTACCTAACTCTTGATATCAAAATTATAGTTTCAAATCGTTAAGAATGCCGTATTGCATATTGGTATTCATTTAGCAGCTGTGATTTTGAGCTTTGACCTGAAACAGTGTCCCTAAGCTGAAATCTTAAGAAGGAAACAATGTAAAAATCCATCCGATACTTCAACAAGAATGGTTAACGGACGGACCACGGACGGACCACGGACGTAGGACAATTTGAATAGACCACCGTAATAAAATGATAGAAATAGCTCCACAGACAGAAAACACATTTCGGGCCGCTCGCCACTGTAACCGCCGCTACCACAACACAGTGTATTCTCGTGTTACATCACAAGGGAAAATCCAAATGTAGAATGTGTGATGAAATGAATATCGACCTTCATTCTGATTCTTCATTTTTCATATCATTTGCGGTAAAGATAGGATGAACGCGTTCTAAATTTGGTTAAAGCGATAATGCTTACCTTTTCTATCAATCTTACTGATGTTTCTCAAATTATCGAGATCCCCCCTCTCACACCAACCAAACAGGATGTTTTTCTCGTGCTTGCCTTTCGTTTGCCATCTTAATAATCTTGTTGAGTTATCTTCCTACGATTGATCATAATGTTAGATATGTCACTTACCTCCCATCTCGATGTTGAGGGAAATGCTCTCAGATGTAACCTTCATGTCACTTACCTCCCATCTCGATGTTGAGGGAAATGCTCTCAGACGTAACCTTCATGTCACCTACCTCCCATCTCGATGTTGAGAGGTATGCCCTCAGACGTAACCTTCATGTCACTTACCTCCCATCTCGATGTTGAGAGAGATGCCCTCAGACGTCACCTTCATGTCACTTACCTCCCACCTCGATGTTGAGAGAAATGCCCTCAAATATTACCATGACACTTACCTCCCATCTCGATGTTGAGAGAAATGCCCTCAGATGTAACCTTCATGTCACTTACCTCCCATCTCGATGTTGAGAGAAATGCCCTCAGATGTAACCTTCATTGCTAACGGGGCTTCGTCTTCTGGCGTGCTCGTTCCACTCCTGCGTCGACGTCGACGACGACAACGTTCTTTTTCAAAATTTTTCAGGACAAGGCCTGACATGGAGGACACAGCTCCAGCACTTCCGGCTTGTACCATTTTGTCCTGAAGGAAATAAAAAAGCATCCATGCATGTGTTTGATACAATTATTCAGACTTAAGCCTGTTCGATGTTATCGGTTCTTTCGCTGTCAAATTCGTATCTAATTAGCATGTTTTTTGTTATAGTTGATGCACATCAGGTCGACGAAAGGTTGTCCTAAATAAACTTACCGCTTCCTTCGTCCGTTTAATGGACAAGTCTAATTCGATCTCGCAGGCATCCAGAATGACATTCTGAATATCGAAGGGATCCCACTCCAGCCCAAGACGGAGAAACAGTTTCACTGGGTCCTCCTTAAGAACAGCCTGTGGGAGCTTGACGTTGTCGATCCGCTTCCGCACTGCTGTCCTGAACTCTGCGTAGTGATGAAACAGGAAGTCGTACAAGTCTCGTAGAATGGCATTCGCCATGAGATTCTTGGACTTAATTAAAGCATCGTAATGAGTGGCAGACTCCGTGTCCTCGTCAGGGGCGTCAGGGTCAGCTCGACGCTTACAACGGAGCGTTTTTTTCTCCTCTTTTTTCTCTGCTTCTCCAGTAGGTGCAACGTTGCTCAATGTCTGAACTTGATCTGCATTAAAAATGTACGTATAATAAAACAGCTGATTCCTCATCGTAAGCTGTAAATTCCACATTAGAAAGAGTAAATGTATATATGTGTATGTAAAATTGATTTACTTACGGTAAAACGTTACGTTGGTAATCTACGTACAGAAGATTGAGACTGTGCTAACTTTGGATTATTTTCAGTCTGTATTGATATGATGATATACATGTACCCTGTTGATGTCCTCGGGAATTAATTGTTCTTTTCATCTGAAGAGCACGCGCGAATCAGAATAACGCGCAATATGTGATCACCGCGTCAACATATGATGGTTGTGTAAGAGACACCTTCCCTACCTACGATGTGTGTATGGCTCTGATAATTTGATATCCAACGATATTGTTCTGATTATCACAACTAACAACAAACAGAGTATTACGAAGACGGGTGTTACTTATTTTATTCTCAGTTAAAGATGTGGCATTGTCATGTTTCATTGACTAACATTTATACCCTTCCTGATTACATTGTCTTATTTTTCTCTTTCAGTGGTCTCCTTGTTAAGATTTTTCTACGCCCAGATTCATCTATTTTGAGTTTGGTTTAAAATTTTCTTTAAATGTCTGTGTTACTTTTTAAAGTTTAACAAATTGTCAAATAGAGATATGTTATATCAGGGATCAAAATGTCTTAGTTGTGGTTTTATTAAAGGATATAGTTCTAATCTGAACCAGACATCCGTGTCAATAAACATACTACTAGTCACTATGGTAACTCGAGGGTAACGGGTTCTCTACCTAAGTGACATGACAACCTTAATAAGGGGAAGTAATGGGTTAGTTGTATATAATACCACGATCCACATATACACATAGTCGGTGTTTCAGTTTTAATGCCCCCGGATCGAAAGATCAGCGCCATATTGTTTTTGTGCTGTTTGTTTTTCTGTTGTCAACTTAACTTTGCCCACAACTATTGCACTCTAAGAGGTAGGGCTTTCATATTTAGCATATATGTTCCTTGTAAAAAAAAACCTTTCTGGTGTTACCAAAAGTTTTGACCATGTGACCTTGACCGTGACCTTTTACCTACATTTCATAAATTTAAACATCGGCATTAACTATTGCACCGTCAGAGGTAGGCTTTCATATTTGATAGAGTTACATCCCTTGAACCTAGAAAAAAATTCAGTAATTCACAATTTTAATGTCCAACTTGAGAATTTTGTTGTAACCAGGGACATAGTGTTAAAAAGTACAGTTTTAATGTCCAACTTCAGAAGTTTGTTGTAACCAGGGACATAGTGTTAAACAGTACAGTTTTAATGTCCAACTTGAGAATTTTGTTGTAAGCAGGGACATAATGTTAAACAGTACAGTTTTAATGTCCAACTTGAGAATTTTGTTGTAAGCAGGGACATAATGTTATATATAAACACATTTCTAACGTGTAATCGTTATATTCTCTAATGTATATTGATCCGAATGCCAAGGCTACAAGATGTTGTAACTTTATTATTTATAGATACATGTTTATTAATTAAATGTAACATTAATTTGTAAAATTCGTATGTAGGCATAAAGTATTCTAAATTGTACCTCCGAGAGTGGATTCCAGCGCTGTGTTGTCCTGATTGGCAAATTTTGTTTTGATGAGATCACCTGTGTTGTTGATAGCTCCAGCTGCCTTTTCCTACGAGATGTAGTTCAGATAGAATAAGATACAAAAGAAGTAGATTTTCAGGAAATAATGAAATCAGCATCGGAGAAAGTATTTTTCTATTTAGCTATAAAGAATTACATGGCGTAGATTATCATAACATGAACAAATGTTATCCTTAATTAACTGTGCAATATCGATGATTCAATGTAACTATCCAGTTATACCACCATTTCAATGTTACTATGTAACTATACCGTCATATCAATGTTACAATGTAACTCTACCGTCATATCAATGTTACTATGTAACTATACCGTCATATCAATGTTACAATGTAACTCTACCGTCATATCAATGTTACAATGTAACTATACCGTCATATCAATGTTACAATGTAACTATACCGTCATATCAATGTTACAATGTAACTATACCGTCATATCAATGTTACAATGTAACTCTACCGTCATATCAATGTTACAATGTAACTCTACCGTCATATCAATGTTACAATGTAACTCTACCGTCATATCAATGTTACAATGTAACTCTACCGTCATATCAATGTTACAATGTAACTCTACCGTCATATCAATGTTACAGAAGATAACACATTATTGTGTGACAAGTTCATTACACTTATCAATGTAACTAAACATACCTTGGGTATACTTATTTATGTAACTAAACCTACCCCGACTAAACCTATTGATGTAACCAAGTCTACCCCGGCTATACTTATTTATGTAACTAAGCATACCCCGGCTATACTTATTTATGTAACTAAGCCTACCCTGACTATATTTATCTATGTTACTAAGCTCACCCTTGCCGTGTCCGTCGACTTCTCTGCCGTGAACATGCTACATGTACTGACAACCCGGTTGACCTGGTCTGTGTTTGTTGCGTAATTAGTCACAGCGGCTACCACGGTCAGCGCTAACTCCTTCAACTGTAACAAATAATGTGATTGTTTTACAGCAGCTGGGTGTCAAGTGTCAACTGTAAGATTGTTGGAGACTCAAGGATGGAACAAGATACACAAGTGAAAAACACCTTTCAATACCATTTTAGAATTATATACATTACAGTGAAATATTTAATAAAACACCATCCTATTGTTATCCCGCACCAATACGGAAAGAAAAATCAAAACTGGCCGAAAGAAATAATAAGAATCAGTAGGGAGGTACACTAACTCAAAATTCGATAAGTTTTTTTTTTATTATTATTTATTGAATATTTTCACACTCAAGTAACAACTCGGACGAAATAGTGGGCGAGAGAATAAAATCTTGGGTGAAATTAAAGGTGTTTAGATACCAAAGCTAAAACTCCAGCGCAATAGTCAGATGTTATAGCAAACATTGTAGGGAAATTAATGAGGCGTCCTGGAACCCAATTATAGATCTGCAACTTCCTTTCAGTTATGTCACATTGCTACTGACCTGGTCTTGTTTTTCTTGTGCATCCGAGTCGTTCCCTCTCTACAACACAAAAGATGATTGATACTCATACACAAGCAACAAACTATTTATCATTTTTATCATCATTTACGCACATTTCAACGTTGCATAGTATATGTTACTGTTTGCTATCAGGTAAAAATCAACACTATACCGTTTATTATCATATACAAGTCAACATTATTCCTGTTATTGTCACGCACATGTGAACACCGTGCCGGTTATTATCACGAACACATCGACAATATACCGTTTATTGTCTAGCACAAGTCAACACTTTATCATTTATTACAAGATGCGATTTCATATTTAGTTTAGCATAACGTACGAGACACAACTGTTTATCATCACCTCGAAGTCAACATTTTCCCGTTTATTATCACATACATCATGTACAAGTGACCACCGTTTATATTCTACACTCAAGTATCATGGCACCGTTTATTATCTTAAACGTGTCATATGACATCGTTTATTTACTGCATACATGAAACATAACGATTATTATCACACACTTAGCATTTATAATCATCGTTATTATCACCTACATGTCATCCGACTGACGGTTGATAACAGTGAAATGTGACTCGCAGCACTAAATAGATTTAGATCAAATCAAATCATGATCATTTTTATGTTTGAATGTGTCGACTTACTGGTAAATATCAGACATAGAGAACACTTACCGCACCACCGGTTCCGATTTTATTGACGATATCCAGGGCTTTCCCAGTATCTTTCAAGTTAGCTGCGTTTGCAAGCATATTCATCTGTTCCTCGAAGTTGTCATATTCCATTCGTATTACTTTACTGACGGTACTGATGCGTCCTTCCTTAGACACTATCAGGGAAAACACAGTCTCAGTGGCAACAAAATACGACGTAGAGGTCGTCACCCTGCCATTAGAGATCATAATGGCGTTTACGAAATCATCTAAGTCCGTCAAGCAATTCTCATATTGATAAATTCTCAAGGGGTTCATCGTCTCAGACTCATAAATGACGTCCTCGATCAGCAGTTGTGTTATGTTGCCCTCGAGGAAATTCTCGAAGGTCATGCCACTAAATGCGTCGTAAGCCTCTCTCTGGAAACAGATAAGGTCGTACTCCACCCCTTGTCTGATGTTGGATGTCAGATCAGGATCATGCGATTCCGAGAAGTCCAAGGTAAGTATACCGTTGGAGAAAAACGTTTCTGAGGGGTCACCTTTGAAGGTCGCAATAGGATTGGACGGTATGATCTGAATATAAATTTCTTTCTGATTGGCTTTACGTTTATACCCAATGGGAGACACGGTAGTCACCAGCTTGTACATCCCGAATTCGAGAGAAACTGCTGGGATGGTGAATATATTGTCAGTTTGTTCGAGTTTACATAAGTCGGTATACGGAACTTCCAGGTTATCGACGATGTTTACAGCCTTCCACGTGTATTCGTATCCATTTCCTCCACAGTTTGGTGATTGTGCCTGTATGTCGATGTCGATTGGAGTTGATCTGATGTGAACATATGGGTTATCTCGTGACGTGTGATACCCAGGCATCTCTACGACGGTGTCACCACACATTGTGTCGTCACTGTCATCCACAATGATGTAGGGACATAACACGGCGCTTGCCGACGAGAACACGTTGGAGATATTGGCCTTCACTTCGTAATAACCGACAGTTGAGTACAAGTGTCGTACTGTAACGATACATGAACAACCTCTGACAACAAAGGACCTGGCCCTGGACACGGCAACTTCTTCCTCAGTGGTTTCGCTGGTATTGAAGTTAGGCAGTACAGTGGTTATGACGAAACTGCTATTGTCGGCCGGATCTGCCTGCACGGCACTAGTTTCCCGCTTTCTTCTTATTAAATGGGACGATTCCGTGTTTTCCGAGGTCAGTAAGTCGCGGTCAGTGAATGTGAATGGATGCTCATCCCCGAAATCTACATGATACGTTATGTCACTTCCGGTGAGAACTGTTATGTTGATTTCTGCATACTGACTAGTGCTAACTCTCCCGGTCGTTGTTGTCTGTAAGTCCATGTAAGTGATGTTTTTGCCCACTTGAACCAAAGCACAGTCCATGACTCGACTTATGCTATTGGAAGCGGACACACATATTGTATATATGCCCCAGTCCCTGTATACGTAGCTGTTATTGTATTGGGTAAAGAACTTGGAATGGCTTCTGTAGGTATATGGTAAAACGTTGCCGTCATCGTGGTCAATCTCGAAGGTGACCTTGTCCGGACCGTCAATGCCATCATTAAGGACAACACCAAGGATGACGGGATCCTCCTTGTTGGTAATATTACTGACCGTCAGTACTATGGACACGATGGGGACTTCAACTGATATCAGATCCTCAACTTCGGTCTTTCCAAGGTCGTTAGACACGATCACATGTAGAGGATAATATCCAAGGTTTTCGTACTCAACCTCAAAGGGAAATGTGACCGGCTCTGTCGCCTCATATATAAAGAAAGACTCTTCCTCTCCCAGTCCGAACGTGCATGTTACAAACATGTTGTTACCAGGGGGTACTACCACAGAGATATTTGTTGTCAGATTCCATGCTCCTTCCCGGTAGTCGGGTAATATCGAGGCATTTGCTGGAATATTTTCCATGAAAAACATTGTTTCATGAAAAATTTCACCATTCAACTCCAGCGAAATTATGTTTTCAAATGGCTTAAGTAGTGTTGCAGGTACTGTTATGTTATTATCTGTTTTGTGTACGTTTACAGGCTTGTCATAGTTACGAACGACTCCGATGTCAGCGACGAATGCTTGTCCTCCAGCCAGTGGTACTTCAAACGCATCACCTAATACTTTATGATAGAACGGTACGTCAAACCGTTTTGATAGAAACATCAAAGAGCTGGAATCGACCCCGTAGTTGTTTTTACAGTGAGCTGATACTATGTACTGTCCAAAAGTGTTAAAAATATGCTGGAATTCTTCATGGTAAAAATATTGGTCTTTGAAGTCATAGCTCAGCTGATTGCTATCACCAAACGCTACGTCACAACGAGAGATATTTGCCAAATCTGTGAGAAACAACTCGAAAGAGCCGTGAAATTGATGTGTCTCGTCATGAGCGCCAAACAAAACAACCATTTCTGGAGCTGTGTTCTCATCGACGTCAAGTACCTCAAAACTGAAGTACGACTCAAAGGACAGAATGCCTACGCGCGAGCGAACTGTGATCGTGTGTTTGCCCGCAGACCTCCAGAAGTAGTTGATAGAAGTCTTGTGGGTCACAAAAGTGACACCGTCCCCACAGTCTACCTCGTAGCTGGTCTTTGCTATATGATTGGGTTTTATCTCGATAATAACGGTTTCCATGGGTTTGACGTAGTCTCTAGTTTGTAATGTTCTCACGCTCACTGTCATTGAGTACGGATTTTCTTCGGCAACACCAGAAGCACTAAACACCTGCCATACTGAGCTACTGTCACAAGAGCCATTCCGAGTGTCAATTTCGGAAAGTATTTCACGGCCTGCGCACGAGCAGAAAGAGCCATTCTTCATCAGGATAATAGCTGCATTACACATGCTACGGCAGCTTTCTATAGGATGTTCCTCTCCGGCCAAGTCCATGGGAATGAAGTTCCCGGTATAAGATGTTTCAGGAACACAGCCGGGGTAAGCCAAAGTCTGGACTGGAAACAAAGAATGCAACAAGAATATTACATCTGTGAATGTGTCTAATTAATAGAGTAAGGACAGAGAATACCACTCCAAATACAACCACTTCAAAAAGTAGCAAAATAATCTCTTGGTGAAACATTAGTTACACTGATAAGTAACTAATACTTATCATGTAAGATTCTCTATTAACAAAAGAAAACAGAAAATCCAAATAGCGATAAAGAATAAATTTGCTAAAGTTTTACATCAGTTATTCCGGATAATGATAAAGGTTTAAGACTCCGTATTACATCAGTTATTCCGGATAATGATAAAGGTTTAAGACTCCGTATTACATCAGTTATTCCGGATAATGATAAAGGTTTAAGACGTATTACATCAGTTATTCCGGATAATGATAAAGGTATTACATCAGTTATTCCGGATAATGATAAAGGTTTAAGACTCCGTATTACATCAGTTATTCCGGATAATGATAAAGGTTTAAGACTCCGTATTACATCAGTTATTCCGGATAATGATGAAGGTTTAAGACTCCGTATTACATCAGTTATTCCGGATAATGAAGAAGGTTTAAGACTCCGTATTACATCAGTTATTCCGGATAATGATAAAGGTTTAAGACTCCGTATTACATCAGTTATTCCGGATAATGATAAAGGTTTAAGACTCCGTATTACATCAGTTATTCCGGATATGATGAAGAAGGTATTACAGACTCCGTATTACACAGTTATTCCGTATTACATCAGTTATTCCGGATAATGATAAAGGTTTAAGACTCCGTATTACATCAGTTATTCCGGATAATGATGAAGGTTTAAGACTCCGTATTACATCAGTTATTCCGGATAATGATGAAGGTTTAAGACTCCGTATTACATCAGTTATTCCGGATAATGATAAAGGTTTAAGACTCCATATTACATCAGTTATTCCGGATAATGATAAAGGTTTAAGACTCCGTATTACATCAGTTATTCCGGATAATGATGAAGGTTTAAGACTCCGTATTACATCAGTTATTCCGGATAATGATGAAGGTTTAAGACTCCGTATTACATCAGTTATTCCGGATAATGATAAAGGTTTAAGACTCCGTATTACATCAGTTATTCCGGATAATGATAAAGGTTTAAGACTCCGTATTACATCAGTTATTCCGGATAATGATAAAGGTTTAAGACTCCATATTACATCAGTTATTCCGGATAATGATAAAGGTTTAAGACTCCATATTACATCAGTTATTACATCGGATAATGATAAAGGTTTACGTATTACATCAGTTATTCCGGATAGTTATTCCGGATAATGATAAAGGTTTAAGACTCCGTATTACATCAGTTATTCCGGATAATGATGAAGGTATTACATCAGTTATTACGGATAATGATGAAGGTTTAAGACTCCGTATTACATCAGTTATTCCGGATAATGAAGAAGGTTTAAGACTCCATATTACATCAGTTGGATAATAAGACTTACAGGTGTAATATGATGTCGGTCTGTTTATCGCAACAAGGTAATATGTGTGTGGGTATGAAGTACATTTCAAAGTAAGTTTTTCATAGACAATACTTACAAATTGGTTTTAAATAAGGAAATGATGCTATAAACATATCTTAATATGATTAACTTAGATTGTTTGATAAAATGCTGTTCTACTGTGACTATGCAAGTTAGTCTAATGTAAGGTTGTGCTACCGTGGCTATTTAAGGGTTGTTAAGTGTAAAGCTATCTTACTGGTACTACATAAGACTTGTTTAATGTAAAGCTACCTATATGAGACTTTTTAAGACCTATTTATGCGACACGGTAACTAAGGGGACTCCGTTCAATCACCTCCGACAACTTGGGCCGAGCGAGATCCGTGAAATATTGATACGCAGATCAAAGTGTCGGCAGTCAGTGTATTTTATTAGAGGATGGCACATGATGGAAATGGATCCTGTTTGCACGCCTTTGTCTTATTGTGTTATTGATCAATACAGGTAAGATAGCGAACTTTGGTCCAATAATCTACACTATTGACGTAAGACGACTGAATTATCTATAACAACCCACGTCACCTCGGGTGGAGGTTGGCGGTAAGCCAAGAAACAATGATCAGAATCTTGGAAAATAAAACAAGTCAGATGATTTCCCACCTTTAACCGAACCATTACATGTAATCTGACTGACATTGCAGGTACGATTTGATTGGCTGACTGACATTGGAGGTCCGATTTGATTGGCTCACTGACATTGGAGGTCCGATTTGATTGGCTCACTGACATTGGAGGTCCGATTTGATTGGGTTAACAAATTTAATTTACTAGATTATTTGGGTTCTCAAATTTCGATCTGCGTCACCGTCAGTGTAATCTCGTCGTCAGCACCCCAATATCATCGAGGAAGAAAATCCCTCTGATTTTATAACTAAACAATTTCTCACTTGACTAATGAATACAAACAAACAATGTAAATCGGTAAAGGACTGTTTGTTTCAGATGGATCAGTCCAGGGGATTGGAACTCGAGATAAAGAGTCGAGTTGAATATTCTATTCATGATAACAATGACCTTACCTAAATAGAAAATCAACCCAAAATAGCAACCACAATTGTTTAAGTATGATCGGTCCAAGATAACTCAAGTTATTGTGGGGAAATGATTACTTTCACTTATAACAGTAACCTTCACCTTTGACCTTTCAAATCAGAAAGAAATTCAAGTCTGTGGAAGCACTGAGTGAAGTCATTGGACCAAAACCATTCTATTTATAGGACCTTTAATCAATGTCAAGGAAACAAAAATAAGCAGTGAATAAAGTTTGAGTGAGACAGATCTACCTAACTACCTTTATCATACAGAAATGATCATTCTTGCCGTCCAATCTACATCCCCTATGCCATGTCGACAACTGTCAGATTAACTCACAGCACAGGGTTTCGAGAGACGCAGGATGATGAAGATTATGGGGAAGTTTTCCGGTCAACATAAAGGTATTATTCGAAACTACTCTATTTCTGTGTGGGATATTAAGTTGGACGTGTTTGATGGCCATTGGTATAATTGGTGGTTCTATTATTGATTACTTTGTCCTCCGTTGAGAACGTGACATTACTTACTTGAATTGATCAATATTTACATGGCAGGTGTCGTCGATGAAGTAGAAGACGCTTACTCTTTCGAAACACCCGAGATTGTACTTTTTTCAAAAGTCATCGTGTTAGTCTGCATTTTTCCATATTTTAGCCTCGTTTCATCGACTTTTAAATTATGCTGACATGTGGATATTTTCTTTGTTGTTTTTCTATTTATAGTAACAGCAGAGCGAAAACGATCTATTAATAGTAACAGTGACCTTACCGTTTGACATTTTGATACAGAAGGAATTTCTGAGGGAATTCGAGTTATAGAGTGAAAACGATCTTTTTTATTTATTGTGCGGTGACCTTTACTTTTGATATTTTCCACCAAAAACAAACAATGCAAGATTCTTGAATGGGGCTATCGTCCTTCGACTTCATCTACACATACCTTGACAACAGCAAGAACGTGAAAGTCAAAACAAACAAGTAAGCGAAACAAAAACGACACTTACCAAAACTGTCATCCTCAATGGTCGAGTTGATACGACGATCGTGAATAATAATATGTCGTATTTTGAACAGTTCGTCTTGATCAATGATCATGCCATCACTTGTGAGTCCAGTAACAACTTCAGCAAAACTGTCAAACGTCCCCGGAAAGTAGTCTCTTCTCACTGGTGTAGTCTGTGACCATTCCGAGTTATCTACGACAAGCATCAGACCCTCCGATACATCCCACTCAGCATGAACTTTCACCCACGTGTCCGCGAACAGCCGGAAGTTAATTTTCCAAACATGCTCCTGTTTAGAGACCCCAAACTCATACTGATCTCCGAATCGTTGGATAAGATACAAGCCATCGGAAAAGTAGAAGTTTCCACCGGAAGTGAAAAGGACAACCTCCGGCGAATCCTCGGTGACGGGAGCTACATTTATCCAGAAATCTACAGTGATACCGTGCGGACACTGGTGGATGTTGCCGAGACACCAGTGAGGATATAACCCCAGATTGGCGTACGACCCCTCCTGGGGGTCTGTTTCTGTTACCTTCAACACCCCATCCTCGTAATATTGTAGCTTGACACTATCTTTGGATATGGCATATACAGCTCCTGGAAAATGTTGACATAAAATCGTTCAAATGACATTTATGAATATAATGTCATCCACTTACCAGAATTTTTTAAGGTGTAAATTATAGGAAAATATTTGACGTTGGCAAATGAAGGTTCTATCATTAAATCTCAAGTAGAATGCACGTGTTTTGTAATATTTTCTATGTTTAAGAAAGGACAAAAATTCAATAATTTGTCGTTATTTGTTTTAAATGTTGTTGTGAAGAACGCTGATAACAATAAGTGCTCGCTTGTGCAAGAAAGTGTTAAAGTTTTTGTTCTTTTACAAATAAATATTTATAGCTTACACTTTGTATATACAGTCAACAACAAGTTCCAAAAGTAAAGGAATTGAATTGAGTACAAACTGTAATCGGTGATGGCTAGGCAGTTTTACAATGTGTGAAACAATTATTCAATCTAAAACAACTTAATAAGGAATAATATATATAAAATATCGACAATTTGCAAAGATGCATCACGTGACACCTTTACATAGACATTCCTTAACGTGATAATTTCAGCTAGAGTTTCTGAAACTAAATCGACGGAAAAATAAAATGATTTTTTTAACTGACATAAAAGAGAAACAGCGGCTTATTAACATATTAACATTGGACATATTATACAATAATAAAGACATCCCTGTTGAGACTAAACAGGCTTACCCCAGAGAATGGCGAAAAGGAATATGGCTTTCATAAATGTCGCAGTTTTCACCATACAAATTTGTACAGTACCTGTACCGCCAAGTTACCTGCCTTTCTGGTCGGTTCTGCAGGTAAGTAAGAGGTATATATCTTACCTGAAGTCAGTTTGACCAAAACAGTCCCTTAACATCATAAATAACATGAAAAATTGATGATGGTAGAACCCGGGATCGATTTGATTAAGACCGAGGTCTACATGTATATGTTATCAGGGGAATTCTTCTACCTGTTACTGCCGAGTCCTTAATTATTTACAGCTAATCAAATGCCGAATTTAATTAGGTTCAGACGCGATCACTTTTATCTTACCTGAGACGTAGAAAGCATCAATAACGAGCCTCTACTTACCTGTATAAGATAGGCACGTGATAGAACGACCTGAAGGGGAAAATGTGTAATAGAAACCACGACCTATAATTCCATGTACAAATAGTTACACAGTATTTCACGTTCCTAAAATAAGAGATGATACAACGATTGTTATCGTCCTTCAAAGAACATTCTCTATCGCTTTAACTGAAACATGTTTGTTGTCTTTAAATGTGATTTATATAGGTTTTTTATAGAGAAATACAAAAACATGTACCTTGTAATCTCGGAAACAAATTTGTTGTTTGTCGTTTGATGAAGGACGTTTTCAAGATTCTGGAATCATTCTTACTCAGACGGCTGGAAGGGAAATCCTGGGAGTTGACATGAGGGCAATGAGACATTTTCAGTAATATTCAGTCAATGTCAACAATCGGGCGAGACATCATTTGTAAAATTTAAAAAAAAAAAAAAAAACTTTGAGTGACCCAAGACATCCTTAGCCAACGCTAGGAATATCCCTTGGGTAATGGTACTCTGAGCTGCTGGCATATACTCGATGATATCGTTTAAGTTTTGACGGGACGTGATGAACATTAGAAAAGTTAGAAAGCAATGTACAGTGAACAGTTCATGGTGTTGTCCTTGTCTCTCTCTCTCTCTCTCTCTCTCTCTCTCTCTCTCCTCTCTCTCTCTCTCTCTCTCTCTCTCTCTCTCTCTCTCTCTCTCTCTCTCTCTCTCTCTCTCTCTCTCTCTCTCTCTCTCTCTCTCTCTCTCTCTCTCTCTCTCTCTCTCTCTCTCTCTCTCTCTCTCTCTCTGATACATTTGTAACTTAAACATGCCACCTTGTATATTTGTTTGTACAATAGTTTTCAAGAAAGGGCTTAATATAAGTTGGCCAACTTGTGCCCAATCCCAATGTATATATTGATACAATAAAATATATTTAAATCAAATCAAAATCTAAAAGTTGTACGAAGGTTCAATTCGTAGGGTGTTGGGACATCCAGTCTGAATCTAGCACACCTGATTGGAAGGCAAGAGGAGATAACGGACGTTTGTACCAGAAACTTTAATGATATTGGATTTAAGACTGGATACAAGTTCAACATCTTAACAACAGCTTATATGATAAGATTTTTCAAATGGATATACTGCAAATGTATCAAAGCTCATTACCTTCATTAAACCAATTACTGTATATCAGTGGACGATGTGAAATCTCATTGGCCAATATTCTATGAATATTTATAAGCTCCTTCTTGTTCTATCTATTAAAATTCAAGGTCATCTATTTTAGACTGGAGAAGACTTATATAAGGTTAGCCTGCCAGTTGATTCATTTGCATGAATGAACTTAAAAGTTCTCGAAAAAATAAAGATATTTCAGGATTATTGTAGCTCTTTTTCCTGGTTAATAGGAATGACCTTGATCCGCTTGAAATATTACAGGGATCAATTGTGTTTAAATCTTTAAATGACTTCTTCTCAATTACCAAAAGACCCAAGGTGCTGGTATTGGATCAATTTTCAAGGTCACGGGGGTCAAATGTGTTGAAATGCTTAAGTATCCTCTTTTCAAAAACCTTGATATTGGGCCTGTAGCTTGCTTTTACAACAAGCAATACATCCAAAGTAATGGCAATTGTGCATGTATATGTATAAAGAATATGATTTCAAGCTTGCAGAAAATGTCTCTATGAACCAACAATATCTTCTATGTAAGATGTATAGTAGTTGAGCAATTTATTTAAGGCCTATTTGGCCTCTTTCATGTATAGGTCTTGATACTCAGATTTCCATTAAGGCCCATGAGCCATCTTCTACTACTTTCCCATCATGTTTCAAGGAATATTTTGTTGGCAAGGCTTCATTATTTAACCAATCGATAGGATGGAAGTTTACAGTCCATGTTGTACAAAGTTCCAGCGAGCCAGGTATCCAAGCCTGATGGCATATGCAGTTTGCTGGGTTTTGTTAAAGCCACTTTGAATTTCCATACACAATATGATAAAGCATTTGTGAGGCTCGCGTTGATTGTTTCCGCATGGTCAGTCTCCTTTCTCTATTAGCTATATTATTAATACAATTTTAAGCACGCACGAGAATGAACACATGCTATACAGTATTTCGATGCGTTGTGCAATCCAGTAACTACATTTCGAAGTCCCCTGCCCAAAGTGTAATGACTAATCTTCACGACCCGACATCTGAATTGTAGGTAGTACAATGTCCACTATTCACGTCACAAAGCTAATGGTGATTTTTCGTTTTAGTTTGCTGTGATAGTGATGATAATTGCCTATAGCACTAGTTTTGATGCCCTTCTGAAGTTCCCTTGTTTCTCGTGATGGTCGTAATATTTGTCTTTAACCTTGAATTTGATGATGGTCTTTTCAGTTTTCCGTTTTGTTGTTGTTTTTTTTTTTTTTTTTTTGGGGGGGGGGGGGTTTCATGTGGAGGTGATATTTACGAATAAGAGTGATTTTGATAAACTTTCAAGATTTTCGAGGATTTTTTTATGAGATGGTGCTGATATATGTCTATGACAAAGGGTTATTTCTGTGATAGTGGTGCTGATATATGTCTATGACAGTGGGTTATTGCTGTGGTGATGGTGCTGATATATGTCTATGACAGTGGGTTATTGTTGTGATGATGGTGCTGATATATGTCTATGACAGTGGGTTATTGCTGTGATAGTGGTGCTGATATATGTCTATGACAAAGGGTTATTGCTGTGATGATGGTGCTGATACATGTCTATGACAAAGGGTTATTGCTGTGATGATGGTGCTGATATATGTCTGTGACAGTGGGTTATTGCTGTGATGATGGTGCTGATATATGTCTGTGACAGTGGGTTATTGCTGTAATGATGGTGATGATATATGTCTATGACAGTGGGTTATTGCTGTGATGATGGTGCTGATATATGTCTGTGACAGTGGGTTATTGCTGTGATGATGGTGCTGTTATATGTCTATGACAGTGGGTTATTGCTGTGATGATGGTGCTGATATATGTCTATAACAGTGGGTTATTGCTGTGATAATAGTGCTGATATTTTTCTATGACAGTGGGTTATTGTTGTGATGATGGTGCAGATATATGTCTATGACAAAGGGTTATTGCTGTGATGATGGTGCTGATATATGTCTATGACAGTGGGTTATTGTTGTGATGATGGTGCAGACATTTGTCTATGACAAAGGGTTATTGCAGTGATGATGGAGCTGATACATGTCTAAGACAGCGTGTTATTGCTGTGATGATGGTGCTGATATATGTCTATGACAAAGGGTTATTGCTGTGATAATAGTGCTGATATATGTATATGACAGTGGGTTATTGCTGTGATGATGGTGCTGATACATGTCTATGACAGTGGGTTATTGCTGTGATGATGATGCTGTTATTTGTCTATGACAGTGGGTTATTGCTGTGATGATGGTGCTGATATATGTATATGACAGAGGGTTATTGCTGTGATGATGGTGCTGATATATGTCTATGACAAAGGGTTATTGCTGTGATGATGGTGCTGATACATGTCTATGACAGTGGGTTATTGCTGTGATGATGGTGCTGATATATGTCTATGACAAAGGGTTATTGCTGTGATGATGGTGCTGATATATGTCTATGACAAAGGGTTATTGCTGTGATGATGGTGCTGATATATGTCTGTGACAGTGGGTTATTGCTGTGATGATGGTGCTGATATATGTCTGTGACAGTGGGTTATTGCTGTGATGATGGTGCTGATATATGTCTATGACAAAGGGTTATTGCTGTGATGATGGTGCTGATATATGTCTGTGACAGTGGGTTATTGCTGTGATGATGGTGCTGATATATGTCTATGACAAAGGGTTATTGCTGTGATGATGGCGCTGATATATGTCTATGACAAAGGGTTATTGCTGTGATGATGGTGCTGATATATGTCTATGACAGTGGGTTATTGCTGTGATAGTGATAATATGTATAGCTGAGTGTGATTTGATTGGTTGTTTGAGTTTTTCGTGTTTCCCATATTACAATTTTCACTGCTTTTAGCTGTATACTTTCTAATTCATCAATTATATCATTGTCCCAAACTATGTAAGCGTATTCCAGATGTGTCTATTGGATTTTCGCTGTGCTGGAGGTAATATTACCAAAAGATGGTACCAGCAATCTTGTATATTAATCAACAAGAACGATGTAGATTTTTACTACTGACCAGTCAGAAGAATGCTTTCCATGCACTGTATTGAAATTCGACCAGTTTTCTAGTTTAATAAAAGTGTATTCATTTTTTAATATTTCATTCTTACGGGAGTATCCTAAGCGATCAATCGGTTAAAATTGTCCGTCAAACAGCGATTAAAAAACGTTGTAATAAGTAAAAGAGTTATTCCCCTTACACTATAACATATCGGAATTATGGGTGGTGAGAACGTTGTATGAAGTGTTACCGTTATATATGATGTTATAACAGTATGTGTTACCGTTATGTTATAACTGTATGTGTTATCGTTATGTTATAACTGTATGTGTTATCGTTATGTTATAACTGTATGTGTTACCATGATGTTATAACTGTATGTGTTACCGTTATGTTATAACTGTATGTGTTACCGTTATGTTATAACTGTATGTGTTATCGTTATGTTTCAACTGTATGTGTTACCGTTATGTTATAACTGTATGTGTTATCGTTATGTTATAACTGTATGTGTTACCATGATGTTATAACTGTATGTGTTACCGTTATGTTATAACTGTATGTGTTACCGTTATGTTATAACTGTATGTGTTATCGTTATGTTACAACTGTATGTGTTACCGTTATGTTATAACTGTATGTGTTACCGTTATGCATGATGTTATAACTGTATGTGTTATCGTTATGTTACAACTGTATGTGTTATCGTTATGTATGATGTTATAACTGTATGTGTTACCGTTATGTTATAACTGTATGTGTTATCGTTATGTTACAACTGTATGTGTTACCGTTATGTTATAAGTGTATGTTTTACCGTTATGCATGATGTTATAACTGTATGTGTTATCGTTATGTTACAACTGTATGTGTTACCGTTATGTTACAACTGTATGTGTTATCGTTATGTATGATGTTATAACTGTATGTGTTACCGTTATGTTATAACTGTATGTGTTATCGTTATGTATGATGTTATAACTCTATGTGTTATCGCTATGTTATAACTGTATGTGTTACCGTTATGTATGATGTTATAACCGTATGTGTTACCGTTATGTTACAACTGTATGTGTTACCGTTATGTTACAACTGTATGTGTTACCGTTATGTATGATGTTATGACTGTATTATTATCGTTATGTTACAACTGTATGTGTTATCGTTATGTTACAACTGTATGTGTTATCG